ATATGTAGAGCAAAAAGGTTTTGTACATGTTTACGATTCTGGTCCGCGGTGGGGCAGAGCCTGTGACGACGGTGACAATTTCAATCGTGTCGCACACGGGGTGGTTCCGTCGGCGAACCTTGTCAGTGCCCCTCCATTATCTCCCCGCGCCAGGAAGCTCTGGCCAGGTGGTGGCATGCAGCTATCCATGGATAGCTTGGTTGCTTTTCAGGTGGCCGACGGGGTCTCTGCAGCGTGTTTCCATCTGGCTTGGCTGTGTGGATCTGTTTTGGGATTAAACTCGCGCTCTGCAGCTTTGAGCGAGTGAGTCGTAGCAAGTAGCAGACCCTGGATATCCGATAGTCGGTACCATAATAAATTAGCGCTGTATCTGCCCTCTTCTGCGCCTTTCAGACCTCCCCCTCTCCTCCTCCTCCTCCTCCTCTCTCACTACCTCTACCCCCTCCCTTACCCAACACACACAGCCGTCATCCAGCATGACGACGCTTGCAGTTGACCAGAACGCCTCGTCGGCCATTGACGAGAACGACTTCGACGAGGACCATGGCGAGCACCACCCCCACAGGAACTCGGTCCACCACAAGCTGCGTGCGAGCAGCTCTATTATGCAGCTGAAGAAGCTGCTGGGTACGTTGGCGGAGCACAATGGCTCACTCATAGCTCTTCGGCGCTCTAACAGCTCTGCCAGTTGCCAACCGAGGAGAAATCCCCATCCGTATCTTCCGAACAGCGCACGAGCTGTCGCTGCACACCGTGGCCGTCTACAGTCATGAGGACCGCCTCAGCATGCACAGGCAAAAGGCCGACGAGGCCTACGAGATTGGCGCCCGCGGCCAGTACACGCCTGTCGGAGCTTACCTGGCGGGCGATGAGATCATCAAGATCGCGGTCGAGCACAACGTGAACATGATTCACCCGGGCTACGGCTTCTTATCGGAGAATGCAGAGTTCGCGCGCAACGTCGAGAAGGCTGGCCTCATTGTGAGTTTTACCGTTTTGTTTACGCTATGACGGAACTGCGTGGAGGGGTCGCAGCTGCCTATCAGCCGCTGCTGAGCCTATCGCTCCCGCGCGAGATGAGGCATTGGCGGGGCCGATCCCCAAGCAGCCCGGCGCCGATCATCGCAGCGGCCATGGCCTTTTTTTCTTACCCATGCAATATGCGACTCATGCTTACTTCTGATTCTAGTTCGTTGGCCCCTCTCCCGACACCATCGACGCGCTCGGCGACAAGGTCTCGGCGCGAAAACTCGCCGTCAAGTGCAACGTCCCCGTTGTGCCAGGAACCCCAGGACCCGTTGAGAAGTTTGAGGATGTCAAGGCCTTTACTGACGAGTATGGCTTTCCCATCATCATCAAGGCCGCTTTCGGCGGTGGTGGCCGTGGTATGCGTGTAGTACGCGAGCAAGAGACGCTCAAGGACTCGTTCGAGCGCGCCACTTCAGAGGCCAAGTCGGCTTTCGGTAACGGAACCGTCTTCGTCGAGCGCTTCCTCGATAAGCCCAAGCACATTGAAGTCCAGCTCCTCGGTGACAACCAGGGCAACGTCGTCCATCTCTACGAGCGTGACTGCAGTGTCCAGCGTCGTCACCAGAAGGTCGTTGAGATTGCTCCCGCCAAGGACCTCCCAGTTGAGACTCGTGATGCTATCCTTGCCGACGCTGTCAGGCTCGCACAGAGCGTAAAGTACAGGAACGCCGGAACCGCTGAGTTCTTGGTTGACCAGCAAAACCGCTACTACTTCATAGCTAAGTCCAAACGACGCATATTTGCAGGATCAATTGACTAATATCCCTATAGAAATCAACCCCCGTATCCAGGTCGAGCACACCATCACCGAGGAGGTCACCGGTATCGACATTGTTGCGGCACAGATTCAAATCGCAGCAGGTGCATCTCTTGAACAGCTTGGCCTGACTCAAGACCACATCTCCACACGAGGCTTTGCCTTCCAATGCCGAATCACCACAGAAGACCCCGCCCAGAGCTTTGCACCCGATACTGGAAAGATCGAGGTCTACCGCTCTGCTGGTGGCAACGGAGTCCGTCTCGATGGTGGTAACGGTTTTGCCGGAGCCATCATCACTCCTCACTACGACTCTATGTTGGTCAAGTGCTCTTGCCGCGGTTCCACATACGAGATCGTCCGCCGAAAGATGCTGCGTGCTCTAGTAGAGTTCCGTATCCGTGGCGTCAAGACCAACATTCCCTTCTTGATCAAGCTCCTCACACATCCCACCTTCGTCGACGGTCAATGCTGGACAACCTTCATCGACGACACTCCTGCCCTCTTCGACTTAATCGGCTCTCAGAACCGTGCCCAGAAGCTCCTCGCATACCTTGGTGACCTCGCTGTCAACGGCAGTCAGATCAAGGGCCAGATCGGTGAGCCCAAGTTCAAGGGCGTCATCCCTATCCCGGCCATCCACGACAACAACGGCAAGAAGGTCGACACTTCCGCGCCTTGCACCGAGGGATGGAGGAACGTCATTCTTAAGGACGGTCCCGAGGGATTCGCCAAGGCTGTTCGCGCCAATAAGGGTTGCTTGATCATGGACACCACATGGCGCGATGCTCATCAGTCGCTTCTTGCCACTCGTGTCCGAACTGTTGACTTGCTCAACATCGCCAAGGAGACCAGCCATGCCTTCTCCAACGCATGGGCTCTCGAGTGCTGGGGTGGTGCTACTTTCGATGTCGCCATGCGTTTCCTCTACGAAGACCCCTGGGAGCGCCTTAGGAAGATGCGCAAGCTCGTACCCAACATTCCATTCCAGATGCTCCTCCGTGGCGCTAACGGTGTTGCGTACTCCTCGTTGCCCGACAACGCCATCTTCCACTTCTGTGAGCAGGCCAAGAAGAACGGTGTCGATATCTTCCGTGTCTTCGATGCGCTGAACGACGTTGAGCAGCTTGAGGTTGGTGTCAAGGCCGTCCTCAAGGCTGGTGGTGTTGCTGAGGGTACCGTGTGCTACAGTGGTGACATGCTCAACCCCAAGAAGAAGTACAACCTAGAGTACTACTTGGATGTTGTCGACAAGATCGTCAAGATGGGAGCGCATATCCTCGGTATCAAGGACATGGCTGGTGTACTCAAGCCCCGTGCCGCCCGTCTTTTGATTGGTACCATCCGCGAGAAGTACCCCGATCTGCCCATCCACGTGCACACTCACGACTCTGCTGGAACCGGTGTTGCATCTATGGTTGCCTGCGCTGAGGCTGGTGCGGACGCTGTTGATGCCGCTATCGACAGCATGTCCGGTATGACTTCTCAGCCTAGCATGGGTGCCATCCTTTCATCTCTCGAGGGCACCGACTTCGACGCTGGTCTGGACGCACACATGATCCGTAACTTGGACGCATACTGGGCCCAGCTCCGTCTCCTCTACTCACCCTTCGAGGCCGGTCTTACCGGACCCGACCCTGAAGTCTACGAGCACGAGATTCCCGGAGGTCAGCTTACCAACTTGATCTTCCAGGCGTCGCAGCAAGGTCTTGGTGAGCAATGGGCTCAGACCAAGAAGGCGTACGAGCAGGCCAACGACTTGCTCGGCGACATTGTCAAGGTCACTCCCACTTCCAAGGTCGTTGGTGACTTGGCTCAATTCATGGTCTCCAACAAGCTTTCCTACGACGACGTCCTAGCCAAGGCTGACCAACTCGACTTCCCATCCTCTGTCCTGGAGTTCTTCGAGGGACTCATGGGTCAGCCATACGGCGGTTTCCCTGAGCCCCTCCGCTCGCAAGCTCTCCGTGAGCGAAGGAAGATGGACAAGCGCCCTGGTCTCTACCTTGAGCCCGTTGATATCCCCAAGATCAAGGCTGACCTCAAGGCTAAGTGGGGTGACGCCACAGAGTGTGATGTTGCATCGTACATCATGTACCCCAAGGTCTTTGAGGACTACAAGAAGTGGACAACCAAGTACGGAGATCTCTCCGTCCTGCCCACTCGTTACTTCTTGTCGCGCCCCGAGATCGGCGAGGAGTTCCACGTCGAACTTGAGAAGGGTAAGGTTCTCATCCTCAAGCTTCTCGCCATCGGTCCTCTATCCGAGCAGACCGGTCTGCGTGAAGTCTTCTACGAGATGAACGGTGAGACCCGTACCGTCACCGTGGAGGACCAACACGCAGCTATCGAGAACGTCTCGCGACCCAAGGCCGACCCCACAGACAGCAGCCAAGTCGGATCACCCATGTCCGGTGTCTTGGTTGAGGTTCGTGTCCACGATGGCAGTGAGGTCAAGAAGGGTGACCCAGTTGCTATTCTCAGCGCCATGAAGATGGAGATGGTCATCTCCGCACCACACTCTGGAAAGGTCAGCGGCCTGTCTGTACGTGAGGGTGACTCGGTTGACTCTGGCGACTTGGTCTGCAAGCTCGTCAAGTGAGCATATCGCTTGGGTAGTTTGCGTTGTTTATGAGAGTTATGAAATCCAAGAATGGAAATGATTAGATAGTAACGAACAATGACGGCGCTGGGATGCCATTTCAACTTCACATTTACCCGTCTGCTCCTTTTGATCGTGCTATGGACATTGAACTACACGACTTTTGAAGCTTTGTATAGCTTCTACACGGATATCGATCGTGCTGTACAATATCCAAAAGAATTTTCTCTTGTCCTACGCCCCCAGTTTCCAGTCTGCGCAGACGCATGCATTGCGTTACTACTCGATATACGTTTAGGAAATAATAGGCCTAGGAGGTATCCAGTGGGTTTTGTCCCGGCAGATTTACAAGGCATGCCATAGCGTAGCCACCAGACTAGGTTATAACATAGTGAAGAAAGGCCTCTTGAGCGAGAGTATACTCCTTGAGGGTCACCTTTGCAGCAATTTAGTAATTAATAATCACAGCCCTGGAAGTATACATGGGATGAACATGTAAAGTATTGCATGTGTATGATAACCTTCGGTAGTTGATACACCGAAAAAAAAAAAGCTTCCAGCACCCAACCCCAGACTCCAAGAAATGCAGCATAGCTAGCCTAGTCTAAACGGAAAGCCTTACCCGTATGCAGGTTCCCTTGAACCGAGCTCCAAACGCCCACGCCCAAACGCCCATGTCAGATCCAAGGGATCCACTCGATCGAACCACTTGATCGGGAGAAGCCGGAACGCAGCCACACCTCCTACAAGCTACAAGGAAGAAACTGAACAGGCCTGCAGCCTACACTAGGACAAAAACAAGCAATCGAGAAGATCTAGCGTCAACGTAGGCCTCAGGGTGTTTAAGCTTTTCCTTGGATAGTGTGATCTACCCCATGGAGCCAAAATCAAGCTTCCGAGCTACCTTGTCGGCGCGACCATTGGTAGGCATCTCTCCGCCTCTCCGCTTCAGATCCTCTCCCATAGCTTTTGCCCCACCGCCTTCTTTGGGCAGGTTTTCTTTCTTCGTGGGCCGGGGTGCGTTGGTCCACCACTTGTCCTCTAGCGCTTTGCGAGCCGTGTACCTCTTTGTCGGGTCCAGGGTCAGTAAACCCTTGATGAAGTCGCAGCCGTCGTCTCCCAGTGCAGGGAACTGTTGTTTCCACCACACGCGGGGACGCGTTTGTCTGAAGGCTGTAGAACCCTGCGGACCGGTTTGCTTCTCAGGCGCAACGTAGTACGGGAGAGAAGACACGCCTGGCCAGGTTTCCTCGGTCGGCGTTCCAAACTTCTCGCAGATGGTGGCGACTTGTTGGATGTCGGTGTCGGAGTAGAGAAACCAGTTGCGGATACAGAGTTCTGCCATCAGAACTCCGATACTCCACATGTCAGCCGTGCCACCGTAGTGCGAGCAGCCGTACAGCAACTCCAGCGGACGGTACATGCGTGTAATGACCATGGTGGTCATCTTTGTTCCTGGATCCGCGAAACTCCGCGCAAGACCGAAATCGGCAAGCTTGACTGTTCCGTCGGCGGCGATCAGGGCGTTACTGCCCTTGATATCGCGATGTAGGACAAAGTTCTCGTGGCAGAACCAGATTCCCTGACACAGCATGTTCATCCAAGACTTGATATCCGCCTTTGTGTATGTGATTTCCTTGTTCTTCCAGAGCGCCTCCAGATCTCCCAGGGGCAGATGTTCGAGTACGAAGGACAGATTCTGGTCCTTGCTGGAGAAGACATCGTGTAGTTTTATTACGTTGGGATGGTCGATCTCGAAGAGAAACTGCATTTCGCGGAGGGCGTCCGGGGCGATTCCGTTGGGGTACTCGGCGTTGAGCTTGATCTTCTTGATGGCGACGAGCTTCTTGGGGTTGTTGATGTAGTGGGCTTGAAAAACCACAGCATAGGTACCTTCTCCAAGTTTCTGGCCCATGACGAATTGGCTGCGCACCCGGTCGTTCATCTGCTCGGCGAGATCCATGCCTCTGTCTTCTGCTGGGGCTGTGAATGGTACAGCTGGTGACTTCGTGGGCTTGGTTGTGTGGCTTGGGAGCGCGAGGGTTCTAGCCTTGGCCCCATCTTGAAAGGCTGCGCCGGGCGGGTTCGGCCGTGGGCTTAGAACAGCTGGTGATGCCATGGTGAAGTCGTGGGTGTAGCGGCGTGATTGAGGTGTTGCGACGAGGCTGGTCGATGAAAGATGGCGAAATGCTGGCGTCAGTGGCTACTCCACAGCTCTCGTGAGTTGAGCGACCCAAAGTCCATTCCACATTCCTCCTCTTCTAGACGGTGAAGGTAGTGGCTTCGTGGTTCGCGACTGCGCGAACGTTCGCGTTCCAGGGACCGCGACGGCGACGATGCACGTCCCCGAACATTTTGGCTTGGCCGCGCTTTTCTGCGGGGAGCTTGCCCTCACCACCGACGCCCAGCAGTCGCATTCCACACATCATGGCTACTTCGGCGCGAGGACCGCCAGGCACTGTCGCCGTCTCCAAAGAGGGTATCCCGAACCGGACGTGAGTTGATCTACATCCCAGTGCACGGAGTATATGCTGATATCAAACAGATTATACGTGCGCAACCTCCCCGACAAGCTACAAAAAGAAGACCTCAAGCGGAACCTGTACATGCTATTCGCGACATATGGCGTCATACTTGATGTTGTCGCGCTCAAGACCATGAAGATGCGAGGCCAGGCGCATGTCGTCTTCCGCGACGTCGATTCCTCAACACAGGCTATGCGCGCTCTACAGGGCTTCACTTTCTTCGGCAAAGACATGGTGCGTCTTTTCCTGATTCTACGAAGCACGAAATTATGCTTACACTAGGCAGCAAGTCGCATACGCAAAGACCAAGTCCGATACAGTAGCGAAGCTAGACGGCACCTACAAGATGCCCGAGCCGGAGCGCGAAGACGAGCCCGAACAAGCGTCTGCACAGCCCGCAGGCTTCGGTACCGCACCCGAGAAAGCAGTTCCGGTCAATGCACAAGACGCCGCCAAGGGACAGAAGAGAGGGCGTGAGGAAGAAGAGGAGGATGAGAACTCAGACGCGGAGATGGAGATGGATGTCAGCGACGACTCGGACTAGATGGTTAAGACTGCGTATGGAAGGATATGATACCCACGAGAAATGAACAGAATCAAAAGGGCACTTTAGAAGACTCGTCTATGTGTGTTGTTTACAAATGCGTATGGGAAGACACCACAGCTTTTCTCGGAGTGGTACTGACTTGATACAGACCCGATCTCAGTTTCTCTCCAACGATCGACTAGTGTACGTCATTATCGTCGCGCGCTCAATTGAATAGCTATATTTATGGTATAGCTAGACTACCTTCGCAGAACTATTGAGTATCTAGAATTGAATAATAGGGCACCTAGAACTTCTTCGCTGAAGGTCTAACCACGAATTGAAAGACCGTAGAAGAGCTAGACTGTATTCAATACCCTATCACTTAGCACACTAGCGTCTGTAAAATCTCACTTCCAACCTCCACGCTACTCCATCCACTGACCCCTATACGAGTACACTTAAGCATATCTGCTCATGCAAGCCTCGAGCAGACCCAGCAGCTCAGACTTCCGCTTTTCCCCTATCCAGCTGCCGTGGATAGAATTGCTAACGATCGTCCTCCATTCATCCATACTTAAGTTGAAAGCCTCTTGCACCGCGCAATAGTTGTTTAGGATGTATCCACCAAAGTACGCTGGGTCGTCACTGTTGATACTGAACTTGACCCCTGCCTCGAGGAATGTCCTGATGGGTACTTGGCCGACATTTTGCACTGCTTGGAGGCAGACATTGCTCAGCGGACAAACTGTCAGGAGTATCTCCTCTTTCACTACCCGACGGAGCAGTTCAGCATCTTCGGTAAGACGAATGCCGTGATCGATGCGCTCAGCGTGTAGTGCGTCGAGTGCACCACTGATGTACGTCGGATCCCCCTCTTCACCCGCATGCGCTGTCCTCCTCAACCCCCTCTTCTCACCCTCGCGATACATATCGACAAAGAGTTCCGGGCGAAACCCAACTTCTGACGAGTCCAACCCAAGACCAGTAATAGCGCGCCCCTGATCATCTCCACTCTCAAGATCAAAGTGCCCACCCTTAACAGCCGCTGCCATAGTCTCCGCAGCTGAACTAACAGGCAAGTGCCTTAAGAAGCACATAATCAGACAACTCGTTATTCCCAGCTCTTTCTCCGCCCGTTTTCTTGCAGCGTTGAAACCACGTACCACGACATCAAACGCAATACCTCGCTCCGTATGACTCTGTGGATCAAAGAAAACTTCTGCATGGCGGACACCGTCTCTAGCTGCTGTTGTGAAGTACTCCCAAGCTAGCATCTCAAAGTCCTCTTCATGCACTACGACTGCGATGCCGCGGTAGTAGTACGCAAGGAAATCATTCAGGTTTGTGAAATGCGAATACCGTTCTGTGAGTGTTGCGGGCGACGTGTAAGCGACATCCTCAGATGGTGATGGCAGGGTGATGTTGTTTTTAGAGGCCAGAGTGAAGAGAAGGTTTGGGCTGAGGCAGCCTTCGAGGTGGAGGTGGTGTTCGCATTTTGGTAGGTCCGCGAGGAAGTCGTGGGTGGCTGGTTTGCACATTTTGTATTGCTCGTATAGGGAACTTTGGGAAACAGGTGTGTTGGATGGATTGTTAAAACAAAATGGTTTTCAGTCCTTTGTAAAGATTCTGTTTTGTATGACTAGTTCTATCGGAGGTGGACGGAAATTATCGGTGTTCGCCGGTTTCTGCTGGGATGATGGAGAACCTCTAACTAGAGGGTGGATACCAAACTGGGCTTGCAAAGCAGATGCGCTCCATGCGAACACGTTGTGCTGGCGCATGAAAATCGTACTTGAAATGTTCATGCCGCATGGGTGCATTGTCCATCGCTTCCAAATGCTAGTCTAGGCGGTAATATCTTATCGAAGCTCGCGTTTTTGCCCAGTTGCTCGCGGCTCGTACATGGTCTCCACAAACTCCTCCAGCAGACCCTCGCTCTCTGCATCTTGTCGAGTAGAAGAAGTCCTCCTACTTCTAGGATTGCTTATCGGCAATGTAGAGTCGCCTATCGTCCGTTCTCCATCACCGAATGTTCCCTTGAAAACGCTATCATAGCTGACCCACATGCCCGCAAAGACCATGGCACTGAGTTTCGCTAGCCACCAAGGCGACCGTCCCTTTTTATCTTGCAGCTTCCTTCCCATAGCAAAGATGAACATGATAAAGGGCATCCAAATACCCAAGAAGATAGCCTTTCCCATTTCCTGCTTCCTGGTCGTGATGGTGTATGTGCGTATGTTGTGTAGGTATTCCTGATATTCGTTTGGAAGATTGCATTCCGCGGCGCCATCGGTTATGAGCTTGAGGTATCGTGCCGAGGGCTGCGCGTAGCTTGGGTCGGGGCGCTTTACGCGGTCGGTGGTTCGTACTCTATTCTCGCTGTCGACGATGGGGGCGAAGAGTGTGTGCGCTTTGAAGGGCTTCGAATCGGGCGTGGAGGGGACTGTGTCGGAGGGCGGTAGCACGTAGCAGTCAACCAAGATATCGTCGTAGGCGCTGCCTCCACCTTCCGTCGCAATGATGTGCGCATAGTCGGACAGCGTCACCTCGTATACAACGCCCACCAAGCCCTTGTGCCATCGGTCCTTGTGGTAGTCTTGCGCGTCCGGCACCCGCAGCGCTGTGTTGGCGAAGCAGGGCTCCTTGTAGGGGATGCCAGGGAGATCGAAGGTCAACCTCAGCGAGGGAACAAGTACGTTAACCTGTGAAAGCGGACGGATACCGCGCACGCCTCGGAAGGTTTCATTGCATAGGTTCGAGCCATATGCCAGGTACAGCACCGTCTTCGCCTTCTCTTGGGGTGTTGCAGACTGTTGCGACACGAGCTTCTCCGTGTCCAGCGGCGCGTCGGTGAGCGAGGCGTCTAGACGCGCCTGGGATGGCTGTGGTATGGCTTCAAAGACAGCCATGGTAGGATTCGCTGTGCGTATCATCCATACGTAACAGCGGTCTCCGTGTCTTTATATACTGCGCGTAGTTTCTGGCACGGCGATTTCGCTGCATGTTTCGTCCGGACCCTGTCTACATCATCGATTCATGGATTTCTCATCTAACGCCGAGGGCCCGAGCACGACCTCACACCGCACAAAATAAAGCATACCAGCTTACTACAACGGACCAACCGTCTCTTTTCGGTGGCTGTACATGGAACTTTGCTTCATTCAGTCATGTCGTATCCCTCATACGCCGTACTAGCGCTGTTACCTGCTGTCGTGTGGCTTCTGTATCTTCAAATAAGCCAATGGCGCTTCAAGAGGTTCGGGCACATCCCCAGTAAACTGCCATCGAGTTTTCTCTTTGGACATCTCGGCCATATCGCGGCGGAGTACAAGAACATGAGTAGTACCGTTCATCCAGGTAGGATCCACATCCCTCTGAGTGGCCAGCACTGATAGCAGCCAGACTATGTGTTTGAAAACATATGGAAGGCTCAAGGCAGCCCAGAATACATGTTTTTCGATACGAGGCCTGTACAACTTCCACTTATTCTCATTGCGTCCCATGCGATGGCGGAGCAGGTCTCCAGAGCCAGCAAGACGCAGCAGTACAGCGTCACCAAATCTCCGACTGTTCAAGGAGGCATGGGGGACCTGATTGGGAGGTATTCCCTGATCAGCGAGAATGGCGAATCCTGGAGAGGGCTTCGAAAGACGTTCAACCCAGGCTTCGCGCCGCAGCATTTGCTTTCGTTGCTTCCTGTTATGGTTGACAAAACGCAAACGTTTATGAAAAAGCTGGACGCGTTGGCAACCTCCGGTGCCGCGGCCGAGATGGACGGCTATTGCACCGATGTCACGTTTGATATCATCGGTGGCTTGGTTACTAATATTGATTGCAAGGCCCAGGGCGACAGCGAACATGTCCATCCCATCGTCCGAAACTTCCGCACGCTGAAGCATGTGTACACCGGCGACAACGGTCTTATGGCATCCTGGTTGAACCCAGTAATGCGCGCCAAAAAATACATCTACAGCCGACGACTAGACTCAGCCGTAAAAGCGTGTGTTGTAGAGAAGTTTGCAGACATCAAGGCAGCGCGACATTCGGTCACGAAAGAGAAGAAAGACCGATCAGTACTCGCCCTAGCGCTGGAAGGCACCGATGAACTGACTCCTTATACCCTGCAAAGTACTGCGGATCAAGTCAAATCTTTTCTTTTTGCAGGTCATGATACGACCTCTATCCTCCTACAGAGGTTGTTCTACGCCCTCTCAATACACCCGGATTGCCTCGCGAAGATCCGCGCGGAGCACGATGCCGTTTTCGGTGACGCAGAACCACACGATGTGTTCCTCAAGCGGCCAGATGAGACCATGAAAGCGCTCAAATACACCTCTGCATGCATCAAAGAGGCTTTGCGACTGTGGCCTCCAGCAGCCTCCGCCCGAATGTCTCACAACAACTTCAAACTACGTACTTCGGACGGAGAGGATGTGCTTATCGACAATTGCGTCATATACATCTGCCATCATCTCATCCAGCGAGACCCCAAAGTCTACGGAGAGACAGCAAACGAGTTCGTCCCCGAGCGATGGGTTGGCGACTCTGATACAAGCAGCGCTTCTACTGAGGTCGACGGATCGACCACTGGCGAGAGCAAGATTCCTATCAGCGCATGGAGAGCTTTTGAGCGAGGACCCCGCAATTGTATTGGCCAGGAACTTGCCAACATGGAAGCTCGAGTCATTCTTGCATGTGTTATGAGACGTTATGACTTCGTCAAGGTTGGGCTTGGAGAAGTTGAGACAGACGAAGCCGGTCAGCCTATCATGGACCAGATGGGCAAATACAAAACAAAGTCCGAGTTGATCAACGTAAGCTGTGTTGTCGTTAATCACAAAGAGCATGGGACTAACTTGTCAACAGACGATGTCCATCACCTCGCGGCCCATTGATAAGACCGTCATGCGTATCAAGTTCCGCGACTCTGGGAAAGAGTAAGCCACGATTTATGATCCTATTTTCTCGTAGCTCTGTTTTTGGAACTTTGTGATGGTATCGGATTTTACAGCCTGAGGAGAGTACATGAGTCTAGCTATCTAGACTGTAAACTTCGTCTTATTCTCCTCCGCGCAATCTTCTGCGATTTTTCGTACCTCCTCTTCGCCTAGTTCTTCAAATATATCGAACCCCCATCGCGACTGCACGTTGAAACGCTTGTGTCTCTCCAGCCCGCTCAGCTCATCGAAGGCATCTTTCGGTAGCTCTTTGACTTGCATGTTGCTCTTGATCCTGCTGGGTGTAACACTTTTGGGCAGCACCACAGTGCCGCGCTGAATGCCCCAACTCGCAAGTAGCTGGCCGCCATCCATGCCCAGTCTTTGCCCCACGATGCCCACAAGTTCGTCGTCGACTGTGCGTGGCTCGCCCGTCTGGTTGTTTCCGAGAGGTGAATATGCTTCGATGAGAATGCCTTTGCTCTTGCAGAACTCGAATAAGGCAGGCTGTTGAAGGTATGGGTGTGCTTCGATCTGGTTTACCGCCGGCACAACACCGGTCTTGGAAAGAAGATCATTAAGGCGATTGACGGTGAAGTTGGATACGCCGATAGCGCGTACCTTGCCAGTGTCGAGCAGCTTCTCCATGGCCTTGTAGGTTGTCGCAGGGTCGATGTCGGCAAGGTCAAAGATGCCACTGTCGCGCAGTGGGAACCACTTCCCTGTGGCACCGTTGAAGGCACTGTGTTCATATTAGTATACTGTATACGTGGCGCGAGACAAGGGTTGAACATACACAGGCCAATGCATCAAGAACAAGTCCAGGTACTCGACACCAAGGTCCTGTAACGACTTATCGAGAGCTGTCTCTACATCTTCGGGTGCATGCTTGGTGTTCCAGAGCTTGCCCGTGAGGAAGATTTCGGAGCGAGGAATACCGCTCCTCCTAATGCCATCACCTACCTCGGCTTCGTTGCGGTAGATGGCGGCGCAATCGATGTGACGATAGCCTGCTTTGAGTGCTGTCTCGACGGCGCGCTCAACTTCTCCCGGTTTCGCTTGCCATGTGCCGAAGCCCACGGCCGGTATTTGCGCGCCTGTATTAAGGGTGAAGTGAGTGGGAAGGGGCATGTTTACGGTAGCGTGACGGGAGGCGGACTCAGAATTATGCAGTATGATGCGGAGGTAATGTGCGACATTTCAACAGAGCGTACAGCCATCTGTATGATATATACATCCATCCTGTATTTTTCATGACTGCCTGATGCGCGAGGTCGTCGGAACACAGTCGGGACCGGAGACGGAGAAGGCATTAGCAGATGACCCCACACCCGGGCAAGCACAGAACCCAGCGGGATGCGCGGCACCACATCCTGTGATGGCCTCCAATTCGTGCAGTGGCTGGACTAAGGCATCCAAGTTCTGTCGAGTGCCTCGGGACTGACCTCGGGAGGTTGGCGGAAAAAACTAAATTAAGCGGCACCCGGAAATCTGCACGCCTCCTCCTGCCTCCACCATGTCAAACACACCCAGCAACACGGCGGTACCACAGAAGCGGAGCCTTGACGTCGCGCAAGGCACTAACAATACGAGGCAACGGTTGGTGAAAGTCACGAGAGCCTGCGATGTGTGCAAGGCGAGGAAGTCAAAGTGTTCCGGCGACCAGCCGTGCGAGAGCTGTATTCGCCGGGGTCTGACATGCCAGTACGAAGCCATCTACCTGAGAGGCAAGGTAGTCTCCCCGCGCCCTTCTGGTCCCGCCGTTGCTAGCCCTCAGCGCACTGCGACTGCTCCAGGCTATACTCATGCTATACTCAGTGTCGCACCAAGTATGGCTGTAGGCAGCAACCATATGCATCGCGTCGGGGAAGAGACGGAACCTCCTTCGCGAGCTTCCCCTGGGCTTGAGATCGCTGGGCAATACTCCGATTCAACGTCGGGTCTCTCGTTCTTGAATCGCGCATGGCGGCGCATCTCCAGCAAGGAAAGCAGTCAAGTTGTGGACGGGTGGGGCTCCACAGAAGACCGCCAACCACTGATGAGTGCTGGTGATAAGCCCTTCCTAGAAAGAGGTCAACTGCAGATGCCATCGCTGGACCGTAGCCGCCAGCTTCTTCATCTATATTTTGATGTTTGTATTGCGACATACCGGCTGTTACACAGACCTACTGTTGAATGTTGGTTGGGAGCTGTGTCTGAGAACGCAAAACTCAACCAAACCCTCTTTCATGGTATGTACCGCTCTGATTGAAGACACTTTGGGTTTTACTTATGATATCCCTCCTGATAGATATTGGTCGTGCTAAGACTGCAGTGGTCTTGTCTGTACTAGCCATTGCTTCGTTTCATGAAGAAAAGGCGAGCGGCGAAAGTGGTACTTCACCAGCAAGTCAAGCCGACACGCAGTCACTGAGCGACATGCTCTTCACTGAGGCGTCTCGACTTACACAAGCCGAGACTGGTATTCCAAAGCTGGAGTCAGCTCAATGCAGGCTTATACAGGTCCTGTACCTTCTCATGTCATGTCGCTTCAACCAAGCGTGGTATACGTTTGGCCATGCCCTACAGATTATTTCAGCGTTGGGTTTACATCGGCGAGACGACCGCAAACGTCAACCAAACTCCACCAAACGCGATTACATAGGTGAACAGTGTAGAAAGCGCACATTTTGGGTGGCTTATACATTGGACAAATATCTCGGTGTCATATTCGGGCGACCCCGCCACTACCACGACGAAGACATCGACCAAGATTTCCCCGACGCTGTCAATGACGAAGACATGACCAGCACTGGCCCCAACACTACAAACACAGACGACTGTCACATAGAATCGCTCGTGTATCATGCGCGGCTAGCACAAATCGCCGAAAAGATTTCTCGGGAGGTCTATTCGATCAAACCGGTACGTTGGTATACCCCTCCCTCCAGGTCAATCTACTAAGCAATCCATTTTCAGGTGCCTGATCAGGTCCGACTTGCAGCCTCTCATCGCCTTGGAGCGGAGTTACGCCAGTGGAAAGCATCGCTACCACCCTTCCTTGGCGCCGTCAACCCTAGCAGTCTCATTCCTACGTTCCGACGACAGGCAACCGCACTCAGACTGTCTTACTGTCATGCTGTGATTTTAGCCCATCGCCCGTTTCTCCTCAAGAATGCCAGGCGTAGCAATGTAGAGATGACTAGTCTTGCCCAAGACAGTCTCACAGAGTGCATTGCAGCGGCAAGATCAGTGTTGGAAGCAGTTGATCGTATGGCGCGAGAGGGCCGGTTGTTCCATGCGTTTTGGTGGACTCACTACGTCTGTTTCTGTGCTTTGGTTGTGGTCTATGTGTGGGCTATTCAACAGAGTACTCACAACACAGCCTCAGCTGAGGATCCTCGCGGTATTCTAGATCAAGCCGAGAGCTGTTTACAACATCTCGCCCAGGCAACAGCGTCGAACTCCCCCTCCCGACGATACAGCATCATCTTGCAGGAACTCCGCACAGAAGCAAAGAGAAAAACAGCAATACCACACCGGGAGCAAGTACTAGCATCATCAGCTACGGCCAATGGCGGAGTCCCACCGCCTTTGGATGGAGATGTAATACAGGAACCGGATCTGCAAAACTGGCAGCCACTCTTTGGTAGCCCAATGGATATGACGACACCAGGGTTGCAGAACTTTCTCGATGACTGGCAGACGACCGACTGGCTTGACCTCGATGCCTCTGCTTTTTGCCCTTTTCCCGAAGTAGACGATATATCGGCCTGGATGAACAATGCATCATGATAGCTTTTGTATTCCTGGAGGTCACGGACGCGAGACGGAAAATTCACATCGGCGTATACAATACACCTAAGGCCATCATAGTGGTCAAGCAGAAGATGTGTATACCTTCAGGGTACATTTTAATATTGAGTTGACCCCAGAGTACCCGTGGTCACTGAGCTCGCGACAAAGCTCCTTCCCGACAAAGAACTCGATTCTAAGACTTCCGTCGATATGAAACGTTGGCAACTAAAGCCATTACGCTCGCTTTACAGAGTGTACCGGAATAACGGCGACTTGTCGCCCATGTTCAAGAGCTCCTCATCCGTGTACTTCGCCCGAATCTCGTCTTCGCTAAGCCTCGCCTTCTTCGTATTGCCCCACTTGTATGAGAGCTCCAGGAGAAATGCGACAATAAAGCCGGTCGCGCCGAACGCGAGTGACAGTCCGAAGCCAGTGTAGTACTTGGGCTTCTCGCTCTCCAGGTACATGTAACTGCCGATGACGCCACCGATGTTACCGACGCAGATGTTGAAGGCAACGCCGATAGCACGACGAGATGATGGAGCAAGGTTGTTGGCTGCCCAACTGCTTCCGGCCGGCTGAATGGGGTAGATGCCCATACACGTCAGGATGATAGCAAAGAATGCTGGGCCGATGTTGCCACCTAGATCGCCATCGAATGAGATGACTACGGCGTACCCGATGAAGATGAAGGAGAGAGGGATGGCAACGAACGGCAAACGCCAGTAAAACCTGTCCGAGAGCTTCGCAAAGAAGATGGAGCTCAAAGCACCAGCCACGTACGGTGGGACCGTCATCAGCTGGGCGTTAGTGTTGTTGAAACCCATACTCTTTGTGATGGTAGGCAAGGTGAACTTTGTCCCTGAATACAGTTAGCTAGTGTCTGTTACTGTTGCGAGTCACACATACCGTATGAGCATGCCGATATGCAAAGCAGGATGTATGCTTGCATGTGCAGGCGCCAGTTGCATAGCACGGCTTTCAAGTCGCTCCACTTGAAGCCCTCTTTTTGCTCCTCTCCGAATCTTCCACCGTCTTTAATGAATCGTTGGAGTTCGAGGAAGCGGATTTCGTCAGGTTTCAACCATCGTCCGCTCAACGCAGGAGAATCGATCAAGAGGAAGAAGCACGAGATACCGAGGGCGACGGTGACGATGCCCTCCAAAATGAATATCCATCTCCAGCCTTCGTAGCCACCAACACCATCCATCTTGGCGATGGCCGCAGCAAGCAGACCACTGAACGCCCCAGATAATGCCGATGCACAGTAGAAGTAAGAGATCCGTGTCGCGAGGTCCTTTGGCATGTACCAGTAAGAGCAGAGATAAATCGCGCCTGGGAAGAATCCAGCTCTGTATTTCGTTAGCGCAGAAACGTTGCGCTGTGGCGCAAACTTACTCGAACACCCCGAGCAGAATTCTGGTAATCAGTAAGCCGACGAAGCCTTTTACCACGCCCATCATGGTCATGATAATACCCCAGCAGACGATGAGTATGCCGAGGTAGTAGGATGGACGCTTGAACTTCTTCAAGAGAATGTTCGATGGGACTTCTAGAAGAATGTACGGCACGAAGAACACCGATAAGACGATGTTCCATTGCACCCCGTCAAGACCCAGATCTGTGACCATGCCCTCAATCTTCGCATTTCCGATGTTCGCTCGATCGATGTGGGAGATGAGATAAAGGACTGCAAGCATCGGAACCAAGCGGATGTCGACCTGCAAATGATTAGCGGGTGACATGGCGTACAGTAGGGCCAGTTGCTTACCTTGTGAATCACTCTTTTTCTCTTCTCTTGCGTGTAGTTGATGTAAAATTCCGCATCTTCAGGTGCCAGACCCAGCACTTGGAAGTTGTCGATCTTGACGATCTGATGCGGCTTGGGCGAATCGATTGAGTCTGCTTTTTCATCGATGTATTGGATTTCGTGCTTGTCCATTGACGGAGACATTGCGATGAATGGCAAAGAGGAACGAAGTATACCAGGTTGACGCGAAACCCGGGATGCTATGATAGCCAGCCATGTCGGATGCCAGAAGCTTTATACGCATGACACTGGTCACGGCACACCATGTTGATGGCGGTTGGATTGCGGAGAAACATGTGGCACCCCGGTTTTTCGGTTTCCTGGAGAAAGCTAGTTGCGGGGAAAGTAGTTCTTGCACCAAGCCCGATCACGATAATCCTTTCATTAGCTCGCTCGCGGATAGTTTTCCGAGAATCCGGCCAAATCAAAAGCGTTTCCGCCCCTCGGATGTATGCAGGTATGCAAGTCTCCACATCACCCCAACGTTATGGTCGAAGCCGGGGAACGCAGCTACACAGGAAGAACCGACAGATACTAATTCGATAACTACCATCGGTCTTGACCTCTGCAATCACAGCCTCTTTTTCATATCTCTTCGAGCAAGTCTTTGTTACAAGCCACAATCATTATGGCACCAGCGCAGATAGCCATCCCTGCGCCACTGCAGCCGTCAACACCACCATCCACATTCAAACATGCGCGAGACGACCTCCTTCAACCCGAAGAATCCTCGATACAAACAGTCGATGCGCTCGTTAGGCATCGCGCGCGTCGTGATCCCCATGTTACCATCGTATCGTATCCAAGCTCTGGGGTTGATTTCGTAGATTATACTATGCAGCAGCTGGACGTCTTCGCCTACAGAGTAGCTCGACACTATCAAACTTTCATCCCTATGAGATCGAGCTCTGCTGAGATGCCAACCACGGTAGCCGTTCTTGGACCAAGTAATATGGACTACATTGTCTCGATGCTTGCGCTTACCAAACTCGGCCATACGGTACTTTTCCTTTCAACGCGCATATCTCAAGCAGCTATCGACTCTCTCATCACCACCACCGGAGCCACCTATCTGCTGGCGGATTCACGATATGCGCAGTCTGCAATCGACGCTCAGGGAGCCATTCCAGGGTTGCAGATCGGCGAAATTGCCAGGCCCAACACTTACAACTTTCCTGTCGAAGTCCATGCAGACACCCGCCTTGACTACCAGCTCGATCACACAGTCGAAGCTTCGAACAACATCTACATAATACACTCCAGTGGTATGTTCTATCTATTCGTCTGTTGTTGTTTGAGCTAACGTGAGGAAAGGCTCTACCGGACTGCCGAAGCCAATATACCAGCCACAAAGAAGTGCAATCGCAAATTATGCCATTAGTATGGACATGAAAGCATTCATTACACTTCCCTTGTATCACAACCACGGTATCTGCAACTTCTTCCGCGCGATATACAGCGGCAAATCCATCCATATCTACAACGCCGACCTGCCCCTGACTCAATCTTATTTGGCTACGATATTGAGGCAGCATAGATTTGAGATCTTCTATGGCGTGCCTTATGCACTCAAGCTTCTCTCTGAAACAGACGAAGGGATCGAGCTATTGAAGCAACTCAAGATCGTCATGTACGGAGGGAGTGCCTGCCCAGACGCGCTGGGCGACTTATTGGTGAACAGCGGCGTCAATCTCGTCGGCCACTATGGGGCGTAAGTTTTATGTGATCACTTACGGCAAAGCCAAGCTTACGATAAGCAGTACTGAAGTCGGCCAACTCATGACATCCTTTAGACCTGCCGACGACAAAGTATGGAACTACGTTCGCGAGTCACCGAAACTATCGCCGTATCTTCGATGGGTATCACGCGGACCCAATCTATACGAATGCACGGTCCTGCCGGGTTGGCCAGCGAAGGTGGCCTCGAACCTACCAGATGGCAGTTACGCCACGAAAGATCTATTCGAACCGCACCCTACAATCAAGAAGGCGTGGAAATACATTGCGCGTCTCGACGATACAATCGTATTGGTGAATGGCGAAAAGTTCAATCCAGTCATGATGGAAGGAACGATCCGGTCCCATCGAGCTGTAACTGAGACAGTCGTCTTCGGTTCAGGTCGACCATATCTTGGTGTTCTTGTGGTCCCAGCAATCGAGGGAATGTCGAGATCGAAAGTCGTAGATGAGATCTGGCCCGTTATTGAGGCTGCGAATCAAACGGCCGAAGCGTACGCAAGGATTTCCAGGGACATGGTTCAGATCCTACCGTATGGCTGTCAATTTCCGCGTACCGACAAAGGCAGCGTGATAAGACAACAATTTTACAAGCAATATGCCAATGAGATCGACAACGCATATGATGCCGCCGCATCGGCTCAAGCAGATCTCAAAACATTAACTGTTCCGGAACTCGAGGATTTCTTACGTACCACCCTAGCCAAACACCTGACCCAGGCAGGCGAAGTCGGACGTACCACGGATTTCTTCTCGCTAGGTCTGGACTCATTGCAATCGATCCAATTCCGGATGGATATTCTCAAGAACATCAATATCGGTGGCAAGAAGCTTGGCCAGAATGTGGTATTTGACCACCCTTCCATTGCATCTCTCGCCGCACATGTTCACAGTCTTCGCACCGGGCAAGAGGAACAAGTTGTATCGGTCGCATCACAAATGCAAGGCCTTATCGCTCAATATAGCAACTTCGACTCCATTGCTAGACGTCAAGCTGCGCTTACTGGCGCGACCGGTTCGCTTGGTGCTCATGTTCTCGTACAACTACTCCACCGCCCAGATATCGATACAGTTTACTGTCTCGTACGTGCCAAAGACTACAAGACCGCAGCTCGCCGTGTTCGAGAGTCACTCATACAGCGAAAGTTGTACCACTCTCTGTCGCTCTCCAGACGCAGGAAAATACAAGCTATACCTTCTGACTTATCCAAACCCTATCTCGGCTTAGACGATACGAATTATGCGCGTGTTGCCTCAGGTCTTACCAGTGTCATTCACTGCGCATGGAGCGTCAACTTTAACAAGAACTTGTTGTCATTTGAGAAAGACTGTATTGCCGGCGTGCGTCACTTAATCGATCTCTGTCTGGCTTCATCATCAACCAAGCCTGCATCTTTCGACTTCTGTTCTTCGGTCAGCACCGTCGCACGATGCCCCAGTATGCACACGCCTGAGCAAGTAGCCGAGCTTGACTGGGCTCAGGGCATGGGATACGCCCAGAGCAAATGTATTGCCGAACACTTGTGCTTGGCTGCAGCGAAGAAGACTGGTGTCAAAACGCGAGTCCTGCGTGTGGGTCAGATCGTCGCGGACACTGTTCATGGCGTGTGGAACGCAATTGAGGCAATACCTCTCATGATGCAGTCTGCCCTTACTGTCGGTGCGCTACCTCGACTGCAAGAATTCCCAAGCTGGACACCAGTCGATGTTATTGCGAAAGCCGTGACAGAGATCTCGCTCAGCGACGCTGGATCTGTAGTGGCGAACGTCACCAACGCTAAGACTTTCTCCTGGACCGACGATCTACTTCCCGCCCTTCGAGAAGCAGGCCTCCAGTTTGATGAAGTGGAGCCCAAGGAATGGGTGCGCAGGCTCCGCGAGTCTAATCAGGATGCTGTAGCAAACCCACCCATCAAGCTCGCTGACTTCTTTGCATCCAAGTACGACAAGGATGTCTTCGGTCCTTCGCGTACATACGATACAACAGTCGCCCGGTCTTTCTCGCCTTCTCTTGACACAGCGCCTATACTGGATGCAGCATTTGTGAGGACGTTCGTCAGACAATTCCAGAACGCCGCTTGGCAGATACGTACTACTCCAGTCGCGAAGCCGATGAAACGCGTTGTCGTTGTAGTTGCCGGGCCTTGTGGTAGCGGGAAAAGCACTGTCGTACGACACCTCAGCGATCACTTCAAAGCACCCTATATTGAGGGCGATGAACTACACACCGAAGAAGCCATTGTATCAATGGCTGCCGGTACACCCCTCAATGACGTCGCTCGCGCCCCTTGGCTCGCGCGCGTCAGACAGCGAACGCTCGATACAGTGACCAAGGAAAGTCACGCGCGCGTATTTGTCTCCTGTTCAGCTCTGAAGAAATCGTACAGGGACCAGTTTCGGGTTTTGATGAATGAACAGATACATGTTGTGTTTGTGGACTTGCAAGCAGAGCCGGAAGAGCTTATGCGTCGAACGAAGGAAAGAGGTGGTCATTACATGAAGGAGAATATGGTGGAGAGCCAAATGGCCATTTGGGAGATGGCTGATGTATCAGAGACGGATGTGATACCTGTAGATGCTGGACAATGCGTCGAGGGAGTCGTAGAGGAGATCTCCGGGTTGTTGGAGGCGCTCGATGTCGTGTAGAGCGCACGCTTCGGTGGCGGCATCATCTTTCAGCCTATATGATACTAAGATGTGATGTGAAATTTCTTATCATATGCATGATAGTTACTTAACATAGAGGCTACATGTGGACATGCGGTAATATGAGAAAAGAAATTGATTGTATATTTGGTTGTTCGCATATTGCCAGCCTGTAGACTTTACCACGGCTAAGCTAATGGAGGGTGACCATCGAGCGAGCGACTCCAACGATGAATACAAAGTCATCTAGAGATGGAGGAAGCAATGATCTCATTGGTTTGAAGACGCAAGCCAAGGTGATGAAAGCCGTCCAAAAGTAGACCCGTGCGAGCTCTACCACTGCTGCGCCTTCTACCCCTGAAAGCGAAAGTTCGCAGCGACTCTTTCACAGAACGCATAACCTCAACGTGGAAAATACGAACAAAAGTATGACTGGGCGCGGCAAAAATGACCGGGGATCTCTACGAAACAGTCGAGACCGTCCTAACTTTGTCCAAGATCCACGGCGTACGGAACCTCAATATCCTACGATACCGGATGACAGCCGCCCACATCCCCTTTCAGAACCACCTTCCAGTAGTCCTCAAATCACATTAGGACCATCGTATGCTGGGCATGGGCAAGCTCCTCAGCCCGGTGACTACGGTGCAACGCCTTTCCCTACAACACAGCCATATACGCAAGATTCCAGAGCCTTCTTCCACCCGCAGCCAAGTTCAGCAGGTCAATTCGAAGATGAAGTCAGGTCTCGAAAGCCGAATCGACCCGAGAGCATGTCGAAGTCGCCAGGTCTGGTGCCGACTACCATCGAATCATGTCAAGGGTCAAGTATGTGGTAAGTAACATTCAGAGAGCATTTACTCGGAAGACATAATAAAGACGCAGTAGTCCAATGTCAGGTATATCGACAGAAGAGACGCCAGAGCCTCGATTCGAGTTCTCTAGTACATTTGCTTCTAGTCAGTTTACCACGTTGGAAGAAGAATACGCGGCCCTATATCACCAGCGTCATGAGATTGGTATGCGCATGGAGGAGATAAAGAGATCTTTCACTGTGGAGCAGTACGCTGCTTTGATGGCAAGGCTGGATCCCCAGGAACTTCCGACGCTCAAGCCATGGTCTGACACAAATGACGGTTGAGCAAACGGTGCAGAACTCGGGTGGAACGACCTACAAGGTCATTTTCACAGCAGCCGTTGATGAGATTAGTTTCCCAAAGATTCTACAGTCTACATCGTACTCATTCTGTATTAATACGAACAAATGCTGCTCTCGATATCTAGGGAGCGCCCGTCTCTGCGCATGTGTACTTGAGATATTTCACTAATCGTTGAACACGTCCGGAAATTGACCGTAGCGCTCTAGATGAGATGTTCAAGCTCTTATATCGCTGCTTCGATTGATACTTTGATGACGTGCCCTGATTGCGGCGAGGATAAAAGTCGTCCCTGAGACCCCTTATCGCTACAAGCGAGATGGTCCAAGCTCAATCCCGCGGCGGCGTGGTGAGTGGAGCTCCGAGCATCAACACGCCGAAGCCAGCCAATTCCCTGCCGACGACCGCTGTCCCCTTCTACGTCGCTGCCATGCTCTCTGGAATTCTCATCTTCAATCAAAAGGGTGAGAACCTCATCTTTCGCGCCTTTCGCAACGACTGCCGCCCGCGACTTGCCGATGTCTTCCGCATTCAAGTCATCTCCAACGCCCAAGTACGCTCGCCCATTCTCACCCTTGGCTCCACCACCTTTAGCCATGTCAAACACGAGAACATATACCTGGTCGCCGTGACCAAGAGCAATGCCAATGCGGCGCTCGTCTTTGAATTCCTGTATCGTTTGGTGGGATTGGGAAAGGCTTACTTCGGCAAGTTCGACGAGGAGGCCGTAAAGAACAACTTCGTACTGGTTTATGAGCTGCTGGACGAGATTCTTGACTTTGGATACCCACAGAATACCGAAACAGACACTTTGAAGATGTACATCACTACTGAAGGTGTCAAGTCGGAAAGGGCAATGGTAGGTCACGTCGAGCGCGTTGAGAGCAACAACAGCTGACAGTATTACAGGAGGACTCCTCGAAGATCACAATGCAGGCAACCGGCGCCCTTTCCTGGCGGCGGGCCGATATCAAGTACCGCAAGAACGAAGCTTTCGTCGATGTCATCGAGGACGTCAACCTCCTCATGTCCGCGACAGGAACAGTACTGCGAGCCGACGTGAACGGACAAATCATAATGCGCGCATATCTCTCGGGCACGCCCGAGTGCAAGTTCGGCCTCAATGACCGACTAACGCTGGGCGAAGATCATCTACAACAACCGTCTGGAAACAAGGCAGGCGCGAAGGCTACAAGGGCGGCAGCGGGAAGTGTGACGTTGGAAGACTGTCAATTCCACCAATGCGTGAAGCTGGGCAAGTTCGATGCGGACAGGATAATATCCTTTGTTCCGCCCGACGGCGAGTTCGAGCTGATGCGCTACCGAGCGACTGAGAACGTCAACCTGCCTTTCAAGGTGCACGCCATTGTCAACGAGGTTGGCAAGACCAAGGTCGAATACAGCATCGCCATTCGCGCCAACTATGGCTCCAAGCTTTTCGCAACAAATGTTGTGGTGCGGATACCAACACCCCTCAACACGGCGCGCATCACCGAGCGGACATCACAAGGCAAAGCCAAGTACGAACCGGAACACAACAATATCGTCTGGAAGATACCGAGATTCACTGGGCAAAGCGAATTTGTGCTGAGTGCCGAGGCCAGTCTAACCAGCATGACCAACCAGAAGGCGTGGTCCCGACCACCGCTCAATCTGAGCTTCTCATTATTGATGTTCACCAGCTCGGGGCTACTTGTGCGATACTTGAAGGTGTTCGAAAAGAGTAACTACAGCAGTGTCAAGTGGGTGCGCTACATGACGAGAGCGGGTAATTATGAGATAAGGTATGTTTCTCCCACTCCAGAACTCGACCACACCAATCTCACGCATGTCTTCCAGGTTTTGAGCATTATTATTCTGTACATTAGCCTGGATTTACACAGGTATTATTGCATTGCAGGCGTCATCAAGCCACTAAAGATATCCTTGAGCACAATGAAAGTACAACATCGGCTTTTCCAGCATGGTTCCATCTGTGACCGGAAGTTCAGGCTGATCGTTCAAAGGACTAGCCACGGTCCTTTAAGTTCATATGACCATTCTACCGTCTTCACCTCCGGCATCACGCACGCGAAAGTCTATGTCAGAGTACAACATCTTGACAACATACATACATACATACATACATACATACATACATATAATAGCTATGCTCGTTCAGTATGGAGCCGACGTACATGCTACTTGGGCTTGGCTTGGTTTGGCTATGCTTGTGACAAGAGCACTGGGAATGTTGATGGTGTCATACCTTCGTTCACAAGTTCCGGAACTGGTTATACACAGGAGAAAACAGATGTTGTGACCGTATCTTTCCAACTCCGCGCCGCCGCAGTAGTATACCATATACTGACAGGAGTTGGGACAGAGCATGCGAAGGCACCTGCACCAGAGTGGTTACCATCAGTACCTGATCATGAGCAGGTTCTCAAGTTTCTAAGTACGCACACTACGGACGATTTCAAACTCCCTTGAGGCGTGATGTAATATTTCGCAGGGCATTTCGCAAGGCAGGCGTCAAGTTTGATTACTGATAATATATGGGTACCGTATCACCTCAGAACTCGATCTACCTTCTCATTATCCGTGTAAATTTCAAAAGCTTTGATGACGCAGCACGTGTTGTAGCAGATGCAGTACGGTACAAAGTGACTGCCGAGCCTCAAGTCAATATGCATGTACATACCATACGCTGTATAATAAGTATCAAAACACATCGTCTTCACAGCACCCTCGCCTACAAGCGCTAAGGAGTGGAGTCTGAAACCTTCGGTTCTAAGGTTTTGCCGCGTCGATATGGGGCTGCAGCATGTGGACCGTAGAGCCCGGTGATAACAGAATCAATCGGGTAATGACTCACCAGCCCAACGATGTACGTGTTAGTGCACGAATAGACAGACATGGCAGTCATTACAGCTCTGTTATACCGTTGGCAGCTGCTTCCATTGCTTTAAGAATGGTTTCAGGGTTACGCTGACAAGTTTCTTTCATGGCCTGCCTAACTTCAATACAGCACGCCCTTTGTACTCCTAACCTCACCCTCCCACTGCTTCACCACGGTCGTCGCGTGCCTGATAGCGACCGCAAGCGCCTTGAAGGCACTCTCTGCCCTGTGGTGATCGTTGTCACCGCGTATGCAGTCAACATGGAGGGTCGTGCCCGACGCCTGCGCAAAGCTTTGTAGACAATGCGGGATCATCTCGCAGCTCAAATCTCCGATCTTCTCCCGCTTAAGACCCAGTTCGATGATGCTATATGGCCTGTTCGACAGGTCGATAACAGCCCGTGACAGTGCCTCGTCGAGCGGTGCGTATGCGTGTCCGAAGCGGGCCAGACCCGTGCTTCCCTGCAGCGCATTCTTGAAGGCGGTGCCTAACGCCAAGAAGGTGTCTTCGCTCGTGTGGTGGTCGTCAATGTGCAGGTCGCCCTTGCACCGTATGCGCAGACTCCAGCCGGCATGCTTGGCCATGGCGTGGATCATGTGGTCAAGGAAGCCGATGCCGGTGTCGACGGAGATCTCCTGGGACGTCGACTTCTGGGTAGCGTGGTCCTTGTCTACCTTTTCGCCATCGCCATTGAGACTCTTCTTGTCGTAGGCCGCCCAGAAGTCGCTGTGCTCGTAGGGTGAGAGGTCGCCGCCATCGATGTTTATCGAGACCTGGATCTTCGTCTCGTTTGTATCGCGGTTGAGGCAACATGCGCGCGGCATTGTGGCGATCGTGTGCGTAAGATTGATTTTGGCTGGCTTCGGGGGTGTTCGTAGCTTGTGGAACGGTCAATGATGGATGGTAAAGTCGAAGGACAAAAAGTTGAAGCGGATGCAGAGGGGCTTCCCCACGCCCCACGTCATGGCGCCAAGCAATATAGGGCTGGAAAAGTCTGGCCAACCAACGAATCGCCGAACCAAAGTCCGCCCCAAAATTTTGATATCGCAAAGTCACGTCTCGAACACAGGATCGACATTCAGACGCAGTCATATAAACGCGTTATCTCTCAACCGACCTCGGCTAGTCATTAAGAGCAAGGAACAAGATCAAAATGCCAGGCGCAACAAAAGAACCCACGCAGGTCCCAATCTTGGATCCTACCTCCGAGAACAACGAGGAGATTGATCCGGCGATCGATCGCGACAGGATCAGAGTCGTACGTACGATCTGAATGATATGGAAAAACGCGTATCTAATTTGTCATAGCTGTCCGGCGCGACGGAGACGGCAGCATCTTTCCAGTTTGATGGCGAGGACCACACGCTAGGCAACGCGCTGAGATACATCATCCACAAGAAGTAAGCCAACCCTTTCAGCGCATAGACGGAGAAACAGCTAATGGTTCCATAGCCCTGATGTCGAGTTCTGTGGTTACTCCATTCCGCATCCCTCAGAAGCCAAGATGAACTTGCGCATCCAGACATACGGTAGGCCATACATGCGAAGCTAAATTTATCTCGCAACTAACACTTCACTAGATGGTGTCAGCGTATACACCGTGCTGGAGAAGGGTCTTGAAGATCTCATGGCCATGTGTGATGTCGTCGAGCAGAAGTTCACAATTGCACGAGATGACTTTGTGAACAAGATGGAAGAGTAGGATCGTAACGCGCCTATGCTTACGAAGTATTGCATTGCTGGCGTTCAAGGATAGCATAGTTAATTGGCGAAAGGAAAGGAAAGGAAAATGGTATTGTCTTCAGCTATATACACCGAATGTTGTTCTTGCTTGTCCCCAGACTTTGGTAGCGATGAACAAATCAGTTGCGACCCTATACGCGCGCATTAGCATATGAGTACTCGAGGGCATTGACGCAAAGAGTGAGCGTACCTCCAAGAAGCCGTTGATGAAGTTGCTTGGTAGCCGAGCCTTGGGATCCTCCTCCGCGCGGAAGTACTTGAGAACGTGTGACAATTGTTTCCAGAAGTTGAGTGTTTCCTGTACAATCATTAGCACATTTCCCACTATCAAAACGTGTTGGTCCATGGTGTACCTGGAACTCCTGATGACTGTTGAACAACAGCACATCTACTGTTTTGAGTTGATTCACGTATCGATGCCGCTCAAATTCCTGCCGCATTTTGGTCCGAAGCGTAGATACGGGCATGTTCAGCGAGTACATGGTCTGGATTTCGGGAGCCTGTAAAGTCATTGTCAGCCCAGGTTCCAGGTTCCAGGTCCTGCTGCCCGCTTCTCCGCATCCCGCGCTTTCCCTCCCTCGTTCCAGCTCCTTCCGTACACATCCTGTACCCAAGCCTCAAATTCATCCCAAATGATTGGAAACTCCGGGAGTCAACGTACCGACCGCAGCCAGTCCCGGTAGCTGTGAATGACCCTCTTCTTCGCATCGGTCCAGTTGACCGCTGTGTCCGCATTAGCCCTTCCGTTCCTCCAATGTTCAGTGACAATGTTCGACTAACAGGAGCGCGTGCGCTGAGCGAGGTAGGTGGGGTTGATGACCATGTTGGCGGTGTTGGGTAGCTTCCAGTCGTCTCGAAGCCGGAGCTGGAGTGACGATGCGGCTCGCGGGAGTGGAATGCCAAGACCTGACGTTAGCGCGGATTTTACTCCCAGCGCAGTCGCAAAGTTATCGAAGGCTTCTCTCTCAACCACGGATACCGACAACGTCTTTGCAATACACTCCGAGCTCGACCACATCTGTCGCCATAATCGATATTCTACCTCGCGCCAAATTCGCTCATCTCCGCCTGCTACAACCAGCCCAGCCATGCCTCCAGTCCGTACCGCACGCGCTTCGCGCAAGGCCCCGCCGGAGGGCTTCGATGACATCGAGGACACCCTCCTGGAATTCCAGAACAAGATGAAGGATGCCGAGAATGCATCGCACGAGGGCAAGAAGAAGTACGAAATGACGTGGCCCATCTTCCAAATCACCCACCAACGCTCGCGCTACATCTACGACCTATACTACGAGAAGGAGGCCATCAGCAAGCAGCTGTACGACTATTTGCTTAAGAACGGCTATGCGGATGCCATGTTGATTGCCAAGTGGAAGAAACAAGGCTATGAGAAGGTAAGTCCATCCTTCACAGCCAACTTCCCAGCTCGAATCGGACTAACTCGTGAGTAGCTTTGCTGCACGCGCTGCATACAAACCAAGGAGACAAACTTCCGCTCGACCTGCATCTGCCGTGTTCCCAGGGATCAGCTCAAGGAGAACCAGGAAATTCAATGTGTAAACTGCGGCTGCAGAGGATGCGCCTCCAGCGACTGAGCAGTATGACAAGGAGATACTGCAAAGACAGACCCGTACTCTGATTAATAGCGATGGACGCTATCTTTACTCTACGGATATTGCCAGGAGGGTGCAAAGACGCGCAATCAAGCGCGCACGACAGAACCGGGCCTTGGCAGCAGGTAGACTGCTACGAGATACTGAAGTTGGCTGCTCATACCGAATGGACCGCCAAGATGAGTTTGAGAACACGGTCACAACAAAAGCATAGGGTGTGTCTATTGACCAGAACATAATAATCCAAATGTTAACTTGTATACAGAGAAAAGTGAGTGTATGATGGTGTCCCCAACCTGGACGCCTGCAACCTGTGGGTATACTTGAACCATTACGCAAGTCGTCCACTCGTAAGGGAAGACCCAGTCTATATTTGATATCCGCCTGCCTGCAACCCATTAACCAAAACGCCTCTCCGGCAACTCAGAGTACCGAGCTTGCGTTGCTCATCCGCTTGTAATTGGAATTGGTACTACGTTGTGACGATCTTCGGCTCATATCCCGACCAAATCGAGATTCCGGCAGAGAATCCAGAATGCCCTGTCGCCGAACCCAAGCTGTCGGTGGTGGAGAGGGCCATAGTTCTGATATTTCAGATCCCAAACTCCTCCTGGCCAATTCGCTGTGTGTTAGTCGGAATGGGCTAGCCCCATCAATTGGCGAATCTCGACCGGAGCGACCCTTCTCCGATATGCTGCGTGAGGGTGTCTTCGGTGTCGCACCATCATCCTCTTGGTCTTGATTCACCATTCGAATGTACTCTCTGCTTTGACCGAGAACCTGGGCTTCTCTATGCCGACCGTCAGACACATGAGTGGTGAATGCGGACATGTTGAAAATCTTGCTTCCTCTCCGGGTGCTGTCTAATGACGGCAAACGTATCATGTAGTCTTTTTCTGGGACTGGAGGGGGTGTTGCGAGAGCTTGCTTAGCTTTCCGCGCTTTTCGTCTGCGCCACCAGAATCCAGTGAAGATACATATCGCACAGAAGACGATCATGACGGGTATCATTCCAAGGCCAATCTTTGTCCCGAGAGTCATTCCTGGTCCTCCTCGTGCTATTGAGTGTGCAGACGGTGTTTCTTGTTTCATGGCTGATGGGACCGCTGGCGGCGGCGGTGGTGGTGGTGGTGTCGACGAGTCTACGACGAGTGCTCTTGGTAACGATGCCGGCTGCGCTGAAGGGCGCGTGGGTCTTGTGCCTAGATCGTTGGGTTCGAGATTTGACATTATTGGTGTTGCTGTATTTGCGCGTGCCCATACATGGGGTATAGCAATGATAGGACTCATGCTGGGTGGCGACGTGTGTTGGTTAAAACGAAGTAAAGAAATTTGTCTAGGTATGGTAAAGAACGACGGTAGAAGAAATGGCCATGCTATGTCCAATATCTTTTTTAGTGAGTGAATTAGGGATGTCGACGAGGCGTCTGTATCATCGCATATCGAACGAAGACCTGAAACCAAGCAGATAGAGGTGTCTTTGTAGAGTACAACGGAAGCACGGTTAAGCATCGCCTACCGTGCTTTCGAAGACAATCACCACACTGACCACTGGATGACTATTGATTTGCGCGTTCCGCTTGATCCCCCGGCGGTCTATGATGAGACGCAAATTATCCCGACCATAGTTGTACGGCACTGGATTCGCAAGTGACTGCTGTATGCTGAAGCCAACGACTGCTGCGTCGCTCTTCACTATGCCGGTGGATACACAAGAGGGGTTCACACCTGCATTCTACAGCCCTTGGTACAGGAAGTGCTGCTCCATGCTTACGATAACACTTGCATCCGCATGAACATGACAAGTCTTTCTTTTGCGCGCATAGATTATCGTGAAGTACCGACTTCGCTCAGCACATGCGAACTTCCAAACTCAAACGAACAAATGTCATCATATCGCTCATCTCTCATCTGCTCAAACAATCACGAAGATGAGATCAACACGACTAACACGCTGGTTGATATCAAATTGCCACACACTCGAAGAAGTCGGAGGGTCTAGTATTTCAACACCGATGGTTGGGATGTCCGAGTGGCTAGCGCGATGCACTTGCGCTGTTTGTAGTGTCTCCTTGTTCGCCCTTCTATTCTTCCTCTCACAAAGCTACTGAACATGGCTTGCCGAACGCCATATGCACTCGACAATCTTTTGGTCGTGGTTCTTGCATCCGAACAGCCGCAGAACATCTCCTCATGGTGGTTTTCGCTGGATGAAACACAACACAGAGATGATGCCCGAGCTTTCCCCTCGTTTCTCGCCGCACGTGCATGTGTGAAGACAAAGAGCTGACATGTGCGCGCCTGCACTGCGGGGAAAACGCGTCTGCTATGGGAATACACGGCCCATGTGGCTATCATCCGCTTCCGAACCCAACCTTGGAAGCTATACAATAGCGGGATGTTGATCTAGCAGGCCACGCATTGCCACTCTTCCTCTCTTGAGCTTCCTTTGTAGTACTCGCGTCTTTGACTGTTCTCTTTCATATCGCACAGAAAGAAATGTTCCAGAAGTCATGGAAAAGTGCTGGCCATTGAAGGCACAGTGAGGAATGCCATAAGCAAGCATACTTTCGATTAGATCTAGACGCGAGGAGTACCCCACAGCTGAGATGTCAGAAGAAGGGATGGTGGCACTGTCGTAGAAAATCAGCTTCCACGAGGATGTGTTATCGATGAAGATCAGAAGCAATGGATCTGATGTGCACCAACGGTCGTTCAGGTTGCGTGCCATCCTGGAAATCACTCTAAGATTTGTCTCATTGAACCCTTAGGAAAGCTATCTACCGAGAGAAAAGCCGGCAAAGTCAAATACCATGACTGCTTACCGCAATCCCATCCTCCAGATCACCCCCACGGACTTGTAGTATGAGCCACAGGCAAGGCTGCTAGGGCAGACTATCTTGAGACGTGATGACCAGCTGGGACAGACATATGCTGTTTCAACAGAACGTGTCAAATGGTCGATTCCATGTCCAAGATCGCCTCGGCGGTGACGCAATGTTGGCGAAACAGCCGCTTTCTGGCCAAGACATCACTTGTGATGTGAGCAGCTATTTTGGAAAGGTCAAACATAGCAGAACCTTGTCGCGATGTAGTTTACGCTACTTTTCACAGACCGAGACGCACGAGGGACTGCTCACATATTAGGTTCTTAGCAAGCGATGCCTTGCCAACGCTGATGACTACAGCCTGTAATGAGTCGGTTGCACTGGGGCTCTCCCCATTCGTCATCCATAATCTGAAGGGAGCAAGGCTGACGCAACAAGACCGAAGCCGAGAGTGAGGCCAAGATGCCATGTCAAACAACTGGGGTCCGCTTGTTTCACAAGGCGCGTTCCAAGACAACCAACATTGGTATCGAACAATGAATGTACCGCCCGAGCGCATGGGTGGCATATAACAAGTACAAGGCCTCGTAATCTAGATACTTCATACTCGTCAAATCGAAAAATTTACAATCATGATGTCCTTTACTTCTGAGAAAACGCCGCTACTCCCTGTCGTCGAACGCACTCTTGACGCCTATGTCAGGAACATGGAACAGCGCCGTCGCGAAGGCATCGAGTACGCATTGCTGGTATCGACACTGCTGTTGACAGTCTTCCAATTCCTGGTGCTTTACAGCGGCGATAGCCTCGTACCCGTAGCTTTGGACAGCCGCTACTACGCCCTCGTGGCCCAGCTCGCGCGCGGCCTGCGCATGTCGATTCCAGCCAGCCTGCCCACAGCAGCCATTTTCTTCATTGTTGCGCCTTACCTGGTGCAGAAGGAGCGTGTCGTGATGACGCGGTACGCGATCCTCGTGTGTTATTTGATGGGGTCGACGCTGGGCGCGTTGCTGCTCTAGATGCACAGGGGTCTTGACTCAACGAGGCTCGCGTGGGGATTGGCGGGCAGCGATAACGGCGGGAAAGCGCATCCTCCAACTTTTTGGGCAGCTTCCATCGCAAGACTCATTGGGCGCAGGACGTCAATTGAGTGAGTCAGACAAGACAAGGGATACAAGAAGATCATCAGGTATGTTTGGTCCCAGCATTGGGCTCCGTCAACCGTTGCTGCCGCGAGAGTTTCTGCGTCCTCGCGATCGTCGCAAACAACGACTCAAGTTTCAACATATCTAACATCGTCACACAGTGCAGTTGATTGCTCATTACGTATCCCAAAATGCCCCTCACACGGCCCAACCCGCGATTCCTCGCCCGCACAAACCGTATCTTCACCTCGCAAATACGAACATACGCTGCACCAGGCGACGGCGTGATCCCACCCGCGAAGAAGAAGTATGTTCCGACTTCAGGCACATACCCGCTCGGGTTCAAGGCTGGAAGTGCGCATGTTGGTGTCAAGGCGTCCAATACCCGCTTCGACGATCTCGCCCTTATCGCATCCGATACTCCATGCGCAGGAGCAGCCGTCTTCACAACGAACAAGTTCCAAGCCGCTCCAGTCACTGTCAGCAGGGACATGCTAAAGAAGAGGAAGGGCGAGGGCATCCGGGCTGTCGTAGTGAATTCAGGATGCGCCAACGCAGTGACGGGGCGTGGGGGCATTGAGGATGCTATATCCATGGGCCAAGAAACCGACAAGTGCTTCATACAAGACAACAACGGGCAGGACGACCTGAAAGGAAGCCGAAGCATTGTCATGAGTACCGGTGTCATCGGTCAGCGCCTGCCCATTGACAAGATTACCTCAAAAATACCCACTGCATACTACAATCTCGGAGACACGCACGAACACTGGCTAGGCACCGCACGTGCAATCTGTACAACTGACACGTTTCCCAAGCTCGTCTCAAAGACATTTTCGTTACCGAGCACTCAACAAGAATACCATATTGCGGGTATGACTAAGGGCGCAGGCATGATCCATCCCAACATGGCCACGCTTCTAGGCATAATCTGCACAGACGCCCCCGTCGCCCCTTACCTGCTCCGTCAAGCACTTGTCGCCGCCATTGGAAAGTCATTCAATAGCATTTCCATTGATGGTGACACATCCACCAACGACACAGTAGCTATCCTAGCCAACGGTGCCGCCGGTGGACAGCCCATTACCTCAGCCGATTCCAAAGACTTTGCCGCTTTCCAAAAAGTCCTCACGGACTTCTCGATTGACCTGGCGAAGCTGGTGGTCAGAGACGGAGAAGGTGCGACAAAATTCGTCACCATCAAGGTGACAAATGCCGCGTCGTACAAGGATGCTCACCGCGTAGCCTCCACCATCGCGCGTTCACCGCTCGTCAAGACAGCCTTGTACGGAAAGGACGCAAATTGGGGCCGTATCCTGTGCGCGACGGGCTACGCCGAAGGCGTTGATTCTGTTGTTCCCGAAGAGACGAGCGTAAGCTTTGTCCCCACGGACGGCAGTGAGGAGTTGAAGCTACTTGTCAAGGGTGAGCCTGAGCAAGTTGATGAGAACAGGGCAGCCAAGATTCTAGAGGCTGAAGATTTGGAGATCAAGGTTAGGCTGAGTGAAAAGGAAGGCGAGGAGGCTGTCTTCTGGACGTGTGATTTTAGTCACGAGTATGTCACTATCAACGGTGATTACCGGACATGAGGAAATGTAGATACAGAATCTTATTGAGCGATTCATCTATTTCTGCAGCCGGAGTATGTATGCATCGTGTTCCGTATGGTGGTTGCCCATGCTCAGGACTTCTGCGGATCACAATCCTGTGAACTTTTCTCTGTCCATACAAAAGCCAAGATCCCAAAAACTGCTACATACGACCACAGGCAAAGGATTACTCCGGATCCCGTCCGCTCTCCACACGATAAACCTTTAACCGGCGAATTAGTAGTCAGGTGGGTGACCACTGGCGAATAATCGCTGTTGTATGTTTTTTTGCACATGCTCAAGCCACTTGAGCAAACATGAGCTTACGCCTCTACCTTTTCCGGATCAACCCGTAGTGCGCGAGTCTAAAGGAGGTAAAATATGCGCGATAAAGCTTGAAAGAGTACATTCTGCGAAAGTTGCCCTATGCGTACATTCGGCTCCCCTCAAAGGAGATAGACATCCCAAGGTTCACGGCGAAGCACGTACGTATATGCGTACAGACCCGTGTGAGAGCGTAGACCAAGTTGCTATGCCACGTTACTTCTTTTTCGCAACTCTGATTACTCCAAAGTTGCCGTGGGACGCTACGGGTATGTACGTACGAATAAATGTACATACTACTCCTACATGGCTACCGTGCATGCACGCATGTCCGCCCCGCCTCGCTATGAACATTTAGTATTGTCTAACTCTGTCGATCGCTTAAGCGACTGTATACTGTTCCATGGAACGCTATCATGTTGACCTACCGAGACTGCCGGCATACATGCCCTAGGGTCTAGCTGCGTGGTCCGTTTGTGGGGTAAAGGACAGACTAGAGAGTTGCGTTGCATATGCAGGTGCACTGACGATCGTAAATAGTGTCCCGTGTTTTGGGTACATGAACGGTGGACCGAAGGGCCGAGGCTACGTTATCGCTGCTGCAAGGTGAGGAGAAATAACTTTCTTTTTGCCGGTTGGGGGGCTTTGTTGGGACGAATGGGCTTTCGTTGAGAGGGGGTTAGGAGAAGAGGAGATGGGAAAAGCAAAGGCCACGGAAGATTATTTTGACGGGAAGTTATGTTTGGAGGCAGACTGATAAGAAGTGTAAGGCATAACATCAGCTTATCTAAAGTGCATGTTTGTAATCAATAGTAAAGTAAGCAGCTCGTGAACTGGGGTGAAATCAGGCAGGCAAAGTGTTTAGAATCAAGTAACATGTTTAATTTGCTGAGCAAGAAATACTATGGAATCCGCTGCGTTCAGGCATGTTCTCGTTCTCGTCCATATCATAATTATGCCATGTAAAAATGACCATCTCTGTTTGAGTCAAGTAGCCGCCGCCTCAATAGATCATTACGCTTGCATCGCTCAAAGAAACAGGAACCCGGAACACCGTAGTAGGCACAGTGACAGGGGCAATATGTACGTCCGCGTGGCCTTGCAACGCCTCGCCCAATAATAAGTTATGTCGAATTAGACGTTAAGAGTAGGAGGGCCAGCCGTTGCTATCGTGGGTATCGTTGGTCGTTACATCGTGAGGCGGAGTTATCCAATGGATAATCCAAAGTAGGAGGAGTCGAAGTGATGATCTTGGGCACCGTGATATGGAAGGCCAGGAGGTAAGAGCTAAAAGACGTAGTCGCAAGATGAGGGGTATCGAGAATGGCGAACAAAGAGGTATCCAGATCCAGATGATGAGATCCGGGGGTGGCGTACAAAAGTAGGATTGAGCCAAAAGCCAGTCATGATGGCGGGGTTGTAGTTGATTTAGAATCGAGTAGTAGAACTACGAGCCAAGCTTGGTCTCGCAGACTTCTTCTGGGGCGATCCGTTGGGGGCGATGGCCAGGGTCCTTGCTCCAATCTTCTCAAAGCCTTGAAGCAGGTCAATACCTGGTTCAGACTCGTCACTGTGCAATAGATGGAAGATGTCCTCGTCATCCTGCTGTGGCTGTTGCGGCTTTGCAGGAACATGGAAGGACTGAGGAGGCGTAAGACCCGTGTGTGCGTTCTCTTTCTTAGGCTGGGTAAGAGCGAACTGGGACAGAGGGGTAGATGCAGTAGACTTCAGCACGGGGGCCTTAATGGGCGACATCTTCTTGGCAGGCGATAGGTCTGGGATATTGAGGAAAGACGATGACATCTTCCAGTTGGGAGTAGGTGAGTTGGCCATGTTCCCCTTCGCGCCAGTAATGTCGGCGAGAACACCGCTTGTGGTGACAGCACGTTCGAGGCGGGGGCGCTTGGTTGAACGCTTGAGGGGGCTCTCATTGTAGCCAAAATCTCCAAAGATGTCAAAGGTACTCTCGAAACCATGTCCGACGAGGTTGACGTTCTCTTCGTTGGGGATGGATACAGCTGGGCTCCAAGCTTTGTTGTCAAGGAAGGAAGTGTCAACCCACATAGCAAGGCTCTTGTCTGGTGAGCCGCCTACTAGTTCTCGCATCTTGTTACGGTGGTTACGTAGATTAGTGTTAGGTGATGCGGAAGCGGGTGGAAGAGCAGGCCGTTTGAAGACGATAGCAGGGGTAAGAGGGTCGAGAACCTTGGTACCCTGGCGGACCGGCGACGAGATGACAGACTGCTTGTGAGACCTAGTCTTGGTGGGAGAATCGTAAGAGGAGCCACGTATGCGGGCAATCTCTTCTTCAGCACGTCCACGCTTAAGACTGGGACGATCGAGATCCGCCTCGGAAGTGAGTAAAGGTCCCATTGGGTTACCCTTGGTTGCAGACGATTCGATGGACGAGTAGTAACCGCTGTCACCGAGACCGTTGAACTTGCGCCGGCATCCGCCCGAGCGGCTGTTGGGTGCGAAGTGTGGGGCGCGTGGCGGTGTGTCCTCACGCACTGAACGAGATCGAGAGACAGGTGGAGGAGGTGATGAGTGGATGTCGGCTGGTGGAGGCGAAGATGGCATCTGACGGGGCGGCGGCATGCTAATAGGATCATGTCCGTCATGCGCAGCAGGGTCAGAGCAAGGGATGGTAGCTTCGGAAGAAGGTAGCTCGGCCTCTTCCGGAAATTTGCTCGAGTCAAATCCCTTTGTCGAACTCATGGGTGGGAAGCTAGCCGACATGGATGTGGAAGGACGCGGGAGATCACTAGTATATGCCGGAGCAAGGGATTCTGGAGGTGCCGGTCGGCGTACAGGCTTGACCTTGTGGTATTGCTTCTCGAATCCAGCATTAATGACCCAATAGTGGCCTTTTCCAGGGTCGTCCTTGGGGCGTTCTTGCTTGGAAAACGATTTGCTAAGACTGAGGTTGTGGCGGATGCTATTTTGCCATCCAGTCTCTTGTGAATTGCGGTAGAAAGCGAATGTGTCGGAGATCCATTTGTAGATCTGCGCGAGGGTCAACCGACGGCTCGGTGATCTTAGAATAGCCATGCCGATGAGCATAGCATAGCTGTAAGAAGGCTTGTTGCCGTCGTCCTCAACAGTGGGCATTTGGTCTGGGTTGGGTAGCGGTCCGTCCACGTCTTCGATCTTGATGTCCTTGACGAACTTCTGCTTCTTGGTGATGTTCATGTTAGTGCGGTCGCGTAATGGGGCAGCGTCCATCAGTGGTCGCTTGTTTCCCTGCTTCATAGGTGGCTCTGCCGCTGACATGGCGGACATTACGGGGCCAGAATAATAGGCGTTCTCCTTATCCATGTGGGACGGATAGCCGGACCAGTACTGGAGTTCGCCGACCATTGGATTGGAGTCTTGCGAAAGCGCAGCCTGGACCTTCTTGGTGGGCGCGTCGGTGCGAAACCACTGCTCTTGCGGCGGCGGTATCTTGACCGTGTTGAGACCCTTCTCGGTAAGGGCACTGGGTGGAGGCGAGCTGGAGACTTGGCGGGTCTTGCGGGGCGATGCTTTGGCGGTGAAGGATGCGGGAGGGGCGAGGAGGGTGTTTGAGTTGTTGGACACGTCGGTGATGGACGTGAAGGCGTCGAGGTCGCGTGGATCAAAGGCGTTTACTTGGTGGTGGTCGTGAGGCTGTACAGGGTCCTGAAAAATCTGCATGGAATGTTGTCGACGCGCTGCAGCCATGGCGAGACTGGGCTACAAGGGCATCAACAGCCTTGTATAGTCTCTCCAGACGCTTTGACGCGTGAAGTCGCGTCTAGAAATTCAAAATGGGTCCGTCGAGGCGACTAAGCACGGTCGGCGGGTGCGGTGTTGACTGAGATTGCGGTGACGACGGCCAAGTGAGTCGTTGAAGGGGCGGTAAGGTGTGGGCTGTCAATTGTCGGAGGGAGTATGCTGCCTGTCATGTGCGGTGCAATTCTACGTGACTTTGTGAGAAAGGAGCGCGTTTGAGGGGGCGTGGGCTGCTATCTAACCTGTGCTGATGGGATGAGGCAGCGGAGCAATTCGCTTAAGGGCGCTAAAAAGAACCTCTGACGACAGTAATGCCGGATCTGCAGCGGGAGGGCGGTGTGCGTTTTCTTCTGATAGCAAATAATGGAGGAATGCAGCAGGAGGGATTCAAAGACACAAAGTGGGCGATGAAACAAGAAGAGGAGATCTTGGGCCGCTGCTGGAGCGCGGAGAGAAAGCGGGCAGGACAAGAGGGCAATAGGCAGGCTTGGAGGCAGCTGCAGCGCACCTTCCTTGGCTGCCACCGCAAACGCACCTACAAGGAAGGAGCAAGGAAGCGTGGCCAATGAGGGGGTCCGAGCACGAGTTCCCTCTGATCGATCGCACGTCATGCCCATCTTGCCCAGGAACAACCTCGCGCCGGCAATTACACTAGCCAGCTGTTTGCAGTGGGCGTGCACGGTAAGGCTGCTGCCATTGACGCCCATCTGAAACCATCTGCTTTTGCCCGCCGTGAGATCCAGCACCCAACGCCTGTTGCGAAGACTGGGAGAGCCACCGACGTGCAAGCGCCAGTGCAACGCGTCGGTGAAACAACTGCCTCGTCGCAGCCAGCTATCCTGCAGGCCGGTGGATAACAGCTATCGTATGCCTAGGGAGTCGCCCCGGAGCGCAATGCACAGCCTATCGAGTGCCAGACGGTGGCACATTCTGATCCGAACACTAGGGGCGCATGAAACTCGACAAACTGCACCCTGGCCTTAGGTGCAGCTCAGCTCAACCACTAAAGCCACACGCCCACATACCAGGGGTACGCAGTCCACGCTGCATCGCTACCCTCGTGGTCCAGAAGGGTCTCTCGAGGCTACCACCGACACCTCATTTCGATCTCAACTCCAGCGCACGGAACTTCTCCTGCATCGCGATCACAAACTCGCAAAGGAGATGAACTGTCATCTGGTCGACAACATGCGCGAAAACTCATCTTGGAACACTACGTGAAAATCGGGTACCTCGTCGTAGTGCGCTCCGAGTATGCCGTCTTCATGCGCGGAAGCCTTCGCTACCATGCCTGCGTGTCAGCTTACCCCAGTACTGCACCCCACTCAACAGTCATATCGCATATGCCGCATCCGGTCTACCGACTTGAACACTTCTTGCTCTTTCTTCTGTCCATTACGATATTCTTTCATCATGCGGCTCAGCTCCTGTTGAAAGGCGCAACGCTCAGGTGCCGGCTAGGTACCCGTCAACAACGTCTGTGGTTCCATTAATAACCTCCTAAGCGAGTCTTTACAGATCACGATGCGGAGCCTCCTCCGTGATTAGCAGCGTGGGGCGGACGGCTCATCATGGTGATCAGCGGGTAGCCGCAACTTCGACCTCAACAGCGTCTGTTCTCTCGTGCGCTTAAACCCGCAAACAGGCTTGTGTAACCAAACCGGGAAGTATGCTTCCAAAGCGGAGGGCGCCGACTGGTCGTTGTCGCTGCTTGCTTCACTCCGTCCGTGAAATCTCCCGCCCGACGTTTACAGTGCTGTCGGATCGGACACCAAAATCCAGGGCCGGTACTTGCGGAAATACAGTCCTATGGCCAATCAGAGAAAACATAAATCGTATCATTTTGAATCTCGAACACCCTACTCGAAGTCTAAGACTGTAAAATTGAAACCGTATACAAACCATCACTTAGTCCAGGAAATGGGAAGGCCAGATGGACAAACACCGGGCCTCACTCAGTTCTACACGCCCTACACTTATGTGTCTGCTCATTCCAATCTTCTCACCTGATCGCACAGCTGACGTATGCTTCGACACTTGCCTGTCATGCTTTGAACTCATGACATGAACGAGCCGGCAATAAACCGCTCACGCGACCTGTCATGAGCTGCGAGCGTGTGTTGCGTCGGGGAGGTTCCCTTGACCCTTAAATTGTACCTGGATGAGAGCTCATGCTACCCTTGCCACAATGTGCCGCTGCGGTTCTGCATGGTACAGCCTGTGGGCATGGCACTTGAGTGGGATACCCGACCAGATCACCATCGGAAAGTTTGCAAAGGGTCACATTGCTAGGCATGTAACGTTGTAATGTGCATATCCACATTAATCATGTCCCTCACTGTCGATGGGTGTATGCTTTACGAGACGTTAATGAAGATCATGGAATGCACAAGGATGTACATGATCTGTGGAGGGAACCGGATACATTCGGGTAGTTGAACCTGTCAGTGTCTTTACAGTAAGGTCATTTGACTATGTAATTTCACGTCGGTGCCGTCACGTAAGAGCCTAGCGATCGTACAGACATCAGACCACGTTTCAAGCGTTTTGAGAATGCTACAAATTATCCCGAAGCCTGGTGGACGGAATTTCAATAGGCCGATAATACTTGAGTTGAATGGGTACAGTGGCATAGTTTTAGGAGGAATGACTATAAGAGTCAGCGATGATGTACCTGGGTCTGCTAATATGTGTAATGGAACGTACAATTGCCTCTATCTGTTCTGTTCCTAAAGGGCAGATTGACTTGCGTTCCAATATATAATAGGCGCAGTTTCGGTCTTCAGGACATCTTCCGAGGCAGATAATTATCGTGTGAGAGATGAACGAGAATGCGTTCTGCGAATGAAGGCATACAAAGCATGCTGAGTGTGACACAAACACATGATGGCAATAATGACATGCAACGTTGTATCGAAGAGAAAATATTCGGGTATCTAGGTACTAACTTAGTGCACCAAAAAGGTCTATGTCTATCTCTTGATTCCGCCAACAATGCTGACATGCTCGTTGGCAATGTGCTAATTTCAAATGATCTATGTGAACTCCAGACAAAGTAAGACATCGTTCATCGGCTTCGAAATCTCTGCTTCCAAGGATTCAACGAGTATCTAGGACCTTCGAGACCCGATCCTGAGACCCGGTATTCCCTTCAGGCCCATCTTGCCGACTGTGGACTTCTCCAACATGGGCGGCTCGGGACAGCCCATCGTGTACGCGTAATCATTCGCCAGACGAACTAGATCGGCTGTAGAGATCTGAAGCTTCTTAACGAAAGTCTTGTTGTAACCAAGGAACGCCTGGTACGCCTTTGACTTCGATGTCTCATCGACATTGGTGAAGGCTCGGTCAATGTTTGCCTGGTGCGAGGGTAGACGTGATACGAGATCGACGGGGTAAGGGTTGATGGGCAGAGTCTTGTTGATCCTGGGGAAGAAGGCTTCTTGCTCGAAGAGAACGAGGACGGCGCGCCCATCCTTACCAGCACGAGCTGTTCGGCCGACGCGGTGAACGTACTGGTCAGTGCTTGAGGGGAGACCCAGCTGAACGACGAGGCCAACATTGGGGAAATCCATGCCGCGCCCGACGACGTCGGATGCGAACAGAATACCGCTTTGAGCGTCCTTGAACTCCTGGGTAGTGCGTGTGCGTGCAGGCTGAGACATGCGGCTGTGGAGCTCAAATAGCTTGAACTGGGGCAGCGCATTTCGGTAGAGGTCATACAGCAGTCCAACACCGTTCGCAGTGGTACCGAAGACAATGGCTTTAAAGTCGGTAGGGTTCTGGTTGTACTCCTCCTCGATCAGGGCTGACAACGCAGGGAAAGTCTGACCGACGGTAGGGACAGAGAAGAAGAACTGTGGTACGCGCTCGTGAGTCGGCACTTCGTTCGGGTCGACAGTCGAAAGATGTGTGTAACCAGGGAATAAGACGATCTTGGCGATGTCAAGAACTTCCTTGGGGAGTGTGGCAGAGAAGCACATTCCTTGCCAGCCATCGTTCTTTGGGGGAATGCGCCTGAGTATCTTCTTGACCGCAGGTGCAAATCCGGCATCGAGCATCTGATCAGCTTCGTCGAGGATAACCGTCTTCAGATCACTGAACTTTTCGCGAACTTCCTCTTCACCCAGAATGTCGTCAAGACGGCCAGGAGTAGCGACCAAGACGGTAGGGTTGCCGTTCATAAAGGCTTTGAGGTTCGAGGCACGGGAAGTACCACCAAACGCAGTATGGCACTCCATCTTCTGGGGCAGACACGATGTGACACCATTGCACTCCTTCGCAATTTGTAGAGCCAGCTCGCGAGTGGGACAGACGACGAGGATGGCGACCTTGCCTTTCCGAGGCATGTTACCGGCTAGGAGGTTTTGGATCGCAGGCAGTAGAAAGGCCACGGTCTTGCCTGTACCTGTCTTCGCCTGTACAACACAGTCGGAGGAGAGAGTGGGCAGCTCGGTGAGAACCTTTTGTTGAACAGGGGACATGTATCTGTAATAGTTAGCGACCGCGCCGGGAGAGTGCAACGCAAGAGGGGCTCTGCTTACTCAAATCCCATCTTGTCCAAGCCATTGAGCAACGCTGGGTGTAGCTTGTTTTTCAGGTCGGAGAAGGGCTTCGGTGCCGCATCGCCCGCCGCAGTGCTGTACATCTGCCGTACGTCGACTCCCATATCTGGCTTCGGCAGTGTGTCTTCAACTCTAGGACGTTTTGGTTGCTGCGACATGGTCGAGCGAGAGTTCGCAGGTCCTCGCGCAGGCGTGCCGTTGGTACGGTCACCGCCGCCACCGCCGCCGCCTCCACGGCCTCCTCCTCTGCCGCCGCGAGTCCACTTGCGCTTCGGTGGTGCGGACATGTCTGGGACTGATGCTGGTGCTGGAAGTGAGGTGTATTGTCTGTGCTGGCTGCGGTTGAGTGCGAAGGGGATTGTCGAGATGAGGCTATATCTTGTATTAGTTGCTAGAGAGCGCGGCTGAACGAGACGAGCAAGAGCGAACGGGCTAGATGAGAGAGAGTGTGAAACTAGTTTCATTATCTTCATTCGTACATACAAAGTAATCCGCACTGAGAAACTAGAGAAAAGTAAAGACGCCGAGGGGTTGTGGATACTGAGAGCAATCGTACCCTTAGTTTGCCTTCCGGCCAAAAAAAGTTCGACGCCCCGAGTCAGTCTGTGCTTTCTGCGACTGCTCGCTGAGTCAGCCATTCTTTTATAATACCTAAGATCACGCCCTACTCACAAACAACACTAAAACTCAAGGTTCAGTCTCGATATTGAAATGAGTGGTAGATCTCCTCTGCGAAGCTTCGCGCTCAAGCGTAGGAGGCTACTGTAGCATACTGCTTCACTTCAGAGACGCTGTGTTAGTGGAGCGTCTGGCTGTTGAAGAGCTTGCTTCCATTCCTTTCAAAGCTGGATTATGGAATGAATTACAGAAATAGTACACCCCAGACGCATTCCTTGGGGCTCCTTCCGTTTAAGATGTTGATAACCCAAGTCTTGGACTCCTTTCATGTTGCTTTCAGAAAGACAGCTTGTGAGGTCGTACCCGTCACCAGCTACGATCAAGCCATGTCTAGTGCCTCGTACTCTACACGCGTGATGCTGCCAAAATTTACCTCAAAATCATCAGCATCCCCCTTTTGCACAATGAGATAGCCCGGCTCTATGAAATTGGCGTAATCGTCACCGACCAGTGTCCAAATCAACTCGTCTGCTGGAGTGCTTAGAACAGCAAGGAGCCGAAATCTGATTCGGAAATGCGTGCGGAATGTCTTGAAAAGTTGATACATGTATCCCAACAAGTGTTCGAGATACAACTCCCTGTTCTGGCCGTCGGGGTCTGCATAAGTGGCATTTGCTGTGGGAACGGTGATAGATATTTCAAGATCTCCGCTCGTGCTTGGGTTTTGTAGTTTGTCCATTGTCATCTCCAAGAATTTGACTAGGAGACATCGTTCCGTTGTATCTACGGAGATTGGGGTGGCAGTATTGCATTTCGTAGCAATATCACTAAACCAGTCTCGTACCAGTGCGGAAAGCGTGGGTGATCGCGATGAATTTCCGAGTTCGCTGAAAATTTCCTTATAACGGCTGGGATTAAGGTACTCGTAAAGTAGTGCGTTGAGATCATGCGAGGTTGACCTTTTGACTCGCACCCAATGTTGCTGACAATCTGTCGCGTTTGGTGTATTGGCTTGAAACCAGCGCTCGCCCCAGGTATATGTATGTGCGAGTAGTTGTAAGAGGCGAGGCAACTGCTTGATGCCCTTCGAGTGCACTACAAGGTGTGCTTCCTTCTCTCGATCGAGTGCATACAACGCGTCCCCAGCAGCTTGCTGGATCTCCCGACTGACTCCAATGGTGCCAGAATGGTATGCAGTCGCCATCCAACGCACATGTTTGATCCTGGGAACGGTATTGAGGACCATGCGATTTGCGTCCCATCTGTAGATTTCTAGATGAAGTTCTTCTGGGAGCGCGGCGAAGCTAGCTTTGAGTGTGTCGGGTGAGTCCATAGTAGGGTGAATACTCTTAGCTTTTTGCTTTCCAGCTATCGATACGTTGCTGGGCTGATCCGTAGTAGGCCTTCGCCTCCTGCTTGCAGTTCCTTATAGTTTTTTGCTGGCTTGTTATCGAAGTATGACCATGATGATGACGGCAGACCTTGGATTGACGTCGTTTGGAGGTAAGATCTAAGTAGATGCAGATGTGATTGAGGGAATCTACTATATCGTAGCTCGAGAAAAGAGGTGTTGCGTATACTGTATCAAAAGTAGCAGCTTGGAACAGCTTCCTTTTGTTGCTAACATGGCAAGGAGGAGTACCAATTTACAGAGGTACACGATGAAACTACTACAGGCAGTTTACAGTCGTGGTTTCGCGTATCCACTTGCGTGTTTTCGTCTAGGTCTCGCTTGAAATGCAGTGGTTGTAAGTGTCTGTCCAGAATCTCCATCACGAGATGTCTGTACCTAGGAACGATGCAAGGTACACAAAGAACTTTACCGTCGATATCCATTAGAGCGCGAGCGCGAATGTTAGAAGAAAGAGCCCTCCAGTCACGATTTATCGCAGAACCACAACAGGCCTCGGGAATACCTAGGTACCTCGTCCGCGCGTCTACCAAGCTACCCCCCACCTGTAAGTGCGCGTCGGTAGCATGTTATATTGTGGCTTACCAATGTCGTTGAAAGGAGAATCAGGGAGGTAGTGATAAGTGTACTCTCGAAAATGTAAAGGATATCCATGGCCGTAACGCACTAACAGCGCGACATAAGCATTGATGACCTGCTTGGCAGAGAAGCTTAGCTACGATCGCGCGCTAGGATGCAGACGGCATGATCGAGACCGCAGTGGGCCTGTCCCTTCGCTGATGCAGGATGGCTAAACATAATAGCATTTGGCGCCAGACTTCATCAGCGCTGCAGACAGACTCGATACTGTATGGGTCGCTCTTATGACATTAGCTGTTTCGCAAGCTTCAGTGCTCACCTTAGTCGGTTTGATCCCAAGAGAAGCCTCCGCAAGCTTCGGAAGCGGTATCGAGAGACAACGCAACTCGCATATGATTAGGCCGAGTGGGCAAGCAAAAAGAATCGTGCAACGCAACAGCCTAGCGACCCAGCACCGGGGATCCGCGTAGGTTCATCCGCGCATGGTGTGCAGCTGCAGCGAGCACGGTGTCTGCCTCCGCGGGTAACTTTCTTGTATAGCTGGCGACGACCCAGGCAGTGCTTTCCTGCCCTTGCGTACATAACGCGTCGTCGGGCCTCCAAACTTCAACTAAACAACAATCTTCAGGTGCTACTGATGAGACCGAACTTTTGCACCCACCAAAAGCCCCCGCTCAACCACTCTCCACCGTGGACAGACCCTGTGTTCCTTTGACGACTTGGCAGCCAAGAGCATTGCGGCTCTTGAACAAGCCTTCTGCGCGACCCAAGCTGTACGTAACTGCTGATCCATCATACATCCATCCCTTCCTTCCTTCGCGCCCCACAAGCGTCCCGATTGCTGTCCGCTGTCCGCTGTCCGCCTCGTGCTCGTCACGTTAGCATCCATGGGGCTGCGGCGCCGTGCACGGCGGCTTGTCTTTGCTCACGCTAGAGAGCACTGCCACCATCACCATCGTCGTTCCCCGCGTGGGACCGAGAGACATCACCGTATTGCCACGATTGCGCCGTGTCCACCGCAATGCTGACCAGAGGTGCGCGCTATCCAGTTGCTTGTCACCGACGTCGTCCATCTCCATCACCACAGCCCCCCGTCCATCTGAGACAGTTGCGCGTCGCCGTTGCGTGCGCCAGCCCCGAAGCGATCGCCCAAGAACCACAACACCATATACCGGACACCTGACCGCGTCCTCCGCCGTGCTTGTTGCGCCTATTGTTCTGACTAGCCACGCAAAGCCATTTTCGCGATACACCTACCGCCGGTCGCGCGCGCCTCCCGATACCGGTGCTTGCGCGCAACAGCTCGTCCCGGCAGCCCAAGCGACTGGCTTATTCTGGCACATCTGTAGAATCGCGTGGGCTCCCGGAGACGACCATCTATACTGCGGATAGCCGCATGATGTGCCTGGTACACGGAGTATGACTTCCAGCCAGACACGTTCAGCTGCTACTCCGTCCTCTCCAGTGTCGAGCCGGTCGTTTCTCTCTCGGCTCAAATCGCCATTGACATCCAAATCTCGCAACTACACCGAATTCTATATTCAATCAGATGATCCCCATCGCCATTACACGCCGGGGGACATCATTAGTGGGACTGTCATTATCAAGATCGTCAAACCCCTGAGAATCACTCATTTGGTCGTATCTTTGCACGGTTATGCGCAGGTTTTCAAGAACCCAAATACTCCCGGAGATGCTTACAAGAACTACTGCTCAACAGTCGGCTCTGGGAGAGGAAAAAAGGCAGTGAGTTATTTTGGCAATGGATTCGTTTCGCTGTTCGAGGACGAGGTTGTGCTTTGCGGCGAGGGAAGACTGGCTGAGGGTGTATACCACTTCAACTTCGAACTCGAGTTCCCCTCCAAAGGCTTACCCAGCAGTATTGACGTAAGTAGCGATTCGTCTGCGACTGACAGACTAACTAACAGCCAATTACAGTTCGAGCGTGGAACGATATCTTACATGCTCAATGCCACCTTGACACGCCCCACGACCATGTCGCCGACTGCGTCATGCGACACAAAGGTCTACCTCACCGATTCGATCGACATCGCACCCGTACCGCAGCTGAAGCCCCGTGTCATTTCCTTGGAACCCATATCTAGACGAACACGCGCTAGATCGACGCGGAAAAGGCCAATAGAGGAAACGCCACATACACCTTCTGGTTCGGAGCCTCAGCCAGTGGGGCCCGCCTTAGAAGCAACCAAGATCATCGATGAGACGGAGGGTCCACGGAGCCCCTCGCCTAGCGATGTGAGCTACGAGAGTCAAAGGAGTAGTGGAAACGCTTCCGGAACGGAGTACGGCATTCGCTCGATCAACACGGCTACAGATGGATCAAACTCACAAAATGGAAGTCGAGCGACGCTGAAAGGAAAGACAATCACAGCCACGATCGACGTACTCAAGGGCGGCTTTCTCAGAGGCGACCAAATACCGATCAAAGTGACTGTGAACCATACGAAGCATATACGAAGCTTGAAAGGTATCATCATCACGTTGTATCGTCAAGCAAGAGTTGACATGCATCCTGCACTGCCTGTCGTACCAAATAGCAAAGGCGACAAGACCAAGTCAGAAGATTACTATCCGAAATCGAGGACTGGCCTAGGAGGCCTGTCCCTCTCATCAGCTGGATCCAGTCATTTGTTCCGAAAGGATCTATGCCAATCGTTTGCACCACTTTTCGTCGATCCCAGAACGCTAATGGCCGAGGTGAAGTGTGCGGTGCGCGTACCGGATGAGGCGTTTCCCACAATATCAAACGTACCGGGAGCAATGATATCCTTCAAGTACTATGTCGAGGTCGTTGTAGATATACAAGGCAAGCTCACAGGCCTCGACCGAATGGTGTCCAACGCTGGGCTTGTCAATCTGCCTTCTGCAGCTGGAGGCACCTCTGCCATGACACGTGACGATGCTAGCGGCAGTATGTTCTCGACCTGGGGAGGCAACTTTGTCGACACCGATCAGATTCGCCGCGAGAAGGGCATCATCTCTGCTTTATTCGAAGTTGTTATCGGTACTAGAGACAGCGACAGGAACGGCAAGAAGAAACAGATACAGGAACAGCCGGCTGATGACAATGGCGCCTACGGAGGATACAACGATGAGCAGGGCTACGATCAGTACTACTACGAGCAGGACGAGAATGGGCAATATTACGACTACAATTTCGATCCAACATATGACGACGTCCCGGGATACGAACAGCATAGCGCAGGCAGGGCACCAGTGTTCCCTGTGCCTGCAGTTGTTCCTCAAGAAGAGCAAGGGATATCAGAGAAAGAACGGTTGCGACGAGCAGAAGAACGCTTACTACCTTCTCAACCGCCGGATGCTGCTGGATCATCCACGCCTTCAGAGGGTGCTCAATATGGCATACCGGCGTCAGCGCCTGTGCTGCCAGAAGAGGATGATCCAAACCCTCCCTACGTCGCAGTAGCTTCATCGTCTTCGATGCCAGCCCATCCTCCGCCCCCATTCCGTGCGACATCTTCGCCAATGTTGTCGTCACGCATGACGTCATCACCGTCGTTACAACGTCGTGTTACGAACATTACAGATGACGAGACGAGAACTATTCGAACCGAGTCCTCGCATACCATACATCCCAGTCGATCAGAGCCACCCATTAATGGAGAAGATAACGACCCATCAAAACCACTGCCGCCATTACCACCCCAATCGCCCCATATGGCACAAGGCTCCGCACCAGAGTACGTCGCTGGTTCATCATCACATGTTGAACCTACCGATGACAAGCAGGAAATGCAGCGACGTAGACTGGAAATGGAAAGAAGTGCACCGCCCACGGATCATGATGAAGATGGAGAGTCCTCACATGCTCCTTCAGCGCCACCAATCGATAGAATGCGGAGCGTACAATTGGTACCCTCGGCGCCTGCGCTGAACGACGAAGACGAAGATCTCGTGGGCGCTGTACGCCCAGGTCGAAGTACGCAGGGCGCACCACAAGATAGTAGGCGGCAAAGCGAAGCCTTGCCGGAGTACCGGAGGTGACATGCATGACAATGGCGTTTGTGGTATTTCAGGCGCGACCATGCATAGATATGAGCGTTGCGCACAGCGGAAACTTACGCGGGAATCTTTTCAACATGCAAGTTTACAGGAACTAGCTGGTTGGTCTATTCTTATGATATCCTTGAATTATATTACATTACTCTAATACCTGAGACCTCAACTTTGAGGAGGCATTGCCTGCTTGTTCTGCTATGACTTGGCCCATGACGCTCAAGACGAGATTCGTGACACTTGTAGTGGCGGGCTGTCCCTGCGACAGGCCCGCAACATTCTGCGCATGCCCGGCTCATCGCTCTCTTTTTGTCCCCGGAGTTCTAGGGCTCACTTCATCTCCCGTAGCCGGCTTTCGATGACTGTCTCCAGATCACGAGAGTGCGCGTTGTATATCTTTTGCAAGCTCGCTAGCTGCCTACCCATGGCGGTTTCGATACTGATCTTTTGGCCGAGAAGATCTTGAAGACGTTTGAGCTGTGTTTGGTGGGCTGTTGATCTGAGATACTGTTAGTCTGTGGTTCATCAACTTTCCATAACTACGTTACTTACGCATCGGTCTCGTGTGTGTCAAAGACTACGTTGATGGCCTCTCCCATCTCCTCTTTCTTCTTGTTGTAAGCTATACCTACATTCTTCTTCGACATGTTGTGATACTTGCGTCGCTGCACAAGGGGTTAGCCTCATGCCTTCGACAACCGAATGACTAGGCGAGTGTGGAACATAGATGCAGATATGAAGACGACAGCCTGTTATTGTTGGGTCCATCTCAACATACGTCATCTACCATCTTCACCATCATTTGTTCCAGTGTGCCATCGGAAGTGCGCTGCAATGCTTCTGCCTCATCATCTCCAACGTGTTCATCGTCGACTGCGCTATTGCCTTGGCCGAGATCTTCGAGATCATTTGCTTCATGGATGACGTGTTTCCGAGAGTACCGTACACTCTGGCGAGTGGTAGCTGTGGAGGGGTTTGTGGGTGTGGATTCCTTGGTTGTGCGCGGTGGTGCCATGGCTGCTGTTGGTAAGTGCTGATGGTTAGTGGTATGAGTGAAAGTGGTAATCAATCGTTTTGTTGAGACCTTCGTATTGCGAAAGTCGTTGTGGCTCAAGTGATGGAAGCTTGCGAGTTGGAGGGTGAAAGTCGTAGGCTTGGACACGGCGAGGGATGGCTTCCCCACATGGATGGCGCCAAGATTCCGCGCTAGCGTGCATCCACAGTTTTTTCGGGCTCGTGTTTGCGGACTCCCGCTTTCTCTTCAACAATCACCAAATCACTCAGTCTGTTCAGTGTTCAGCATGGGTCTCGCAGCGCCGAAGAAGTATGTTCGCCAGTTTGGCACTGGCTGTTTCCTGCTAAATTAACGCCACACCAGTCGATCGAAGATCTCCAACGATCCCCAAAACACCACTTGGGCGAACAACACCTCGCGCTTCGGCCATCGCATATTGACCTCACAAGGATGGCAGCCCGGTAACTCCCTGGGCGCAACAGACGCCTCCCACGCCGCTCATTATACCGCTGCCTCGCAATCGCATATTCGAGTATTCCTCAAAGACGATAACCTTGGCTTGGGCGCAAAGCGAGGAAGTGAGCGCGCCGAAAACTTTGGCCTTGCAGGACTAGAGAGCATTCTTGGACGTCTGAATGGCAATGAGGCGGAGGTCAAGAAAGAAGAGGAAAGGCGAGAGGAGATCGAGAAGAGGGCGTTTGTGTACCGGAAATACGGCATGATGAACTTTGTGAGCGGTGGTTTCCTGGTGGGCGACAAGATTACTAAGGGCTCCGATATTAAGAAGGAAGTGGAGATCAAGACTGAGTCGGAGAGCGAGGATGGCTCATCGCAAAAGAAGGATAAAAAGAGGAAGCGAGAGGAGCGCACCGACGACGAGCCCAAGGTGAAGCGCAAGAAGAAGAGCATGGATTTGCGTGACGAAGCACGGAAGGAAGGCGAAACATCGAAGTCAAAGAAGGACAAGAAGGACAAGAAGAAAGACAAGTTGAAGAAATCAAAACGGGCATCTTCATCCGATGCGGAATCTTCCACCGACGATGTCGCTGCTCCAGCATCCGACCCAGAACCGCTTACGGACAAGGCACGACGGAAAGCTGAGAAGAAGGCACGCAAGGAGGAGAAGAAGGCCAAGAAGGCTTTGAAGAAAGCTGCAAAGAAGGCGGCGAAAAAGGACAGCTCAGACGACTCGAGCTCAGAAAGTGAAGAAGACGAGAGCGCGCCGACAACGATCTCATCGGTGCCCGTGTCAAACACATCCACGCCTGTTCCCGCTGGCCTCTCGTACACTCCAAGAGGTATGCACGCCGTCAGACAGCGGTGGATCCGCCAGAAGAAAGCTGCGACAATGGATGCACAAGCAATGAGAGAGGTGTGTCTACATGGTGCTCCTGTGATAAGGTCCTCACTAATGTTTCACAGATATTCATGATCAAGACGCCATCGTAGACTATCCGGATGATCCGATCTGTACATGCATAGCGAGGAGTTATCGAGTTGTTTTGTTTGGCATGCACTTGCTAGGGTCTATAATCATGTTCCAGGCAATTGCAAGGGAGGACATAGAAATGTCACTCTACAGAACGACCAGTTTGGCCTTTGCTTCTCGTCTTTCTATAAGTGAATCGCGTTGCGTTGCGTTGCGTTGCGTGGCTGTAAGCTTTGCGTAACAGTCGGGGCCCGACGATTGCGTGGCCGGCATGGTCATGTCGGGCCTATTGGGGCTTACAATTGACAAGACTTGATTGAATATTCCCCGCGTTTGACCCGTCAGTCTTAGTGTTTCGTCACCAGGCCCCTCATCAAGCTTACTGCGGCTGTAAAGGACGAGTGCGCAACGGCAAGGGACTGTTTTGATATTGTTCGCGGGGCTTCGTTAAATAGTCCGAGGGAATGGGACGTGACCGCGCCTGCGTTGCGTCACCAAGGAGAGAAGCAGTTTGGGGCAGAGCAGGCGGTGCATTTGTTAGAAGTTAGAAATGTGCCGGCAGCCATAGGGCGGTTCCGGAAAACAGGGATGCAAGATTACCCCCGTCAGTTCCTGCATGGTGGAGCTGATCACTAGTCCGCCGCCGACTTAGCCCATGTATAATGACCTCGCCCGACTTTGGAACTTGGCCCGCCCGTTGAGCACGACGCCTCCTTGACTGCGAATTCCCTACTCCATTCACTCACGCTCACTTGTCACCTGTTACTTTTTTTCTTCTTCCATCAGCCATGGCAGCAAACGGCAGCATGCGCAGACGAACCGTCGACGCGCCCGGTAAGGCAATTGTCCCGATGTTGTCCAAGTCATGTATGGCTAACCCGTACGCAGCGAGCCTTCACCCGCGCACATCGTCGCATTCCACCCAAACACCCGAACACTCGCCTATAGATTCCATGCCCGCGCAATTGGCCTCTGACATGCCTTCCATTTCCACAACGAAGCCGAGCGGCGCTCCTGCGCTGCACAGGAAGCAGTCGTCGCCCATGATGCCTCCTTTCATGGTCTCTGCACCCGGCAAGGTCATCGTCTACGGAGAACACGCGGTAGTGCACGGCAAGGTAGGATTCATAGCACAATCGTGTCGGGACACATGCTGACCGTCTGCAGGCTGCCATCGCCGCCGCCATATCGCTCCGCTCCTACCTCCACGTTTCGTTCCTCTCCAAATCGAATCGGACAGTTAAATTGCGCTTCCCCGACATACAGATGGAACACACGTGGAATATCGATGATCTGCCATGGGACAGCTTCTCCAAGTCAGGCAAGAAGAAGTACTACTACGACCTCGTTACCTCGCTAGACCCCGACCTCATGGCCGCCATCCAGCCCTTCATCGACGAAGTATCACCGAAAGCCCCCGAGTCGATACGCAAGATTCACCACGCCTCCGCATGTTCCTTCCTATACCTCTTCCTTTCCCTCGCGTCGCGCAAAGTCCCTCCGTGCGTTTACACACTACGATCTACCATTCCCATTGGTGCTGGATTGGGCAGCAGCGCCAGTATATCCGTCTGCCTCAGCACGGCAATGCTCCTGCAGATACGTGCACTCAGCGGGCCTCACCAAGACCAGCCGCCGCAAGAGTGTGAGCTCAACATCGAGCGGATCAACCGTTGGGCGTTCGTCGGGGAGATGTGCATACACGGAAATCCCTCAGGTGTCGACAATACCGTTTCCTCAGGCGGCAAAGCGGTTCTCTTCCAGCGGAGGGACTACGACAAGCCACCTCTAGTCATACCATTGCATAGCTTCCCCGAGCTCCCACTGCTGCTCGTAAACACACGACAATCGCGCAGCACGGCAACAGAAGTCGCCAAGGTCGCCAACCTTCTCAAGGTGCACCCCGCCCTCACAGAAAACATCCTTAATGCTATTGGCCTAGTGACGGAATCTGCACACAAATTACTCACATCCCCCGATTTCGATTCAACATCTCCAGACTCACTAAGACATCTCGGTGAACTCGTCACGATGAACCACGGGCTACTCGTCTCATTGGGCGTCTCACACCCCAAACTTGAGCGTATCCGCGAAATTATCGATCATACGGGCATTGGCTGGACAAAACTTACAGGTGCAGGAGGCGGAGGATGCGCTATTACCATCCTTAAGCCCCAACCACCAGCCCTCACCAACGGTCATGCGAATGGCGCGCACCACGATACCTCATCAGACGAATCTGACGCCTCTTCCGAAGCGGACGGGGGCGGCGCCGCATCCGTAATATCCAATGGCACAAAGCTAAAGTACAAGATTCTCGACTCTCTTGAGGTCAAGCTGGAGAAGGAAGGCTTCGAGAAGTTTGAGACAACGCTTGCCGGTGACGGAGTGGGTGTGCTTTGGCCTGCTGTCCTACACAATGGGAATGAAGAAGAAGGTGGAGAGGAGATCGATCAAGAGAAGTTCCTTCGGGCTGAGGGCACAATCGGTATTGAAAGACTGGTCGGCGTGTCCAGCTCGAAACGAAAGGGCCTCAGAGAGGTTAGAGAGGGTTGGAAATTCTGGAGACCCTGGGAGGTTCCCGAGTAGTAAACTCGGGTCTTTTGTTCCAAACAACTCGTCTGCTTCCAACATGTTCTGGCAATGTCCTGGTTGGGTTCGAGTTTCATCTTCCGTTCTTGTTTCTTTGTTTTTTTAGTTAGATATAGGGATTTCATTTTACTTGAAGCCTTGACAGGCGTGAAGGAAAAGGCTAAAGAAGTAATGTCTTGTAGATATGAGATGGCTGATACAATCTGGCTGCAAGGCGCCTGTGGCTGAAGTATGGCCTAGCGTGAGCAGGACAGCAATAATGGAATCTGAAAGTTCCTCATGCACCAGTTCATTGTACTGCCAGTTCTAGCCTGCATTTCACCTACAATAAACACAAGGTCGTAGCGAATCGAAGTGTGCAGGTAAAGAGTGAATGTGGCGTACCATGTGTGATTGGGCAGCTAATTTTTTGGTAGATCAAGCGAGCCACGCGCGACACCTGCAGAAGCCCAACCATTGTCTTGCGCCGTAGTCAACCTTTGATCGTTTCCTTCACCCACACCACTCGCCCATAAAACCCTGCGCCGCCGTCAGAACCCTTGGATACATTACTTTCAACACCACACAATCCACACCTTCTCTCAAATAACTGCAACCATGGCACCAGGAAAGTGGGGTACGTCATGTTCGCTGCCACCGCGCGCGATTCAAGATGGCCATGCAAAGACTTGGGACTGACATGTTTGATAGACGATGAGGATGAGGGTAGCACTCCTCCCACATCCCCACAGGTAGCGCCCATCGCCCGCCGCAGCAAGTTCGACGATGAGGAAGAAGACGACGATGTGCGTCAGCCCACCATGCCCCGCGCTTGAATACTCCAAGCCCCGCTACGACCAAAATTACTGACATTGGACACAACAGGTACTAGATTCATGGGACGCCGCCGAGGATTCGGAAGTCGAACGCGAAAAGGCAAAGAAGGCCGCAGAGGCAAAAGCCAAGGCGGACGCAGAGGCGAAGGCAAACCATAAGTCTAAGGCGCAAAGAATCGAGGAGCACAGGCAGGCCGCACTACGTCGGCGGCAGATGGAAGAGGATGGCGAGACCGATGAAGAAGAGACTGAGGCTGAACGCCGCGAACGAATGCGCCAGGCAGAACTCGACGCTTCGCGCGCCCAAGCTGAGGAACTCTTTGGCGACCTGAGCGTCGTTCCCAAGGCCCGTACTGGCAAAGCCATCACTATCGCCGACGAGTCCGACCCAGGCAACGCCATCGACCTTTCCTCCCTCGCCATTTTCAACCCCAATACCAAGGACCAGTTTACTAAGCTCCGCGAGACTCTCACACCTCTGATTGCTGGCAACTCTAAGAAGGGCCAGTACTCGCTGTTCCTACAGGAGTTTACCAAGCAGATTGCTAAGGATCTGCCGAGTGAGCAGATCAAGAAGATTGCGTCTGGCCTGACGACATTGAGCAATGAGAAGATGAAGGAGGAGAAGGCTGCTGAGAAGGGTGGAAAGAAGAGCAAGGCTGCAAAGACCAAGACCACACTCAATGCGAGCAGAGACGTCGGCGTCAGGGCAGATACTAGGGCATACGATGACGACGACTTTGGCGAGTAAGTCATGTTTGAGCCTGTCTGGCTTTCACAGATGCTAACGGATCTATAGTGATGACTTCATGTGAGGCATGACGGGGCTTCCTATACATACGCCTTTCATATTGGAGTTCATTCCTCATCATTCAGTTTGGAGTCGCGGTTGGTGATTTCAGGATCAAAAGCGGAACATGCGTGCATGGCGTCTTGCGCTTGACGCGTCTATTTCACGGTTGTGCTTCGAGGCGAAGCGGCATGGGTTTAATGCATGTACAGTGCATTATAGATAGACACACGTAGACAGAAGATGTCTGATTCTTAGAATCGAGCATGGTATTTCCTCCCACCCAGTGTTGAAACATTTTGTCTCACAACGGTAGTGTGGTGAAGCGTGTATGAACTCTCCTACTCCAGCGGTGAATACAGAAGCTGGGTGTACTACTGTCAGCCCACATTCCAGACACGATAGTGAGCCATCTGGAGATTGAGTTGGTGCCGGCCAATGCCGCTTCGCCAAACTCCGATACATCACAACGCGGGGCAACATGTGTTGATGGAACGTCATCCCGCGAAAAAAAAAAAAATGAATGCGCCAGTCAGTCACGGTTACCAGATTTCCTGCACGAATTGGGATGATGTGAGCCACAAGAATGCCTAAACCCGATACTATCGATATGCATGCTCAGTTACTATGTTTTTGAGGGTTCACAGCCATTGGCGCATCACACGTGTAGCTCTTACCCCTCATTGAGTCACTCATTCGAGACGCGCCTCAATCTTGTACACTACAAAACGACACACACATCCACCCACTTGAGCCCACATATCTGGTCTGACGCCGCCCGCGCATTTAGCCCTCTCCACGGCAGCAAACCCGCACCCAATTGCAAGTGCCGACGTGGGACTCGTGGCCTAGCCCGTAGCAGAATTCCCCATTCAAGTCTTTGTTAGAGGGTGCACAGCGCGCGTCTGCATACTACAAACCCTAGCAATTGCGTGCTTGATTCATAGCCATGGATCTCGTCAACTCGTATGTTCCGATTGTTTCTTTTCCCCATTCTCTTTCCTTCTTCTGATAAGCTTCTTGTATGACCATGGGGTACACCAACGGTATTGAAGGCGCGAATGAGATTGAGCGCATCGCGCAAAGAGCGCGCCAGGGCAGCAGGAGTCTTCCTTTCATGACTGACCTCTTGGGAAACAGCTTGAACGACCGTCTCCTCTTTGCGGTGCCTAAGAGTACGTCGCCTACATTACTACTGGCTGGACCCATAGGCTGACAACCATCACAGAGGGCCGCCTCCACCAAGCTTGTCTTGATCTCCTCCACGGCTCAGACATTCAGTTCCACCGACACTCCCGTCTCGATATCGCACTCGTCAAGAACCACCCTCTCGCTCTCGTCTTCCTACCTGCCGCCGATATCCCGACTTTCGTAGGAGAAGGTCGCGTAGACTTGGGCATAACCGGGCGCGATCAAGTCGCAGAACACGAGTGCGTTGCACCGCCTACTGCCACCAGCGGCGTAGAGGAGGTTCTCGATCTCGGGTTTGGAAAATGCAGTCTGCAGGTACAAGTCCCCGCAAAGGGCGACCTAGCCAAGCCAGAGGACTTGATCGGCAAGAATGTTGTCACCAGCTTTACCAACCTGGCTGAGCAGTACTTCCGGAAACTCGAGGCCGAACAAGCTGGAAACACAAATGGCGAAGCGAATGGCGACGCGAAACTCAAGACAGTCATTAAGTACGTTGGCGGCAGTGTTGAGGCGGCATGCGCGCTGGGTGTCGCGGACGGTATCGTCGATTTGGTGGAGTCAGGAGAGACAATGCGCGCTGCAGGCCTAAAGGCCATCTCCACAGTCGTCGATTCCAGCGCCATCCTTATCAAGTCAAAGCACCCATCAGATCCCAAACTGGTTGAGCTGATCACCGCTCGGATAAAGGGTGTTATCAGTAAGTCGCATCGACTTCCGCATTCATTTAGCAAGACTAATTTCTCGTAGCTGCACAAAAGTACGTTCTGTGCACATACAACATCGACCGGTCGAAACTCGATATCGCGCGCAAGATCACTCCCGGACGTCGCGCTCCCACCGTTAACGCGTTGGAAGAGGATGGCTGGGTGGCTGTACAGGCTATGGTGTTGAGGAAAGATATCGCTATTGCCATGGACAAATTGACGGAGGTTGGGGCCACCGATCTCATAGTAACGAAGATCGAGAACTCGAGAACGGGTGATTGAGCGATGCATTGCGCATGAGATAGGAAGGGAAAATCCGGTCTGCATTTCTTGCGCAACATGTGCGTGCGATAGATGAGGACCACATAGAAGGGCTCTAGCGTAATGGTTTTACAGCTTGATGCACAAACCTTCAACTATATGGCACAACCACTGGAGATTTCGCAATTCATATAAATGATATATTCGAAAGTGTCTATTCAAACCTCCCATAAGCACAATTGTATTGTAGAGTCCGATGCCACTTGACGAAGTATGAGTGGGTTGCCAACGTGTGACCTAGACCGCGAGACTATTGGGCGCTAGAGATGAACTTTGCCCCTTGTCGGAACGCTAAATAGCATATCCACAAGACCAACTTGGTCCGACCGGCTAAACACCCCTAATCGTAGATAGATGTTCACCGTGGTAGCTAGGCATGGGCTGTCATGCTGTTGGTGGAGGTATAAGATTTCAACAAAGTTATATTCTACTAAATTCTCAAGTCTTCCATCAAGCACTCTTGGTCCAACGGTAGGATAATTGCCTTCCAAGCAATTGGCCCGGGTTCGACTCCCGGAGGGTGCATCACACCCTTCTCACGATTGCGATGCATATTATTTGTTTTTTTGCAGACAGTGGGTGTATGGAAGGAATGCCGTACAGCCCTGGAGGCACGGTTGGAGGACGTGATGGGCAACTTCTTTTTTGGAATCAGCTAAGAACATACATACAACGCGGGTGTATCCAAACGCTTCAGTGTTCGCCGTACTCTTGGTTTCCTTACCAAATTAGAGGGAAATAAAGAATAACATCGCGTGGAGCAAGACTGGCTCAGAGTGTCGAAAGGCTATCATGGCAAGCTCCCATGAAATACCTACATGTGCATTTTTTTTTTTAAGAATGACGGTCTTCTCCAGGAAGATTAAATATAATTCTGTTGTACTTTCTACTAGGCACGTAGAGTGTCATGAACAGAGCAGTTGGCACATAGGTACACGAGTATCGAAACAAACATCCAAGCAAACATGGAGATTATCACGCTCAAACTCAATGATCATCACCTCATCGCCACCATCGACATTAGATGGTGAAAAGCAATGAGTTCGATACACCCCGTGTTGATCCAAGCGACGGTACGGTCGGTCTAGCACTATCTCGAGTTCGAGGTATTAGTCAGAACCTGGACATTTGATAGTGTATAGTGGATAATGAATTGGGACCGGAGACTGTGCCAAAGACCAACCATACCATCACCCAAATCGGTACGGGGGGTGATGTAAACTTGTTACATTGCGATGAGTTATATACAAACTCCCGGTACCGCTGTCCGACTAAGAGAGTGAATGCTGCCACCACTACAAGAACAGAACTAAACCAAAACACTACAAGAATCCATTGCAAACTCCATTGCTATGCCACGCTCGTTGATTCAATAAAGGAGAGAAGTCGTTCTTCATCGTCGTTCATAATCGTTCAGTCTCGTCCAGTCAAGCCGCTTCGATCTACTCAATGCTGATCTTACGGGGCTGAGGAGCCTGAGCCTTGGGAACAAGGATGCTCAAGATACCGTTCTTGAGACTAGCCTTGACGGCTTCCTGGTCGACACGAGCAGGGAAGGCGAAGGAGCGGTGGAACTCTCCGACTGAGCGCTCGCTGACCCAGTACTTGGCCTTGTTCTCGTCGTGCTTGGAGACGTCCTTGTTCTCGGACTGCTTGGCGACCTTGTTGGATTCGCTAGGGTCGTCCTCAACCTTGGGCTGGAGCTTCTTCTGCTGGGAAGCTTCGCCGTTCTCGATGAAGCCCTGAGGGCGTTGGCCTTCCTCGCGGACGTGCTCGTGGCGACCCGAGATGGTCAGGGTGTTGTTGTCGGTCCATTCGATGTTGATGTCCTTTTGCTCGACACCGGGGAGTTCTCCGTGGAGTTCGTAGCCCTCTTTGGTTTCCTTCACGTCGAACTTGGGAGTGAAGGACCGGACGTTGCTGAATTCGCGGTCGATGTTGCGGAAGGCTTGCCTGTCGTACTCGTCGAAGAGACGGAAGATCGGAGCGAATTCCTGAGTAAATCGTGGGAAGAGAGACATTGTTGCTGGTGCGTTGGAAAAGCGTCGAGTAGTTGTGATCGTAGGTTTGGTAATGCGGTTGAATTGTCGAGGAACTCGTTGGATAGTAGAGCGGATTGATTGCATAGAAGACTTGCTGTTGTTTGTTGTTCTGATGATGGGCCTTGAGGGTCGTCTCGAAGGCTATATATACTCAAGAGATGTGTTTCTGGAATCATCGTACTTCGGAGAGGCGTTAGTGTTGCGTCGACAACGATACTGCGAGAAACCTCGGAGATGGCTCGGGGAGTTTCTAGAGCTTTCGAACACGATACTCGTCGTCATGTTGTCGTATGCGATCAGGCGAGATCGTGAGATGAGAAGCTTCCAGTTCTTGCGGAGGGGAAACTATCGTGGCGAGCTTCCGGTTGATCCTGCTTCGATGAGGGGCGAGTTGGCACTAGAAAGTTCGGGGTGGTGGCTCAGACCATATCACGTGACGTCCCTGGTCGAAGTTTCCAGCGCCTTGGGAGCGACATGTAAGGTATCTGCTGTAGAAGGCCTGTGTACCCCGCAATTCTGTCATGTATTGCGTGATGTTCATCTAACGAGTTGTATCACGGTGACGTTGGCTGATCGCTCAGTGGTGCGCAGCTCTGTTCCTCGTTCCTTGATCCTGCATTCTCCCGCTACCTGTGGATATCTCGGATGCCTGGCTCAGACCATGTCTCCAGCTGATTTCTTCCTCTTCGAAGCAGATATTCGATGGTACCGAAGTCCTTCTTGCCGACATCCCGGTGCTTATGGAACTCGGATCTGGACATACTCGTCAGCTGTCGCAGCATGTCGTTCATTTCACTTCATCGCACCTTGCAAAGTCCCGAAAATGCGACTGCGTCTCCTGTGACTGCGTGAGTAGGTGGTTGTGATCTGATCACAGTGTTGCAATTGACATACCGTTGGTTTCTGCTTCACAGCTCTTAAGCATTGTCGGTAGAGTGACAAAACGTCTTTCTGAAGTCCTGACAACCGTACCATCTCGCCCAGATGCAGATGTCGTAAGCAACTGAAAAGACACAAGATGTATAGTCACGTACGTTGGCGACGTTGAGATGCACGAACGAATGGCGGCGAACCAAGCCAGAGCCGAAGGGCCGTGCTTCGACGACTGAATAGGTTAGCGTGATTGATGACGATTTCGACGATGTTGGATCGCTTCCGCGAATCGTAGCCCAGATGAGCGCGACAAAACATTCGAGCTAGACGTGTCTACCGACATTCATGGATGCGCGTAGTGTCACCGATCACGAATTCACACACGCGAAGAGTACAAGCACATCATGAACATATCGCAGATTGTAATGTAATGTTACCAGACAGGCTTCTCTGATACATCGAAACTGTGTGTGGGTTCATCGCAAGCTTTTCGCACACTCTGCGCTTGATTTACTCCCACCCAGGTGCCATGCCGCATGGATAGACTCAGGGAGCGCTGACACTTTCAAGTGGGCCCAGCTTGACCTTGATATCATGCGGCCATACGAACCATTGTTTGTGCAAGTTCCACTCCTTGTTCGGATCCTCAAGCTCAATCTTTGAGACATTAGCACTCATACCACACCCAGAAGAAGTCAAAACGTACCTTGTATCTTCCAAATACCGTCGCAACGACCTTGTAGACCTCTACTAGTGCCAAAGGTTTGCCAAGGCAGATCCTGTTCCCTCCTCCGAACGACATATCTGCGTCTTTCATCTTCTTGATCCTGGCTTCGTACGCGCCGGATTCTTCGTGCTCGCTTTGCAGCCATCGCTCCGGACGGAACTCATGGGGCTTCGCACCGAAGATGCTCTCCTTGTAATGAAGGACCCATGGATTCACCCCGACAATCGTTCCCGGCGGCAATGTTGTTCCGTTGGACAATGTAAGACCAGTTGCAGGCACGACGCGCTCGAGAATGTGACCTACGACGGGATGCATACGGAGACCTTCTTTGATGCATGCATCTAGGTAGGGCAGCTGTTCGATCGTAGTATAGGATGTAGGGAAGGAGAGACGTGCAGAGAGGAGTTCGTTGACGAGGCGTTCTTTGGATGCTGATGACTTGAGGATGTGATAGAAGATACCTTTTATCACAATAGCAAGGGTATCGGCACCGCCAAGAATCTGCAGGAGCGGTGTTAGTTCTACTCACGCCGCAGCGCAGCGATGAAACACTCACGTTGATAATCATGTATCCGATAACCTCGTTGTCGGTGACTAGATCCGGAAACTCCTTCTTTGCTTCAAGAAAGCCATTGAGAAAGTCTTTTTTCCCATTTCCAAGTTCAGGGTTCTGCATACGTTCCATAAACCGCTCAACGGAGAAGCCGGCAGCCACGGAAAAGTCATCGAACTTATAGAGTGAGCGTGGCCACTTGGGGTTCTTCCCGAGCCATTTGTCGAGGGCAGGTATTTGGCCGACCTAGTGAAGATCAGTAAGAAGCTTTGCAATCGTAAAAAATATGATGAGCTTTTGATTTAGCGTAGAACATACCACGGAGAAGTAGCGCATCACACGTTCAGCGGTTCCAAGCATATCGCCAACATCTGTACCCTGTTCCATGAAGCCAATACGCTTGCTCCAGGTCATATCACCCAAGAAGTCCCATGCGAAGAATGAGATCCAATCAGCAATATCGCATGTCTGGTCGTTGTTGGCGCCTTCCACAAAGCGGGCGTCGAGTTGACTGCATAGGGTACGGAGGTTGTCGTCCATAATACTCTCGATCTGAAGAGCGTTTTGGAGACTGTACAGCTTTTGAACTGGCTTAACATTCTTGGAGTGAAACTCATTGCTGCGCGTGCTGAAAATGTTTTGAATGAGATGCCCATCTTGAAGGGCGTCGTTGATTGACCGAAGGAGGGTTAGCATGATTCACTTCTAAGAGCGACTGCCTATGTCTTACGTAGTAATCGCTCTACTGTGATGTCAGCATCTGTCCCATAAAGCAGCCTTGTTCTATGTGCTTACCTTCAAATACGTCCCACGAGTATTGTAAATAGTTTTGATCAGACTGGCATCGGCAACACTGACGGTGTTGGGACCGAGACGAACGATATCGCCGTGCTGTTCGTGAAGTTTCCTCTGGGTCTCAATATGAGTTTGCCCATAGTGATTTAGGAAACGCCAGATATCTGAGAATTTGGCTAAAAAGGGACCAGGAATAGATTTGAGCGGGGATTGCAAGTAAGCCAGAACGTATCGAGTGATGAGAAGGACTGCCCCAAGGCCGATTGCCTTCGCGAATAACCCTGTCAATGCCATGTTGTCACTTAATTCCGCACATGCAATGTGATTCTGAAAAGGAAAGAAGGATACAACCGTAGGAGTGGGAAGAGGATTGGATATGGCTATGCAGGTGAAAAGGCCTTCCCGCTTCAGATTGTTGTGAATCACCTAGCAGCCGCATGTTCAGGTATCGGTCTAGCATATGTAAGAAGACGGGGCTAAGATCGAGTCCCCTTTGCTTGATCGCTCTGGTGCTGCCGAAGCCAAGTCCAACTTGCCCTGAGCGAGGCAAGGCGCTGCTTGCGTACATCCATGGCGTGTGTTGCTTTTTCCCACCACCTTTTTATCGCAATCCTAGGCATGGCCATTGGTCGCGAATGTCGGGGAAGCGGTCCCTTGCACTAATGACGGAGTGACAGCGGGAGGTGTGGAGTCTTACGGTTTACGGGTACTACTACAGGCTAATCATGTGGGGACCGACCGGGCCCTGCACAGCATGTGTGAGCCAGGTGAAGTTCGCTACATTTGCAGGTTCGACCGCATCAAGCTCCTATGGTGGGTTGCAATGCATCCCGAGCTCTCTTGCCAGTCCCTGGACCACGGCGCAAATGAACACGCCTATCTGCGTTCCATGGCCCTGGGAAACTGCCTCGTGGGATCTGACTCCTTCGCTCCTTCGCTCCTTCACTCCTTTCCACACGCCGCTATTGGTTAGACCGACGTCGATCCGTCGGATGTGTGATTGAAACGCCACTAAAGATCGCTTAGCCGAGTCTGGTGTGTGGCCCACAACCGACACTCACGATTAGTAGTGCGGGCAACGGCCCGTCACGGAAAGGCCAAACGTTCCTGTGCGACTTCAGATCATCGAATTCTGCATGTGAGAACAAATTATCGCAATGCCATTTCGAAGCCACTTGCGTAGCATGAACTATCCAAGGTTTCGCGAAGGACCTAGCTTAGTTGACTAGTGCACAGCAACGCATTCCAGAGACGGGATGTTACGAGATCCAAACCTGATAGGCCTCCACATTCGGGAACAATGGATAACCGGTAGTCGCATACTCCGAGTTTTGGACACCCATTGGTCCTGATGCCTTTAGCTTCATCGCTGAACGGTGAAGGAACACCATCCTACCCCACCTGGGCGCTCAATCTTGGGGATTTCTCATCACGCGGATAATTGTCCCTCAGCGAATCAGACGAAGCGGACCCATTCACAACAGAGCCTGTTGGACCGCAGGATGTGCTACATCAACCCGCAAGAAAAAAAAAAGCATTCCATCTCTTCCTTCGTGCTATGCAAGCTGTAAGATACAAGACGTTTCGGCAAATGAAGCGCCAACGGGGTATCTTGCTCCGGTAGTTCTGCGAGGGATTCGTGCTCAACACGTCTCCTAGGTATGCAGAATGAACTACTCTAGAAAGAAGTGAGGCAGGAAACGGGAACTAGTTGGCAGCAAAGCAAAAGCAGCCTACCAACGTCAAGCTACACAAGGGTTCAACGGAAGACTGCTTTTTCTCAAGGCCTCGCATGCATGAAACCTCACTCATAGCGCCTCTTTGCAGGGCAATGGGAGCGACAAGAACGGCAACAAAGCTTTGACACTATGCCTTGTTTGATTGCCTATGCAGGTCCCGAGGATTAGCGGACTGTTTTGGCTTGGAAATCCGGCCCCCCCTTCAGTTTCCCAGAGCCACAACGGGGTTGCAATGATGCGCTCGGGCCGTGGACGTACATGCGAGTATGTTTGCTCTTCAGCATGGGTGTCTTCGAGGGCACAATTGAGGCTACAGATGCGTCAGTCTAACATTCCTTGCCACCACTCGAGTTGTTGATCTGAACATAAAACCTTTCGCACCGAAGATAGGGCTGCCTTCACCTCATCCATAATTGTCTCTTCTTTGGACACGAGCCTACACGCCCATCAGCGACACACTGGAATAGCAAAGGACGAGGAGAGAGGTCCCTTTCCAGGTTGTCAACCATACCCAGGTACCAGCAATCAAGATGGGCAAGCCAGCGGATTTTGCGGGCATACTCAATGGAGTGATGTGGTCTCAAGTCTTCCTTGGTACTGTGCTTGTCGCATTGCGAATGTACACAAGGCAGTATATTGTGAGAAATCTCGGATGGGACGACGTACTGATGTTGGTCAACCTGGTACGTTTACACCCCTTCACAAACTTCAACTCGGTGGTTCGTCAAAAGCTCAAGGAACTGATTTTCGAAGGCTACTTTCATCGGTTATGTTGGCTGCGTATCTGTTGGCATCACCTATGGTGTTGGCAAACAGACGGCCGATATCGTACGACTCGACCTCAACTACTCCAAATCGATTATGTGGGAAGCCATCGGTCAAGGTATTTGCATCATGGGAATAGCTGCCTCCAAGGGCTCAGTAGCGCTCTTTCTCCTGCGCATTGTTCTTAAGAGATGGCACATTGCTATTCTTTGGTTTTGCATAGCGAGCACGACAGTGCTTTGCATCATCACAACAACACTTTTGTACACTCAGTGTGTACCATCGGCGTTCTTATGGGATCAGACAATCGAAGGCGGCTATTGCTGGCTGAACTTTACCGAGGTCGGTCTAACGATGGGTGCTTGGTCTGCAGCTATGGACTTCGTTCTCGCTCTCCTCCGTACGTCACCTTGCCGTAAATCATTCCTAAGTAGATACTGACCGTTCCCAGCCTGGCACATCATCATGGGGCTCAACATGAAACGCAAGGATAAGATCACGATCGCATCTGGTCTTTCTTTAGGCATTTTTGCCGGTGCGTGCTCTGTTGTCCGTACCATTGAACTACGATCCATGTCCTCAATGGAGAACTATGTGTACGACACCGCGAGTATGCTTCTTTGGTCTTCCACCGAAGTATTCCTCACCATTGTTTGCGCCTGTGTCCCCGTTCTTCGACCGCTTTACGTCCGCATCAAATACGGTTCACGTGGCGACTCCTCAGGCCAGAACTCCTATCCACTCAAGGAGTACTCCAAGTCCAAAAGCAGTCGTGGTATGGATGGAAGTAGGAAGTCAGATAAGATATACATGGGTCCTGGGGAGAGTGTTTTGCAGACAACGGTTCGAATGGGGAGTGATACAGCAAGTGAGGAGACGATACTCAGGGAGAGTCATGGGAACAATGGTTGGAACCATGAGCCGAAGGACCCGGGCGATATCACCATCACCACCACTGTCACTTCGAGGGACGATTACGTATGATTGAAAGCGAGTTGTGTAGATATAGTAGTGCTTGCTACCATTACGTACTTAATAAAAGCTACTTGCAACATCACGAACAGGCCGAACACTTGGGCAATGCTCACTCATCATATTCTCATGTTCGTCGTGAGATTGACAGTAAAATTCTCGACAACTATACAACTGCTGACAGCTTGCTTGGAAGTGTGGGTCATTGTACTACAGCGTATAGGTTTGTGCTGATCAGACTTGCCGTCCCCCGCTCTTTGACATAAGTACATCTTAGCAAGCACGCAGTTACAACCCTTGAAGATTTGAGCCCCCCGAAGCACTGTATGCATGTGAAGACCAGAAAAGTTAGAGTGCTCTTAATATTGCACATCACAACTAATAAGACCCCGCTCATGAACGGTAAACGCCTTGTTGGATTGCGAACGTCGAAGGCGCATGAAGGTTGCTTTTGCGCGGAATGCGCAGAGGTCCGTGGCAGCTGGCAGCCGTAGATCTCCACACCCCCATTCCGACAAAAGCAAGATGATCAATCTACTAGCAGCTTACAGGACCCCTGATATCTCTGAGAAGTGTCTGATTCAGGTTTTAATGGGATTGCGATTTTGGCTCATCTGCATCCCGAGGGCGTTTCCCGGGCCCGCAGTTTTGCCCTGCGGAAGCTTGCAGGGGTCATGGCGCTGCCGCAGCCGTCGCATCACCTCTTATGTGTAGCTCCCACTCTCCCCTCTTTGATCTTGCTTTTGAAGCGCATTATCTCCAGATACGCAGGAAGTGCGCTGCAGCAGAATCTGCAAACGGTACGCCCCCCGCTCATGGTGTTATCCACTCGGAAGCAGCGACATCCGTGCCTACCTGGTTAGCTCAAGGCGCTCCATGGGCTTCTGGAGGATGGACGCAGAAATTTGCTATACGGCGGCGCATATACGGTCGGTAAAACTTTTATTTTGTTCGCGAGAGTAACAGATCGACTTCAGATCTTCAGCAGTTCTACGCAGATGGGTAACACCCATTCGTTCGGAAGTTCGTCCCGCGCCGGATCGTAACCTGGGATTTCAACGCAGCATCAGATCTCGTATGCTTTTACATCTCAAAGTGGTTGAGTGCCGCTCTCGATTGTGTTTGTCAGCGGTATTGGTGACTAGAAGGTGTGGAGGAAGAGGTGGAGACGATGCATTCCTTGTTCGATCGCGACAATCTGTGAACGATGTAATCTTAGTATCAAGTGAGAAGAAAAAACAGAGCCGAAGATCGACAGCGACAGGGAACCAATGATATCAGAATTTCCTATCACCAAGGCTGTTGACAGAAGACGATCTGATGCCAACAATGCCACAAGTTTAGTCACGAAGAATCTGCCTCCTTCCCTTCATAGCAAAGTCTTCATCGGTGGCGTCGCCATCATTGTGGACCTCAAGGTGACGGTCATTCATTCAGCGACACCCTGATAGTGGAGAACATTCGATCGAAGGTCTCCGCGGTCACTCGTTCCGACAGTTCTACCAAATTGCGACCAAGGTCCTGGTGAACTGGGCCCCACATTCTTCACAATATAACCTTCTTTGTCCGTCAACGCTCGAGAGCAATGTGACGGTGTATGGCTGGAGAAGCAAGGTCGGTACGTTTCGATATGGTCGTCTTCGTCATGTTCATCCTGTGTCATGGGCTCCACAGTGGTTGACACAGAGATTCGGCGTCGTTCTATCGATCCGTCAGCATGAACTCTGGCTAACAACGCACGTCCCATAACAGCATCGATCAAGCCTGATACCGTCCGAGCATGTTATGGGAGACTTACTGTTAACTGAATTTTGCCGTTGTAGCTCCTCGTACTCATGTTCTGGAAGGTACGCGTCGCATTTCATCGGAGTGCACGCGCGGGATATAGGCGAGCCATCTGCAGTGCTGCTTGCTGGATTGTTTGGTGAGTGGATGCTAGTATTTGTAGACGTCGTCGTGGGAATGGAACCGCCAGACAGGGCATCGTGGTCGGTGAGCTCGAGGCTATGAGGCCAAGGCTCATATTCAAACATGTCAAAATGGGCACCGATGGAGCCCAATTCGGTCATATCGACGCCTCTCTTTGCGACTGGAGATGGGGCCCTGGCTTGAACATCGCGACGGTATTGGTCCTCCCGGGCTTGGATGCGGTCTGGGTGGATGTCCGAGTCCCGACTACTGGAAGGCATACTGCCTACATGTGATGAGATTATGCAGGCCGAGAGATTCTTGAGTGGAAGAGCTGAGAGTGAGACGAGAGGCCGGTGGCAAGGAGTGTCAGGCAAAGCGATAAGATCATCGGTCGGGATAAACAAGAACGGAGAGTAACGATATTGCCCGTCGAAACCAGGAAGTTTTCAGTACGTTTGTCAAGACATCAAAGAGGTTGGCTAACATTGAGCATTTATATCATAATGTCTTTTCTTAGGGTACGCAATGTGCCGTCGTCTTCCACATCATCTTGCACAGTCAATGTCGTTCCGAGTCTTGCTTGTCAAAATGCACCAATGCAGATCAACTTCCCACGAAAACACCAACAACGAATGCATAAAGTCGGAGATGCCGTAGAATCGACCGGGACCGAGGCTCGAAAGTAGAACTGTCGTCCGAAACGTCTTCAAAGGCACAAGCTTATCGCATGTGATGAGCAGCTGTCTTGCAATAACACGCTAGTACCTGTGTGTTCCCGATGGTAAGGCTTCAACGGCGGCGCCGAAATAGCACAACAACGCTCTCGAAGCTTTGGAGTCATGTGTCATGCACGCTTAAGACGTCACTATGGTGGCTTCGGCTGTCTCCAATCTACCGGGCCAGCGGTCGAATCGCGCCAAGTCTCATGCGGATGGTAGTAATCATCCATGGGACTTTCTTGCTTGTACGAATACCGCGACCGGTAGTGTATGGGCATGTAAGATTTTATCACGGAAGCTTTGACTTACTGGGTGTAATCGGCGCACTACGGCCAGCCCTTCCAAATGGCACGTGGACGGCGGTGAGTTGATGCTTGAGGCATTCACCTCTCGAAAATTACCCACTAGTAGACCTGCACACCATCATGCACGCCTCGCATATCGTAGGTGAGTTTACTGCCCTGTTTTGCTGGAGTGCGCATGGAAATGGTACGACGGTGGTACAGTTCACGCGTCGTGCCGTCCCAAGCCCATCGCATCGGGTGGTGGCTGCATATGCAAGAATACATCCGTAACACCGAGAGCGATCAGATATTTTTAAATTTATTCTGCGCATGAGTAAAGATGATTATAGATCGAAGGTAGCAAAGCAAAGATCGCAGATGGCGCGCGAACATTCGCTTGTTCCTTGTCTATGGTACCGCAGACCAATACTGACGGAGAGACTACATGGCGTCGTTATCGACACACATCTGGGTGTGTACGTTTGATAAACAGGCGTGCTAAAGTTACTGCGGTATGGCTTTGATCGCAGACATTCATCGCCGGTAGTACAATGGCACCCAATCATTATCCTACAGTACACAGTGAGTCACTGGCGTCACCGCACTTCAGACGAAACAGCGGTAAGCTTCGTGAGCCGTGACGTTCTCGTTCACCGGAAGCAAGCCTTGTGCGCCAGAAAGAGGGGTCAGTGATGCCGGATAGCGCGGTGAGAACGCAATTTCCAACGGTGCAGTAAATGATATCCCTACTCTTCGTTGATGTTGCGGTGTGTTCTGAGATTGTAAGATCGATCATTTCTCGGACGTGTTGCACAATATGGACAATGGTCTTCCAGAAAATTGGATATGCCGTGCGACGCGGACGCATGCGGCATCAACGAGCCTCGTGTCATGACACCCGCACCTGTCATGGAGGTTGATCCCGCGTCCCACCCAATACACCCCAGATAGATCTAATCTTACCCTAATGCCGGATCAGACGCTACTTTTCTGCTGGACGAGACAACAACGAGCTTTTTGGATCCTACCCAAGGCAAAGTTGTAGGCGCTGCTTTAAGCTTTCATCCTTCGTCTCTTCACGACTGGAAGTGAACGCACCGGGGTCCTTTTATAATCGAAACATCTATATTTGATGTAGCATCTGGGCCGCGCTCACACCGAGCGCTAATCCCAGGGGATATGGCCTGGCGAGAAGCTCGAGTAGCCTGAAATGACTACCTACGGCCAACGCGAGGTGGGGTCGGCCTGTCCGATGCTGCCAGCCTTGCCCGCACGTCATCGCACAGCATCTCTTACGCATTTTGGCTGGGAGACCGGAAGAGTACGATGTAAGACGCAAGCATGTCAAATTTCAAAGAGCAAGACCATATCGACGTCGGCGATTCCGAAGCCTTAAATCACCGCGCATAAGTGTACTTGGGTAGCTTTGTTCAAACGAAGTGCTGCGTGGTGCGCGAGAACAGAAATCAAATGGAACCGATGAAGGTAAGCGGTAAGCAGGGCCAGTGGGGACAGGGATCGAGATTTGATCTAGATAATTGATACCTGGAGTAAGTCGGGTCGAGATCATTTTCCTATCGCAAGGTCCACGGGTTGTTTCCAAGGCGTGACGTCATCATCGCTGCTGTGAGCATTCCGACGACTGCAGGAACACCACAACGCATTTTACATTCTACGAACTGTCCGTCTCTACTCTTGCCGCAACCTTCTCTTTCTTCAACCCAGTGACAGTCTCTACATGATCCGTTCCTAGTACTGCGGCCTTGATAAACAGACTTGCGACAAAACTCAAGAAGGCGAGTACCGTATACGTGATCCACATATTGCGCATCGCATAGGCAAAGGCTTGTTTTGCAGCAAGTTCCCATGCCGGGTTTTGCAACGTAGCAGGAAGCATGACATTCGCCAACGCGCTGTCGCCATCGAGCTGATTTAGTAGATCCTGAGGTAGCCCAGCATCTCGGAGCAAAGAAGCCTGGCTGTTCATCGAGTTTTGAAAGATTGTGCCGCCGATGATGGTGGATATGGCGACGCCAATGTTACGAACGAAAGACAGTGTCGCGGTAGCGGTAGCGACATGTTGCTGTTCAACTTGACTCTGGATAGCAATCATTGGTGCTTCGAACAAGATCCCGGATCCGAGACCGCCGACGATTACGCAACCCACTGCTTTCCCGGTCGAGGTGTATGCGTCGAAGGAGATGAAGAGGCCGAAACCAATGGTGCAAATCACGGTACCCACCCAAATTATCTCGCGGAAGTGACCAGTCTTGTGCATGATGAGGCCGCAGAGAACTCCAGCAATCGCACCTGTGACGATAAAAGGGAGAAGGAGCAATCCAGATCGTAACGGAGAAGCTTCGAGGACGGCCTGGAAATACAGCGGCATATAGTACTCGCCTGCAATGAAGACGAAGCCGTGGAAGAATACGACGAGAAAAGCGGCGACGTTTGTTCTCCGACGGAACACCGTCATGGGAATCAACGGGTACTTGGCCACTTTTGCCTCGCTGTAGATGAACGCAAAGATCATGACTCCGCCTACTACGAGTAGAGCGATGACCTTGGACGAGTCCCAAGGGAATATTACGCCACCGAAATCGAGACCCAAAAGGATCATGAGCGTGAAGCCGAGGAAGGTGAAGATGCCGAACCAGTCCACAGCTCTGATGCCATCGATGAAGGAGGTGTGTTCGTGCTTGATGTCCAAGAACAGAACTATGAGTATAGCAGCGAATCCACAGATGGGTAAATTGATATAGACTGGGTGTCATGACGATTAAAGTCAGCGCAGGCCTGTAGAGGGGGAAGCGAAAAGAATGCCACTTACAGCACCATCTCCAAGTCACAAGACTAGCAAAGATACCGCCCAAAACTGGTCCGATACCTCCTGCCAGCGCCCAGATACCCTCGGTGAAGCCCTACTCACAGCAATTAGCCAGAAAACTCCTACAATACGCCATGCCAAGTAACTCACCATCAACAGGCTCCTCTGCCTCAGACTGAACAAATCACTAATACAAACATGCACCAACAGAATCAACCCCCCACCCGCAGTACCCTGAAACGCGCGCCCGATAATCAATTCCTGCATCGTCTTCGCTGTCGCACAAACCGTCGAGCTAGCAAAGAAAACGGCAAGTGCAGCCAACATGATGGGCTTGCGGCCCCAAATGTCAGACAATTTGGCCCAGATAGGGCCTGAGGCGGCGTTGGCAAGCAGGTACGCGCCGCCGATCCAAGTGTAGCCCGTGGCGCTGTTGAGGTCGCGGGAAATGGTGGGGAGAGCTGTGGAGACGATTGTTGCGTCGAGGGCTGAGACGAAGAGGGAGAGCTGGGTGGTGGTTAGCTTGTTGCATGGGAGGGTTTTGTAAGAAGATTGGGAATTTCGTTCATCGAAGATGCCATGGAGAAGGTAGGTAGATCCAAACTTACAAAAAGCGCAGTGATGATAGCCACCATTCTTAACCTGCTCCTCTTTCCACTTTGGGCTTCTTCTTCGACGCCCATTCCTTCCGCTGGTTCCAATTGCCCTTTCTGTACCATGTCTACCTCGTTTTCCCCCGTCTCGGTTGACTCAGGTAGCCTCCGTATATCCATTTCTAGCTCTTGCTGCATCGCGTGTATAAATCGGAAACCAAATACGCGTGATTGTGCTCAAAGCGAAAATAACTATGTCGAGCTAATAACCAGATCCAAACATAACGATTCCAAGGAACAGAAAGCGCAGAATGTGCACTTTGAGAAGAAGTTTCACTCCGATAGCCAGAACATTCAATAGCCAACTGAACTTGGCTCGAAGGATGGTCATCCAAACGAACAAAAGAGATCTAAACGTCTATTAGCCATAAGCGCAAAGAAGAAGCCCATTTTTTTCACCGCGTCACCGCCAATGCCACCCGCCAATCGGAGTATATAAGTGGGGCAGACTAAACGGCACCTGGGTAACTACTTTCCTATACAGGCTAGACACCTTGCGCCCTTCCAATGCTCCATGCCGACATGCATACCTGGTTTAGCTGCTTGCGCGTGGAATCCGGGGGAAACGAGAGGTCCGAGAGGATATGTTGACTGGTTTAGGTAGCTTAGGATATGGAGGTAGACTAGTCGTTGCTTATTCTGCGTGCTACCTAGGTACGGAGTCATACTGCGTGATTGTAGGCAGATGCATGACTGGGACATGTCGGCGTGTCGCCTGGGATACGGCGGTGTGCAGAGGGCCAAGAGATGGGGTATGCGCAAGTGGTATGCGGATGTGTTGCTTTTTGACGAAGGCCGAGAGGGAAAGGGCGTAGTCCTGGATGCATGTAACGCTACCTTGTAGTTTCATCGTCTTTAGGCTTGTGAATATTCGATGGTATTGTACTGATAAGCCGCATATGAAGATTGTCACAATTATCAAAACAAGTCTATCTACTCAACGACAACAATGATATTATCTACAGACGCAAACCCCCCATACGTCTCACCCTCAACCACCTAGTAGGGAATTCCATTAGTAATAAGTTGGAACCGATCATACGTTCCGGTCGAATAACTCCCCCTACTCTTCTCAATCAAGCCCCTCATGTAATCCGCCGCCTCCCTCTCGCTCTTATCCAGCACAAAGCGATCGCGGAAGTTCTTCATGCTCTCAGGTTTAAAGCACGGCAGTCCACTATCCAACATGACCTGTACGACGTGGCAAAGATGCTCACAATGCTGCCTGCTAGCAAGGAAAGCCTTGACAGTGAGTTCCTCGAACCAGCGGTACGCCTGCGATTGATACGGGTTCGCTGCATTCTTGCCAGACATGACGGCGATCATTTCGGCTGTGAGTTTGAAGGGCGCGCGCTCGAACTTTATGCCGCCCGGTGCAATGTCGAAGCAGAAACCAAAGTCGATGTGGATGATGTGACCCGCGTCGTCGATCATGATATTGCCGTTGTGTCGGTCCTTGAACTGCAGGAGGAAACTGATAACGGAGTAGGCGGCCATGGATTTCACAAAGTTGGAGCGCGCTTCTTGGTAGCGGATCGAATCTTCGTTGCCGTAACGTGATACAAAATAGTCATCTAGTCGGTTGACGGCTTCACGACCGAGCATGTCTCGTGATATGGAGTTGGGAAGTACGTCAATGACTCCGCAACCCGGTGCGGTAGCTGTGACGCGGTAGGGAAAGACCCAGACATCAAGCCCGACAGTATTGAAGATTCCTCGGAAGGCAGCAATCATCTGTAGCGCGAGCACATCTTGGCGACAGTCGTCTCCAACTTTGAAAATTGCAGAGAGCCATGTTTCGTAGCTGTTGTCCCGCTGACGTGCAATGTCGCGGTTGTCGTCTTCTTGATCTTCCAGATCTTGATCATCGGGCCTCGTCTTTCTGATACGGAATGTAGCCATGAAAGGTGTCTTTGCGTGACTCTGTAGCGGCTTGCCGGACTTGCGATCAATACCAATGACTTGACCATCTGGGTTGGAGGGCAGGTAAACACCGACTTCCACTTGAATCTTGCGAAGTTCTTCTTCGATCTTCTGCTTCTTTACCTCTTTGGGTTCGTGCAGGACTGAGCGTAGGGTACCCGAGATGCCTGTGACTTCATTGAAGAAAGCAAACTCGCGCTCGTAGAAGGCATGGTCTTCCTTCGAGAAACTGGACTCCAAGCTACCCATCACCTTGTCAAGCGTGGGTTTGACGGGATCAGGCACCTCGGATGCTTCATCCTTGTACGCGTTTGCCTTCATGTTCCAGATGATTTGGTGAGCAAATAGCTGCGAGAACTTGGCCGTCTCGATGATGTACCGCTCGACGTAGCCCAGGACGTCGTATCGAAGGGTTTGTACAATCTGATAGACGTAGAAGAACATGACGTCAACCGAGTGACTCTCTAATGCTCTCATTGCATACTGGATGATAAATGGATGGTTGCCGTAAGCTGGAAGGAAGTATGTGACGGCCGTGATAGGGTTCACAGGCTTCCAGTAAAGCATATACTTAAGCTGGAATGACACATCACTCGGTAAGAGATTGCCTAGAAGGATCTCGAGAGCATCCGGCTCATCCAAAACCTTGTGCGGGAAGTTGAGTACCTGCCATCGAACCTCGTTGTTGAGGCGCTGCGACTGGAAGCGCTTGAGGAGGTGTATAGCAATGGCTGGGTTCTCTGTCCAAGCCGTCTTCAAATGAGTAGACACGGCAGTCTTGCTACGTCAGCTCATATCGATTCATATATACAGATGACTTACATCAGGAAGTGTGTTGTTGTGGCGCCCAGAAGTGAAGTGATGCTTCTTGCCATAATCAAGTGGGAACAACCACACCATGAGACGAGTCTGCTCGTTCGAGAGCAGCAGAGAGAGGAGCTCTTGCTTCGCCTTCAATTTTGTGCCAATATCACTAGCAGTCGTGATCTTTCCGATAAGGTCAAGCTGCGCCTGCACGTCTGCAAGGACATGTGTTTCAGCCTTGATCTGCAGGCGGTTGCCTCCAAAGGACCATTGCGGGGCTTTCGCAAACCACGCCAGAGCAGCAGTCAGTATGCGATCCGTCAGGCGCCATCTAATGGTCGCCGACAATGTGGTACAGTGACGCGCAATGCGCAATCCAAGTAGAACGATATGGAAGTACGACTCGCGAGCAAGCGGCTGCGAGCAACCACCACTCATGGCATCGAGCGTGATGTGCATTAGCCGAACGTAAACACGCTCCACATCCGCTCTGCTCAACCTCGAGGCACTGAAATGGCTAGACAAGAACTGCAGTAGGCGGAAGTGCGGAGCGATCAGGTTGTAGATCTGCTGCTGGCGTTTCGAGAGTGCTTCTTTGTCTGTTGCAGCGAATTCTTGCTTTCCGTAGAAAGGATCTTCATGTCTCAGTGCAGGGCTGAAGATACCACGACGCTTGCGCACCGTGTTCTCCCAGTTTTCAGCAATGGCGACGAGGATGCGGGATTCCATACGAGGGTTCTCTTTGGCAACGCTCGTCCACAGTGAGATACCCAGCTTGATGGACTGCTTCGAGAACACGGCGAAGGGAATTCCAACCAGGTGCTGAACGATAGGCGACTGGTCTGTCTTGACCCTGCATAGAAGCGCAGCCGCTCTTCGCAATATGTCGCGAAGCTCAGCAATAGTCACATGCTTGTGATTAAGGGTGCGGTTCTCCAAGTCCACTAGAAGATTCGTCGCTTCGTGTAAGCTTCGCGAGAGGTATGTCGACTTCCGCCCAGAAGCCGGTGCGCCCTGAAGCCATTCCTCTTCTTGATCAGCAACGCCCTCGAGAAACTTGTATTCCTGTCTTGTCGTATATTGAGTGATGAAGTCCGACGCAGTGTTGATGTTGATGCCCTGGCGTTCAATAGCACCAAGTCGCTGGTCGGTTGATGGAATGACAGACCCCATCTCCAACGCAAAAGATCGTCCTAGCGATATATGACCAAAAGTCATTTCATCATCGAATTCGGACAGATAGGATTGGAGAAGCCCTTTGACATCGAGTGGGGCAATATCAAGCGCTCCTTTCACCCAAGCGATTGCACGCTTGTGTAACGCCTCGAGGGTCGCTCGGCGGAAAGCATAGTCATCGGATAGTTCCACCACGATGTTGGACCGCTTTGATGTAAAGGTTGACTTCCAGGTATAATCATCAGTCTCGCCTTCAAGGCAACTGTACCACATCATTGAAAGGAGCTCCAAGAGGGCAAACAGCGCACTCTTTTGACATAGTGTGGATGGCACTTCGCGGATAATGATATCTGCACAGGTAGCTGCCGCTTGCTGAACGCGGGCAATACGATGACAGCACGCGGAAAATATCGTCGCTAGCTGGCGCGCAAGGTACGGGGTCGAGAATGTATGGGATTGACCCGACAGCGTCTTTGCCAGATAGGTTCGAACGGCCGTTGTTGCAATGGCAGCCATACAGTTACCCACTGCGCCAGTTCGTAGCTTTGGATCAAGAAAGTACGCAAGCGCCTTGGTGCAATCACCGGCACTTGCGCGTAAATCTTCGACCAGATAGGCAGTGCTCAAGAAGACTGCTTCCTGATAACTCAAGGACTTGGTGTCGGGCTCACATGACGGAAGCAATTTCCCAAGCCTCTTCTTCTGCTCGACTGTATGTTCAGGCGACTTACCGCGACGCAACACCGTGTTGAGTTCGATGTCACTTTCCGAAAGAAAGGGCCGCTCCTCTGCGATGAGAGGCTTGCTGAACCGTGCAAGAGTGCGCAACTCTTCCCTGTGTTGTTTACCAAGATCGGACAGCAGATCGAAGCCGTGAACAACGATATTGAACCAAGCATCACGCTGGAGCCCGATGATGGAATCATCTAGCTCAGAAAACTCAGCTCGTTCCGCATTCCGTTCAAGCAAAAGAGCGAGAGGCTTGAGTATCTGCGCAATCTCTTGAGCTGCAAGCTCCGTATCTCTGAGATGGCGATGCGAAGTCTCCTGGGCATCTCCCTTGCTGACGATGGTGTCTAGCAGATGTGTAAGATAAATTTCGAAGGTAGGCTCATCGGCAGAAATCTCCCTAGAGAGGTTGAGACGCGCAGCCATGACAGCTTCGAGTGTAGCCACATCGTCTGAAACCAGTGCATCATGCGAGAGTTTAGTGTAGACCTTGAGCAAACTTCTGAACTCTCCAGGCGGACTGTGTACACCCAAGAAAGCCGAATCGGTGATGATCTTTGCATCCACAACTTTTCCAGAACGGCCGACCTTCTGGACAAGCATCGACAGTGCCAATGCCGTGATCTTGGGATCTTTGCAGTTTCTCGCGACAGATACAATAGTCTCCACGACTGTGGTGTGTACATGGTGCGGCTCGTCGACATCACTTGGTGTGAGTGAGATGGTGCTGCCGTTCTGGTTTTGATAAACACCACCTGTACGTGCAGGCTTGCCGTTGCCGTTCAAGGTTGGAGATGAAGACGGGTTGCGGTCAGGTTTAGGAGCGACGCTGATGACATTGCCCAAGCTGTACAGTGTCGTGATGATGGCATCCTGGGGAAGAAGAGTTAGGACAGCGGCGAGCGACTCAGCTGCGACAGAAGTTGTTCGATGGTCGAAGTTGGCTTGAACAATGACTCGAGGGAGCGAACGACCGAGGCTAGACGCCAGCTGCGGCGAAACTTTGGCGAGGATGGCCATAGACTTGAGGACTGTGGAAGCCAATTCATGGTCCGCACTCTGTACCGGATCGTTGAGCACATTGTCGAGCCAGGTAGTCAAGACCTCTGCGTCTGTGACATCCGTGTCGTCGTCGTAAATGGTACAGCAGAGATACGTGACGAGTACCTTTGCCTTGACGGAAGAGGCCTGCTGCTGCTGCCAAGCAGATCCAACCCGTTGTAGATAATCCATATCATTCTCCAGACGTTCCATCTCCTCTCCTGCGATCTTAGCCAACCCCTCAGCCAACGAGTTCTCAGCTGAGTCCCTAAGAATCTGGTGGTTCTTCCTGTGGAGCGTGGTCTGCAGGTGATCCAGAATGGCCGTTTGCGAAGTGAGGTGCGCACTGGTCCCAACCAGCAGCGAAGCAGACGCCAGCACGACCTTCAGAAAAGAGTCGTGCAGAATCATCGCACCGAGTGGTCGTCCAGTAGCAGCATAATGCTTCGTGTACCGCTTCCACTCCCTCAACCCATGCTGGTGGGAGCGCGCATTGCGCACAATCGACAGCACGGTTTCGAATGCGATGAGGAAGTTCTCCGTCAATGCTGCTCGGACGTCTTGAATGAGTTGGAGTCTCTCGTATGCATTCCAGAAATGGGCGTGCTCAGCAGCAGCACTCAGGAAGCCCAGCAGCGAGAGATTGTGTGTCATGACGCGCGCCAGCTCTCCATCGGCAGCGTAGTCGTCGGCCCCATCGTCGACGAATTGTTCCCCCGAGAGCTCCGCAGCTGCTTCGACCCAGCCGGAGAGGTAAGCACCGAGTGCAGTGGCAGCTTGTGTCCGTAGCTGATCATGCCGAAGGCCGAGCGAGAGGACGGCACACGTGAGGCTGTAGGTAAGAACTTCGTACGGCGCGGGCTCGAAGGTGCGTAGGCTGGGCGAGGGCGCAAGCGTCTGCGTGTATGATGCGGTGAGGTATGGGGAGAGGCGTGTCAGCAGCTTCTCAGCGACGTCAATCGACTCGATGTAGGGTGCAGATTTGCATAAGGCGAGGACAGCCTCCAGCTCTTGCAGTTTCATGGAGCTTGCCGCCGGGCATCTTTTGAACAGCCTCGCAAAGTCGGAATGGGTGGCATCTACCGACGGCGACTGCGCGGACAGACGAGCAAGCTTCTCGAGCGCATTGCTTCGTATGGGGCGTCTGCAGATGATAAAATCAGCGACCTCTACATGTCCACTAGTATATAGCACTTACGCCATCATGAAGACGCTTCCTGATGTCTCCGCCGAGCGCTCTGGTGTAGCGCGGTATAGGAACGCGTGGTAATGAGTTGTCTCTGGCCGAGTGACGAAACTACCTAATCTCGGGGTTAGTCGGAGATGCATCCACGCTCATTGGTCGTAGCTTCCATCACCAACACTTTCCCATCAGCAACCCAAAGCTAGCCCAAGTCAACTTCAACAGCTCACAAATGAAAACTCAGTATACATTGGGCCTGAAAGTAGTTCAGTTAGGTCCAGTGATATTGGTAACAAGACTCTCCTACACTCCAGTGACACATGCCCCAAGGAATCTCCTTCGATAAACGCCTTGCCAAATCAAAACATGGAACCCCAACAGGCTTTCCTGTATGCATAAGCGCCATATTCAACACCAATACTGCAAGCATTTTCAATCGTCTGCTGGTTCAACGCGGACGAGCACCTCCTCAAGGAAACCCTCCAAGAAGCCTGCGACCTCTCCACCCATGCCCACCTCTCCTTTCTCGTCCCAGTGATCCAACTCCTCAAATTTACCCTTTATTTCATTGACTAGGCGAGTGACCTTTTCATGGCATTCTTGCCTTTGCCGTCTGCGCTCAATGAAACCCTGCGCATCATCCAGCGACCGAGCCGATTCTTGCTTGTTCCTAACGCTAAGATGATAGGCACGACGAGACAGTGCAGCCTCAAGGGCTGGTATCACCACACCGCTGAGTGCTGTGATCTCGACGGGCGCAGCTGGAGAACCTTGCGTTTGAACGAGGCTGGGATGATTCGACGTCGGCTTGGGTCTACCAAAGGAGCCGCGGGACATGGGCGAAGGCTTGGTGACGTGTGGTGGAGGAGGAGGGGGTGACTGAGCGACTTGTTGCTGTCTTGGCTGTGACTGCCAATTTGAGGACATTGGACTGCCAAATGGGTCGTTCGATGATGACGATGAGTCAGGCCGGGACGCAGAACTTGGGCTGAAAGATGTGAACGACTGTTGTGTTGGTGGAAGTGGCTTTTGCCCTGCCAGAGATGGTAGTCCTTGCTGACCGACTAGGGGCGGTAGAGGCTTTTGAACCTGCGCCGGGGTCGGTGCTTGTTGTTGCACTCGAATAGGACTTTGTAACGGCTTCGGTGCTTGGCTTTGCGAACTGCTTTGAGCAGGACTTGCAGACTGTCCACGAAAAGGCGGTATTTCGGGTATAGTCATCTGCGGTAGAACCGAAGCGCGGCTTGGAGTTGGAACACGCTGTTGTGGTGTTACTTCCACGCTCCTCATTTCCGCAGCAATCTCCCGCTGTACGAAATCATCATAAGTGTGCTGTAGTGGTGTTTGTCGCCTCGGCTGTTGCGGGGTCTGTGGTTTTGTTGGTGTGACTAGCCCTCTGTTGGGTGGAGGCTGGAAAAGGCCAGGCACAGGGGACTTTCGTGGAAGCTCTGGGGCTGGTTGAGGGAATGAAGGAGCTGATCTTTTCTCTGGTGATGCTGGCAGCGGTACCCGAGCAGCCGTCCTCACAGAACCGGGTGAGCCTTGTGTTTGCAGTGGTGCTAAGCGTTTAGTCGGCGAAGGTGGTTGCCGGAGGGTGTCGTCGTTCTCATCGCCGTAGCCACCGCTGTTCTGTGTAACAGGCTTGCGTTGTGGCGAAGGGTTCCTCGCATTGGCACCCGCATCGTTCATTGGGGCGAGCGCCGGCCCTCGGCCACCTCCTGTTGGCCGCACAGTTCCAAAATCCCAAAGGTCTTCGTTGACAGGCTCCTTTCTCTTTACTGGAGTGGCTTCGTCTTCTGACTCGGCTGCTTCTTTCGGATATCTGACCTTCCAGTCCTGATATCTGGAGATGAGCTCTTGCAGACGGGCGGGCTTACCAGCCTTTCGGATGAAGTTTGTCTGTAGAAGCTGCTTTGCACTCGGACGCTCCTTAGGGTCCTTTCTCAGGCAGAGTTCGACAAACTCTTTGAAAGCGGGTGAGAAGTTGCCCTGTAGTGTTGGTGGTGGGTTTTTTGGAATGAGGAAGAGGACCTTCATTGGGTGAATGTCGGCATATGGAGGCTCGCCGTTTGCCAGTTCCAGCGCGGTAATACCTAGAGACCAGATATCGGCCTTGCCATCGTAGCCAGATTGCTTAATCACCTCGGGGGCCATCCAGAAGGGCGTTCCAACAAATGTGTTCTTCTTCGTCATGGTCGCCGATAGTTGTCCAGAGACGCCAAAGTCAGCAAGCTTGACTTGGCCATTTGCGCTGACCAGGATATTTGCCGCTGTTATCACATTAGTCTTCTCCCGCATACAGCCGGCCCAGTGGGCGTACCTTTGATGTCTCTATGCAGCTTGTGGTCGTCGTGGAGATATGTCAAGCCCATCAATAGTTCCTTCAGTATGACTGCAATCTCAGCCTCTGCTATCTGGCCTGGCTTCATCAAATCTGCGCAGCTTCCGCCTGAGCAGAACTCCATGACGATCCACAGGTCAGAGCCGGCTAGAAAGGAGCCGTAGTACTTTGTGACGTATGGCGAGTTCATGCCGGAGAGGATCATGATCTCACCCATAATGTCGTCAACCTCGTCTTCGGCATTCTCGACGTCGATGACCTTGATAGCGACTGTGTGGCCTGTCCGTCGGTCAAGGCCTTTGTAGACCTTGCCAAAGCTACCACCGCCTATGCATTCCTGCTTGGTGTAGAGGGTGTTCGGATCGACCGACTCGTTCGCGCCTAGTTCGGCCATGTGCGCAACCTTGCACCGGGGGCGTCGAGGGTTGTATGTTGAGATGGATTGATTCTAGAGCAAAAATGCGATTAAGACGAGCGGATTGAGGATATGCGCATGCGCGGTTCCTGGGGTAAAGCGAGGGACTCGGTTCGACAGCGACGGGGGTGGTCGGTGAGCGGATCGAGCAGACTGGTAGCCGGATCTGGTGAAGAAAGGCGTCAGTATCAGGGCAAGAGACGCAGACCGTGGTATTCCACCGCCAAACAAGGCGATGTCGTCTGCACCTACCAAAGAGCGCTTGTTTCGTAAACACCCAATTGCGAGGGCAACAGCGAATGGCGGGGGTCGCAGCGGAGCGAGAACAGGTGGGCAGCTGCTCGAATCGGGAGGCAGGTGCAGTCGAGCCAGAAACCCCAGACACGGCGAGTTGGGCTTGTTGTATGGGCCGCCCGAGCGAGAGTTGGCCTGTTTACTGTCCCGCTCGCGCTCTGTTGTCATAGAGGGACATGCATGTCCGGCGCGTCAACGTGCAGGGATGCGTCGCGTTCGACTAATGAGCTCCCCGACAAAAGCAACAAATCTCGTATACTTACCACCATCGACATCGCATCAAATGCACGCAAGCATCCTTCTGCTATCGTGTCCTACCATCTTCGCCAATGAGTCGCGTCACACAAACTTCTGGAGGGCTTCTAACGTGGTTGCGCGGGGTTGTCTGCTGCTATGCGTCTCATCGCCTGTCGGACAGGCTAAGATGATTGGAGCACCAGCAACAGCCTCAAGTTTCGCCATCTGCTCCGTTGCAAACCTAGTATTCGTATTCCTCACAACGGAAACTCACTCGTACTGCAGAGCCAATGAGCATGTTAAAATAAATACATGTGACGTCATTGTAAATATAATCCTAGTAAATGGTATACGTTCCACTGCTCCGCGGCCACACCACAATGGAAGAAATCGTATCCTGTCCATCTCCGCACTCACAAACTGGGTATCCATATATCTCGGCCGTTAGGAAGCCATAAATCGTATCAGCCATGGTTCCCAAGTAATAAAGAATATCAAACGCCGCAAACAGACTCCAACGCGAATGCAAGTGTTCCAATAACCCGCTGATTAGCTTAGAAACGTCTGCGTATCCTCTCAGCAAGCGCTACATCCTCCTCGCTCTCTTCTTCCACGGGTGCTGGTGTTCTCCGTTCACGTGCACGGTGTGCTTTTCTCCTCCGGTTGTTGCTGACGTTGCTGGCCGAGTCATCCGGTCCAACCTCGCTTCTCAAATCATCGATTCCTTCATCGGGGTCGCGCATGTTGGCTGGCGTATCAGACCTGACTTCAATGCCACCCATGCCAGCACCTCTACGCTGCTGCGCCACCATAGATAATCCTGCGGCTCGCTCTCGCAGACGACGGCGCACGGTCTCGGCTTGGTTGTGGAGCTGTTCAAATGCGTCCTCCATAGCCTCCATACCAAGATAGATCTCGCGCTCGATTTCGGCAAGCACGGCAAGCTCGGTCTCTTCATCGATCTGCACAGGGGCTCCGCCGGGTGGACGGACAGACCCGGGGCGGGCAGATCCTGGTCGAGAGTACGGACTTGGGCTGAAGCTGCCGTACCGGTTCGGTGGTACCGGTGATGCGAATCGTTGCGGTCCATCGCCAGGTCGGACCTGTCCTGCTCGTGAGCCTGACCGGGGAGGTGTCGTGTTCATATCAGGCAGGTCATCGACGCCTGACCAAAGGAAGCCATCGAAGCGTCCAGAGACGAGAATCTCCCATTCGTGTTTGGTCACAGCTGCCAAGGTAGCAAGCATGTTGTGCATGTCTGGATGGCGGATGAGATACATGACTACCAGTTGGTCGCGCGGTGGAGTGTAGAGTCGATATAGACGCTGTAGCGCCAAACCGGCTTTTGCCAAGTACGGCGGCGTCCCACTGTCCGGCTTTTGCGTGCGAGGATTTGGGAGCTTGTCCAATCCCCATAAGAGTGCATAGAAGAGTGGTCGTTGTGGCTGTTCCAATCGGGTGAGCATGATGAAAGTCAACGTTTCGTCGTCAGCGTCTTCGGGGACACCGTCTTGTTGGTCTGATAACCAAGACTGCACGGCAACTTTGGTCTTCTTCGACTGCTTCTCGTAATGCTCGCGGTATTGCTCAGGTACATCAACGTCAATACGCTGGCACGGTGCTTCAAGATCAGACGATATGCCCAGTCCAGGCTCGGCACCTTGCTCATAGGGTGGCCAAGTCGGCAATTCGCAACGTCCGGACACTAATTCTAAGATTTCTCCCCAGTTGACACCTGCAGAATCTTCCACAACTGACTGCTCGAAGCACATCATGCACTGGCAATGCTCCGAAGATATGTTGCGAGCAAAAACGTTCTCGAGACGATCGAGAAGACGCCGCGCAACCGAACGATAACCGGTGGCTACCGCCAAAGATCCGCTTGTGTCCATGACGGTGTTGTAGCTGTTAAGTACATTCTGCAGAGGCTTGAAGAAAGATCGGACATCGTGGGCTTGTGCTCCAGATAGCCTGGGTGTGGTGTACTGAGAATAGGCAGAGGCTGGAACTCCATCAATAGCCGCCAGTAGACTTCGCGGGATGGCTTTGGCCAGACCGCCATTCTGGAGCAGGTAGTCGACGCGAGGAGCTTCCATCATGGCGGGAGGAGGAGGCGGGGGTGGTGGGGTCATTGGGGACTGAGCATAGCTAGGATCTACCGATTGTGTGCGCGACATGGGGTCTGTCATAACCTCGATCATGGGCGGCCCATCCTTGACAGAAGATACAACAGAGGGAAGAACAGAGTGCTGGGTAGGTGTACGTGGTGATGAATCGACCACAGAAGAAGGCGAGACATCGGAACGCGGGGGTGATTGACTGCGGTAGTGAGAGTTATGATCTTGGACAACTGAAGTGGCGTCTGAGTCGAGTGTATACTCTGAGGGCGCTCTCGTCTTCATCTTGACAGGTGTTGACGTCCTGCTTGGTGTCGACGTTCTGCCCGGGGTCGATGTCCTACCTGGGGGCCGAGCGTTGGATGGACTCACGGTCCTTGTTCTCGTCGCCAATTGTGGAGACTTGGCACGGATGGTGCTAGGCTGCGATCCAGTGGTAGAGGTGAGGTCTGTGCCGTCGAATGTATCCTCGTCTCTGACGCTGGAGCGCGACGCGATCCGCGGGCCTGCCGTCGAAGTCATGCGCGTGCCGCTGTCTACGCTTTGGCGACCCTCCTCCATCTCTCTCGCGATCATGTCGGGGTCCTTCCTTCGCATGCTGTTGGCACTGGCCGTCTTCCTAAGATCTGCGCCTGTGGTCGCAGTAAGCGGGGGACTCGGTGGTGCTCGCGGTGGGGGCGGGGGTGGTGCTCGGTTTGGTGGATGCGGTGCGACTGGCCGCTCGCCGTCCCTGCCTGGCGAGGCCTCACCATCTGTGGCCTCTGGCGTCGAGGTCGACTTCCTCTTCTCTACACCATCGCGGGAATAGATGCTCTCTTTGGCGTATGTTTTGGAGTGCGACGGGTAGGGCAAGCTGATCCTCGATGTGTTGTCGGAGCCCAACGAGCCGCGGCGTCCCATCTCGGGCACGACGGCCATCTTGTGCGACTTGGACGTTTGCGACGACGACAAGGTCGAAGTGGAAGTCGAGTTGCGCACACGGTCCGTCGAAGGGCGTCTGGGCAGCGGCGGGTTTTCAGCGTCGTCTTCCTTGGATGCCGACGAGCGGGTTTTGCGGGAGCGGGTGCTCTTATGGCGCTCGCGATCCCTATCCTTGTCCTTGGAGCGGTGGGTGCTGCGCTCGCGGTCTGGGTCCTTCTTGCTGCGGCGGCGGTGCGAGTTGGACGAAGTCTCCATGGCGAAGAGGCGGCGTGGAGCTCGTTGGTGTGACTGTGGGCCGGGACGCTGAACGGGCTTCTGCGGGTGCGATCACCAGCGCGGCTATGGGCAGCTTCAATTGGGCGTCGGATGCGGGCACTTTGCGCGGGTGCGCCTATCAGGACAGCAGCTCGCCATCCATCTACACAAATCAGGGCAGGGTGCGGTGAGGGGTTTACTGTCTTGGGTGCGTTGTAGGGGGAGTTTTGGGTTGTAGTACTCTGACGTGTAGCAGCCAAGTGGAGCGGGCTCGGGACTGGGCGCAGTGTTGACTGCGGGCTATCCTTAGCACCTGTCTAGCTCGAAGGGTCTTTCTTACCCACCCTCACCCATGGATCACCACTGCTGCAACACCATGGCAACGACTGCCTGTGGGAACTGGTTCATGCACGGCATCGCTTTAGCATGCGATGCAGCAATAACAGCAACTGCCTTGTTCTTCGACTTCGTCCATTGTGCTACCCGCACTGCCAGGAAGATGCTGGGCGCGTGGCTTCACACGCTTTGCTGGCGTGGCAGGTCACGTCACATCTCCAAGATCTGCAAGTCATCACCGTCACGGGGAACCTTCTAGCAAAGAAACATTGACATGATGGTGACTAGTCTAATATACAGGTGTGAAGGGTAGTAACCGGAGAATAGGGTAGGGAAATGCCAAACACCGCGAGTAATCTTAGCATGGGGTATCATTGTAACATGCTCGTCGTGATCCTTGACGTATGTTGATCCATGTAGAAGCCCGAAATCTCTCTGTTGCTCAATCTTGGGTTTTGTACTCCGTAAAACGCCTCCGTTAACCAAGCACAAAAAGCAGTGCAAGCCTTACCACAGCGACAACATGCAGCAGCAACGTCATCATTCACGCTATTGAGCCTGTTGGTGGGCTTGCGTGTTGTTGACATGCTGCTGAGCCAACTGGGCCCGGAGCGTGGTAATCTCGTTCTGCAGCGTGGCGATCTTATCGTTGTGTTCCTTTTCCATTCTCGCCATGCGAGACTCTATATCGCGAACGTACTGCCACACATCGACCTGGCTGCCCATGACTTCGCGCATGCTACCGCCGCTTCCACCGTGGCTTGACATGCTGCCCGGCTGCGAGCTGCTACCAGGAGCAGCCATGGTCTGATGTTGCAGCATACTAGGTCCATTGCTTTTGCCGCCTTGAGAGCCCTGCTTAGGGGGCATGGGACTGAGCCCAGGGAGAGATGGCAGGTGAGGCCCGCTGCTTGTGCTGGGCGGAGCTAAACCAACAGGAGGTGTCCCCCGCCCGCGAGTGTAGTTTGACTGCTGATGCAAGTGATGCGACAGACTGGGGGATCGCGAGCCTGGGAGACCATTTTCAGGCGCCCCCAGGCGATGCTGTTCCTGCTGCCCTGGCGATAACGGCCTGGGACTCTCCGTCATGCCACCTTGGGCGAAGACATTGGACTGCGTATTTGCGTTCTGGATCGACGAGATGCTGGTGGGAGCTGCTTTGGGCGAGACGTTAGTCGGCTGCGCAGAAGACCCTGGGTAATAAGGGCGCAAGTTGTTCTGGCTGCTCGAGCTTCGATTCGCAGCAATAGGCGGGTATGTGCTGGAATGGTGAGAATACGAACCTTGGGTAGAGTTCCCAGTGTTTTGTCGCTTGCGTGCCGGCTCACTGACTCGCCGACTACCGTCTTCATCTTCATCGCCCTCACCATCAGGCTCGCCAGTGTAGATGACACCGTCCATGCCCTCGTCGCCTTTGTCTCCGAGATCGTCATCCATGCCGAAGCTAGAGCGGCGGCCCGCACAGCCACCCTGACCCTTATTGTGTCGCGCAAGCGCATCGCCACGTGCGAACCTGCGGCCACATTTGTAGCACGTGTGCGGACGCTCGCCAGTGTGGAGTTTCGTATGACGTTTCAGATCATGCAAACGACGGAAACGCGCCTGGCACGTAGGACATTCATAAGGCTTTTCTTGACTGTGGGTCAGTAGATGGCTCTTGAGGTTATGGTGGCGAGTGAAATCCGTAGAGCAGTATGGGCACTTGTGACGCTTGGTGGAAGGCGATTTGGGCGTATTCTGGCCGTATCCAGGCAGGCTCATTTGGCGAGCCGGGGCACGTGGATCCGGCTCCGGGGGCAAAGGCCCAGGAAACGTAAAGGCGCGGTTGCCTGGGTTGTCTCCGGGATTCGGTGCGATGAGCTGGTGGTGATGTTGGTGGTGGTGCTGCTGTGGTTGCTGCTGGTGCGCGCCTTCCCGGCCTGTATTGCCGGTGGCAGCACCTTCCGCAGCAGAAGCACCCGGCGCGTTGGGCGCGTCGCCATCGCCAAAACTCGAGAGGCTGACGGGGCTCGTTTGCATGCTGTCGCCCGTGACGTTGATCTGGTCAGGGATGATGAGCGGCTTCGTCGTCTTGTCAGCCTTGTTGCTTATCGGCGCCGACTGTTGCGGAGCGTCTGAAGGTTGGCTCATGGACTGGACAGTGCCATTCAAACTTTGCAGCGCGGCGACAGCGGGATTGGGGCTCGTCTGCCTCGCGGATTGTTCGCGGAAGCGGCGCTCATCAGCGATGGCGGCGGCCCCGGTGAGCGGCTGGGGCGAGAGTCGAGGCGACAAGCCGCCGGGAGACTTTGTGAGATGGGTGCCAAAGGTCGCTCCGCCGTTGGCATTGCGCGCGGTAGAACCCGGGGTATTAGGCCCATTGTGGGTGGTGAATGGGCCGGTAGGCGTCGGCGTGATTGCTCGCGTCGAGGCAGCCATGGTGTGGAGAGGCAAGACGGTTCAATGAGCGTATCTTTACGATGGGTCAGCATGGCTTCTTTCTTTCCAATGACAGCATGCGCGTCACCCGTCTCGACTATTCAGATGGAGTGGGTGCGCATGCATGGGTCGGCTAACCTGTGGATCGATGCAGCCTCTGGTGAGGGCGCAGATGGCCGTCGTCTACCAACACTCCAGATAGATTTGGGCCGTGGAAAGCGCCAGCTTCGCAATTGACGGACGTTAGATTGCTCGCATGTGCCCTCAGTCGCAAATTGCGGCTCGGGCCAACCAAGGCGATCTGCTGGCTATTCTCCGAGCAGACGAGTACCAAGGGACGCGCAAGCACGGCGGCTGCGCGAGGAGGGCTGGTGAAGAGGCGCTGGCGACGGCGAGCGCAACGCTACAAGGGCTCCAGGAAGCCGATAAATGAGGCGTGGCCGTGGAGGAGGGGTCTTCAGTCGGCACGATGTGCGACGTGCAGGCGGACGTGGGAGCAGAATCGCGATGCTTGACGTGGTGCAACTAAGCGGTCGCAGGGTCGTAGGGTGCAGGTCGTCTGGTAGTCAAGGTGCCGATGACGAGGGACCCGTTGGACACTCTTGTGGCTGATGATGGTTCCAGTCCGGGCTAAGTAAGCAGGCTGGCGTGCGGGCGTGCGGGCGTGCGGCGTGCGCTCAAAGACGGCGACGCTGGACGCTGGCAAGACAGTCACGGGACTTGGTTGCGGCGGCGCTTCAGTCTCGAGCGGCTGCCGTGCAATGGAGCGCGCGATGGGTGCAGACACTTGGAGGAGACGAGAAGACAGTCCGGCGATGGGACTTGGGACTTCGGCAGCAGACAAGAGGTAGCCTCAGAGCAGCGCGGCGGCTTCAACGGAACAACGCAAGCCTTTTGGGGCTGTGTATCGCCGCGGCCAACCACGCTGCACTGCAACGACCCACCGCCAAACATCCAAGACGTGCCTCTCCAAACAACTGCGTCGCAACACGAGACACGTCGACGCCACACGCCCCGCGAGCCTCGTCTCGCGCACCTGCTCGCCGCCCCCGTCCAGCCCTCGCAGGAAGATTCTGCCATGGCGACTCCGCGACGGCGCGCACACCTGAGCTGAGCGTGCCAATGCTCCCAGCCTGTGTCGGGCTAGACTGCACGACGAGCATTGAGCCGGTGTGGTGGCGCAGCCCATCCTGCCTCTACCGCTCGCTGCTTCCCCAAGCCTACCCGTTCTTGCCGATACTCCAAACCAGCCGAGTGTTGCTCCAACGAGACGACTCGCCGCCAGCGCCCGCCGATCCATACCCTACAGGCTGAAGTTGTCTGCCAGCCTAGACTGCTGCTCTCGACTTTCTTGCCGTCCTACCAACGGCGCCCCTCTGTTCAGCCACCGTGGCATGCGTCATTTCTCACCAGACCTTGTTTGCCATGTGCGCCGCGCCTTATTTGCTCGGTACGACCACCATGGGTCCACGCATCGAAGACCGCGTATCGATCGTCAGGTACGTCCGGCTTGGATACCCGCCCGCAACGCAAAACAGGTTATCGCATCCAACTTCACCGTTGACGCTCATGGTCGTTGCCAGTCGTCGATTCGATTCGGCCACCACTGGGAAGCTTCCACACCTCGGTCCTCGATGTAGACAAGCCGGGATGGCCCACACCTGTCAAAAAGCAACCCTTGCTGCTACGCCACAGCCGCCACACGATGATCTCGCCACACTTTGCATTGCGAGCAACACCCGTCGACGAGATTCGCCGGATCGCCCTCACTATCTACCTTCCTCTTTTGTATGAGCGACTTTGATTCCCGCCACATGTACAGCACATGGAGAAAGCTAGGATATTGCCATCGCTGGTCCATCATTGGGCCAAACCACTTCACTTGACAGCATTACATGCTGATCGTGAACGTCAATTTCAGAATGAGAGCCAGAGGTCATGCCAAGCATATACCGTTGCCTCACAACATACGGAGCTTCTGGATTCCTACCAAGGACGGCGACTGTCTGCACATGGTCTACCAAGAATGCCATTATAGGTAAATTTGTACTACTACTGAAACACACAACCTCGTAGACCGATTGCTAAAGAGCAACGGGAAGCTGTCTCGGCGAAGCAGAAAGAGGTTGACTGACGGCTCTAGCAGCTGTCAGGGTGAACAAGAAGGAGTTTCCATGAAGACAATGTCGAGTGGTCGGATGATACGTCGTATCGAGTATGCAGGATACCTGCCAGTGGTACTGCTGAGAACCAGAGCTCCTCCCAAGTCCTTCCCAAGACTGAGAGCCACCTTTTTCGCCAACGGCAGAGTGTATTTGATGAACTGTGTAGGCTGGAGATGTCAAAGCCGTCAGTAGTCTGGTAACGGTGAATAATCTGACCTTTGGCTTTACATTGTATGTGATACGTTCCCTAAGAATGGGCTTGGCTTGAGTCTTGACTTCGATCTGATTGTTATGTTGACCCATTGGCGGCTAAGCCATGAAATTGGGAATGGGCTTAGCGCAAATACCGGAAGGTTGTGTAGCCGAGAGTGAACTAACTCATCTTGACCTCAGACGGGCCGTACGAAAGGGATCGATCTTGGTGTTGCACCACGCTTTACCGATCGTGGCCCACGAGCGGATCCTAACTAAGGGCGATCACCCTTGGTATTCTCGTTCCAGCTTACGTGAACATACTCGAGCTGTGGGGAAAGACTGTTCAGCCTCACTCCTCAAACGCCTCAACTAGGTGAAGGATGGAGCGGGAAGCCATGTACTCGCAATTCCTCCCATCGATCAAGCCATAGTTGCTCTTTCGAGTTAACCACTAAGTTTGAAACGAAAACGTTCCACACCACAGCTGAAGAGCTTCAAATCCTTGATCGGTGATACAATACCAGATACGTCCCGAGCATCCGCGGCACGCTGCCGCTAGACGTAACCCGTTCATAACGCTCCGCATTGGCAAAGAACTCCTCCAAGGCCCTTCCATCATAATGAGGCCGACCGAAGCTCCGCTCTTGTCAAGTTGCGGAGACGACTGCAGGGCGATGGAATCGGTCCGCAATCCTTCGAGCTGTATTTGTCAAAGACTATAGTACTGCGAACTAGTCCTACGAAAATTGAACAGTCCAACGCAGCAGACTTTCTTCTTGTCCGCTTATGCTTTCTCAAACGAGGCGACATTTGTTGGCAAGTCGCGTATTCATCGAAAATCTCTATTGTTTTGCACATACGTCTAGGACTCAGGAAATACACCACACTCTGACATCGAGATCTGCATGCGTTGGGACAATATGCGCAGGATGGTGGAGGATGCCGCACCGGCAGAGCCGGGCATTGGGGTCGGCATGAGGAAGGTCGCAAGCTGCACCGAACAAACGCGCAACCGAAACTATACTTGAACTTCGCTTCCTCGTCAAGGAACGTTCAAGAGTAACAAGCTATGATGTATGAGATTGCAGAGCGGTCAACACATCCTTGAGCCACACGTGACTGTCCGGATCTGACGAATGAGGTGCAGGTACGCAGTTTGAGCTTACCCGAACAGGTCTAGAGAGCTTTACGCCGACCGCATTTCTGTTTTACAGCACCCATGGACTACTACTGCTTGCCCCATCTCTAGTCCTTTTCCCCCGCTTTCAAGATCGCTGGTCGACTGGATGAAGTCTTCGCTTTTCTTGCAACTCTGTTGTTGTTCTCACGATGCTCCACTCTAACATGACTCGTTGACACATGCCTTCTGTCCCAAGGTTGATTCCAAGGCACATCTCGTATATCAGGCTGGCCCGTACAGTACGGTCAAGAACGCGCTTGTCTAGTTGGCTGTCCCCCGCGAAAAGGATTACCGGTGAACCTCTGGATCAAGAGCTGGAATGTAATGTCCAGAAGGTAGCCTAATGGTACATGCGCTATTGGTGCAAGCCCACCCGACAGAGCGTTATTGACACCTCAGCCCAACGGCAAGGCTACAACGGCTCGGTCATCCCGCGCCCGCTGCGACATATGCAGGTCCTGGATAGAATGATGTCTAACCTCACCTGGAAATTGCGTAATACTATGTGCAGGTACACGAATGGCAGTCACCAATAGCATTTGCTGCAGCGTGCTGACGAGTGAGCCCAAGAGTAATTGAGGTTTCTTGCCGCTGTGAGTCTCTATCTAGAAATTTCTGTACACTAGTTGAATGCTCAAAGCTTTATTATAACTGGCGGGCCGAGAAAATACAAAACGACAAGCGTCAAAACTGGTTAGCTTTGCGCAGCTACTCACCGAACGTCATGAGCGACCTTCTCCAGTGCTTTTCGAAACTTCAGCCGCGCCCTTTTGCACATGAATCCTTCACATCAGCGTCATGGTTTTAATGACAGACTCCACTGCTTCGAGGCCACCAGTTCCCATCGGCTTGGCTTGAGTGTGCTGGTACCGTGGATCGTTCAACGCGCTCCTTCATCAAGCATTACGTCTTGCGGCTGAGGGATGGATCCCTCAAGATCACGTAACAATAGAACCATTTGCTATGAGCCCGCCTATCAGATCAAAATCTTATTACACAAGTATAATTCTACATCCATACACTGTTTTCCAACAACAAGCACGTCTCTAGTCGGCCCATTACCCTCTATAAGACATCTGTCTTGACCACATGTAATAGCTGCGAGTCGCGATCACTCCAAAGCAAAGTTCCCGTCGACACTGTCTCTACAGCTCCAGTAACCATCTTAAGAAAGCATCGGCTCAATAAAGATCACCTCGCCAGACTCCCCGATCCTACTGCGACTCCATCACTGGAAATATGTCCCAAGGCCAACAACTCAGCCCTAACCAGCCCACCTCGAAAAGCGATTCCGTTGTAACCGGCGACGAGTCTTCAGAGGCCGGACCAGACGACTGGTCCGACATCAAAGACCCCAACGAAAGACGCAAGATACAAAACAAACTCGCCCAAAGAAGATTTCGTTCGTAGCACCAAGTGTAATAGCCTTTCGGCCTACACTAACATAAACCAGGCGACAAAGTAAAAGAGCAGAAAGAGGAGATGGAGCGAGACGTTGAGAACCAACGACAAGCTGGAGGCGCATACGCACCACCTGAACCAGAGAAGATTGATGCAAGGCAGGCGCTATCGGGTCTGCCGTGGGGTGGCATCTCAATGAGACATATCGTTGAGACGGGGAAGAGCAAGGAACAGAGTTCGCAACGCAATTCCCGTGAGAGTTCGACACATGATGGCGCGTCTTATACTGGTTGAGGGAACCCTTGGCCGTTGTATGGGGCAAAATGTCATGTGCATGTGCGGTGCTGGTAACTACTAATGCATATTCATTAAAACCTTGTGCTATGCTGCATTATGTTCGTTCTGCTCGCGAAAAAACTTGCTCTACTATCATACATTTCATGTCCTGCATGGTACGTCCTTTCATTAAACGTTGACCGCTTCGTAAGATTAGATCGTGAATTCCATGAGCATCAAGCAATTGCACCGACCCTTTCTCTGTCCTTCGCCATCTGCTTGGCCGCGCGCTCAAGCTCTTTCCGAAGACTTCCCTTTGTGCTCTCCATGCCCTGAAAGACGTGTTCGTAGTCAGTGTTGCGTCGCTGGATCAGCGTGCTGAGTACATGCTCGCCATCCTGCGCGTACATCTCAGCGATGTCGTCTACACTCGTCTCGTTGTCTACAATATGTCGCATAACCCGCTTGGAAGTTCGTATCATCAATTCATGAAGATCGCGCTGGTGCGGCTGCAGACTCGCTTCCCAGTCCATCTCTTCTGCTTGCGAAGTTGGTAGAGGTGGGTCCGTTAATGGTTCGCGTACGGCAGAGGTTGAGCTATGGCTACTAGAGGAGCCTAGGTGTGGCGGGGAGGAGTGGAAGTGTATCGGCGAAGCGTTGAAGAAGTCATTGACAGCTTCCTGATTGTCCTCATCGCCACCGATGAGAGTATCGTCCTCGTGATATGCTTGCTCAATAGGCCCGTCATCGTTCAATTGCTGGATCCCTTCGTTAAGTTGTTGTGATTGGTCCATGGTCTGATGAGTCGCTTCGAGTGAGTTCCGTGTAGCGAAAGCGACTTGCTGGTCAGCCTGAACGATTGGCTGAGTAGTATCAATGAACTGCTGGTTGAAAAGCAAGGTAGATACCGTCATCTCGCTTCCTGTCGCAACTTCGGGTGTCTTTGGCGTCGTTGTCTTCTCTTTGGATAGCGCTATGGACTTTGGAGGTGTACCAACATGCTTGATATGTCTCTTTGTGTCGTCTTTTTGTTGCACTCCTCCTTGATACCTCGACTCTTGTGTCGAATAGGACGGGTGGGCAGCCCGATCTGTTACACTCGCGACCTTTTGCAACACAACATCGCCATCTTCTGTGCCCGTATAGGGGCCCGCAAATTTGGGATTCGGGCATGCCCTGTCCGTATCGCCTGTAATGACCGGCTCTTTCCCTCCCCAAGGCGTCTTTTGTAGAAGTGGTCGACTCGCTGCAATTGAAACGTCAATCTCAGGGACTGTGTCCTCGTTGAATGAATCTTCTCCAGTCAACCGGCGTATGAACGATGTGGCCTTCTTGCCAGCGGACCGTCGACCGAAGGGGTCGCTTTTCGCGGTCTGCCAATCTCCTGTCTTCTTCTCTGAGGCTATATCCTCACGATCAGCGTGGCCAGAAATCGCTGTTGATTCCGCATTTGGTGACGCGGGGGTAGGTTTGCTGTTGCTGGAGAGCATTGCGGCCTCGACAATAATTGCATGATGCCACTCATCATCTTCTTCGGCCTCATCAGTCACAGGCGGTGACGATGCCATGTAGTGCAAAGTATCATCTCCAGAACACCTCCGTGCTTCTACAGGGGTTTGTGGCCGCACTGGTACTCCCACAAGCTTTCTACTTGGTTTGGTAGGAGTTGACGGTGTTTGAGCGACTCTTGCCGGTAGTGTTGGCTTCTTGAATGGGCTCTCGGAGATCTTGGCAGGCCTTTGAAGACCCAGAAGTCCTCCGATCAAGGTGTGTCGTGACGAAGGGATGGATGACGGAGGTTTCGATGGTTTTGCAAGCGGATGAGACTTCGCGTGTTGTTTTGCACCGGTCACAGTCGACTTCGTGCCCTTGTTCGGCTCTTTACGGGATCTCTTTCTCGAGTTGTCATCGGCCATGGGGTCTGGTGTTGCTTTGCGTTTGGGATTCGTCCTCTTTTTCGGTCTCGTCTGACTTGGTATAAAATCTTCATCGTCGTCTGCTTCATTCTTGTCATGCGATGTGCGGGCCTTAGTCTTAGACTTGGCTGGTTCCTTGTCCGAGGCAGCCTTTGAGCTTCGGGATTCTCTTTGGGGAGATGAAGCAACACTCGATGTGTTCGAAGAAGTAGTGTGGACATCCCTCTTGCTTTCTATAAGCACATCGAGAGCTTCGTCTTCCGGGTTGAACTTTCTGAAGACATCTTGTTTGGTGGCCTGAGATACACGGGGTAGCTTTCCCTTGCCGTACATGCGTTTCGATGTCGACGACGGATGCTGTGACTGGAATTGCAGAGCAGTCGCATCGCTACTGTCTGCGGTAAGTTTCTTGGAAGTGACGCGCTTTGTCCGAAGCGTCTGGGAGCCACTTCGAAGCGATTTTCTTGCGTTTGACTGTCGGATCGAAGGCGAGCTCGCATCGAGGGGCAAGCTTCGAGATACTCTCAAACGAGGCTCACGTCCTTTCTCATGGGCTTTGATGCAACTCTCCCACTCTAATGCGTCGCCCGAATGCTTGAACATCAGCGATAGGTCAGTCGCAATGCGTTGCGTGGAATTAAGACGGTAGCTCCAGGGTTCAGATGTGAGTGTCATGACGAGATCCCACGGTTCATGCTTTGTACGCTGAGCCTGTGAGCTGTGTAGTTTCGACGGTTCTGATCGCGTGTTCAAAATGTGCTCGACTGGTATGTCTATAAACCGGCAATCTTTCAGGTGCTCGTCGGGCGCGATGATGGTCAGCACTCCAGCCTCGACGAGCGCGATAGGAAACGTAGCGCTTGACTCCCGCCATTTGAACCCATCTGTGGCGAATAGTGAGACTAGGTACATGACAGAGGGCTCGCCGGTTGGTCTCGCGAGTGCCAGGTCGCTCAGAATGTCAAGAAAGCCCTGGAACTTCTGCATCCATTCCGCATCGGCCTCGAGTGGAAAATTCGGCGCGCTGTGTCTGACTTTTTCCGTGGACCAGAACCGGCTATACTCGATCCCTTGCTCCAGTGCTTGCCGTATGATAATACCAGCAATAATTTTGATCTGTTCTTGCTCAGTGCCGCTTAGGATGATAGCTCCCAGACTCCGTAGACGCTTAGTCGATGCCCCGATGTGTGTGGCCACCGCCGGCATTTCCAGCATGCCTGCGAGCGCGATGCCGATCCATCGCCGCCGGATAATAGAAAGACCAGGATCGCAGAAACTACTCAGATAGTCCTGCGCGACTGAAGAAAGACCAGAGCTGCTGAAGTCGCGTGCAGAGACAAGTTTGTAGAGATGTATATTGGACGCGTCTTTGTCGGGCAGCTTGAGAGCAGCTTCAAACGAGATTGAAGTCATTGCGACAAAGGAAAGTAGAAGAGAATGAAATTGGCATTTTTTTGCCCTACACGAGCAGGATAGTGGAGTGTCGTTGGAGATGTGGACGCGGGCAATGCAACTAAGGAAGTGAGAGCGCGGTACTGCTAGAATGGAAGTCGCGTCCCATCGGCGTTTGACGTCACAGCTGCAGGCGCGCGCGAGTTTCGCGTGGCGGGCTTGAAACCACGAACACCAACCAACCGTCATTACCTGCACTCTGCGTTCAAAAGAAAGCGCTGCGACTAAAGAAAACCGCTTAGGACGACTAAAGGGGGTATAAGAAAATAGGGGGGTTCCCAGCTTTCGCGGCCACTTGTCACGGCTTTCAGTGGCTGTGAGCCGCATCGATGCCTGCATGCATGCGGTTGTATATTCCCAACATTACTATACTCACCTAGTACCAGTTCCCATGCTTTTCAGTTGGGCATACAGTTGTGAGATGGAAAGCGATGCAGAGATCATTGAAGGTGCCGTATTGAAGGGGAGAAGATTCCGGAAGAACGGCTCCCTCTCCAAGTGTCCCCTCCAAGCGAACGCGCTTTGGACACGCAAGGGCCGCAGCATAGGAACAGAGCGCCCTACTTGTCAAAAGCATGCAGACCTCCTGCAGTCTGGCGTGTCGCGATACAGCAGCTTTCGAGCCTGCAGTTCTTACCCCTCTGCAGCCTAAAAGCGTGGGTCCCATTGGGACGGATGCAGCCTTCTACAGCTGGCCTCAATCCGTGCGAGCCCTGTATCTGCTGCAGGGGCTTCATCCCTCGCACATGTGATTACGCCCCGAACGTGGCTGGTGATTTGTAGTAAGACGGAGGACGGACAAGTGTCTCGACCTCGACAACATCATGGTTGATGACAACAGTAACCGGGCTACGGGCGAGATCACACCCTCCACTGTGCCAATCGTATCGAGCATCAGCTCAAATCGATTACACGTCATTATCGCTGGACTATGGCTTTGTCTTTTTTTATCTGCCTTAGACACTACCATCGTCACGACCGCGCTCATCAAAATTTCAAGCGATTTTGGTGCTCTGGAGCAGGCAGCGTGGCTGATTACCGCGTATCTACTCACATATAATTGTAAGACTCATTCGCTCAGGAGTCTTGTCACTAGATTAATGGCGCAGCGTTCTTGATGATCACAGCAAAGCTGAGCGACATTTGGGGCCTCAGGAGTCTCCTTTTACTTTGCGCGTCAATCTTCCTGGTATTCTCCATGGCTTGTGGTGGAGCACAGACAATGACTCAACTAATCGTGTTCCGCGCTTTCCAAGGCATTGGAGGGTCTGGTCTCTACAGCTTGACATTCGTCACCATCATGAAGATGATTGTACCTGAGAGGATTGGTTTCTACTCTGGCATCGTAAGCTCAGTATTTGCTTTGGCAAACCTGTTAGGGCCTTTACTCGGTGGTGTCATCGCTGATCGAACAACTTGGAGATGGATATTCTTCATGAAGTATGCAAAACGCGGACTATCGAGCTGTGCGAGCTGACTGGAATTAGTGGCCCCATTATCGGTGTCGCAATGGCAATATTGTTCTTCTCGATGCCTGCATTCGACGACGGTAGGACGAATCTGCAACGCATACGCCATTTGGACATATATGGTGGCATCTTGTCTGTCTGCTGGCCTATACCTCTCATCTACGCCCTTCAGGAAGCCGGTGTGTCGCGTTCCTGGGGCAGTGGTGTTATCGTCGGACCACTGGTAGCTGGGATCGCTCTCCTGGTACTCTTTGGGTTGTATGAGTTTTGGATATCGTCCAAGAAACAGAAAGCTTCCATCTTTCCTGTGCAATTTCTTCGGAATGCACCCATGGCGTTGACTTTGTTGTAAGTCTGGAATACTCTGGTTGAGCTCCACTGATGACAAGACAGAAGCCAGTTCCTCTTAGGATTCGCCTTCTACGTTGTCTTCGTTCAGCTGCCACAACGCTTTCAGGGAGTAAACTTTACAAGCGCGGAGCGTGCCGGGATTCTTCTGCTTCCTGCTACCGTTGTGACTCCAATCGGTGCCATGGCGTCTGGACTAGCAGCGAAGAAAGCACCAGTTGAGATTGTTTTGATCTGCTCGATCGCGATCGTATGCGTCGGTATCGGACTTCTTAGTAGTTTGCCGACGTATTCCCACCTATGGCCTGGACTGTATGGTTATGAAATTGTTACTGGCCTTGCTTTGGGTCTTGCAAGTCCGCCATACTTCGTGCTCGTCGCTACTTCGATTCCAGAAAAGGACATCGCTGTCGGTACTGGAGCACTCAACATGGTGCGGACGCTTGGAGGATGTGTCGCCGTCGCCATCTGTTCTGCAATCCACCGCGAGCATTTGAACACAGGGTTGTCCGATTTTTTGAGTCGCGGGGAAATCAGGGAGATGCAAAGTTTGACGTCGTTGACTGCACACTTACCGGACGCTGTGAGGGATCGTGTTGGTGTTGTGTTTGGTAAAAGTTGTAAGTCTCAATTCCATAGACGTAGGAATACAGGACGTACATGCTGATTAGTACCACCGTATCAGACAACAGGCAGTTCCAAGTCATGCTGGCGTTTACAGGACTCAATATCATCGTCGCGGTCATTTTAGCCATCGTTCGAAAGAGATCCGGTTTGTTCGGCCTAATACCTGAAAGGAAAGAAGGAAACGAGTATACAGAGGCTAAAATCGACCAGAGCGGGCCTGCATCGAGTGGAGCACTGGCTCAAGATACTTGTGAGAAACAGGCTCCTGAAATCGCGGCTACACACAGACCGGATGATAACGCGGGCGCGTGCCTTGGAAAACAATGATGAACAATTTACGGTATATCCACATTGTTGGTCACGAGACGCTGTGTGGATACTATCATGGTGGCTCCATGCTGAAGCATTTAGCGATCTCGGCACTACCGCAGTAGGGAAGTCCGGCAGGAAGCACCGAATGGACAGGTATCGAAACCTGCTCTAGCGCATCAGTCAGCGCTTCTCTTTCATAGGATGTGATGGCCTACGCTTGCGGAAAGGATTAAGAAGCTGTACATTTGTCGACTTACCAAGGTGCAGTCCCGAGAAGTGCTTAAGTTCGCACAGTTATATCCGTATTGCTAGCAGAAAAGCATTTGGTGATGTCTAAGCAAGCAACGTCACAAGCGCAGGCTTGTGTGGAAGCTTAGCCGTCCCCGCATCTTGACCCCCGCACACGTTGCAACGCCCTTCACGCTTGAATGCTCGGCATGCAACGCATCAATGCTCGGCATCAAAAATGCTGCGCCGTTGAGATCTGGAACAAACGTGCACATCGTCTCGTTCAAAGGATGAGGCGGCATCAAATACGTTCTGTCGACGCTGTATCGTATCTTCTAGACGGCCACTAGCGGGGGATGTGAATAGTGGGCCACATGCGACACGAGCCTCTTCATCACAACCACAGCTCATTACCGCTTTGAATATGAACAGATCCGAGGACTCAAGAAAGTGCTGAGAATATTGAAACTAAGCTTCGGCATCATCGTACAGTCAGTCAGATCCTCATACGAACGCCACTTCGCTCTTACTTCTGAGTCCTAACTCTCCGCGGGAGAAGTTTCTATGGTGGTGAAGCCAGGGATCGGCAAGCGCTAGGAGGTGGATGGTGGGGATTGGATCCTGGAGGAAAGCACACCAGTCCCTACCGTCATCGGAATAAGATCATCATGAGTGGACTAGATGATAGGCGGCTCAATAGCCTCGGGCTGATGATACCCCAGCCGCTTTCTCCAGTGGTTCGACAATCGGTGACGTTCTTAAGGGACAGCGTCTCGCTCGCTGATCGAGGGGTAATTCCGGACAAGCAAGTTCCCAGTTCCATGGTTGAGAATACTGACTTGTGATACTTCGGACCGCGATTGTTGCTTGACGTTTCTGTGCGAACCCTTTTCTGCGCTCTGGGCTCTGGAATTCACTAAGAGGCTTCTTTGTGGCTTGACATCTCGCCAGCTACTAGCTCACGCCCTGTATCTACGTCGACAATATGGCCTCTGGAGTAGAGCGACCAATCGATAGATCGAGTGAGGAAGAAAAGACTATCGGCGAGGAGCATGTTGAAACGGCAAAACATGTACACACAATCGAGAACCTACCTGATCCCGACGCTGGACTCAGCGAAGAGGAACGCGCTGCGCATGTAAGCTACATCTCAGCTCCTTACCATACACATACTAACACCCCACCCCACAGGACAAAGCCCTCCTCCGCAAACTCGACTTCCGACTAATCCCCTGGCTCTCCTTCCTCTACTTGATCTCTTTCCTAGACCGCACGAACATTGGCAATGCGAAAGTCGATGGCTTGCAAGAAGATCTCAACATGACTGACGGCCAGTACAATGCCAGTCTAACCATCTTCTTCGTCAGCTACTCCGTCTTTGAGCCGCTGACCAATGTGCTGTTGAAGAAGTTACGCCCGAGTATCTTCTTACCACTTATCATGATCTGGTGGGGGATTTGTATGACGTGTATGGGGTTGGTGCATAATTATGCTGGTCTTATGACTGCGGTGAGTCTTTTGCGGTTGGTGACGTGGTAGCAAGGCTTATCTGGCTGACGATGTGTAGCGGTGGTGGCTGGGATGTGCTGAGGCAGGACTATTCCCTGGAGTAAACTACTACCTGAGTTGCTGGTACAGGCGTTCCGAGTTCGGCATCCGAGCTGCGATCTTCTTCTCAGCTGCCGCTCTAGCTGGTAGTTTTGGTGGCCTACTCGCCGCTGGAATTGCGCAGATGGGAGGCGTAGGCGGAAAGCCAGGCTGGGCGTGGATCTTTGTAAGTGCACCTCCAACGCTTCCTCTTACCTATGACCATGTTGCTGACGGTAACCCCAGATCCTTGAAGGTCTCGCCACCATCCTCGTAGGAATAGCAAGTTACTGGATGGTCCACGACTTCCCCGCCGAAGCCACATTTCTCTCTCCCAACGACCGTGCGCGTGTCCTCCGCCGTCTGCGCGCCGACAAACAAGCCTCAGCTGCGCACGAAGAGTTCCAGACCAAGTACTTTTGGCAATCCATCAAGGACTGGAAGACGCTCATGTTCAGCATCATCTACATGGGCGCAGACGGTTCGCTCTATGCCTTCAGTCTCTTCCTGCCCACCATCATTGCCGGGTTGGGCTATAAGTCTACGACAGCGAATCTGCTTTCTGTGCCACCGTATGCAGTTGCAGCTGTGGTGACGGTGGTAGTGGGTTATATTGCTGATCGCACGCAACAAAGGGGTTACTGCAACATGGGAGTCTCGCTCTTTGGTATCGTGGGCTTTGCCATGTTGCTCGGATCTGCAAGTCCGAATGTTCAGTACGCGGGTACATTCTTGGGAGCTGTGGGTATCTATCGTAAGTGAACTCATCTAGCAGCATGGATCGCTTGGTTCTAACAATTTCCACTAGCAACAATAGCGAATACTATATCCTGGGCCGCCAACAACGTCGAGGGCGTGTACAAGCGTGGCGTCACCCTTGGCTTTGTGATAGGCTGGGGCAACATCAATGGCGTCGTTTCGTCGAACATCTACCGCAGTAGGGATAAGCCGCGCTATTTCCTGGGACATGGTGTAGTTCTGGCATATCTGACGCTGTGGCTGCTTGGCGGGAGTATTGTGACCCGATTTCTGCTTGCGTGGGAGAACAAGAAAAGGAGGCAGGGAGCAAGGGACCACTGGATTGAGGGTAAGAGTGAAAAAGAGATTGAGGAGATGGGGGACCAGCGGCCGGATTTCTTATATACTCTCTAAAATGTAGAGTTGAGGCTTGGGTAGAATATTAGAACGGACTCTAGTCGCGTCACAATAGACATGGCACTATCAGAACTTCTGAACGCTAGCTTGTTGAAGTAAGCTTTCAAAGTTCCGACTCAAACGCACTTGGTTGGTAGATCCGTGGCTGGATAAAGTGCAGAAATAGTATATTCGACGGCGTGGTTACTCATGGTATCTGGGAGACAATGTTGCAGCCTCGGAAAGAATCAATAAAGTGCAAGTTCGCAAGCTTTTAGCCCTGCGCCCACAAGTCGAATACATGCCGTAAGATTAACGCCGCCCAATGCATGTCGTTTTATAAATTGACCTCTCTCAGATAAAGGTCAAGTGCTCCAGCTCACGCACCAACCTTTCGAGACTTGACGCTGTTCGCCCGTTCCTTCCTCTCGTTGCGCCGCATCCTCTCCTTCCGCTCTTTCCGATTATCCGCCCTCTGGTCGTGAGCCTCACCGGTCTTGGCTTCCTTCTTCTCGTCAACCTCGACCAGCCAGTCGTTCTCGCCCGCCTTGTTCTTGCCCTTGTAACCCCACTTGGGTACCCAGTCGCCCGTAGCCTCGTCGTAGGCCAGCTTAGTGTCGCGCTTCTTGTTCTTGATGCCCTTCTTCGCAGCAAACTTATCCCACTTGGTGGGCTCCTTGGCTTCGGGAATAGGCTTCTCGCGGGGGAGGGGTGTTGTCGGCGCAGGGAGGACGAGGTGGACGCCCTCTGAGTTTGACTTGATTTCGCAGGTCGAGAGGAGCTGGTTGATGAGGGCTTGAGCGGCATCGCGGGCAGTGGCAGTGAGGGTTGCTTCGTCGGCGCCGGCGGGGACGGGGTTGGGGTCGTTTGCGAGCAGGTTTCCCAGGTCAAAGGTGAAGGGCGTGGGCTTGTTCACAGTAATGGGTCTTTGTTGAGTAAGCAACGGTGTAGTAGAGGACAAAGCAAGCATGCGACGTACAGTCGGCTGGAGACGGTCGAGTCTGCGACGGAAGGTGCGCCGTTGGACTTGACGTCCATGGCGCCTCCGTTGATTTCATCGGCGAGCTGGGAATGCGTGGGCGAAGTGCCACCGAGCGCGACGCCGCCGTCCATTTCTGTGTCTGACATTTTGCGAGGGTCGAGTGGTTTTGGTAGAATTTCGCTCTGCGCGCCTGCTGCCAAAAGTTCAGAATAAATTTCGAGTCCGTGCACGAGCGGCGGACTCCCGAGGCTGCGACCATCACAGAATTCGTCTCTAGCATCGCCAATTCGCCCATTGCGGAGGGCCAGAGCCTCGACCACCCGTCATGCCGCCTTCCACATGTTTCCGGAGCTTCTCGCAGCTGTCGCTTGATGCCGCCGCCCATGGATGCATTGCACCGCGCGTGCTACGCCCCCAGATAGCCTGCTTTTCCACGTCGTCCGCCCGCTATGCTGTGGTTGGACCCAAGAAGAAGGGCATGACCGCCGCCCCCAAGAAGGGTGTCAAGTCTCTGAACACGAAGAAGGGGAGAGGAGCATCAGGAGGTGACTCGGGCAAGCGGCCAGCCCAAGGCGAGCGGAAAGCCCAACGGAAGCGCATCGTTCTGAGCAACGACAACGCACTCGAAGTATCTTCGCTGCGGGACCTCACCAAGGACAATGTCCTCAGCGAACAGAATGAGGGCAAGGTTATGGGGCTACCACAAGAGACTGTAGTGGATGCGCTGCGAGCCGTCGAGGCATTCAAAACAACCCAGGGATGGGGTCTGTTCCGCCGACCAGCCGTGTTGATGAGAAAGGAGGCGATTGAACTCGCGAGGCTGTTCAAAGAGGCCGAGAGCTCCAAGAAGACAATAAGACGGATACTGTGCGGGCAAAGAATGAGCGGGAAGAGCACATTGGTACTTCAGGGTCTGACTATGGGTTTTCTACGGGACTGGTTTGTGATCAACCTACCAGAAGGTATGGACTGTGATTTCGAGGCAGAGACAAGCCACTAACAAATCTCAGCCCAGACCCTCGTCAACGCGCATACCGACTATGCGCCTCTTCCCAACTCAGAACCGATGCAGTACACTCAAGATACATACACGGCGAATCTCCTCCAGCAAATCCTCATGTCCAACGGAGCATTCCTCGCAGCCACAAAACTTAGCACGCAGCCTGAACTGCCTCTGCCACTTCCTGCGGGCGCTACACTGAAAGAGCTGGCGGCGCTTGGTATGGCCAATCCCGAAGCATCATGGCCAGTGTTTGTTGCGTTATGGAATGAGCTATCTCTACCAGGCCGTCCACAAATCCTGCTTGCACTCGACGGCCTATCGCATGTTATGCGCCACTCCGAGTACATGTCTGCGGAAGTAAAGCCTATCCACGCCCACGACCTGACTCTTGTCCGCCATTTCGTCGATCATCTTTCAGGCCAAAGGAAATTACCCAACGGCGGCGTGGTGCTCGGCGCAACATCACGATCGAACGCCCCCACGTCGCCAGCGATGGACCACTGCATCGAAGCAGCGGTCGCCCGTCAAAAGTCTTCCGAGAAGCTACCAGAATGGAACCCCTACAAGAGCGTAGACGTGCGCGTCATGGAGGCTCTCAAGGACCTCCACAGCGACTCCAAGGAGCTTGATATTATCAACGTTGGCGGGCTGACCAAGGAAGAGGCCAGATCAATCATGGAGTACTATGCCGAAAGCGGCATGTTGCGACACCAAGTCAACGAGGGCTTCGTAGCGGAGAAGTGGAGTTTGGCGGGTATGGGGAACATTGGCGAGCTGGAGAAGGCAAGCGTGCGGATGCGGTTGTAGTTGTATTATATGGTGGCACCAATCATAAATCAGGCATGTCAATGTTAAGTATCGTTTGGCATTGCTAGTTGTAGCGGCATGTTCAGACCAACGGACTTTCCCATGGCCCCTATCCATATGGTCATATACTTATCTGCTGATATAACGCTCTCGACACTGGCCTCCATCACATCAGCCGTCTGACATGGATGGATGAAGAACACAGGTCTGTTGGTTAGCGGGTGCTCCTGCGATGGTTAGTTGAATCCAACACATGGGATCACACTTCTCACAGTGATAGTAATGCCTCCAATGACACCAGCATTCTCTGTTTGAGCTTTGAACTGCGGCGGGACCAAGTGCTCGTACAACGTAGTCATTGTCGGCGGATACCGGTGCTGAGGGTCACGAATGCTGATGTACAAGACGGGCATGCGATAGACATCCGATAGGACAATGTCGTAGTCTACAACTGGCTGGGGTGCTACGGCATCGCGAAGAGCTTCCTACCTGAACTGAGCTCGTATCGGCAGATCAGGGCCCTGGCATCACCCACCTCGTCGTCGTCCACTACTTCATTCTCTTCAATAGCGTCCCGATCATGCACCGCAGGTCGATCTGCATGGAGCGGCAGATGGGTGGTAATGTTGAGATATACGGACCCATTTCGGTGCCTCTTCTCCACGGAAAGCCACTCGTGCTGCGCGCTACCTCTCAGCTGAAAGCATCGCTGCAGCGCATCGCAGGCCTGCTCAAACTCAATTGCGTCGAGGTGAGGAAAACCTGGAAGCATGCTTTTGCGTGAATTTGTTCGGGCTGAGTAATGCAAATGAGGAAGCTGTCATAGGGTGACTCGGATACAGTTCATGGGTGGCAGTTGACGCAGGTTGCAGGTTGACAAAGTGGGCAGCGTATAGGTGTAGCCGGTACGTCGTTCCGGACCACTCAACAGGGCGGCAGGCTCGCCACGCGCAAATCGGCAGGGGTGGGACGCGACTTCCCCGGCTCCAGGGCTTGGCTGCCTGCAACATCGTTCAAGTCTCGAGGGCGTGCGGACGTTCAATCTCAGTACAGCTTAGCGGCCCAGACTCTCCCGCCCTTACTACTCGTTTCCATCATTCGCAACACTATGCTGCCTATCTAGACACAGTCATACACGCGCCAGCATTGACCCCGTCTCCGTCGCCATCTCCGTCTCGACTCCACTACTCGCCCTTGTTGTCAGGATGCCGGCCCAGACTGAGAAAAGCCAGCTCAAGCGAAACCGCGTATGTAGCCGTTATGCTGCCAAGTATGTGACTGGGAGCGGGCGCTGACGCTTCAATTGCTGTAGTACTCGCAGGGCGAAGAGGCCGAACCAAAGCGCACTCGCCACTCGCGCCTGTCGCCGCCTCCCAACGGCCGTCTTAAGCAGGGACCGTTGCCTTCGCCTGTAACCCACAAGGAATCCACCGGAGACGCTTCGGAAGGCTACAAAGAAGGTACACAGAGTCCCCCGCCTAGCAAGCCAAGCCAGGCACGCGGTGGTCTCTCGTCGCCCCCATCCGACACCCAGCCCTTCTCCCAGTTTGTCTACCCGCCCGACAGCCGGACGTACGCCGTAGAAGATGAAGAGGAAGAGGAAGTCTGGGGCTACCTGGTGCCTATGGATGGCCGGGACAAAGACGTGCTAGTATTGCGCCGGCGACAAGCCTGTCCGGTCCCTCAGGCACTCGTTGGCCAGACCGAAGGAACAGAGCGGGTAAGCAAAGAAGAGTACAAAAAGCAGGAGGACAAATACGAGCAGGAGAAGCAGGAGCACGGTGTACCAGCAGGTGGCTACCTCATCGGTCGCCACAGAGAGTGTGGTAAGTCGCGGAAACAGTCCTTGCCCAAGAATGCTTGTCTGACCATGCCACAGATCGAGTCCTCAGTTCACCTACCGTATCAAACCGGCACTGTCTGCTCTTCACGGAGAAGAAGGGCGGCGATGTTGTCGCTGTACTCGAAGACTTGTCTGGAAACGGAACATTTGTCAACGACATCTTCGTTGGACGGAACAAGCGACGCGAGCTGCGCGAAGGTGACGAGATTGCCATCTTGGACCAAGCCCGCTATGTCTTCAGGTACCCGTTGAAGCGCAACACCCACCGGTTTCGACAACAATACACTATGCAGGAGCAGTTAGGCAAGGGACATTTTGCTTCAGTATACCTCTGCGCAGAGAAAGCGACAGGCGTACGGTACGCAGTGAAGAAATTCGAGAAGCGTTCTGGTCCTGGCGAAAAGTCCAAGGTCGAGGGTCTGCAGCAAGAGATCGCCGTGCTGATGAGTGTTAGCCATCCGGCGCTGCTCTGTCTCAAGGACACGTTCGATGAGGATGATGGTGTCTACCTGGTGCTCGAGCTCGCGACTGAGGGCGAACTGTTCAACTGGATCGTCATGAAACAAAAGTTGACCGAGGCGGAGGCACGCAAGGTATTCGTGCAATTGTTCCAGTCGGTTAAGTACTTGGTAAGTTCTCATATTTCCTTCTGGTTCAACGCTAACACATGTCAGCATGAGCGCAACATTGTACACAGAGATATCAAGCCCGAGAACATATTGCTTACAGATAAGGATCTGTCGATCAAGTTAGCTGATTTTGGTCTTGCCAAAATTATCGGCGAAGAATCCTTCACAACCACACTGTGTGGAACTCCGTCATGTATGTTGTCCTATTCCAAAGTACGACAGTATGCTAATGTTTTTCAGACGTTGCGCCTGAAATTCTGGAAAATTCCAACCACCGTCGCTACACCAGAGCTGTGGACGTTTGGTCATTAGGCGTCGTACTGTACATCTGCCTGTGTGGGTTCCCTCCATTCTCAGACGAGCTGTACAGTGAGGAGAACCCATACACACTATCACAACAGATCAAAATGGGCCGCTTCGACTATCCGTCACCGTACTGGGATTCCGTTGGCGACCCCGCGCTGGATCTCATCGACAAGATGCTCACAGTCGATGTTGAGAAACGGATATCAATTGATGAATGCCTGCAGCACCCGTGGACTACGCAAGACAGAATAAGCGTCACCGATAGCACAGACGGTCTCACGGGGGCCATATCCAAGCTCGATTTCTCCAAGCGCAAGATACAACGGGAGCGCACTATGCTTAGTAGCATTAACGATGTTAAGGTCACTCGTGTCATCAACGCCGCTGAAGGCCAAGAGCCCGTCAAGGTTTACGCAAAGAATGGAGTTGAGAACGGTACGAAGATGAACGGCAAGACCCAAGGGGCTGCAGAGGTAAGGCCTGCCGATGAGCGAAATCCTAACGAATTCGTCGAGATGGGCGGTAAAGGCGATCAGACTCTGTACTCGGAAGAGGAGGACGGTTCCCGCTATGCAACTGACCAAAGCCTTGCATCCGCACAGAGCAAAGGTCAGGTGAATTGAGATGGAGTGGTATTTCTTTCGAGCGGAGCGTCTGGCGTATTCTGAGGGTTAAAGGTTATGGGAGTTCTACGGCCGTAAAGGCAGAAGTGTAAAATAGCGGGCTAGGGGCCAGTACATGTACTGCTGTCTAGTCATTTTACGGAGTATAGCGTAGTAAACATCGCGTTTTGCACCGTCATCATGCATGCCTTGGGTCATGGATAAGGTGATGTATCACTCAAGGTACCCGACCATAGAAGAGGGACTTGGAAACGTGGCCCACTATTTACCTCAACATATATCCTCGCAATGCTGCCGTAATGCCTAAAGCAAGTCCAGTCACAAGGCTGCAAAACAGAACAATGAGCAGCCGACTGCCCAAAGTCGTGCTTATGCAGAAAGCCCAGAATTGGCCTGCCCAAACTGCCCAGGCCCACAGCCATAACCAGAACCAGTGCCGGTGCCAAAGGTACAACATTCCAGTCGAGCAAAAGAGGCTTGTACCCAACATCGCCGAAAACCACCATATCTCTTTCTTGAACCAAGTCTTGAGGCCTTCTCGAATACTATGAACTTTCAGTCTAGAGTCAGGATAAGCGTGGAAGATTGTGCCACCCTGGATCTCTTTATCGATCCTTTCTTTGAGCTGCTTCTCCCTAAGCAGTGAAAGATCAGTGTCCTCTACATCGAGCTCAATCCTCATGGCTGCTGTTAATTCGAGAACTGCGCGATATTCTCCACGGACGTCTTCGAAGTGGCCATTGTTGGACGCGATGGCGTAATGTGTATAGATCCACATTATATAGATCCCGACTGTCCATGCGAGCAGCAGTCCAAGGCAGATAATGAGCTCCAAAAGGGAGAATCACCATTGGTAGTCCTATAGTACACGTTCAGTAAGACATCAGTACATCAAGGCTCAATGGCGACCCACTCCCGTGTTCTGACACTTTCCGTGAAGCTCCATGTATGCGTGGTCAAACGTTTTATTTCCCCTCACCCAAGTGATGCTTAGTAGATCGGGGGAGTCTTGCCCCCCAAGGCTCTCGGCTTCGCTTTTGTATGCAGATATGTTGAGAGCGGGTGCGGTTATAAGCTCGTCCATGAATCGAGATGATTCATTCAAGGTTCCGCCAAGTCCATAGTCCTCGACATCTGTGGCTGCTTAACAGGCAAACAGTACTGATCACGTACGGTCTTACATTGAGACACAGCTTCTACCAGGATACACTCAGTCCCGACACTCCATGGTGCGTGGAGTTTACAATACTCTTCTGAGCGCAGCACAGGATCATCTGCATGTTTCGGCTATTGAACGATCCTACTCAGACGGAGATTGAGGGAAACAGTGACAGGAATATGCTCACTTCGACTTGCCATGTCGATAATCCAGTAATTGCCATCCTGTGGGATGACATGTTCTTGGATTCTCCAACCATCGTGTATTACGTAGAGTAGCCGGGAATACTTGTCGAAGGGTACAAGGTTATCCTCGCCATCTTGGACACGAGACACAACGTTGGAGTCGTAGTCACTCATAGCGCTCATGAGCGTAGGAAATGAGAGAATGAAAACCATGGCGGTTTTGGAACGTAGTCTGCGCTGCCAAACGGAACTCTTGATAGTCTGGCATGTTGATAATAGTGAAGCATCATTCTCGATAAATATCGTCCGCAATAGCCGATAGGTGACGGGTCTGTCTTCCATGCATATTGTCAGATACCTTGCGAACTCCCGCCATGATACGACCGCCAACAATAGTTGACCTCCACGGCCCACGGCCTATCAGTTGTCAGTATCGAATTCCGTGCTTTCAAACTCTGGCCAGCTTACAACGTCCCATATAATATCAATCGCTTTTGCTACTGCGAACGTCAGATGTCCTCCACCTAACGTAACTTGGAAAAAGCCAGAGAACGACCACATGCTATAAGTCCTTGGATCCAGACGAAAACTGCCGTCCGCTTGGCAAGCCTCGAGGTCAGAGCGAAACAGCCACACCGCTCCGACGGCGACTAATACCAGAGTGCCTGCAAGACCGAGAATCCAGATGGCCCCAAAGAACCAGCCTAGTCCTCGCAGCCATCGTGTTGATTTAAGGTCTCGCTTGAGGTCCTGGAAGGCGGTATGGACGCTTCGAACGCCGTCGCGGTAATCCATAACCCCAAAATCTGGTGGAAGCGACTGGATTGAATAGAATGGTTGGAATTATCAAGAATGAAGAGAGTGCTGCCAGGGCGATAGTGAGTTCATCTATTGGTAAAGAGAAGGCTGAGACATCGCCACTGCTGGCATGCGTCTACCAGTCGTGGACCCCACGCCTCCCTTCAACTGGCCGCGCTCATCTATGTGCATCGATTTCTCAGCCTTTGACAGCCTACCAACCTACGAGAAACGGCGCTAAGCAGAGCAAAAGCATGAACTTGTCACACAGCCCGCTGCTGCATTGCATGTTCAACAGTATGTGGCTGGAGTCCACATGCTGCAGCTATGCCAACGGCGTGTTGGAGGCAACCTCGAATAACATCAACAACAACACCAAAGCGCAGTAACGTTTATACACCTGATGGAACAAGAGCCGTAACGGAATAGGCTAGGGATAAGTACACGTACTGCGCAGTCGGTTAATGGAGCATAGCGAAGTAAGGATGGAATTTTACACTATGATGCTGTCTGCTTCGGGTTGTGGATAAGGTGATGTACCCCCCCAGACCAATGACATGGCACGATGTACGATGAGAGGGTATTTGGTTTGGATGGCCTGTCAGTGGTGCCATCTTGTCTCCTTTGAACGGGTACGCTAGGATCCGCAGGCCGGTCCCTGCCAAGCTCTGGACACCGCCCGCAGTCAACCAGCCCACCCATCCACTCAGATGCCGCCCTGTACGGCTATAGTATGATTGGATAGCCTGGCCCCTGCGCGAGCCTCAACCCGTGGGAAATTTATTGAGGCGCGTTTCCCGTCAACAACGCCTCTCCCACACGCCCTTCACTTGTGTTGTTGCTTCTTGTCGCACAGTATGGGTCTCCTCGCCAATGTCGCCGGCCCCTTGGGCAACTTCACCTCCAACTCGTCGCTCCCCGTCCTCGTCGCCGCCGGCTTCGCCTCCTTTATCCTGCTCGCTGTCGTTCTCAATGTCTTGAAGCAGCTGCTGCTCAAGAACCCCAATGAGCCGCCTCTCGTGTTCCACTGGCTGCCTGTGATCGGTAGCACCGTCACGTATGGCATGGACCCGTATGCGTTCTTCTTCGCCAACCAGAAGAAGGTGTGTAGGAGATACAATGCCAGAACTGGACATGACTGACTGGAAGTAGTATGGCAATGTCTTCACCTTTATCCTCCTCGGTCGCAAGATGACTGTGTGTCTCGACACCACCGGCAACAACTTTATCCTCAACGGAAAGATCAAGGACGTCAACGCCGAGGAGATCTACTCCCCGCTCTGCACACCGGTCTTTGGCAAGGACGTCGTATACGACTGCCCCAACTCGAAGCTCATGGAGCAGAAGAAGGTGCGTACACGACTCGGTCTCATAATTGATCCATAGCTAACGCAAGGACAGTTCGTCAAGTTCGGTCTCACCCAAGACGCTCTCCGCTCCTACGTTACCCTCATCACACAAGAATGCGAAGACTTTGTCAAGCGCCACAAGGCTTTCAAGGGACAGAAGGGCACTTTCGACGTCCCCAAAGTCATGGCCGAACTCACCATCTACACCGCCTCTCGTTCGCTCCAGGGTCAGGAAATCCGCAACTCGTTCGACTCCAAGTTCGCTGAGCTATACCACGACCTCGACATGGGCTTCTCACCCATCAACTTCATGCTTTCTTGGGCCCCGCTCCCCCACAACCGCGCACGCGACAACGCACGTGAGACGATGATCAAGCTATACTCTGAGGTTGTTCGCAAGAGGAGATCGGGCGAGGTTAAGAAGGACTCTCCCGACATGATCTGGCATCTCATGGACTGCAAGTACAAGGACGGCACACCAGTTCCCGAGCACGAGATTGCCGGAATCATGATTGCGCTGCTCATGGCTGGTCAACATTCCTCCTCATCGACCATCTCCTGGATCATACTCCGATTGGCACAAAACCCCCACCTGGTCGAGGAACTCCTAGCTGAGCAGAAGTCGGCTCTTGGTGAAGACCTCCCACCGCTAACCTACGAAGACCTTCAGAAGCTCCCCCTCCACACTCAAGTCGTTAAGGAGACCCTCCGTATCCACGCCCCGATCCACTCTATCATGCGCAAGGTCAAGCAGCCTCTTGTCGTCGATGGAACAAACTACGTTGTGCCCACCTCCCACACCCTCATGTCCTCGCCTGGTTTCTCCGCTCAGCTCGATACGCACTTTGTCAACCCCTCCGTCTGGGACCCGCACCGCTGGGACGCTGAGCACCAACAATATGACGAGGAGCGTGACGATGCCGACCAGGAGAAGATCGACTACGGCTGGGGTGTTGTGTCCAAGGGCACAAACTCTCCCTACCTGCCCTTTGGCGCTGGAAGGCACCGATGCATCGGCGAGCAATTTGCTTACCTCCAACTGCAAACTATTCTCGTAGCATTTGTGCGTGAGTTCAAGCTCAGGAACGTCGGTGGCAGCAAGGACATTGTCAACACTGACTACTCGAGTTTGTTCTCTAGGCCTTTGGCCCCTGGTGTTGTAGAGTGGGAGAAGAGAGAGAAGGAGCTGTAGAGAACTACACAACCCTTCATCGCTCTATGAAGCTTTGCGTTTTTAATGATGGGTGCATGTAGATACAGGTGGTTATCCTGCTGTCTACGAGCATGAGCGCGCATGAGGTTCTGGGTTCCGTTCCATGCCAACATAGACTTTGGGATTAGTATATTAGTTAATACTTTTGGGTATCTAGGAGGAAAAGAAGTAATGAGAATCGAACATACCAGTAACATACATTGACATACATTGGCATGAATTCGGTGGCCGTGTTGTAGAGGTTCCATGCCGGATAAGGCCGACTAGGTCGATGTTGTATAGCCGAGGAGATGTCATAGCCTTCCGGTAGGTCTACCGGAACCTCTAAAACTGGAGCGCGTCATGTTTCCTAGTCACACATCCGACTACGGCTGTCATTTCACACCTCCTATACCTCGATTTCTGTGTACATTCAGTTTGTAATATATCAGAGTGGTTGAAAAGACTTGGAAAGCCCACTTTGATCACAACTACTTACTCACAATCGGTTTCCGCCGAGCTTTAGATGAACAAAATCAAAGACTATCCAAGACGAGGATAGATTATCAACAGAAGAGAAGACTAAATGATAAACGACATGCAAAGATTGAAAGAGGATTACCCATGGATTCAAACGCCGCTGGTGGTAGGCGCGCCGATGCGATTAATCGCTCTGGCTGACATGGCTGTTGAAGTATCGAAAGCCGGTAAGTTGAAGAAGAAACTATCACTTCTATTCTTCTCTAGATCCATGCGGTGGGTAATCTGCATGATCAAGCCCCTCCATCTTATTTCATGCTTTGCAGCACGCATTAGCAGTTAACATCATCCTAACCAGACCGCACAGGAGGAATCGGATTCATAGGCGCAGGAACAGACGTCTCGGATCTAGAATCCCATATCCAGCACGCAAAAACACTCTTACAAGACATACCCGCCGCACTACCAACGAAAAACGGAACACTTCCCATCGGCATCGGCTTCATAAACTGGGGCGCAGATCTTGAAATGGCTATACCCATCATCGCGCAACACCGTCCAGCAGCAGTATGGTTCTTCGCGCCTTCATCAACAGCATCCCTCGTGCAATGGGCAGAAGCAAGTAGAACCGCCTCCCCCTCAACGAGAATCTGGGTCCAAATAGGCAGTATAAAAGACGCCGTGGAAGTAGTCCAACAAATCCAACCAGACGTCCTCGTCGTCCAAGGCACAGACGCAGGAGGCCATGGTCTCGTCCAAGGCGCAAGTATAATAACCCTCCTCCCCGAAGTCGCCGACACTATCAACACTCTCCAGCAACACCCCAAACCCATTCTCCTAGCCGCAGGCGGCATATCTGAATCCCGCACCTTCACCGCATCCCTCACTCTCGGCGCCTCAGGCTGCGTGCTGGGAACACGTCTCCTCGCTACCCCCGAAGCAGCCATCAGCACGGGTTACCGCTCTGCTATCCTGCGCACCACCGACGGCGGACAAAGCACTGTGCGCACTAAAGTCTATGATTCTCTGCGCGGCACGAATTGGGCGGAGACGCATAATGCGCGCGGTATTATTACGCAGAGCTATGTAGATGCTGTGGAGAAGGGGATGAGTCAAGAGGAGAATACGCGGTTGTATCAGGAGGAAATGAGGAAGGGGGATGAGGGGTGGAGGGAGGGTGGGGGTAGGATGACTGCGTATGCGGGGAGTGGGGTTGGCTTGGTCAGGGAGGTTATGGGGGCTGGGGAGGTGGTGAGGGAGGTTAGAGAGGGGGTTGTGGGTGTGTTGGAGGGGGTGAGGAGGAGGGCGAGGCTGTAGTGCTCTCCCTTTTTGTGGGTTCGTAAAATGGAGATGCGATTCATCTGGTAGGTGGAATGTACATATACATACATGCATGTCTGAAGTTCGTTTCTCTGGTGGAACATATGAAAACACATAGTGGGTTGAGATGCGAGGGTGCGATGATGGAATCGTCGCTCGGATATTTTGACACATGGTAAGAAACAGAAGAGCGTGTCACCTACTACCTGCTCGCTCATGTACTCCTGACGTCTGCCACTCACAGAATTCCAAGACCATGCTCCATTCCCGCCTGCTCTTTCCTGTACTCCAGGCATTGCTGCACCGGATGGGTATGTGGCTCGACATTGGTAGTTTGATACTCGAGCTGTACAATCTGCAGCTCGTGGCCGTTCGAACACTCTACAAAGCCTTGGTCGCCCGGTATCTGCCCGTCTTGAGGTTGAACGCACGCTGGTCCTTCAACCACCGTCTGTATCCAGAAACGCTACCAATCTTCTCGCCGTAGTAATCCGGTGGAGGGTTCGCCAGCGAAGAGGCAGTAGGGTCGACGCGGTGGCGCTTGATGCGGTTGAAGAAGGCCGAATCTTTCTACACACACTATCGTCAGTATCCGGCATCTCAACACTATCCAGATGTGACTTACCCGCGTGAATTCGCCCAGCACACCCCTGTAAGCCAGATTGAAGACCTGGTTGCCGAAAATAGGCCCAATGAGCCATCCCACAGCCATCATGCCCAAGGTGCTCAGTCCCATGAGCATGAAGGGATCGAAGCCGCCAAGTTGGGCCGAGAGGGTCGCGTCATAGCCATTGTTGATCATGGTGGTGAGACCAAAGTACGTCACGCCCACCGCGCCCACTCCCGAGCAGGCCTGGCCGATTCTCCGGCGCGTGCGGCGTAGGGCGAAGAAGGCGTTCCATGTGAGTTGAGGTTGTGCGCTGGGCGAGTTGTTGGCTACGGGCTGTGCGGGCGCAGTCGATGCATAGCGCACTATCAGTCTGCTGGGAAACGTGGTGCGAGAGGCGGTGGTCGGACTGTTGCGCTGTTGTTGTGGGAGCGTGCTTGGTCGTGTGCATGTGGAGAAGGAAGTCGCGGCGGCGGTGGATGAGGGCGCCAGTATCGAGGGTGGGAAGCGGTTGGCAAAGGCCCTCGCTGGGCACAGTGCACTTCGTGTGAGCATCGTGGACGTGTCTTGGACAACGGTGGGGCGGCGTCGTGAGGTCGCAATCGTACCGCGAACTTTCCACTTCGATGTCAGTAGCTGCAGATTGCGGGCCTTGGCGATTGCGGAGAAGCGTCCTGCACTGTCGTCGCCGGATTGGGTTTGCTCTGCGCTTCGTGTCTTACAACAACCCAGACTGTTGCAGCTCTTGATCCGGAGGATTTTTCGAATGCGCTCAACGTTGGCGAGACGTCATTTCTTCATCTTGCTCGGAGGCTGCTGACTCATCCGTTCGGCCATTTTCTCCACACTATGGGTCACAACCATCGCTTTCGAAACTTCTACGTTGTCTAGTCTCCTGATGTCTCACGACAAATGATGTGCTTCATGGTTCAGATCAGCACATCTCCTCGGTTTTGATCACATCTATCCAGGGCAAGTCATGAGTGGTATGCCCTCCGAAAGAGCTGTGCAGAATCTGGCAATGAGAGGGGAAGGCGTGTGTCCAATGTGCCTCTTCACAAGCTTAGATTCACCTGATCAACGCTTTGTTTGTCAAGCCTTGTTAAGGGCAACCCCGTGGGTTGTGCCTGCTACACGCACGTTCAATCATCACCCTTGTCTCCGTGCCACGCAAACCTTACAGACGCACAGCCGGTACCGGTCGAATGGATACGTACTCCATTCCTTAGGGTCTTCCTTCCTTTCTGGGAATCATGGTTCGGTGCCTGTACCTGCAGTTGTCGCCCACAGGTGTGGCTCGATAGTCACAGGTCTGGACACGGGTAGGTCGATCGCTCAGCGAGACCACCACAACCTTGGAACGCTATGATATCCCTGTAGACTATGCCTCGGGGACCGGAGATGGTCTAGCTGCTTTTGGTGCCATGCTTGTGGCTTGTCAACCACACAAAAGCTTTCTTGTGAACGTGGCCCAAAGTCTGATTCATGGGAACAACGCAAATTTGAGAGACATGCAGGTGGTTGTTATAGGTGCTCAGCTCAAGTCTCAGTCTGTGACTACGGAGAAATCATGTTTCTCTGAGTAGTGGCCACTGCCATGGTTTGATGTGACATAAATGAAGTATATCAAGTCTCGTTACTGTAGCAAGTCAGCCAGTCAAATGAAGGCCCCACCGACTCAGGATTCAGTATCTCCACGTCCTACTGTCGCCCTCTGCCTAAGACCAACTACTCGCCATGCAGCAAACTCGACCCCGACCAATCTCCCTGAACATATCCACGACATGTCCAGTACCATGGCGCGCCATCCGTCCTCCTACACCACGACGCGCAACCTATCCATCAATGTCTACATTGATCAACGCCAAGAATGAAGTCCCCCGTGCCGCCCTTGTCCTACTGGGACCCTGAAACGCCGTTACCTTTCGCCTCTACCAGCTCGGAAGTCTCTCCGAGCTCACCAACGAACCCGTTCCTCGCTCCACCCAAGTCCCCAATAGAGCAGCAACACCTTTTCCCAAAGGCAGCCCCCCTCCTTCCTGCGTCCCCTCTATCAATCTTCGACAGTCCACTGTCGCCAATGGCGGTCACATTTCTTCGTACACCCACCCCTTCGCCAACCAAAGCGACGTTTCTTCTACCAGCCTCTCCAGATCTATCCCCGCGCTTCTTACTCCCACGATCACCGCCTCCTTGCACGATGGGGAATAGAAGAGTCTCCGTGTATGATGTTGTGAAAGATATCGTAGAGAGGAAAGGCAGTGTGGCTAGTATGGTGAGGAAGCAAGAGATGATGAAGTCGAAATTCTATCAGTCGCTATTCTTGAAGAGACAGAAGGAGATGAATGGTTATGCAGGGAACAGGAAGAAAGGAGAGAAGACCAGATGGACGATAAAGGGAATATGGAGACGGCTGACTGGTGGCAGGAATTACCGGGAAGTCGAAGGAAAGAATAGAGTTGTACAGAGTGAGGATCGCATCAAGACATCTAGGCCTCAGAGCCTGTTGTCCCGAGTTTAGTCTTTACCTGAGTTTGATATAATTCACGATGTGCCTTCAGTGTCGTCTGGCGTGAGTTGAAGAACCTCCTGTATGCCATGTTTGACGCCAAAGCGACATATATTGGGAACCCTATTCGATGCAGAATTCGAGTTCACTGAGAACCCTCCGCGAATCGAATGACGTAGACTTGAGTGATCCATTGGCGCGGATGTAAAGTTCGATGGTAGATAGTGGCAACGGGACGCTGACGAGCTAGCGAAGGATGTGTTGCGAACCACGGGAGACTCGGAAGACGATCGACGTAAGAATCTTAGAGGATGCCATCCTTTCTGCTTCGCAAATCAGCTCGTAGGAAGTATCGTGTGTAATGGCGTTGCGATAACCCATGGAGCATCAATGACGTGTAATCTTGTCATTCCGGTGGGTAATATTGAGGCTAGAGATTAGAAAGCGGGCTCGAGAAGCCATTGACACCGAGTCGTGCGTATGAGAAACCAGCTTCAAACAAAAGTAGTGCGATTGTTGAGCAATGTTGAACGTGTTATTTGCGACACAACACCTTATGCGCAAGCCTCAGGGTCCACCGTGATAAAGGCGTGTATTGCGGATGCAGGCGTATTTCTCGGCGATATTGCTGAGAAACCACCAACTCGGTGCAAGTGGGCTGTCGTACTGGGTGTCACGGCCGCTTATGCGGCGAGAAAGTCGGTCAGACTCTAGCGTAAGGCACACCGTGGTCAGACCACACGAGACTGGCTACTGGCTCCGCTGGGACTACGGATTATACCATTGTGACATTCGCCATGGCAGGCGAATGCCAGGGGAGCGACGTCAGTCTCCGTGGCCGTGGTAAGAGTGAGGTTATCTGGGACCAAGACCAAGTGGATGCCGGTGGATGACAGTGGATCCTAGGGTGCTCCCAGGCGCGGATCGAAGCACCCCAACATACGACGCTCAGGCAGGTGGTTATCAGTGGAGCCGCGCTAAGGGCAAACGAGCGAGCGTTTGCAATTCGAATTTGACAATATCGCGATAAAGGATTCTGGTAGACCCTGATTTTCTGCGGGCCTGTATACAGTTGCCAGGCTGCTGGATCAAGGTGTTGTGATTGACTTGTCGACTGGTCCGATACGCAACGCTTCCAAGACGTTCAAGAAATTCCAAGCACCATTGGCATACTGCACTAAGACGATTGGGGAAGTACCCGAGCCTGACCCCGTGATTGGCTGCGATTCCTGGGGCAAATAACTGTGGTTTTTCGGGCATCAGCACGGTGGATCTGGGAGCCGGTGCCGTTGGATAGGAACGTTCGCCATGAGGTGTCAAACACGCGACGTCGCACCTCTTATGGAGAGGATTTGGCTGTCTGGTTCCCCCACGCAGTGATAACGGCCTTCTCGAAGCGGGTGATGGAGCGAAGACGGGCCTAATTATCGAGGAAACTGAAACGAGCGAGGGATTGTCGTGCTAGGATGCGAGGTTAGATGGGCAATGTAACGCAATACTGCGGTGCCCGTTACGCCCGATAACACAACACACGCCGCAATCACGAGCGCTTGGCTTTGCCTATTCGCGGACTTCGCGATGGCAAGACTGAAGCGCCTTGGAGCGCCACCGATGGAGTGGTTGACAAACAGTAATGTTGGAGAGGCATCGCGTCTCGGGCTAACCGAGGCGGAGATGACGGAAGCGAATGCGCTAGACCGGCCCAGGCAGGTGCACATGGAGGTGGGGCACGTGAGAGGCTTCTCCACACTACACCAAGTAAGCGCAACCATCCGGCTGCAGATAAGACGGCCGGTATGCACCAACCTCGATTCGCCAATAGAGGCAGCTGGCAAGGAAAGCGGCGTTGGATCCGAAGAAAACCGCAGTAGCCAAGGGAGCCCAGCACTGCAATCAGCGTTCTAGAAAGCCTGCTAGAACTTTGCTAAATCCGTCCCTCGCGTTTACTCGCAAGTCGCGCATTCGTTATCAGTCTTGTTTGGGACCAATCTCCGCCCAGCGACCGGGTCTGACCAAAGGGCACCAAGGGGCCCCTCGAAGCTCACACCAAGCCCTATGCGCCACCGGCCGATTTGCTGTTGCGGGGAGGTCCCAAGCTAATCCCAAGAGCCGCGGCGGGGCGCCAATTCACGGTCCTTGTTAGCGCTACCCGCTTGCGGCGAACGCTTGTTCTGGGTGCACACGACCAGCCAACCAAACACGGCGCCAGTCTATCAGTCGTCAGCCTGGCCCTTCACTGTAATGGAGGGGTGCCAAGCTGTCGGCTCGTGCGCCTCGTGCATCAATGAACGGGGGTCCCTGTCGCTCGTTCCGCGAGCCCATCTCGAACGTGGACTGGATAAATGTCAATTGCCTCCCCCTCCGCTGATCCAGATCTGACATTAAAGAGCAGCCGGTCCCAGGGTCTCTCTCGTCTTCATCAGTCTTTTTCTACCCCCAGCACTGACCTGTCCAACCGCCCATCATGGACTACGAAAAGGCCCTCCCGCCTGATGAGAAGACTACCGTCCCTCACCCGACTGTCGAAAGTCGGGCTGAGGAGGCCGCCGACTGGCGCGACCAGGAGGACTTCATGACCCGTAACGGTCTGAACATGAAGTCTTTCCAGCGTCGTCCCCAAGAAGGCCCCATGGTCGTCCTCGACAAGTCCATGAAGACGCGCCATCTTCACATGATTGCCATCGGTGGTTCCATCGGTGCTGGTTTCTTCGTCGGTTCCGGTGGTGCTCTTTCCAGGGGTGTAAGTTGCACAGTACGCGGTTACTTTTGGATATCAACTTACAATTACTTAGGGCCCTGCCACGCTCCTCATTGATTTCTCAATCATGGGTATAATGATCTTCAACGTCGGTATGTAGAGATCACACCTGTTTTACGCACGCAAGCAAGACTGACACGTCTTGCAGTCTACGCTCTCGGTGAACTCGCTGTTATGTACCCCGTTTCCGGTGGTTTCTACACCTACTCCACTCGCTTCATCGATCCATCTTGGGGTTTCGCCATGGGCTGGAACTACGTTTTCCAATGGGCCATCGTCTTACCTCTTGAACTTCTCGTCGCCGGTTTAACAGTCCAATATTGGGACGGTGCCAAGGGAATCAACGTCGCTGTCTTCATCACGGCTTTCTGGCTATTCATTTGTCTCATCAACATTTGGGGTACTCTGGGATACGCCGAAGAAGAGTTCTGGTCGTCGTGTATCAAGCTTGGCGCAACCGTCGTTTTCATGATCATCGCCTTGGTCTTGGTTCTCGGAGGAGGACCCAGCAACGGCATGTACTCTGAATACTGGGGAGCGCGTACCTGGTACAACCCTGGTGCCTTCGCCAACGGTTTCAAGGGATTCTGCACCGTCTTTGTTACCGCAGCCTTCTCCTTCTCCGGTACCGAACTTGTCGGTCTCGCTGCCGCTGAGACGAAGAACCCTTTGAAGTCCCTTCCTGGTGCCATCCGTCAGGTCTTCTGGCGAATCACCCTGTTCTACATCCTTGGTCTCACCTTCGTTGGTCTGCTCGTCGAGCACACTGACGACCGTCTTATCGGTAACTCCTCCGGTGACGCCAACGCCTCGCCCTTCGTCATTGCTGGCAAGAACGCTGGTCTGATTGGATTCGACAGCTTCATGAACGTTGTCATTATGGTCTCCGTTGTCTCCATTGGTGTCTCTGGTGTTTACGGTGGTTCGCGTACCCTCACCGCCCTCGCTGACCAGGGTTATGCCCCCAAGCTCTTCACCTACGTCGACCGTGCTGGACGTCCTCTTTACTCTGTTGCCTTCATTCTTATGTGGGGTCCCCTAGCCTACATGAACTTGGCCTCAACCGGTGAGACTATCTTCAACTGGTTCGTCTCCCTGTCCGGACTTGCCGCTCTCTTCACCTGGGGTTCCATCTGCCTTGCCCACATCCGCTTCCGCAAGGCTTGGGCTTACCACGGGCACACTCTGGACGAGATTCCATTCAAGGCCGCTGGTGGTGTCATTGGCTCATGGATCGGTATTATCATTATTATCATCGTCTTGATGGCACAGGTAAGATTTCCTCTGATCACCTCTGTACTGCATTTTGCTAACATGGACATCAGTTCTACACTGCCGTTTCTCCCATTGGAAAGAGGCTTGGTACTGCCACCGATTTCTTCCAGGCATACCTCGCTATCTTCGTTGTTGCTGCTTTCTGGATTGCCGGATACTTCTGGAAGCGCGAGGGATGGCTCCGAACTGCACAGATGGACGTTGACACTGGTCGTCGTGAGCTCGACTGGGACCTCATCAACGCTGAGCGTGCCGAGATCGCGACATGGCCAGCATGGAAGCGTCTCTTGAACCGCATCTTTTAAGCTTGTCTTTGCATGAGTTTAGTGTACGGTCTATGTATCGTCCAAGTGTTCTAGAGTCGATTATCAGTCGATGAATTCTTTCATTACTGACTGATACATCACGTCCGCCTTTGATATAGGTGATCTTCAATGTTAATATACCCCTTCTTTCAACATCCGGATTCTACCGTGACTGCCATGCCTGCTGTGAGATAGTTTACGGGTACCAGCTTCGGCTTCTTCCCATCTGGTGATGGGCGAAGAAGTGTTGCCCTTTGGCAACTCTCTAATCATGTGCACCACACCAATGAAGCTTTCTTATCTTCAGATTGTCTTGCGTTGCCAACCCTCTTAGCTCCAAGATCGTCGCCTCGGCTCCGCTGCTGAGAGTAGCCAAGTCTCTTTCTTTTTCTGCAATAATTGCAAATCAACCAAGGAAAAAGTTAAACACCATGAAGCCTACGTTACTACGAATTTTCTGTTTTGCTCGTCTTATCCTAGTGAAGTCTGCAGACCTATTCAGTTTTACCTTACATGCGGTGATCGTGTTGTACAGACAGCCTTGTACAGTTACACACAGCAGACGTACGTGACATGGGAGCTCGGGATTTTGAAGATAAGGCGAGAGATGGAAGTCTTGTTGTCTGCTAGCGAAGGGTGAAGCAGGATCAAAACTGTGAATTCTGTTGCTGGTCGCTACTTCGCAGAGACGCTGCCACAGTCTGAGTGCCGCATACGCTTCGAGAATTGAGCGCTATATCCAAACCCCAATCAAGTAGGTCACATCAAGAAAAGGAGTCCATGAATTCCTTCACCTCTGGCGCTTGACCACCAAAATGTTTCTTCGGAAGAGCCATAACCTCCAGACCGTACAATGGTCGTGCTCTGCTCACTGTGTTCGCTGTTGGCTTGGTATCACTGGGGCAGATGGAGTCTGACGTATAAGCGACATATACTTGGCTTGGCTCGAAAGCCTTTTGCAGGTTGACCTTGACCTTGTCCATTGTCATGCCCTGAGCCTTGTGGACGGTAATAGCATAGCCTGTCATGAGTGGGATCTGAGTTCTGGACAAGAGGCTATAGGGCGCAGTTTCGCCCAGGTCAGGGCTCGAACAACTCGGGAAAATAGTCCTGATCTGTCCATCTTCGACATCCACTACCGGCCAAGGCTAGTAATTGTTTTCTTCGGCGTATTTCCGGATCTCATGGTGCTCGTATGTGGCATGTGACCCAGCGAGAATTGGACCATCGCTTCCACGTTCCTCACCTTCCTAACGGGCCCGGGCAGCTTTATCTCACCATATTCCTCGAAATCTACGATGATGCCCTGTGTCCCGTTGACCAGACCAGCCTCAGGATCAAGATTGTGCTGCAATACAACCCGCATACGTTTCTTGAACCGCAAGACTGACTCATACCGGTGTTTGTCCTGCGGAGGAAAGATCAGCACGACTTCTAGTATGCGACAAGTGGCGACTTACCGGCTCTTTCAGGGTACCATCCTTATTTCTGACTTCGTGTTTTTTGAGCTCTGGGTTCGTCTTACGATGCGATTTTTTCCAGCTGAAGTAGTCTTTGCAAGCGAACCGCAGAGGTTGAGATGGCAGTGCGTTGATGCACTTGTTGTTAATGTGATCGACGTCTGCTCGATGTGGGTATATCTCCACTGCCCCTTCTGTTGCACATTCATGGTTCAGGAGCGTATACGCATGATTCTCAGAAATGTCTACATCTGTAACCTGTGAGCAAAAGAGCTGCATCATGGCTCTGAAGCTTGTTTACTTCTTCTGATTGATTGCAGAACTTCGACGAACTTGCGATCGCTCTGTCGAAAAATCTTGGTCAAATTGACATTTACGAATCCGCACTCCTGTGATAGTCAATATATAGTCCCTATTTGATGGGAAGAAGGCTCAAGTTTACCTGCCATGCCCTACTACGAAATGCCCATTTGTCTACGTCGTGGAAGACGTTTTCCGGACAACTCCGGTTATCGCAGTGATATTGGTCATCGTAATCGTCCTCTCTCAAGGGCTTTCCACAGTTGATACAGTTTTGGAGGGGGTTCACTGGGGCGACTTGGCAGAACTGGGTATTGAGTTAGTTTTTGCATATCCCAAAGTCGCTATTACATTTACATCTCCTGTAACCACAAGTTGAACGCCGCCGAAAGGTTTCCTTGAACCTCGTGCCTCCTTCATCACTTCGTTCAGCCGAGTGAAGAAATAGTTTTCGACCATGCTGATTTCGTCAATGACGAAGACATCTGTCTTGTTCATCCTGTTCTAAACTTGGTTCCTATGAGCGTCTCTTCTCAATGTATCCAAGTCTTTGTTTACGCCAGGTACTATCCAGCCAGCGTAAAACCTGAATACACGTCAATTACATGTACAGAATCGTGGGGCTTTAGATCATACCAAAGAGTGATGCCATTGACGTTCAAAGCAGCGAGATTTCTCGGCACGCAGATACGAACGTTCTTGTTGCGCGACTTCAGTTCCTTGACTAAGGCCCGCAATATGGTTGACTTGCCGCAGCCGGCGGACCCTGTGTAGAATACATTGTGGTCGGCTACGATAAGAGCAACAACGAGTTGTTGCTCTTTGCTTAGGGGAGACTCAGCTTGGGCGAGTGGATTGATAAGTCCTGCTGGTTCCGTGTGCGTGCTGGCTTCCGCCTCCTGCTCGAGTCTAGCTCCACTGGGGCGTGTCGTGACCCTAGCGGGTGTGAAGATTCATGCCGCGCGGCGTCAGTGGCTACGCGCTTGCTAGGAGGCGAGAATTGCGATACGGACGCGGTTCGTTTAGCCCGAGGCATGTTGGCTCGCACAAAGCAGAGGTCTCGTTCTGCAGGTGTCTGGCATCCCAACAGGGTTCAGACAAGACGCGACGCGACGAGTGATAAACGCTAAACCTCTTCGCAAAGCCCTAATTCCTGGGTTCGTCATCCGTCATCCGCTGCTCACCGTGGCTGTAGCACGACCTGGAACATCACAGTGTTACCATCACAAACGTCGCCATGCGATGGGATAATTCGAGGACTCTGACAGCCAATTTGTGGAAATTTGAATCTCGTGAGATAGTCATACAGTCCACCTGCCTGCCCAAGTATCAGGACTATGACAAGATGCTGTCCTACTCTACGCATGACAGAACTCCTTCCTATCCTCTTGTTCTCCTTACCAACGAAGAATTTATCGGACCGGGGCTCACTCTCAGCGAGCTGCAGCATAAACGGCGTGCTCAAGACTGGACACGCAAGACTTTGGACTCCTTCGATACCTAAGTAGGCGCCTGCCCGCCGTGTCTATTACTCTGGGCTGAATTGTCAGTATTCTAGTCAACGCGACGTTTTTTGAGAGGTGGCTCACTGAGAGGCGGCCAACTCGAGATCGCATCTTCTCGCATCTTGTATTGTTTGAGCTCCAGGATAAGACGGTTGTTCTCTTCATTGAGTTTGCGGTTCTTGTCCTTCTCGATGCGAAGCTCTTCCAAATACCTCTGGAGACGCCTCTCAGGTACTAGCCTAGTCAGCTCGGCCTTTGGCGCAGGTGTGGCATCTGGCTTTTCGTTCAAGATATCTTTGAGACCTTCGATAAGGAATTCGACAGTTACGCCCATCTCGAGAGCACCGTCAATACCCGCTTTGAGATTGTCGAGTGGATCCTGGAATTTGCGCGGAAGACCTCTGGCAGGGTCAAGGTTAGATAGACGGTCACGTAAAGTCTTCTCAAGTTTCTGCAACTCTTTGTAATCTTTCTCTGGTTCATTGGAATGGTTCGCGCGCTTGTATGCCGTGGATAAAAGGCCGTAGGTTGTGCGACATCGCCGATAGTCTGCCCTATCGATAGTTTCCGAAGGTAGGAGTTCTTCCATGTCTACACGATGTCAGTATCGATCTCACTCTCAGATTCTGAATGCATTCTACATACCTTCGATGATCTTGCCAATCTGGCCATGACCGATTTGGGAAGCAGCCATTGCAGGGTATGAATGCGTGTCTATCGCGAGTTGGAGATGGTTGATGAGAGCGATTATTGATTAGTCGAGTTGAATCAACGGTCGGCGCTGCAGTGGTCGGAAAGAATTGGGTTCAAGTAAGCAGTACCTATGGAGGTGAGTGTGTTTGTGCCTGGATAAGTGGGTCATGTGAAAGCAGGCACGGGAAGGAATGAGAACCTGGTACCTTCCGTAGGTGTAAGCGTGACCACTCTTGTTCTAGCTGGCTTGCCTCAATTGTGCGCATATTTCATGTTTACTTCGTATATTCGTATATCAAGCTTTGTTGAGGTCATGCGTGTGAAACCAGTGATGAACAGAACCACTTGGCGGTGGCCCCGGTTCGCGACGCTCTCAGCCGCAGCAACTTCCTCCACTCATAAAAACGAAAGCAAGTGACAACAGCATCTAGGATACAACGAAACGCGATCCTTATATACTTGATCAAAGAATGGGTTGGACACAATCTAGTCATCTAGATAACTCCCGCTATTGCACATAGTTGTAGACTTTTGCCCACAAGCAATAGTCAGTACCGTCTTTGTCTTGTAGAAATCACACTCCGCCCGGATGTCCTTATCCGACCAGAACCACTCATCTCCCTGTCGGATATCTATGAACCTGCTGTAGAGATCCTGATAGAAATGGCGGCCGAGAAAAGCCATCATCTTCGTCGTATCTAGAGTATCTTGAGGCGTGGGAGCCGGGATGGCAGCACCAAAAGTATGTGATGCAGATGGCGCCACCTTAGCTGCCACCTTGGGTGGATGCGCTGGAAGCGCGATGCGAGCGCGACGAATGTTGTCGAAGCCCACTATCTCCAGCGTGTCTAGGACAGTGTCTGAAGCCTGCTTGCTCACGCCATGAGCTTCTAATCGGCAGGAAAGATGCTCATCAACCCATGATGATAATTTGGGCCCTTCGCAGCTCATGTGCGCATCTACTGAAAGTATCTCAATCTGCCCACCTGGCTTGAGCACACGCATGCAGTCAAAGAAAGATCGAGCCCAATCGTCGTTTCGAAGAACAGTCGCGACAGAGCGCGAGATAACGGCGTCGAAGTAGTTATCGGGGAACGGCGTTGGCGATGACAGAGAAGGCACATATAGTGTATGATGGTTTAGAGGCGCAGGGTAGGTGGTAGCTGGCTGGGTTTTCGTGGTAGAGAGTGTATATACGGTCACTGCAGGGTAATGGTGTGCGAGCATCCAGCCATCCGCTGCGGCGGTTAGCATCAATGCGTATCTAGAGCGAGCCGGAACCGGAAGAGAGACATACCCAGAGAACCATGTATTTGGAGTACCCTCCTCTGGTCTGTTGGTTGACTACTACTCAGTAGCTCATGCGCGGGCGACTGTAAGGGTTTGTTCTGCGTCAAGCGTTGATAGGCGGTTAGCGCCCACAGCCGCTGCTCGAACATGATCTCCTGGAAGCTTTCGTCGTCGTCCAAGCCATCCCACTCTTCGCTTAATCGAGCAGACATGATGCGGGTACCGGCATTCTCCATCTTGGCCAGCGCGCGTGTGAAGAGCGTTTGAGCGGGTTTGACACCTTGATCCTGTTCACGACTTTGTCTACTGCCAGTCCGCGAACCACGCTCAACCGGCTCGAAATAAGGGGGTTGGGAGACAGGTTGTAGCCTGGAGGAAGGTTTAGAAGGGCGAGGGTCATCAAAAGCATCGTCCGAGAGGGCGGTCTCGTACCCCGAAGTGCCCGAAAAGACACTGTGATTGGAGTGTGCGATGCTAGATGGGTTGGATGAAGCGCGGGAAATAGTGGAATATTGTGACTTCCTGTCTGCAGTATGTGTAAGCATGCTATTCGTATTGACCGCGGTTCATATGCTCCAGTGGACCAGCCATATGCGGTCATGGTAGTAGAAACCGTGTGTTATCAGGTATCAAAAAGACGATATGCACGTACCTGGTAGACCAACAGGGCTAAGCATCCCTGGTGTTGGAGGCAGCGCACCAGACGGAGGAGGACAAGGTAGCGGGAGTGGAAAGCGTGGCGGCTGGAGTTTTCGGGATGTTTGATCAGAACGCTGTGACTGTGGCCTTCGAGACACTTGGTGTGGTGCATCCAGAGGAGCAGTGGGTGGTGCCGGTCCTTGGTCAAGTCCGAGTTCCAGCTCTGGCTTTATCGCCAGCTCTTTTGGACGTTGTGTCTCCTTACATGTCGACAGTGGAGCAATCTCCTGGATGCCCTTCTTATTGTTCTTGCCGAACCAACCGCCGATACCACTCTTTCCTCCTGATCTGGAGTCTGACGAGCTTGTTGCATCTTGACGCTTGCTGCTGTGTGTGCTCCCGGATGACTGTGAGGTTGCCGAGAAAGACCTTCTGGTCGTATCGTCTTCCTTTGCTCTTCTTGCTTTGCGAGCTCCTACCGTCTCGGCATGTTGTGGAGGAACATCAAATGTTGGAAACATGTCGACTATCTCAATACGGTGCCCTCATCGCCTTCCAGGCGGGGATCTTCGCTCGATAATAGTTCATCGTTTCGGCATGTCACAACACGTACCACCTGTTAGGCCAGCCCGTTCACGGAAAATAGTCTCAATCTCGCCAACTGAGCCGGCTAGCGTTTTTAGCGTGATGATTGCAGTTTGGTGTTGGGTGTTCCAAGTCAGCGGTGGTTGGTGGCCTTACAGACCAGCGACACAGGGACGCCCGGTTCCCGCCGAGAATAGTGCCGAACTTAGTGCAGAAGTCCCCATCGATAACAGCGCAGATGATGATCAGCGCAAGTGACCTTTACCAACCCACACTTTCGGAACAGACAACCCAAACTAGAGGGGTACAGGGTGATGACAGTATCAAGATCTTCCCTCGTTCTGCACATCGCAACAATACGCTCGCGCGAGCATGTCACTCCTTACTGCCTATGCAGCACCGACACGCACGCTCATGAAGACGGCTTCATCACATGTGCGCCACCAACCACTTTTAGCGTCTGCTAGATGACCGCTTACCTTCCCCCTTCATGGAAGCCCCGGGAAGCGGCACATCGACCATTGGATCGAGCACGTCAAAGCCATCGTTGGGACTTCTGCGACTCGTTAGAACTTCTTGGAAATCCCGACAATCAGGTACCTTTCGTTTCTGATGTCCAGTAACCAAGTCCGATTCTTCTACCGATGCGCCATCGGTCTTTGGACCCTTTAGACTTCAACACCGTAACTTCGTAACCACTAAACTCATTTGCGACATGCACCGCACACAACAAGCCTCGGCAATCATGGAATTATCACCGCTGAGATGTTGAAGGAAGCGGTGCATGGCATACATGTACATGGCACACGACGTCACTACTACGTATCTAACGATTGCTTGACTCGTTTTCGCTTCCTGGCTCAGTTGAGGTTATCTAGATACTGTGCTAATGCCAGTGGATTACTCGGTGCGGCCCACAACCCGGAATCCGACGACCACATTTTAGTGTAGGGGACATAGCCAAGGCGGACGGTTCTTCAGTGGCGTATGCGCGGTTGCATCTCACCGAGGGACGGCTTGGATGAGAAGATGAAACAGCAACACACCTAGCCGTTCGACCTGCCATAACGGAGCGAGATTTTTAGGCATATAGTGTCTTCCACATTCGCTTAACGAGAATCCATCTCCGATCACGGAGGATGCCTTATGTGGCTTACCGCGAACTCCTTACGGGATCGTTGCGGGCACCTGCATGACGCGAGCGAGCCTGCTACGCTTTATCCACTGCACTAGGTGTAGTCTCCGTATCTTCCTCTTTGAGCACGGCGAGTATATCTGGGGGTTGATCTCCGTCGTTACCTGGGGTGTCGATGGTCTCGTAGTGCTACACCAATCTATCATCTCAGGTGTCTTTCTTTTGGGTCCTGAAAATGGGTTTCATTGAACGAAACAAAGCTGCTCTCAATGATGTGGTTTCCGCTTCATTTGTGGGCAGGTACTTTCACCTTGATGGTTCCGGGCATGTATGTTGTCCATGGTCTCTCAATGCGTTAGGCAGTACTAACTATCAAAGCCCAACGAAATCAAAAATGCGAGGTTCACGACAGAGCTGCGCGCTGGACTGACGACCTTCTTCACCATGGCATACATTATCGCTGTCAACGTAAGTCACCCACGCTGTCAAAGTGGTACGTGTGCTAACGAAACCACCACTTGTAGGCTTCCGTCCTCACAGACTCCGGTGCGACATGTGTCTGCAACGACCCTGTCGACCCAACATGTATCAACGACGAAGCCTACTCTCTCTGCCTCCTCGAAATCAACCGCGACTTCGTTACTGCTACCGCCGCCATCGCAGCGCTCGGCTCGTTCCTCATGGGCCTTCTTGCAAACCTTCCAGTCGCGCTCGCACCGGCTATGGGCCTTAACGCGTATCTGGCATATCAGATTGTAGGTTTCCACGGCACAGGTCCCATCGACTACCGTGTTGCAATGACCGCTGTTTTCGTCGAAGGCTTCATCTTCGTTGCGCTCTCCCTCGCTGGTATTCGCCAATGGTTGGCCCGCATCATTCCTGCTAGCATCAAAGTCGCATGTGGTGCGGGTATCGGTCTGTTCTTGACATTGATCGGACTTTCATACTCTGCTGGTATCGGTGCCATTACAGGAGCTAAAGCCACACCACTTGACCTTGGAGGCTGCCCCACTGAGTACCTCGACCCGGACACTGGCTCGTGTCTGTCACACAAAGCCACCAATCCTACAATGTGGCTCGGCTTCCTTGTGGGCGGTGTCTTCACTGCCCTACTCATGACATACAAGATCCGTGGTTCAATGATTTTTGGTATCGCACTGGTCTCGATTTTCTGCTGGCCTCGCGATACTTCAATCACCTACTTCCCACGCACAACAGTTGGTGACAGCCGTTTCGAGTTCTTCAAGAACATTGTCGCTTTCCATCCTATCAAGCATACATTGTTGGCACAGGATTGGGATTTGTCCAATGTAGGCGGACAGTTCGCTCTGGCCGTCTTCACTATGCTTTACGTCGACATTTTGGACGCGACGGGTACTTTGTACTCCATGGCTCGCTTCTCAGGCGTTGTCGATCCTGACACGGGTGACTTCCCCCGAAGTACAATTGCCTACTCTGCGGACGCTATCGCCATCTCCATCGGCTCCCTCTTTGGATCTTCGCCTGTGACCGCTTTCGTCGAGTCTGGTGTAAGTACCATATCTGACTGCTTTGAGTTTCCTCCATACTAACATATACAGGCTGGTATCCAGGAAGGCGGTCGCACAGGCCTCACGGCAATCACCACCGGCATCTGCTTCTTCATCTCCCTCTTTTTCGCACCCATTTTCGCCTCCATCCCGCCTTGGGCAACAGGTGGAGCACTCATCTTGGTCGGCTGCATGATGATGCGTGGTGTCCTAGCCATCAACTGGAACTATCCAGGCGATTCCATCCCCGCGTTCGTTACACTCATGTTCATGCCTTTCTCGTACTCAATCGCGTACGGTCTCATTGCTGGAATCATGTGCTACGCTATTATAAACACAACTACATGGGCTCTCGGTGCCATCTCAGGCGGACGTCTACTTCCACCTGACTATGACAACAAGGAGTACTGGAGCTGTAAGTGTACCCATGTTCTGGCCATCTTTTGCACATCATACTAATGAGAGCTTGCTCTAGTCCGATCAGACTCGCCACGCGCTCAGCCTTGGTTCATCCGCGCCATGAAAGGCGACAAGAAGTTCTGGAGACCCCAGGACACCGACTCGTTTGAGTTGGAGTCTACCGAAGCACGCGTCGAAGCACATGCGAAGGCCTAAACGAATGTTTCCATTGCTGCTTCCGTGATAGACCGTTTTCACGCCGATCCTGATCTTACGATACCAAAGCTTAGCTTGATTGCAATTGTAAACTCACTCATAGACTAATTAGACGTCTTTTTGGACACATACTATTGATGATTACGTGCGCGTCATTACTGCCAAATAACTTATGGTACACTGTTCTCGTCTCAATGCAGCTACCCTACTCATAGAATACCAAACATCTAACCTCGATACTCTGCCGTCCAGGCGCATCCTCAGGCGTGTTCGGATCCGCGAAAGCAGTATGTGGTGTTCTGACTGCCACACCCTTCTTGCCGTGAGACATGCCCTCTCCAAAACTATCATAGCACTTGAGCAGAATAACTTCCTCAGGCGTCATATCTTTCTGAAAGTAGAATTTGTGCTGGTTATTCGCTGCCACCGACATGGTCTCGCCCTTGACTTCATAGCCTTCTGTGGAGGTATGGTTGTTTGGGTCGGGAAGGACTTCTTTTCCCCGATCGTCGACGTCCATGGAATCGGCGCGCTTAGGGTATAGGAGGTTTGTAGCAACGAAATCGGATGGTGATGTTGTTCTCCAGTCTATCATGGCAAGGGGATGGTCCGAGGCAGGATTCTCAATGGGTCGCCATACGTTGATGATTTGGTAGCGGCCTTTGACCCATTGGTCGGCTTCTTCAGGTGAGAGATGGCGGCGCACGCGTGCTTCTGCTGCGGCTTCCGTCTGGTCTACATGGACTTGCTGGACTGGTTGCCTAGGAGAGTTCTTGTCTCGTCTCCGGATCGTGTGGTCGAAGATGACAACCTTTTTCACGCCAGGCAGCTTGTTGCGTAGTAAGGCTTCGACTTCAGCGTAGTAGCCTTCTCGCACTGCTGCGTCGTCGGTGAAGGATTTCTCTTTGGCGGGATATGAGTAGACGGCAAAGCCGGAGTTGTCGGTGTTGAATTCATGTTCGTGGCCTCGTAGGTTGTGGACGGATCGCTCGTGCCATTTGTGCGAGAAACTGGTGCCGGGGCCGTCTACCTTGGCCCAAGGCTTTCCAGAATAGGAGTCGGTGTCGATATGGGAGAAGCTTGCTGTAGTCATTTTGATTGTCTGAGCTTCAGACTGGAGGAATCGGATTTGCGCGTGGCTTCCCAAATATGGGTTGTAGGAAGCCGTCTGATGTAGCTTTGGAAAGTGGTGGCTGTAGCTGGTTCGGGCTGCTCTTGTGAAAGTCGTAAGTCTTGTGGCAACGCTCATAAGAGTGGTTCTATCGTGATCAAATGGAAAGGGTACCTAATCAAAAAGCAACATGGAACTGATGCTGTTTATGTACGCTCCACTGCTTAGAAATGATACATGACGCCATACTGAAGTTTGGCCGATGTGCTCATAAATTAACCAATCAGATTCCTCCTTCATGCCGACCATGAAATCGTGGTGAGCAGTCGCGTGCTTTGGTGGCGAAGACGATGCTACGTAATAGGCTACATCCAGACTGTGCGGACTTTTCTTATACCCGATTGGCTGAAGGCGACTTCCCCGCAACCCTCAGTTCGGCTTCAACATGTGTGCCGTCACTGTCCGAAGAACTTCCGTCTTTCTTTCACACTATGCCACGACACGCCGTCAGCGACGATGAAGAACCACTTGAGGACAGAACGGCTGCTCTTACGCTCAAGAACAAGAAGACGGAGCGCATGAAGCGCAAGAATGCGACCAGACAACAGAAACGCGACGCCATCGTAAACATCACAAAGTTGCCCACCGAGCTCATCCTCGAAACCCTTAAATATCTCCGTCCCCATGATATCTTTGAATTCAGCTTCGTCAATCGCCGCTTTCACAGTCTCGTCGAAGCCAACGCGAACGTCATTGGCGACGCCATCATCGCACGCCGCTACAACATCCTCATCAAATGCCTCCCCACCCCCCGACTCCTCGCCGACGTCGACGCCCCGATACAAACCCTCCTGATTGACCCCGCGCGTCAAAAGCAACTCAGCATACACAACCGTCCATACCAACACATACAATCGCCAGATCCACACCAACTGTGCACATGTCTAACCTGCATCCTAACGTGGAATAATCTGGGATTGGTCCTAGACTTTGCACATTGGCAGAACCACCTCGACACCGGAACTCCGATCCCCATAATACCGCGTGGACAGTCACCGGAGTGGAACCAAGAGCTCGTAGCGCGCAACGCACGTATAGCCCGCAAAGCGGTAGACAACTCGCTATGGCACGCTGCAATCCTAGAGCGACACCTGGAAAGTACCACGCGCGCTATACGGCGGCACTCGAAGAACAGGGGGAATAAACGTGTTCACGTGGAAATGACGGAGGCGGAGGCTGTGGAGGAGACGGATGCGTTTTTGGCGAAACACGGGCCGCCGAGTTTGGAATTTCCGTACCAGCGGGATGAGTATTATATGCTGTAAGTCATTTACCACCTATATCATATGTTCACTTGGGCGCGAGTTTTGTTGACAAGATGCCAGGGAAGCATACCTACCCAACCGGTGGTGGAGGAAGCAAGAATCGTATTGGTTCTATACAATCAATGGGCAACACGAACGCGATCTGGAACTTGTTCAACGTTTCGCGAGACGGTAACGCAATACATCAGGTTCTTCGAGCGCAGCACAATACTCGCGACGGTATCATGGAAGACCTTGAGACTCAACGTGTCATGGAGTGCTATGCGAAGAGATGAGTATTCGTATACAGAAGCAGTTCGCTAAAGCGCAGACAACGAATGAACCGAGTTCAAGAGACAACGCCTAACCCAACCGTAATCCCAATGCAAGGTGATCTAACAGCTCGAAAGCAAAAGAAGCGCTCATATGCAGAAACAATGCAACGTTGCTGTCCTATCCACAGTTTACCTCTAGTTCAGCCGCTCCGGCCCACCACTAAAGCTATACCCACTTCCACTGTGACTCGGCGCTCTGTCCATACCCATGCTACCAAGAGGCCCCGCACCAGCCTCTCTTCTAAATTCTTCATATCCACCCGGACTCAACGCGTCCACGCCGGCAGCTATACTTGCACTGCTGTCTCTATACTCTGCATACGGAGGCACAGCCCCCCTGCCACCGCCACCATATGTTCCGTTCCTATCCTCACCCCAACTCAGCGGGCGGCCTGGGTGCCTACCCTCATCCGTTTCTGTGCTGTGTAGCAACGCATATTCGTCTTCTTCTTGGTTTCCGCCGCGGTCGGTACGGCGATCGAGCGAGTCTGATGAGTCGCGGCCGTTTGCGGTTTCTATCTCTGTCGACCAGGCTGCGTCTTTGGGGTTGTTGTAGGCGGAGTCGCCCGAGGCGTAGTGTGTGTTTTCTGAGGAGGATTGGTAGGGCATGACGCCTTCGCGGAGGTATTTGTGGAGGTAGTAGCCGGATACGCCGGTGGTGATGGCGAAGAAGAGGCTGCGGAAGGGTCAGTAGACGTTCTTGTTCATTTGATACCCGAGTTGCAAGGGGTGCTTACAAGACCATGACACCGACGCCTACAGCGGCCTTGCTGACCTTGCATTTGGCCTCATCTCCGTATAAAAATGTTGTGCAGTTGCGGTCGTCATCTGCAATCTTCTCCTTCTTGGCTCCCTCTTTGATACCGTGGGCATTCCACATGGCCACCGAGATGAAGGCTGCGAACCACAGGATAGTGTATAAAGCGTCGACGGCGAGGAAAGCGTAGGCGGAGGCGAAGCGTTGGGCGCGCGACCACATGGGTACCATTGTGAGGTAGATTATGGCGGGAATGGAGACGAAGCACTGCGAGCAACCTTTTGTCAGCCATGTTCACGTTGAGGTAAGAGACCATCTTGAAGGCGATGCCGTATAGAAAGAACAGAGTGCAACTTACCATAGCAAAGAAATACTTTGTAGGTCCTTCAACGGGGCCATCCTTGGTCATAACAGCGATCGTAAGACACGCCGCTATGAAGACGAAGATGGCCTGGAAAACATGTGCCACCACCTTGCACTTCTGGATATATGACTGCGGTATCCGCATGTTGTGTGGATGTGTTTATCTCCCCAATCTCAAAGTCGTAGTATGCGTGGAAGGGCGCGGAAAGGCCTGAAGGGTGAGCGTAAACAGACAGCTCACTCAGCCCTGCGGATACGTCAATACGGGTAGCCTCCGATGCTACCGAGTCTGCTCTCTGCGTCACGTAACCGCTGAACAACAAACAACGTCTTGGATTCGTGTGCGTAAAGAGATGCGAAAACAGGACCGCGAAAGAATGTCGTAGTCTCCTCGAACAACAATGGAAAGGCGAAGCGTCAATGTCAGACACCGTTCGAGTCTCAGCCTCACTGCTTGGTGGATCCCGCAAGCCTGCCAAACTGCCCAGTCGCGTCCCCGCCGCGCAGCCCGCTTCTTCGCTTCTGCAGGGTTTGTGCCTAACCCGGCAACCAGACTGTAGCGTCGCTGGTGGATATTAATAGAGGGCGAGAACGGGTACCGAGCAAGTTAGGCGGTTTAAGGGCTAGGGATGGGCGTTCCTGGTTGAACCGTTTGGCGTTGGCGTTGGTCGCTGGTTGCTACGGGTGAGGGCGATGACGTGGGCTTCCGGCGAATCTCTTGTGCATGCACTGCCGTACTCGAACAAACCTGCGGACTCGTTTCTTGCGTGTTTTTGTGCATTTCACATAGGTACATTCACGCTTGCGCATTCCTTGATCGATGAATATGCCTTGCCTAGACACCTGACCTCGTGTTCGTTCAGCTTTGCAGCTCACAGCCTCCGCCTAGGCATCGCACCACAGCTCGAAAACCGCGCCACCATAGGATTCTTCACCGGTACAATGCTGATGCTTCAACGGGTTTCCACTCTCTTTGCGCACAGGTTTCTTTCGCCTAACGCGTGATACATAGCCTACTTTGTCACCATGATCCATTTGTCACGTTGACAGCAACAGGATCTCAAGACCAGTTGGCATGCTCTTCAACCCAGTTATCCTTCTCCAAACCGCCATCAAGTAGGTATGCCTGAGCAGTCGCATTGCCCCTCCACTGCCATTCCAGGTACGCGACAGCCGCTTTGCCCTGTTTTCCACCATTCGTAGCTTCAAAGGTGCCGCCGTGGCCAGTATCGAGGTTGGCCCTCAACTTTGGAGTTCCCGGGTTCAGGAGTGCATAATCCTTCGCCGACTATCAAGAATTAGCATTGATCGAGACCGGGATCTGTCTGGTCTTCAAGGTAGACTCACGGTGGTATAACCCATATCTTTCGGTCCTCCAATCAAGTACACCATAGGTACCTTGAGCTCTTTAAGTAGGTACCTCCTGTCATCCTGGAAGATGGCAATGTTGAAGAGCATAATTCTCTTGACTCTGTCATCGTGGTACGCGGTCGACATGGACTCGAGACCTCCACAGCTATGGCCCGCGGTCGTAACTTTGGTCAAGTCGACATTTCCGTATTTCTTTGCTTTGCCGGCGAATGCCCAGTCAAGAGAGTCGCGCATATCTTGTACTTTGGACTGTTGACCGGCTTGGAATCCAGAGCCGTCGGGTGTGCCGTCTGCAGCGATAACGTATCCATAGCTGGCGATCTCTACCAGCAGCCGCTCGTAGATGCCGGCGTTGAGGCCGCATCCACCGTTACCCCATGCGATGAAAGGGAGGCTAAGATTGCCAGTCGGAGGGGTCTTGGGTGCGAATATGGTGTGTCTCGGTAACGTAGAGTCAGTCAACATCTGCGCTGGGTAGGGCCCCGAACCAGACGTTTTCGCGCCGTTTCCTTTGGGGGTTTCGGGGCCAGTTCCGCCTGCGCCAGCATATTTAGGCAGCTCAGAAAGCGATATGCTGAAGATGCCGCCTGCGAAATCGCCATCACCTTTGGCTGGAAAGTTTCCAGGTGCGGGCGTGAACGTCTGTGCCAAAGCGACATTCAGGACGCTGGGCACAAGGCCAAACAGCGAGAGCAGAGCGGAATTCAGCATGTCGGCAACAGGTCTAGGTTCGGTTAAGGAATCGTGGTCGCTATACCAGCGACAGCACTTTCCATACGCCCATCTTATATATGAGGGTCTAGCGGTACATATACGTATGGACAATGTTATTTCTTTGGGCAAAGCCCATTCTGTCAGGTTTGCCGCACGGTTGTCGATCTGACCCATTGACCATGCTCGAATAGATGGGGAAGACCGCCAAGGCGACCGAAGTAGATTAATGGTTGATTGGCAAGATGCTGATTGAGGAGAAAACCTGGGGAAATCAAATGCATGTTAGTGGGGACCACAAGTCTCGGATGATACTTCGGTAAATAACCTGGTGTTGAGTAGAGCCGCGGTAAGCGTTTCGTTAGTTGCTCAATATAGCCGCTGGGAACACGGATTTTCGCACGAGATCAGCACTCAAAGCTGCGGTCAGGTTCTCTAATTGTCATTTGCGAAAGAATCGCGGCTTTGGCCAGGGTGTAACGAACAACAGCGTAGAAGTACAAAAGGACCATAGCAAAGAGAGGGAATGCGCTCTTCGCGAAGCAAGGTATCCCTCCACGTAGAATATTATGTATGAGCCCAGACGACCTACTGTTCCATGAACGGAGCAGCGTAGAACAGTAGTCTGGTCTGGTATCACTGCCATCGGCAAAAAGGTGCGCGTGTCCTGCTCGACGTTTCAATTCGGACCCGATGGCAGATTTTGTACACGAACATGGTCAACTGTCTCCTTCCGAAGAGCCGACGATTGCTCTATAAACTGAGTGGAAGAAGCTCAGCTTGCACGATGACTGGTAGCGTTTCTCTTGGCAATTATATAGAGGGTGCGACAATGGAAAATCGACGCGTCCTTCAGCCCCATGCCGTATATGCAATGCTCTCGAACGCGCTGCATTCAAGACGCTCCGCGAATCCAACCGACGTGTCGCGCTTCCGCATGAGATTCATTAAGCGCAGGCAATGATAGGAAGCTGGTCTTTGTACTAATAGACGCAAGCTAACAGTGGTGCGACCGCTTCCTTCCGAGGGATATGCTCGGGGGATGTGAACAACGCGTATTTCGTTCAATGGTGCCTTTATGAAACGTGGTAGCCAATCGCAACTCGCGCGCGCGCTGAGAGATTGTCATCGAGGAGCGTGATGACTGAACGGCCGAGATGCCACGATTCCGTCTCCGCTGTCGTGCCTGTGGCGCCTTTGATGCGATGCCAATCATATCGTAGCTCTGCCCATCGCATGCATCAGTGTGCTCGGAACATGTAATAGATATCACCAAAAGGAAGTACGGCTGTACGCTGTGAGACACAGGTTGGGTGGGTGAGGAAGACGTACGGATCGCGTGCGCCCCATTGAAGCTAAACCATCGCTTAAGCAGGCCTCGGCTGATCGGCAGGATGCATGGCACGAGCTCAACCTTCACATGCCTTCGTCGACCGCATCACAATGAAGCCATTTCGATGTTTGCCAGACACCATCGACCATCTGTAACACCATCGCCACAAGGCTCGCCGGGGCGCCTGATGCGCTTCGGTAACCACTTGGCAGCTCGCGAACCCGAAGAAGCAGCCGCTCGCGTATGGTCGTCTATACTAATCAGAGTCGCCCATGTCGGCCTCCCACTGTTTTGTAATCACCAGGTTACAATGGAAAAAGCTGGTTCCCTTTAAAAACAGCGCTATGACATTGTCCTCTGCGGACAAGATGTACTCGGACTTAATTTGCGTAGCTTCAGCGAGGGAGTCGTAAAGCCACCGGCTATGATGGTTTCGAAGGTTTGATTAGGCATTTTTTTCTCCAGACTTCTCCTGGGCGTGCTCACCCCACGCTTACTGACCTCTCTGCATAGCTAATACCTCGCTACACTGTTGTTGCCAACGGGCAGTGGAACCATATGCATTCGCAGTTCCGCCATACCATTCCCTCCGAACGCTTCCCTGTCGAAAAGGGCCGATACGTGCTGTACATCAACTACGTATGTCCCTGGGCACACCGAACCACCATCGTACACGCTTTGAAGGGGCTAGAAGATGTTATAGACGTAGTGGAGGTGGATGCGAGGGATGCATCGCATGGCTGGTTCTTCTCTGGGCGTAGCGGGCCCAAGCGAGACCCTGTGTCCGGCGCGAGGTGTCTAAAAGAGATCTATCTGAAGGCAGATCCAAGCTACAACGGGAGAATCACCATCCCTTTGCTGTGGGATCAACATCATGGTAGCCATACCTGAAGATCGTAACAATAGTTCGTGATTTGACAGCATTTAGGTACCGCGGTCAACAACGAAAGCGCAGACATCATCCGCATGCTGTTTGATGCCTTCGACCCTCTTCTTCCTCCAGAGCGTCGCGAGGTCAACAAGGGAGTGGCTGCCTTCAGACCCCCGCATATCCGGAAAGAAATGGATTCATTTCTCTCTTGGGTATTCGACACAGTGAATAACGGCGTGTACAAGGTCGGCTTCGCGACATCGCAGGCATCCTATGACGAACATGTCAGCAAGCTGTTCCAGTCGCTGGATCGCCTTGAGGAGCACCTTTCGCAGCCCAAGCACTACCCATACCTTTTTGGACAACATATCACCGAGGCTGACGTTCGGCTGTACACAACGCTCGTTCGCTTCGACGTGGCGTACTACCCCTTCTTCAAATGCAATCTGAAGATGATACGCTCAGACTATCCGCGCCTTCACGCGTGGTTGAGACGCCTCTATTGGAGTGATGGGCCCGAAACAAATGGTGGCGCTTTTCGGACAACCACCCATTTCGATTTGGTATGAGGAGAGGTCCAAAATACCGCGGGATCATCGCTAACTTCATCAGATCAAGGAAGGATACGCAGCTGTGACTGCTAGTAGAGGCGTTGTACCGATGTGCCCGACGCCTCCGATCATGCCCTTGTAAAGACCACTACCTTTGTAATGGCAGCGCTTTTTTTTTTTTTCACTTTGCAGATCACCTACATGGTATTCTGACTGCATCGACACGACACAGTCTATGTTTGTCCTGCAGCTTTTATTATCAGCTCGACCTGAGCAGGATCCTTACGACTACATACCCATTATGCTATCTTTCCCAGCTTACGCTGAACTGTCCTCTGTCTTGCGCGAGACCTGTCATTTACAAATAATCTGCTAGTCTCTGACGTCTGCAATATCTTTCATTCTGCTAGCTTACATACACGTCCAAAATTCGAATCTTTGATAAACACCCAGGCGCCCACGTTGCAGCGAAAGTGCGAAAAACGAGAGTAAGTAGGCTTAAGGGATACATTGACGGTTTTGTAGAACATTTGCTAGGCAGAATGACCCTGAAGAACTCCACGCTGTTGCGATTGCTGTTTGTGCCCGGTTCCGGTCTGTTGTCTTGTATAGCGCATTTGCGCTTCAGGAGTTGTCGTCCGCTATTGTCACTGGCGGATCATGCTCATCGCGACGCAAAGCTTCAGGCAGTTCTGTGTCGTCGGCTTCGAAGTTACGACATCTGATAGCATTTGCCTGGTCGTATATGCGTCATCTTGGCCTCGTCGTGGTGCCATCCCCCCCACGTTGATGCGCTTTCGTAGGCGAAGGCGATCGCCACTAGGGCTACGCTCAGCTCGCCTTTTGAGCGTCGATTCACACTCAGACCCCGTCGTACTAGAAGAGAGGTAGTACGCCTCAGGATTACACGGCATAGCATGCTCCCTGTCCTTCTAGGTAAGCGATTTGCCTCCGCATGGCCTCCTTTTCCTCTGTTGGTATGCGAGGATGGTCAATGAAGACGAGCGGGAACTCGACGGACGGCTGACAGCACTGCATTGTAGCGGGACGTGGTGCGTGATGCGAAAGGGGAACGGGACGAAACTGAAGAATGTCACGAACCGCAGAAATGGTGAGGTATGTGAGGCTCGCGGGAACGGGAAAAGTACGATGTGTCGTGTTGCAGCTAAAAACATTGCCTTAGGACCAAGTTTTGGGATCACTTCCAAGTCAAGAAAGCGCTGCCATGAGCTTGCCGCTTACGAGTGCCTAGCGACCGTGTGCTGAGCTAGCTGCCTCGTTTTTGAAGGCATCGCGCCTTCTACACTGAATCATTCGAACCCTCACCAACTACTTCAACTCACAGCGAGCCCTAAAGCGCAAACCAGTCAATATCCCCAAGATCCACCTCTTCTGCCTTCTTTGGTTTCTACATCCGTGCCCGCATTGCCACTATCTCTGGATGTTCCGGTGGCGCGACTTTGGGCCCCGAATCTGCCGGCCTCCAGCACTTTCCTGTTGGATGTCCGTGAAACTTGTAGCGGTTGTTGAGCATGAAGTCGTCCCAGATATCTTAGTAGCGCACTCCTCTGGGGAACGTCTTTATCTGTTCGTGGACGTGGTGCAAAAATTGCTTGTCTGTTCTGGACGGAACAGAGTTAAAGACATCGGGATAAGTGCTCAACGCGATATGAAAGGCATGAAGACGTTCCAGGCTGGAATTAGGCACGTTCTCCACCGCCTTGAAGACGCCATGAAACAAGCTCATATCAGGGTCTGTCTGCACATCCAGATGCTCTGCTAATGCATATATGATGGCGTCGCGAAAGTCGGCGCACCGCTTGCGGCTCATCTCTACGCCGAAACGGTAGGCAGCCGGCATTGTTTTGGTGTCAAGATTTCTTTGAGTGTCATCTGCTTGTATTGTGGCAATTTTACCAGTGTCACACCAATGCTCATATACAGATTCGACCGAGAGAGGCTGCGATAGTTCACTTGCCGGGACTCGGATCACTGGGAAGTACTCTCCGGGCTCGCGGTGTCGGTCGGGACCGCGCTATTCTACTGATTGCTCACAGAACTCCTGTGTATTTGCATCTTCCTCTTGATAGCAATGCCATGGGTAGTATAGTTCTCGATCGACTACTATGGTGTTGTCTGATGGGCATTTGATGCCGGCCATGGATGGGTGTGTGTTTGTGTTTTCCATGTTGAGTAAAGAATTGATTGCAGCCTTGCAAGAGTTTGGAGGGAATTATATATACTCTCACGTTTGCTGAAACTCTTACTCACACTAGGCGCTGTACCCAATCAACTGCGTCGTAGTAAGCGACGGCTGTGAGATCCATGGATTGGTACGATTGTTGCAAGTACGCTACCATAATTACAGTTTCGAGATTCACAATTAAAGAGATTTGGATGAATTAACATAGTGATAAGAACACAAAATTATCACAAGAGATACTACTGGCCAAGCCTGTCTGATTCTCCACGAGCGCGAGACGAAACAGTTACCTCGGTTCTCTTTGTTATAGCAGCGACATCGCCCATTATGAATTCCTCACTTTCCCTCTCAAAAGGCCCAGTGACGTGCGTTGCTTGATGAACACCGCTCCCAAGTGGAATAGAACCTTGCCTGGTACTACGCCTCGACTTTAGGGCGTACAAAGACTTCGATCTTGTCGCCGAGTTACCATATGAGCTCTTTTGTGTCTTCTCAACAAATGATTTGAAGAGAGGTGCTAGTGTTGGTACCGACGCGACGATGATACCCAAGTTGTTCTCGACAGTCGACCACATAATGAGGCTGCTTGAATCGAGGTAGTTGGCGAGATTTCGAACGGTCCGGATGCGTAGGATTTGGATGATCGTGATGAATGTGCCTAAGGCGAGGAGGCACAGCAGGGCGACTTTCTTCCGCTTCTGGAGGTGGCTTTTGAGGAGGACGGGGAAGGGTAGGAACATGCTATTGAAATAAGCTTTTGCTGACAGTTGCGAAGGAGGTACTTACACCACCACGTCGAAGACGATGGTTAAAGATGCCATGCTGGTATAGAAAGGGACGGCCGGCAGGCACTGGCCCCAGGTGATGGAAGGGTCCCATTGTTTTGCGGCCGGCTGGCAAAGGTTGGTTTGAACAACCAGAAAGCAGAGGTGAAAGAGTATGCATGCGACTATTACGGTGATGGTAGCGTTGCGCGACGCGCCCTTTGGCATGATACGTAGATAGGTCAACAGTAGACTGAGTTTGAAGCCCAGTATACTTGTTATGTAGCTATCGCGGATGTCAGTCGAATAATTCATGATCGAATGACAAGTCTCGCCTCACAATGGTGCACCCATGTACTGTATCTAGTCTGGTCAGGATCCAAATGTGTTCACTTGGCTGGATGAGACTTACAAGTCCGAAGTTGAAGAGGTTTTCATCGGGCATGTCTCTGAGATGCTTGAGTCCAAGTCCCCATTTGGTTTCTGGTATTGCGCCGTCAGTCTTGATGTCACAGAGATTGTGTAGCCAACGTACGGATGATAGTCACAACAGCGAAGCCACAAGATGCTATCTGCGCGACTGTCAGTCCCACAACTGCAGCAGAGAGCCGAATTGCTCACCCAAGTCACAACTAGTATCCAGTCATCTAGCGATGATAGATGCGTTAGCTATGTGTCGAGGAAAAACTCTGTGCCATGGTACTTACCAGCTCCAATGGCCTTGGTTATGCAGCCGCGCACGTAGAAACGAAGGGTCAGGACCAACAGTGACACTGCTGTGAAAACGATTGCGATAGCGGTAATTTGCGGCCCCTCATTGGCGACATCGTCCGGAGTATTGTAGGTCCAACCCATCGCCGTGGCTTGTTCACAGCGGTTTCGTTCAAAATAGTGGTTGAATAGACTGTTCACTTCGCTCTTATGAGAGAACACATCAAAACACTAGGCATGGCGATTCAGCGTCTACACAGTTCCGACCGTTCCCAGCGTATTGGGTGTCCAAGAGGACGAAACCGCGTAGGATTCAGCGCGGCCTTTACGCGGTCTATTATGTCCCCGTCAGGAAAGCATACCTTGATCGATAGCAAAGGAGTGTCTCATACGAGGTGAAACCTGTAAATATTCCCAGTATTGCCCGAAGTTATAGTAGCCTAATAGCTAACGCACATGGTTGCAATGCAGCCCAAGTGTTGGCCCAGGCAGAAGACCTTCTTCTTGAAGCTAGACCGAACGATACCAAGGTATATTGGTAACGGTAACGGGAAACGGGTTCGGCACTGCTCGGTGAGATATCTCCTAATTTTAAGGGTCTAGAAAGTCGAGATGGGACGATTACATCTCGCCTGGAGAGCCGCCGACCCGCCCTCGCGGTGGACGTGCTCGGTTGCATCGGAGGTTTCTCAATGCAGCAAAGCCGTGCGCGATCCCTGTTGATAGATGCCGAATGTCCAGTACAAGCCCCAGCTTCCAATTGACGGCAAACTCGCCCTCCCGTACCAGCAGCGTGACGCCGGCAATACGACAGCCATCCATCAATCGCGTATTCATGATGAGGCGCGCTCTCCTCCAACGACCTGTGGCCCTTTGCGTATCTCCGCCAGAGGTCTTTTTCGAGTAGACTTTAGATCCAAGGAAATCGGCGCCACGGCCACAAAACGGGGTCGCGGTATCATCCCGGGACGGTCCACCCCACCGGACACTAAATTTGTAGTCCCACCACAACTGCTCTAGCTTGGTCGCCACCGTCAAGCGCGGCGCATGCAGGGAGCCTGAATTTCTGTTTATATTAATCTGTACGTCTGGGAGATTGACATTTTCCAGGTCGCAGAACTTTATCTTTTTCTATGCCCTGGAAATGCGTTCCTACATCCCAGTCCTCGCGCTTCTTGGCGTCGTTTCTGCTAACCCAACCCCCAATCAATGCAAATCATTCCCAGGAGACAAATCATGGCCTTCGCAAGCAGAGTGGAACAGCTTGAACAAGACTGTAGGCGGACGTCTAGTGGCAACCGTACCACTCGGAGCCCCCTGCCACGTTCCGACTTTCGACGATGCGACTTGTGAAAGTCTGAAGAAGGATTGGCAGTTTGAGAAGATTCAGTATGTTCCACACATGTGCTTTGAAGATGTCACTCTAACGTTAAGTCAGTTATGAATCGTCTTCATCTGTAATGGCACCTTTCTTCGCCAACCAGAGCTGCGATCCCTTCCAGCCTCGAGACCGCCCATGTGAGCTCGGGAACTACGTCCGTTACGCTGTGGATGCGTCCGGACCTGCAGACGTCCAGCGGGCGATCGCATTTGCTGCGTCCAAGAACATCCGTCTCGTCATCCGCAACACGGGCCATGATTATCTCGGTCGTTCCACAGGCGCGGGCTCACTAGCGGTGTGGACACACCATCTCAAGGATATTACCCATGTTCCGACGTTCAAAGGTTCAGAATACAATGGCCCGGCTTTTAAAATTGGTGCCGGCGTTCAAGGTTTCGAACTAATGGCTGCTTCCCGAGACAAAGGCTTGGTCGTGGTTGGAGGCGAGTGCCCTACTGTTGGCATCGCTGGCGGTTACACACAAGGTGGTGGGCATTCGGCTATCAGTACTAGCTTCGGCCTCGCTGCCGACAACGTACTGAATTGGGAAGTCGTAACGGCAAGCGGAAAGCTTGTCAATGCGGATACGAAAGAAAACGCGGATCTGTACTGGGCTCTCAACGGCGGCGGTGGCAGCACCTACGGTGTTGTGGTTGGGATGACAGTCAAAGCGCACAAGGAAGCTGTTTTCGGTGGCGCTTCACTGTCGTTCTTCACAACAGATAACGACCAGGACGTGTTTTATGACGCTATCCAAGCGTTCCACGAGGAGCTACCTGCCATGGTAGATGCCGGAGCAATGGTGGTCCATTACTTCACGTCCTCGTTTTTCATGATCTCCCCGCTTAACGCCTACAACAAGACGGAAACCGAAGTCAAGGCCATGCTTGCGCCTTTCGTTGCTAGGCTGGACTCCAAAGGCGTCAAGTACACCGCTGAATATAGCGAATTTGACACGTACTATGAACACTACGACAAGTACTTCGGCCCCCTTCCTCTCGGCAACATCCAGGTCGGCATCGCCCAGTACGGTACTCGCTTGATCCCACGAAGTGTGGTGGGCAACATCTCCGAAACCTGGAAGGCTGTCGTAGAAAAGGGCGTGACCTGGATCGGAGTCGGAACAGATGTGAAGTCCTTTGGTTCGGAGAAGACAACGTCAGTCCACCCAGCCTGGCGCAAGGCAATAGTGCACGCGACTTTGACACTTCCATGGAACTTCACAGCTCCGTGGTCGGAGGCGTTCGCAACTCAGGACAAGATGACAAAAGAGATCATTCCTCTTGTTGAGGCTGCAACACCTGGTAGCGGATCGTACGTGAATGAGGCCGATTTCCGTCAACCGAATTTCCAGGATACGTTCTGGGGCCAGAACTACGCCAGGTTGTTGACGATCAAGAAGAAATGGGATCCTTCAAGTCTATTCTACGCCACTGTCGGCGTTGGCAGCGAAGCCTGGACTGTTCGGACTGACGGTCGCATGTGCCGCGCCTAGTAGCTAGTTCCTGTCCTTTGTCAATATGAAAAACTGAACACAAGTCGCGTTGTCCATCTGATACCAACCTTTAACTGATGAACGGGTCATCATCGATCTCGCGTGTGGAACCACCGTCGTCGGCTCAAGCAATCCGCCTTGCATCACGATGGATCGAATGACTCAACAGCCGTTATGACAGAAGTCGTCTCCAGAACGCTGGTAGTACGCGTTTGCAATTGGAAAACATGGAAAGGCCGTAGCGCGTTCTGAACGCGTCCAATTCAGGTTCTCGAGTGGGGAAGCTAGCGTCAATGACGTACACCAGGGGATACCCTGCAGCCGCCGCCACAACTCTGAGAAAACCAACTAACAATATGCCTCCGAAAAAGTTAAACAAAGATGGGGGTAAGAAAGATGCAGAGAACACAGAGTCGAACAAGCCCGCCGTTTCCGAAGAGGAGGTGCGGCAAGAATCTGGGAAAGCCGCCAATGCTGCCCTCGCCGCGCAAAAGAAAGCCAAAGAATTGAAGGATGCAGCAGCTGCCGCCAGCGACCCAGACGAACAGGAGAGGCTGACAGAAGAAGCTACAAATGCACACATCGAGGCTGAGTCCTTTGGAAAGACTGCAAAATATCTTCGTTCGGGCGCTTTTCAGGGCATGGCGATGGGTACAGGCCTTGGTGTCGCGCCTGGTGCCACTTTAGGCGCAATAACCGGGACTTTGGTTGGTGGCATCTCTTCAACTCTGCTTGGTGGGATAGGTGCTGGTGTAGGTGGAGCGACAGGTGCGCTTCATGGTCCATGGGTAAACATGGGCAAAGTAGCAGGGAAGGGAATGAAGAAGCTCACTAGTTTCCTCCCGCAATGGGCAGCGAGCGAAGAGCAGAAGAAGACGCTGGAGAAGATGATGGGACAAGCCAATGAAGAAGAGATGCCTGGGACCGAAGAGCTTGAGAAGTTCAAGAGTGAGGGAGGTGGAGGTCAGGCAGATGAAGGTTGGATGGAGAGTGCGAAGGGCATGTTGCCAGATCAGAAAGAGGTTTCAGACGCCGCGAAGGCTGGTGCGCAAGCAACGGGCGGAGATTCGGACTCGAAGCCCAGCGCGAATCAGCCTGAAGAGCCTTCAAGTGGAGATCCAGCGCAAAAGAGCGACGCTCAAGGTCGCAAGAAGCCACGGAAGCTGAACGCAAAGCAAGATGATAGCGAACCACAATCAGCCCAGACAGACAGTATGCGCAATGATGCCGCTGGAGCATCTAACCCAAGCGAGAAATCCGATGCACAAAACGGGGAGATTCTGGACGACCGAGAAAGGAAACTCGACCAACGGGCAAGTGAACTTGATCAACGACAGGCAGAGCTAGACGAAAGAGAGAAGGCTTTGGCTCAGCGTGAGAAGGAACTGGATTCAAAGCCTGATGGTGATGCCGCAGAGTCTACGACAGCGCCGAAACCCAAAGGTCAACCGCGCAAGCTCGCAAGTAGATCGTAGACCTTTAGGCTATGCTAGACAAAGATCCGAGCTTTAAGTTATTCCATTCACCGCATGGCATTCTGGCATTCGATTTGTCGCTGCTACGACTGGTTCGTTAGGGTTATAGTGATGTTAGCAAGTTTACGATTGGCTCGCACGAGACGCTTCAACCACGGGCGCCATTATGCGAGAACAAAAGTCTTTCGGTCACGTACCGCTATAATATTTGCATAAAATCTTTCTTGTATCTTTTGGCATCCCAACGCCTCTCATTTCATCTTCCAAACACCCTCAAGCTTTCCAGAACTACACGCAACAACAATGTCGCAACCGCACTCTTCCGATCATGATACGTTCAAGTTTCTCGACCTTCCAGCCGAACTCCGGCTGATGGTATACGAGCACGTTCCGAACGAAGTCGTCCGGCACGAATTTCGAGAGGTTCGTACTACAAAAAAGCCCGGCTTGTCTCTTCAGATCGTTCAAGTGGGAATCGCTATCCTCAGTACGTGTCGGCAAATACACATGGAGGTCATCGAGATTATAAAGAGGAAACAAGCACTCGCAGCCTTAATACCCATAAGCATTGCGACCAAAAGATGGGACGAGCGCAGTATCACAATCCTATACAGCTTTTACCAGAAAATATACAATGCACGCTGGAATTCGACCGGATCAAATGCAATTTATCCAAAACCGAGATTACCTGGTAGCAACCTTCTGTTGTCTGCCTTCAACAGACTGATACGAGCATTGCCAGATGTTGAGTTTGTTCTCGATTTTCCTCATATGGATTTGTATGCCAGAGAAATACTATTAGAAATATCCCGTTACAGTTGTTTCAACTTCCAAACTACCATCCGTGTACCGCCTGGTTCGATTTCAAGGAAAGACTTTGATGCTTTCCAAGCCATCCCAGGCATGATTATCAAATGGGAGGAACGCAAATACTGACTCGTGCATCAGAGGTGGCGTGGAAGAGTACTAGTTGCACGCTTGGGGTAATGGGTTGGAGAAGTTGCAATTCATTTGGAGATTGCTAGTCTACCTGCAGGCTCTTGTATGCTCCACAGCTCATAGCATTCGCCTTATCGCCTCATACTAATAGCTTGTCTTTTAGTATTCGGCCTCGTGCGGTCCTGATCCGAGTCGACGGACGATCGCGACTGTACCGTGCGAGCATCGCTGCTACCTTCTCACCTGCTGGCAACCACGACAACACCCCGACCCTCGTTTCCACTCTTACTTTGCGGAAGCTGCATGCTGCCATGATTGTTTATAAGACACCGCGCGCCCACCACTTCTACCCTCACTACGCCACCCCATTCTTCCGGTGGTGCAGCTCTTACGGCCAAATATCCGATAGTAGGCAGCTTCCAATCACTCACCTCAGGAACACTATCTTCTCGTCACAATCATGTTCTTAATGTCTACTCTCCTCCTATTACTCCTTCCCACCTCACTCTTCGCCAAAACTGTACCTCGAGCCGACGATACCAAGGCCCTTACCAAGCCTACTGTATGCCTTCCGCACGACGGCTTCGGTAGCGCAACGGTCGCTTTCAGCAATCCGCATGGGAAAAACATGTTCGGCTACGCCATTGTCACCAAACACACAACATACTACCCCCAAATCCTCAAAAACGCTTTGGCAATCAAGGGCTTCAAACTTTCCGAAGTGGGCAACGATCAATTATGCGGTTGGACAAAAGCTGCAGCCGTGTATAGCACACTAGGACTGGACTTCCACAACCACCGTGGCGACATCTACTGGAAACACAGCGACTTCTACTCGATTGGCGACCTAAGCGATTCTGTCGGTCTTTCAGATAGGGCCGCAAGCCAAGCAGCCCGTATCCCACCCTCAATAGAGCAAACAATTCACGATGTCAGCAACATACTCCTGGAAAACCAACCCGCCGGCGACGTCTACATGTTCAGCACCATCATCCTCGCCTGGACCACGAGTCTATTCGGCTATATTCTCTTCATGTTGCTGCTCATGGCCTGCATCAAAAAAGCTGATCGAACCACGAACAAGTCGAAGGATAACGAGGTTGACGAGGGCATCGAGCTCGAAACGATCAAAGTACCCGATACAGATAGCCTGGCAGGAGCCCACTCCAAGGCAGGGCCATTCGAGGACGTCAAATGGGAGTACCCGAGCCCTCAACGTTCCACCGATACGAAGCGATCCGAGCCGCTTCCTATGTACTCGCCCTGGGGACTGGGTCATGCAGTGGCTTGAGGCACGGTCAGGACAAGGCTCTGCTTGAGTATGCTGTTGAGTCGCATCGTGGTTTTTGGTTTCTCGTGCCCAATTCCCTGTATCATTGCGTTTACTTTGCCCGGTTTTACGTTTCATTTGCATAGCTCCAAGTCAAGGTCTGTTTTGTGTTGGCTGAGCGCCCCAAATACCTTGATTGTCGTCAAGCGTACGTCCGCTCAGCCTATTCTCCCAATTTCATCCTCGTTGACCATTCATAGCCTGCGCTTTTGCTTTCTACATAGCCTCCAATGCAAGCCAAATTACTTCGAACGCATGCATGATTTACTGCTATGCGGACCTCTCTCGAGACGGTATGCATAGAGCGCGAGCGTGGTATCGCCCCGCTGTCGTGATCGCAGAGAACTAGCCAATTCATACTCGCCCACGACGCCCGACCCAGATTGAAGGCAAGATAAGCTGATACAGTAGCTATTCGACTCATGCTTAACATATCTAGTGAGGCTTAGACTACTCCAATCTCCGCTTCTGCGGTCATTGATACACAGTGAAGTATTAGGAGCGAGTGGCGTTCTGTGGGCGTCGGACACGGACCGGTGAGGGACGCGTTACTCAGTAAGGCGGCCGGTGGAATCGTTGACATGCTGTCGCACATCGCCAAGGGGGCGGGAGTAAGCAGAGCACTACGATACACGAGGTGCTGACAGCATAGTAACGTCGGTAAGGCTGTTCGCTGATGTCAGGTTGCTTGGCATGGAATGTAGAAGACGCATCGAGTATGTTGGACGAGGCGAGCGTGATGCATGTAAACTTTGCTACAAGGAATAATAGCAGATTACGATCACTGGAAATAAGTCAAGAGAAACTTGCAAATTGAACGTGTAAACCCTTTCGATGTACCCAATGATATACCATCCTAGTGAAACAGTCACTAGCTACATCTCGTACCTCGCCGCATCGTCTGGCGCCTGGTGTGCATGTATGCCCGCTGCATGCTGTGGATCCAACTCCACCAAGCTCTCCGGTGGCGCCTCGTTCAGAGGGGACGCGAAGTAGTTGGCATTGTTGTTGAGCTGATAAGAATTATGTCCATACTTAGACGGCTCAGCGCCCTGTGTACCAGGTATAGTGACGGGGTGACGCACTTCTTTCTATGATGACGGTATAGTACGAAACCAACAACGAGGCCGAGTATGAGTGCGACGGGTATTCCGACGCCGATACCAATCTTGGCTGATGTAGGGAAGCTGTTCACATGCGGTGCTGCGCTGGGTATCGGTGCGGGTACGGGCGCGGATGAGGGTGTAGTTGTCGGTGTGCTAGTACGTACCGAGCTCGAAGCGACGGAGGATGAAAAGCTTGCAGTAGATGCTGAGCTCAAACACTTGAATTGCTGCCATGAAGTTGTCCCGCATCTCGTTCCAATGCGTAATGAGAGCGGGCTGACAGCAGAGCTCGATTTTCTTCACGTCCTCCCGCCTGGGAAGGTCGTTCAAGGCATCGAGCCATTTATAACACTCTTTGTGAAGATGTCGGGAATTGCTGCTGGTGGGTATTTCTTTGAAGCGTCAATACTGCAACCTATTTGGAGCCTCGTGACGGCATTGGAGATGAAGCCTTTCTGCGAGGCTGAACCACGTAAACCGGACGGAGTATCGTACTTGCGGAATTGGGTAGGAACTGGCGAGATCTCTTCAGCCGTGATAGTTTGATGTGACGAAGGTTCGATGAGACGCTGAAGAAGGGGCGATGTGGGTATTTAATGGTAGCCGATATGATTGCTGATTCTACCAGCTGATATGATCACCACGGTCAGAAGCCATGTAATGTTTGTTGTAAGATATCTAAGACTCCTGATCACCGAACGGATAGTTAAACTTGAGGAGAGCATTCAGTCCACCGACCCAGTGGTCCTCAGCCATGTCTTCCTTGCCACTTGTGCCACGCACGATGCTGGGTACGCCACCCTCCCAGCCACGAGCGTCCCGCTTGACCTCTTCTCCACCTATGCGGACTTCCATACCCGTGCCCAGTTTCTCTGTAATGGTATTTCCGTCGATGCTGACCTCGACTTCGCGACCACGATTCTTCTTGCCTAGCCGCAGTGTGATTGGTGTCTGAGCTGGCAGCACCAGTGGTCTGAAGGAAAGCGATCGAGGGCAGATAGGCGTAAGACATATAGACGGTACGAGAGGGTGTACGATGCTCCCTCCAGAGGACAGCGAGTATGCCGTGGATCCAGTAGGCGAGCTGATGATCATACCATCAGCGACTGCCTCGGTCAGGAACCGGTTGTTGATGTAGACGTCGATAATCTTCAGATGTGGGCTGGAGCCGCGGTGAAGCGTGACCTCATTCAGCGCGTACGTGTCGCCCTCGCCTTCGATACCACTGATTCTCTTTCCATCAGGCCCGAAGACGCCCACCTTCAGCCTGTTGCGCAACAAGATGCGCGCTGTTCTGTTGCTTCCCATAGCCTTGCCTCGTATGTCGGCGTAGCTCAGTGGCTTGTCCAGAGGATCATCAGGCGATGTAGGTGGTGTGGGTGGAATCGTCCCATGCGAGTCGGAGAGGGTAGCGTATGTGTCTGGTGCGCCGCTCATATACACCTCCCGAAACGCTCGCTTGTATTCCCTGAACTTGAATTCGCCCAAGAAGCCGATGGTGCCCATAGCGAAGCTCAGTACAGGAGGTACATTCTCTGCATGGCTGAACAGGCTACTAGCCCTCAGCAGCGTGCCGTCGCCTCCAAGCGTGCAGACCAAGTCGGTTTTATCCGAAAGGTACTGCGGTGCACCTTGGCTCTGCTTGTATGTGTATACCGGAAACGCAAGCTGCTCGTGAAGCTCTTGGGCTGTCTCGGGATCGAAGATGACGTTTATCGACGGGTAGGTGGAGTGTATGTGCGACGTGAATTCTACCACGGACTCGGTGATGTTTGGTGTGCGCTTCTTCTTGGTGACGAGGATGTTGCGCGGTGGGGACGGCCATTGCAGGCTCAGCAGGGTATTCGAGGGCGATTGTATATATGACGGCGTCGTGCGCGAAGGAAGCTCCGAAATCTGCCGAATCTCAAGACGTCTTGGAGACGAAGAGAAAGCCCGTGCCTGAGCCGGCAGAGCCAGGAGGCGCCATGGCAGGATGCGATGCGGTGCATACATGTTTGGAGGGTAGGAGACTAGGGCCAAAATGCTAGGCGGGGCTGTGCGCAGAGCTTGGAAGGGTGAGTGGGCGCCATATGAGCGGATGATGACGAGTCGAACCGTGGTAGGATGCCAGACAGCGCAGAGTGAATGCTAAGGCGCGGAGATAATCCAGGCGCAGCGACTAATCTCCATAATCACATGCAGAGGTGGAAGGGGTGAAAGTTGCGAGTGAACGCATCCGGATGTGACTAGCGCCCGCACCAGGCCAGCTAACGGGTGGGGTGAACCGCCGTGCTGTCATCATGCTCGAGGGAAAGCTGCGGATCGGCAGCACCAAGTTCCAGCGCCCGGAGACACGATGCGCGAAAGCTGCGGCCTGATTACTTCCTCTGCTCCTCCACACCACGCTCGCACGCCCTTTCACCCCCAGGCGCCCAATGCAGACCGCAGCGTGCTGTCCCACTCTCCCCCGCCGCATGCCTGGGCCTTATCCGTAGTTCCCTCGTCCACCTGAGCATCCGCCCACGCCGGCCTGCGTGCACGCGCACTCACACTTTATCTGTCATATTCCTCAGACCTGCCTACATACTTCCCATGCTTGCCCACACCACGAGCATCATGTCAACCAAAGACATCCGGCAGCGCAAGCCGCCCGCATCGGTACCCGTCATCGAGAAGCTGAAGGCGCAGCGCACCAAAACACCCTCCGAGCCAAAACTCCCGGATCCAACCCAACATCCAGCCGGCAAGGTCAAACATGGGCCTGTTGTGCAATTTCTGCGCATGTGTCTTTTTGCAGCGTACTTCAACGGCAGCATCATAGCGTTAGTATGCACTCACGGCTAATACTACCCATAGGATACTAACGTCATGTTTCAGCATCGCCATTACCCAATACATCGGCCTGCCGCTATACTTCTACAGCAAGGACCTCTTCTACGCGTGGATGGCCATGACCAAGCAGCACTTTAGCATGACCGTCACCACCATGACGTACTGGTGGGCGCCCGTCACGATGCGCGTCAGTGGAGACGAGAGCATAAGAGGACAGATGAGGAAGAAGGAGGATGGGCTGCTCGAATGCGACTTTCCAGAAAGGCTGGTATTCGTCTCGAACCACCAGGTACGGTTATCCAGGCAACGTCTTGCAGAACAGTGAGCTAACACCTGTCAGATCTACACTGACTGGGTCTACCTCTGGTGGATGGCATACAGCGCGTCCATGCACGGCCACCTCTACATCATCCTGAAAGAGTCGCTCAAATACATTCCAATCCTGGGCTGGGGCATGAGGCTCTTCGGTTTCATCTTCTTATCCCGCAAGTGGTCCACGGACAAGGAGCGCTTCCAACATAGGCTGAGGAAGCTGAGCAGAAGTCACGATGGTCCACTATCTGGCTCCAAGGGTCTCGACCCCATGTGGCTTCTCATCTTCCCCGAAGGCACAAACCTTAGCAAGAACGGTCGCGCTTCGAGCAAGAAATGGGCAGAAAAGAACCAGATTGATGATCTAAGACATGCACTGTTGCCGCGAAGCACAGGGCTTTCCTTCTGTCTGCAAGAGCTGCAAGGCTCCGTAGACTACCTCTACGATTGCACAATGGCATACGAGGGCGTTCCGTAAGTCTGGTATACCAGCCAGATTCTTCAAATACTAACACAGAACAGCGCCGGCCAATATGGCCAAGACCTCTTCACCCTCTACAGTACCTACTTTCAGGGACGCCCCCCGAAGTCCGTAAACTTGTACTGGCGCCGCTTCGCTATCGCCGATCTCCCCCTTCACGACGACAAGCTCTTCAGCGACTGGCTCCTTGCCCGATGGCGCGAAAAGGACGACCTGCTCCAATATTTCCTCGAAAACCAGCGTTTCCCAGCCGACGAGGGCGAGACACCCAATGTCAACGGTGGGCCACCGCTCAAGGGCGCTGGCTGGATCGAGACAGACGTCCGGCCAAAGGTGTGGTACGAGTGGCTACAAATTCTCGTCCCGAGCGCCGCGTTTGCGCTTGTGGTGAACGTATTCCTGAAGATTGCGAATCTCGTAACGAAAGTGACGGGAGCAAAGTTATGAAATCAGGAAACTTCTTAATTGGCGGCAAACGTGTTGTTTCGCAGTGTCTGGCGCGTGGTCGTTTGTGTTATGTAGATCGGCTTTGATACCCTATATTCATCTCTTCTCTGTCCGTCAAATGAGGGTATACCTCGTGGTACTCACATAATCCTTCTTCGGTCCCTTGACATCGTATCGCACTTCCCACCACATATCCTCCGCACACCCATTGACAATGCCTAGTCCGAATGTCCAACTAGCAGTATACAAATCCTCGGCACAAAGATGCGTTTCCTTGTTCTTGGCTTTCACCTCCTTCCCACTCGTCTCTAAATCACCCATGTCTACGAATGAGCCCCCGACCCCCTCCCCGTTCTTTCCCACGCCATCCTCGACATCCGCTCGCGGCATCTTCTCATCGTCGAAGAAACGGACGGCGATGTAGTCTCCTCCTGCTTTCTCGTCTGTGCTTTCTGATGTCGACGTTTTGAGTTGGTACACGTATTTCCTGCGTGCGTTGAACTTGAGTCCCGTGTCTGTGGAGAACTCGCCTTCTTCGGCGTAGAGCAGAGTTGGTGGGAAGGAGGCTGGTAGGTTGCAGGACGTGAACGCCGCTGTTCCTGTTACTGTGCCCGAGGGATGAGTCGGTAGGGCGGAGCGGAGTTGACGGGTGAAGGTCCATGATTTGTCTGATGAGGTACGTAGATTGTCAAAAATGGATTTGGGGGTTGACGGAGGGCTTTGCTCTGGGGTTTGGGGTGTAGAGGGCTCGTCTGATCGTGGTTCCTGTGGCAGGGGTCTTGTTTCTCGGATTGGTATCGAGGTGGTGATACCTGTGCCCGTGCTGGTGCTCTTCGTTTGCAGGAAAGCTTTTGGGTCTTGGCTTTCGAGCAGAACAGCGTTGACACTTTGAAGCGTGCTTCGACTGGGGTTTAGTGCTGGGTCGCTTGTTGTTATCCAACTGAGTCTTTGCTTGATGAAGGCTTTCCCAATGGCACTTGTCTCCTTTGGTGCACTGGTATTCATCGCTCCCTCTTCGTTTGTGTAGAGACATAGTACTACTAAGGCGGTACCGACGGATAGATCTTTGCCTGTTGGACAGCATACGAGGATCTTTCCGGCTATTGATTCTGAAAGGGATGAGAAGAAATCTAAAATTCGAGGCAGTTGAGTGCGAAGATCGCGCGACCCAAGTTTGCCGGTTTGGCATTTGAGGTGCAAGTAGTGTTTGACTCCGGCCTCCTTTAGTGTCGAAGGGGCAAAGGGCTCTGGTGTACAGCCGATCACAACGTCGAATCCGTCGAGCTTCATCTGGTCGCTAGGAGAGATGTACAGTCTGGACGTTGGTTTGATCAAACTTGCAACTGCACTACTACCTCCGTCTTCGTTGAGCAATCTTTCGATCAGAGCTGGCGCGTTTTCCTCGCTCGTCTTCATCAGCACATCCTTGTTATTCCAGAAGACTGTCGGCGTGAGTCCATGAGACCATGCTTCGTGGTCATCGGCAGCACCCTGGATATACCCGCTTTCGGATGCTTCAGCACCGCGTACCCGTCGCGATGCTGTGCAGAGCACGACAGGGTGGAAGTCGGGAAAAGAAGGCGCGGCATCCGGAAGAGATGATTGTTGTGTTACCCATATTGGCCGCAGCGGCTTCTTCAGCCTACTGCGAAGGTCCACAATGTTAGGTTTGCAGATATCCTTGTCTCGATATCAGCTAATAAACTCAGGAATATCTAGACAATATACGTACCAGAAACTGTTGCACAAATCCGTCTATCCTCTTCTCCATTTGCGCATGCTCGCTTTCTCCCACGGCTTGTGGCGGCGTGAATAATCGCATCTCGTCTTTCTCTATTATGCCGAATACAGCTCTGTTGATCACACAGCACCATGTCGGGATGGTTTTGCTCAGCGCGTCCGGCATACTCTTGCCCCTCCTCGTGCTATCCACAACCACGGCACCGCCAAACTTCTCCACCACATCCAGCAGTTGCAGATTTAGTCTTCTCAAACTGAAACTCCATTCGCCCATGTGACCGTCCGTGCTCTTGAAGTAGACAGATCCAGACTTTTGGGTTGGTGGAATGTACCAGCTTCCACAACGTTCATTGGCTATGAGAGGTAGATCGTAGGCAGATGCGACTGAACTGACGAAAATGCTGTCGGAGATGATTGAATGAAGGCGGTTGTGCGTTGATAATGTTGAGCGGCGTAGAGAAGAGAGGGTGCTGGATAAATTCGGTGTGTTGGAAAGGTGCGGAAACAGAATATCGCTTTCTTTTAGAGCTTGAGACATCGTTGTCGTGGGCTCTTCCAGTCTGCCAGGCGCAAAGGTGATATTGTCTGCGCGGGTGGGAATAGAATGACCATTCACGTTTGCATACCCCGCACCATCGCGTACGAAAAAAGGAAAAAGATATCGTGGAAGGGTCTCAAATCAACAGGATAAGCTATAGGTAGATCGCAAGGATATCGGGGCTTCTGGATATGAAGGGCCCTTCTATATCGCGTTCACAAGATCGGGTTAAAAGATGGATGTTCGTGAGGCAATGACCACAAGAACGCTAGTCCAAGAAAGGGTTAGGGATAAGGCGGGGATTAAGGACAAAATTTGAATGCGGTAGGCGTAGCATGTGGATACATTCGTCTATGGTCTTGAATGATTGCTATCATGATACATCCGCCGTCTAGTCTTGTTTAACAAGCGAAACAGGCGCGATGTAACTCTTCCGCGCGCTGACGAAATAATTGACCGTGGCAATGATCGCCATAGCGCCAAACATAAGCGACGCCCAGTTCATGTCCGTAGCTGAAGGGTTGGGCACTATGGGGAAGAACGAGAAGATGAAAGAGACGACCAGAAAGGCAAGAGCGAGGTCGTTGACGATGCCTCCAAACTTGCCTAGGCTCCAGCGTCGAGGGAGCAGTGGCTCTCCTCGCCAACGCTTCAAGCGCACGCATCCAATCGATATGATGTAGGAGAAGATGAGAGCTGCGTTCGAGATGGAGACGATGGCGTTCAACGTAACGTCCGATCCGAAGTTGATGCATGCGAGCACGAGCGAGGATCCGAGACAGACAAGTAGCGCGTTGACGGGAATGTCCCAACCGGCTGGCACTCGCTCGATCCATGCAGAGAACGGAAGTCCCCTGTCGCGTGCAAATGCCCAGATCTGGCGGGAAGACGCAGCAGTAACGGATACGGCTGCAAAGAAGACGAGGATGACGAGAAGAGCACCCATGACCTCCGTGCCGGCGATAGAGCCTGTCGCATTGTAAACGGCCTGAAGTACAGGCTGCCCGGTCGGCGATTCGAGAACCGAATCGAGAGCACCGCCGCACATTACGAAGGTAATCATCTTAAAACGAGCGTACGTAGTCAGTATTTGCCCTTCATCCAGAATAGTTCAGGCGTGCTTACCATGATGCATCCGAAGATGCCGTTGAAGAAAACAGCCCACATCATAGCTTTCGGAAGCACCACGGAGGCGTCTTTTAACTCCTCAGACATATGTGCGCCCGCGTCTGGACCAATAAAACACCACAATGGGGTTGAGAGGCCAACCAGAGCAGACACGCCCATCGAGCTCCATTCTCCACCATTTGTCCAAGTGGTGAACACTTCTTCCGCCGGAAGACGCTCTGCCATAGTCCAGAATAGAATCAGAAACGCGAAGAAGGCAAAGACGTGCAAGACTAGCACAATACCTTCAGCGAGGGGAAGATGCTGCGCCAAAAAGATGTTGAAACCGATCATGAGGAATAGCCAGAGCATCATCAACAGTGTGACATGCCATAGTTCTCCAATCTGGGCGTCAGGGTACGCGAGGAGGACCATTCCGATGACGAGACTCGAAAGCATCTGCGCACAAGCAGGGATCCCGCTGACCCAGCCGACAGCCGCAGCCCATCCTAAGCATACTGTCAGTACAGGAGATTGGAATCTCAGGCCGTCCACTACATACCCACGATGTAACTAAGCGACTTTTGGAATGATGGCGGCGCGAACTCGCTGACCCAATGGTATTGTCCACCGGCAGTTGGGGCCATGGAGGCCATCTCGGCAAGCGAAGCAATCATAGCCAGGACGAAGACCCATGTGATAATCATCATCCAGATGACTCCTGCTGTGCCCCCATTGAACAGCCCGAAGTAAGCTGAGCTTTTACTTAGACTTAGCAGGGTATCGATCATCACCGGAACAAGGACTTACATCAGAGCACTTTCCCATGTTGACTGGAGGACAACCACGAATCCGATGATGGAGATCAGTCGGAAATTTCTCTTTTTGAACAATTAGTAGAGTTTCTGCATGTAGGTCTCAGTAAGGGCTTACCCGAAGCTCTTGTTTCTTCCCCATCCGCTGCATGTCCTCGGCGTCGTGAGCTGTGCCTCCCAGCGCACTGGCATGCATCCTACCCACTTCGCCGGAATCATTGCTTCCTGTGTCGTATTCCTCGGCATTTGCGATCTTCGATTCCCCAGCGATTGCCATGGTATAAAGTACGCAAGCGTGACTACAGAACAACGACCATCAACGGAGGTAAGGGATATCCTAAAAGAAGAGAAAGGTTCAACGGAGGAATTCGTTCAAGGCGCTGCTTAAGCGATCTAGACGCAAGATCTACGGCCGCTACTATACACGTTGATTGCAAGCCGTGCCTAGTGCCAGAAACTAGCTGCCGTTCTTGGGACCATCACCGGTTTGTGTGGCAAGCCGTTCAGACCTCGGGATCGTGGCAGGCTTTGGCGAATCAGCCATCAGCAAGTAAGGAGATGCTCATGAGAGAGCGGCTCGAGTAAACAGGGATATCGGATTGTGCACATTGCGTAACGAACACTAATGCACGATAACCGTGGGGTCACATGCGATGGACTGTGTTGCATCTCGTACACTATACAGCGTGATTTAAGCGTCAGCTCATCAGGTACTGGGAAGTTTCAATTTGCTGATGCGCCTTGGTTGTCGCACATCATGCAGTCCGTGTCGCAAAGCTGAATAGCCGACCGCGGCCTTGTTGACTCAATATGCAGGGAGTATTTGTTATCGAAGAGGACATGGAGAACGACCCTCTCAGGGCCGGTCCGTGGCCACTAGAACTGCGCATCGGAATCAACCAGCCGAGTTAGTTCGCCCAAGCTTGCTCCGCAACACCACACACCTCCCGGAGCCCCGAGCCGCGCACCAATCGTTCATATTCTCCGTGACAACCTGCATCTGCTTGCTACACCACTTTTATCACCAAAAAGGCTAGTTACAGGCTGGTGGTTTCATAGATCGGCGGTCGCAGGTGTTCAGCATGTGCAAATTCTCCTCTGTCGGGGCATCGAGAGGTCGAGGGAAGCAACAGTGGGTACTACTCTACCTGAGTCAATTCCAACCAGAGGGCCTACCTAGGTGTTTAGCTAAAGGATAGAAGCCTCTTCACGGTCAAGTGCCGAGTGCTACCTGCTACAATCCGGCACTCTGTTGAGAAGCGATAAGCTCTGGCACGTCACGAGACAGCTTACTACTGACAGGGTTTTAGGCACCCTGTAATGACCTCTCCGATCTACTCCAATTTCAGCGCATGCAATCAGCAACATGACGAATGCATCACATTCCAACCAAAGGACGCTCCACTCTCGAAGGATTTCGTGCCTGCCGAAGCCTGGTCCTAGCCACGGGTTAAATGCGGAAGAATCACCCTTTCGGAGAGCCGCAACACGGTCCACGCGCCTGCTTAGGGGGTGATGTGATACCTTCACTACGTGCAGAGCAAGATAGTTCCCAGCGGGTTTCACCGTTGGATGCACAATGAAGTTCGAGTCAGGGTAGGGTGTTAACACGGGACGGTGATCCGCGCCGCTGCTCTGGAGACGACGCCACGACCCACACGGTGTGCTCACGCCTTGTCGTGGGAACTCACGGCTACCGAGCAGTTCTCGCGTGCTTCCCTCGAGCAATACCATGGCGGATCATGACGAGGAGGCGATTGTACGAGATCCAGGACGTGCAGCTACTTTGAAGTTTACTATTGGTCTTTGCTTATGCTACACACTATGTGTAGCATGCCTCCGAGGTTACATTCGATGGAGAAATTATAGTCTCGACGATGTGGTCGTGCTGCTATCGGGGGTACGTACATCGCGACGTTTTCACAACAAATTTTAGCACTACGAAAGGACGTTACTAACGAGTTTGCGAATAGGTATTAGCACTTGGTTTCTTTGGTATCGTTTTTGCATCTACCTCTGCTGGACTTGGTCGCCCGATGATCGAGCTAGTCAATATCTCATCGACTATCGACAAACTCAACGACTACGCGATGGCTGGTAACATTCTTTGGATCATGTCACTATGCGTCTCCAAAATTGGCATCATCGCCATGCTCTCGCGCACGACACATACTGTATTACACAGGAGATTTCAGTACGGCGTAGGCGCCGTTATCATCGCTCAATGTCTCATATCCGTTCTACTTCTGACCGTCGACTGCTCAGTTCACCGGGCGCTTGCGTGGGACATCACTTCTGCAACTTCCGAATGCTCCCAGATTGAGCGACGATGGATTTCCCTAACAGCTCTGGACATCATGACGGAGGTACTTCTGCTCTTTCTGCCCATTCAGTTGGTGTGGGATCTGCGAATGACTTTCCGAACCAAACTTATAATCATATCAGCATTCTGGCTCCGGCTACCGTACGTACCGCTCGCCAGTAGTGCTTTGGTACTAGCTGATCATGCCATAGAACCCTCGTCTTCTCTACTCTTCGCCAAAACGAGATACATCAACTTACGACTACATCGGATGTCTCTCGCACCGCTGCTACAGTGGTCATCTGGCAGGCTGTGGAACTATCGTATTCTCTAGCCGCCGCGACACTCGCTGCGCTCAAGCGGTTCGCGGAATCTCTCGACACTGGTTTCGGCCACGGTGAGCTTATGCGGGTTCATGCGCCATCACAAGGACACGAGTCTTCGGACCGCAATACTACGTCGAGAAGAACCAAAGCTTCAAGCAACAAGGCATCTCAGTCGGATGAGCCTGAGATATCCATGGACACGATGTCAACTGACACGCCTGCTCTGCCGCCATCTAGATTCGAATCTCGTGTTGCGCAGATGAAGCTGAGGCCTGAAGCATTCCGGAACACAGCGGTTATCTCATCACCATCAAAAGATATACTTCCACAAGACATACGATCGGACGACACAAGCTCAAGAAACAACAACATTCGACAAGATGTGCGTTACTCAGTTCACTATGAGCAAGGTACCACTCCGAGTAAAGATGGTAGATGAAGAACCGGCACACCTTCTTGTGGCGCCCTATCGATGCTAAAGATCAGGCTGTGACGTTTTCACTTGCTTTTGCATCATGGCTTCATGCAGTGAACTGTCGCCTGGCTTTATCTATTACTAGAGACTACCGCCTCTCGTGTCTCCCTACAATTTCACATGCTGAGCATACCCTCTGTCCATTGGAAGCGGCTCGATTGCAATCCGACAACGACGCGCACCAGTCTGTCTGCGACCTCAGCAACTCAATGAATATCGTTACCCCAACAACGTGCATCATACTCATAGATATCCTGCACTGAAACTCTCGGCCTGTAATCAGTACTCTACACGCGGGTTTTGCCATCGGCAAAGATCTACGCAGATTTTGCTTTCAAAACGGCGAGCGCATTGGGAGGACATGTTACCGGCTTACATCTCGTTATCGAAACTCAGTCCTTCCGTCGCACCCGCCCTCTAAATACAATACAAGTATAATGAGAATTGAGGAAGATGTGTTGAGGGCTGTAGATGTCTGCGAAACGTTACCGCGATGCAAGGAGATTCACTCGTCGGCCGATATGTGTGTATCGGAACAACTGCAGGCCTTCACTCGTGGTATTTGAGCAGGAATGCGCAGTTTTCACGTGCCGAAAGGTGTTGAATCAAGAAAAAAGTAAGAGAAATAGAAAGCATCAAAGACAAGCGCAATTAAAGCAGAAATATAACACCATCCGGATGCCGGCATCTCGCACTGGGCAAGTCTGTCTCCTCATAACCACGTGATTAGTCGCAAAACTTGGTAGCATCAATATCGAATGGCTATGGATATATGGCTGATGTTAAGATGCGCATTCACAGGGGTCTTGAGAGGTCTCGTCGAATCTTCACGCGATTTCAGCGAGATTCTTTGGTGTTCATCGCAAGACCCATCGTGACGTCTCTACCCACCCTTTCAGTACACACATATCTCCGAAAACCTCCCCATCATCTTAGGAATAACAGACGTTCACACAAGCTCAGAAATTCTCCTCAAGCGCGAGGCTTGCGAGGCGATGGCGTGAAGCTTAGATACATTATATGGTCTTCATATTGGACCTAGAACGGAAGGGGAATAGACTTATTGCTAGCGTGGACAAGCTCCAATTACCCGACCACTCTGGCATCTGCGAACGTGAACCTCGTCACTTACATCAACCACTCACATCATCCTGCCGAGCGTCGCTGTCATCAATATGTATCAGTTCCAGAGTCTCCATTACCTTCACTCTCTCACAACGCGGTCCGAATCACATAGCTAGCTGTAGCAGCGGAGGTCGTGTGCCGAGACGCATGCCGTGCGCTCACAAGACCAGGCAGAAGCGGTCTGCCGCCTTCCATGCGTATAGCACGAGTAACGAGATCAGACCTGCTGTGATGTTATTGGTAGCACCAGGCTCCACTCGTATCGTGCCATGGTGTACCAGAAGTCGTCCAGTGCGGCAAAGAAGAGTATATCCAAGACTATTTGACACGAAAACGGTCAATTGCAATGGTACCGCGCATCCTCAGGCGGCTGCTACGTATTGCGGTATCGGACCGTGTCCTCATATGCTCATTTTAGGCAGACGCATATACCCGGGAGTTCCCCCAACCTTCATCTTCCAGAAGCCTACCGCAAGCGCTCGTCCTGCCTCACACGACGTCCAGACCAGCATCGCAAGTCGGTAGCGAGGCTTGGCTATATTATTGACCTGGTCTCTCGTTCGCCATAACCTCCCATGTGGAGTGCATCAGGATAAATGCAAAATTAAAGAGCCTCCAAGATCGACCTTCATCAATTTCGACTGTCATGTGTACATTCGAGCCTTTCGAGAAGCTTTCTAGCCAAAGATTTCCGGGCTGACTTCGTGTACCTGCTTGCGTTGTACGTCGGACCGAGCCCAATCAATTCTCATACAGCATTGCTGGAAGAGAGCACTCGCGTCATTTTGCTGCAGATTCGTTGATCTCTGATGCATTACCAAAGGGTTCATGTATACTCTAGACGTAGCGGGAATCCCACTTCAAACTATGATCAGAAGACGGACCTTCTCCACGACTCAGTAACATACGACCCAAGGAGCTGTTACGTAGAATAACACCCTCTAATATAACGATGGAAAGCTCACGAGCCACATCCCTGATGGCGCAAACTGTCAATCATCTCCACCAAGAGCAAGGCTGAGAACTAAGATCGCGGGGTAGGAGATCCGAATAATAAGCACCCCCGCAAACCCAAGACGTTCCATGTAAACATTCATCTATTTACCCTGTAGGTTACGTCCAAGCGACTGGAGACCTATCAAGACAGGCTCAGGCAGCAAGAAAGCAGTGCAACATTCAAGAGGTTAGTAGACGTCCAGATAGAGCATTCTATCGCATGATCGCATTGGCAGTCTCATGAGATGATGACTTCTCGCCACAGAGGAAATGATTCAGCGACACCTGCTAACAACTAAAACAACGCCACTCCAAAACAACTAGCGCTTGCCTTCCACTCAACTGACACTGTATCAGTGGACCCCTACTATACAACCATGCCGCCATCGATAAATCTTCATCTAAGCCTCATATCTCAAGCGCTGATCGCACAGACCCAAACCAGAAGCTAACGTCCGCAGTCTCCGGGCCTGATTCCTGATGAGACGGTACCTCAGTGCTGAGTTGGCGCCATACTAACAGCATTCAATCCAACGTCGATATAAGAGGCTCTCGACACCCCCAAGGCTTCCAGCACCAACGCAACCAAACAACCACATTCAGACGTCAACATGAAGGGTCTTTTCTCTTTTGCCGTGGCCTCGGCCATCACTGGCGCTTTCGCTCTCCCATCTCCCGTAGAGAACGGCCCCATCACTGCTCGCCAGGCTGCAGCATGTGCCACTCCCGTTACTCTGTCTGGCAACCCCTTTGCGTCCCGATCCATCTACGCCAACAAGTTCTACTCGTCCGAGGTCGTTTCCGCGGCTGCTCAGATGACCGATACTGCTTTGGCGGCTAAGGCTCTCAAGGTTGCTGACGTTGGAACTTTCTTGTGGATGTGAGTTGGTCTGCTCATCCTCACAAGTCTTAACTAACATATAGATAGCGATACCCGTGAGAAGATCGCCGTCGTCGAAGATGGTATCAAAGACGTCCCTTGCAACCAGATTGCCGCACTAGTCATCTACGATCTGCCCGGTCGTGACTGTGCAGCCAAGGCTTCCAACGGTGAGCTTGCTGTTGGCGAGCTCAGCGTCTACAAGTCCGAGTATATTGACCGTAAGCTTATCATTACCATTATTTACGACCTAATCTAACGATACGCAAGCCATCGTTGCCATCTTCAAGAAGTACCCCAACACTGCCATCGCCCTCGTCATCGAGCCCGATTCGCTCCCCAACTTGGTCACCAACTCCGACCTCCAGACCTGCAAGGACTCCGCCTCTGGCTACCGCGACGGTGTCGCATACGCTCTGAAGCAGCTTAACCTGCCCAACATCGCCATGTACATCGATGCCGGTCACGGAGGCTGGCTCGGCTGGAACGACAACCTAAGTAAGCACCCTCCCATCCCCTCCATCCCATCACATCCCTAACAACCCTTCTCCAGAGCCCGGAGCCAAAGAACTAGCCACCGTCTACAAGGCCGCAGGTAGCCCCAAGCAAGTCCGCGGCGTGGCCACCAACGTCGCCGGCTGGAACGCCTGGGACCTATCCCCAGGAGAGTTCTCCGGCTCCTCCGACGCCCAGTACAACAAAGCGCAAAACGAGAAGAAGTACATCGAGCTCTTCTCTCCCGAGCTCAAGTCCGCAGGTATGCCCGGCCAAGCCATCGTCGACACGGCCCGTAACGGCGTCACTGGCCTACGCGAGGAGTGGGGCGACTGGTGCAACGTCAACGGCGCTGGATTCGGTGTTCGTCCTACGAGCAACACGGGATCTTCTCTCGTCGACTCCTTTGTCTGGGTTAAGCCTGGTGGTGAGAGTGATGGTACCAGCGATAGCTCGGCCACTAGGTACGATTCTTTCTGCGGTAAGCCCGATGCCTTCACGCCCAGTCCTGAGGCGGGTCAGTGGAACCAGGCGTACTTTGAGATGCTGGTTAAGAACGCTAAGCCTGCTTTGTAAGGCGCTGGCTTTACATCAAGTCTCATGGGAACAGAGGATGAGGTAGTCCAAGGACGGGGGGTGGTGCTACCTTGTATATAGATTGATCGGTCGGTGGAGGGAAGTCACCAGGTGGAAGTTGCGGTTTGAAAACTTCGCTTCAACTGTTTATACATTAGTGTAGTTTCGAACAACGAAATAGAACTCTCGTTTGATCAACATCCATACTGGTGATTTCGAGTATTGAAGGGCATGAGTAGCGCGAGAGTCGTCAACGTTGTTTCATTCAGCCGCCATGACTACGCTCGGTTCTAACTTGTAAGATGTAAATTTACCCAAAGGAGTGCGCCTAATGAATTTTCCCCCTTGCCAACCCATGTATACTTTCCAAAACTCCGCGTGCGCGCTCACAGACAAAGGTATGCTTGCTCGCTCAAACCCCCATAAAACGCCATGGCTTCGCCGCGTGATGCATCGCAGCCCAAACAGTACCCTGTAACGCTAGAGTCAAGCCGTGAGGCTTTCTGTAAAGTGTAGTGCTTATTGAATCATTCAAATCATTCATCTCCAGTCCTCTCTTCGTTTCTATCGTCTTGTGAACTTGATGTCCCTTCAATGGAAGAATGCTGTCGGCTAAAAGACCGCTCCAAATCGCGTCTTAGGCGTGTGATAGACTGTTCATCGGAGTCGTTCTAAGACATCCGCCTTCTTCTGAAAGGCTCTTCCTCTTCCTCTTCTTCCTTCTCTTCGTTAACTTGCAGCGTTAACCACGCAGCGATCAGAGCGCAGATACCGCCGAACCGCAGCACCCAGGCTACACTCGTGTCACCTGCCGTACCTCTAGGCTTTTGTAGGAGCTTGAACATGATGGCACTAACAAGTGTTGCGATGACCTGCGGCGCTGCAATGGCAACATTGTGAATTCCCAGCACAACACCGGCGGAATCGGCGCCAGAACCATCATCCTCGCCCTCGGCGATGAGCTGGGATTCACGGTCACGAGGCTTGATGATACCGCGACGGATGGCGTCTCTCTTGGAGATCTCAGAGGAAATAATGGCGAACGGAGCCCAGTTGGTCACACACCAAGGAACACCGATGGCGCCGACAAGGACTGTAGCTCCCCACGTACTACGAACAAAGAAGGTGAGGACCATGAGTACGGCAAAGAGAATGTGCGAGATGAACCAGGATCGACGGAGAGTGAGCGATTTGACTTGCAACATTTCCATCGATTTAGCGATCTTCTCCATAGTTGTGTTTGGGTTTCCCTTGGGTGCCGGGCCTAGAGCAAAGTAGCCAGAGCCGCCCATGGAATGTGGGGTCGTCGGTGTCATAGGCGTTGCCGGGGTTATCGGACGGTCGGGTTCTGGGGCTTGGAACGTCGGAGGGATGACGAACGGCAGGAAGACAGAGGAGAAGAAGGTGGTGATGGCGAAAACCAAAAGCGCTCTGGTGCCGATCCTGGTGCCGCTCTCCAAGATTTCATCAATCTTGCCATCTGGCAGATGGGGATTCTCCTCAAAGTAGGGATCCGCATAGATTTCGCCAACGTAGGTAGTGATGTAGAAGAGGAATGGGAACCATCCAATCCAAGCAAAGAACTGCACCATGCAGACCTTCTTGATCTGGGGCGGGAGTTTCTTAACTGAGCGCGCGAGACCCTTGAAGAAGGCCATGACACCGTCCTGCTGCTCAGCGGGTGCAGTGTCAAATTGGGGATCGCGTTCCGAGCAGGTTGAGCAACTGATGCCAACAGTGAGAGCCATGACAAACGAGGCGATAGCACAGAGGACCTTGAATTGTGTGCCACCGAGCCATGGAAGGTAATCTGGCAGATCGATATAACCAGCTAGGTAACCCAAGATGTTGCCAATACCAGCCGAGCGCATCAGCCATGCATTGGCAGACTCCTGCTGATGGGTAGGGGCCACGTCGACGATGTATGCTCGCACACCGGCTTGGATGACGTTGATAGCGAAATCGAGCACGTAGACGAACAAGACTGCGAAGAGCATGATGCACGTCTTGACCCCAGACGACTCTGGGTCAGCGCCGAAGAGGCCTAGGAAACCTCCGATGATTTCCCTTGCCCAGGCAAGAACCATGAGGGACACGATGGTCGCAGCAGCACCGCCGATAATGAAGGGTCTCCGCTTTCCCCAGCGCAGACGGCAGTTGTCACTCTTGAGACCGACATAAGGCTGGACAAGTACACCGGAGAGAGGGCCGGCAATCCACACGAGAGCAAGCATCGACTTGCTCAGACCGAGCGATAGTAAGTATGGCTGCGTACAGTTAGTATAGTTCGCGGTCAAGATGGGCTGCTGTGGTCCGACGGGTCATGCATGCATGGCTCACACGACCTCAGTAACAGCACGCCCAAGGGTCCTCGAGGGCCGGATCTGCATGCAGGGTCCATGCCGTCCTCATGGAAATTTGCAGCCAGAAAAAGCACTTACCGATCCGTTGGAAGTCTCTACAGACCATCCTATTTGCAGTCCGAGGCCTCCAAAGGTGAGCAAGAACAAGAACCAACTGCTCTTTGTCTCCTCGACCTGTTGTTCGCCCATCCAGTCATCGTCGTCGTCGTCGGGCGACAAACTCTCCTTAAGGAGCGGGTCGATTTCGGAGGACATTCTTTGGGGAATGATGGTGGGCGAGTTCTCGTGGATGAATTCTACGTGGGTGTGACCTTCAGTGTCTGGTCGTCCACCCATGAGCGAGTCGCGGCCAAAGGAAACGAGTTTGGGGCGTGGCCGAGGGCGGGCGGAAGTGTCGATTTTGGAGGGAGGAGAGGCACGAGGTGAAGACGAGAGCGAGTCGCCGCCGTCGGGCCGTGAGGACGACATGTTGGCCCAGGTGGCAGTCGCAACCTGATCTGGGGAGAGTGCGTGGAGTGGCCTGCGCGGGCGACGTGGTCAGCCCTGGTGGCTTACGGCTCGCTGTAAGGGTCGGCGAGATTGTGATTGGCAGCAGCGAGGGTGGGTAAGAGCGAGGATGCGCGGTGGAGAGATGTGGTGAGAGGCAGACTATCAACGAAAGGCGAGTGGCGCGGTGGGACTTAATCCATGCTCCAAAGCGTATCGAGCGTGGAAGAGGCGCTAGTGGGACCGCTGGTGCTGCGGCGGCGATCGATCTCGAATCTCAACCAAAGTTCACAATCGGTGCTGCTCAAAGGGACGGCGGAGGGGGCGGGCAGCAGACAGGTCTATAACGGGCGGGGAGTCACGATCAGGTAAGAAGCGGTGTAGGTCATGTGTGTGCCAGCCGTGTGCGGTAGGCTTGGTGAAGGGTCTAGCAGGTCTTGCAGGTGATTCTGGGTAGATGTCATGCAGGCGTCTTAGCCAGTGTGCGTGCGATGACGTCGCCCCATGAGCGGTTCTGAGACCCTCGTCGATGGCGCTAGGCCCGAAGCCGGCTGGCGCTCGCTGGAACGGCAGCCGAGACATGGAGACACCTGGACGCTGTGCGAAGGCAGCGACGCGTCTGTAAGGAGCCTCACCAAGTCGCCATATCGCCAGCCTCGCATCGCCTCGCTCTTCCACGCTGCCAGATCTGCATCCAGTGCGCGTCGCCCTGCCCCGGACACGCCCGACGCCGCTCCGGCCTCAACTCCTTGCGCAACGTTGCCCTAGGCCCCATCCCATCCAAGCAGCCCCAGGTAGCCGCATCCAACGCCCAGCAGCCACCTGTAACCTCGACATACACGCCCACAACCCCCGCGCAATCCTCCTGCGATACCGCACACGCTCGCGCTGTTGATGACCGCCCGGCCTTGAGTCCACCATGGCGTCGATAATGGGCTGGTGGGCAGTCGGCCAGCTACTCAGTATGCGCCCTCGATTCTTCTAGACATGCCCGGCATACGTACTGACTGTTGACGGCAGAGCGCGATGCATCCGACGCAGACCCGGACGGTCAGTTCCCCGCTCCACACACACACGGCGATCCCATCTCTAATGCGCGCCAACAGACGAGCCAGAGGCTGGCCAGAAGGAGATATTCACATCATGGGCCCTGTCCATCCTGATTATGCTCCTCATAATAGCCCTCTTTACGAGCTACATCTTACACACGCGGAAGATCCAGGCGGTCCATGAGACAGTCCTGTCGATTTTTGCTGGTACGTCGTTCCCACACCACACCCTCCGCGGCTGCTTGGGCCCTTCCGCAAGCTTGGCATCCGTTGAGACAAGCTCGGCGTAATGTGCATGGTCAAGGCCACAAAATCCGATCACTTGCAGCCCGAAGCCCATCACCCGACTAATTGTGGGGTAACCTGCAATATCCACCTGCGATGTCGCCTAGTCCATCTCGTAATCCAATCGCGCTATGATGCTCGCTAACGCCCCTTCAGGAATGGTCGTTGGCCTGCTGCTGCGCCTGACAGCAGTCGCTTCCGTGCGAGATGTCGTCAGTTTCGATTACCAGATGTTCTTCAACTTGCTCCTGCCTCCCATCATCCTCTCGGCCGGCTATGAACTCCATCAAGGCAATTTCTTCCGACACATTGGAACCATTCTCACCTTTGCCTTCGCTGGCTCTTTCATATCCGCCTTAGTGCTTGGCATCATCCTGTTCCTGTGGACCAGGATACCTCTTGATGGCTTCAAGATTAACTTTGTCGAGGCCATGTCTGTTGGCGCTACCCTCTCGGCCACTGATCCCGTTACCATTCTTGCCATCTTCGATACGTACAAAGTAGAGCCCAAGCTATACACCATCATCTTTGGCGAGTCCATTCTCAACGATGCCATCGCCATCGTCGTCTTCGAGACTGCACAAAAGTACAAGGACGGTGCTGAGTCTCTGGGCTTCATGAGCCTCTTTGAAGCCGTAGGCATTTTCCTCGGCGTCTTCTTCGGAAGTCTGTTTATAGGTGTCATGGTCGGCATTGGTGTGTCTCTGATGCTCAAGTTCACCTATGTTAGGCGCTTCCCCAAGACTGAGAGTTGTCTCATCATACTCACCGCATACCTGACATACTTTCTGTCCAATGCTATCCACATGTCTGGTAAGTCTTCACCGCCTTCCCTCTCTGGCCATCTGCTGATCATCCTGCAGGTATCGTCTCTTTGCTGTTTTGTGGTATTTGCATGAAGCATTACGCTTACCACAACATGTCAAGACGGACCCAATTAACCACCAAGTTTGTCTTCCAGGTCACCTCCCAGATTTCGGAGAACTTCATCTTCATCTACCTAGGCTTGTCCCTCTTCACTGATGACAAGCTGGATTACAAGCCCCTCTTCATCTTGATTACCGTATTCGGCATTTGCGCCGCTCGCTGGTGCGCAGTGTTTCCTCTTTCAAGGCTCATCAACTCTGTCACTAGATATCGCCAGCGCCGTCGCGGCGACGAAGTTGCGGAAGAGATACCTTATCCTCACCAGGTCATGATCTACTGGGCAGGCCTGCGTGGTGCTGTAGGTGTTGCGCTTGCCGCAGGTCTCACAGGTAACAACGGCGACACACTGCGAGCCACAGTGCTCGTCGTAGTCGTTCTGACTGTCATCATCTTCGGCGGTACCACTGCACGCATGCTAGAGATTTTGGGTATTCGCACCGGAGTAGTCGAGGAGATAGACAGCGATGATGAGTTCGACATTGAGGTCGTCAATGGCGGCACGTACACACGCAAACAGGGTCAAGCTTATGGCAACACTCCACGTCCCGGCCAAAATGGCTTCTCACTCAACAATGTCAACGGACCCGACGCTACCTACTCTAGTGGGTCAGTTAGCCGAAGTAGTCCACCCACACGACCGAACGGCGCTATGCGACGCAACTCGAGCCATCCACGTGCTAGAGATGGCGCAGACCAAAGTCTCCTCAGCCCAGCTGATAGCGGCTCTGCCGATGAGGATGACATCGATCTTGACCTTCCTCCCAGCGCACGCCGCTCGCCCAACCGCGGCCCGTCGCCATTAATGGGCGATCCATCCCCGTACCCGACATCAGGCATAAGGCCGGTCGGCTCTGCGGCGGAGGGCTCGAGTAGGGTTGCGACTGCCACAGGTGCAGTGAAGCAGCTCTTCAACGAGATCAGCCACGATCCTGCAAACGCCTTCAAGCAGATCGATGACGGCTTCCTCAAACCACATCTGCTCCTAGACCAGGGCAAAGGTCCAGGGCCCGGTAATGTTTGATTGTATGAGTAGACGGATGGGATACAAGCATTCGTGGCGTTTGAGTCATCTTTGGGATTAGCAGCTAGCGACTTTGATCGCCTGGCGCATAGCGTAGCATGACTTCTTGAGTCATGATGAAGCGCAGTCACCGCTACTTTGGTTCTCAGAGTCGAACAGTATTTTATGTAGATTGAAATCATAACACACATCACAATGCATGGAGAGTGCGAGTTCGAAATCGAATACCAACGATATTCACTATAGTAAAGGAAGATTGGGAATCAAAAATACCTCATAACGTCCTGATTTCTCCAAACCGAACACGAGAAGAATAAAACAACACAATTGTCTCCAGAGCCCTTTGCCGATTTTACCCACCACCCACTTGCCTCCTCTATGGACCAATGATGAAATCAAGTGAATGGCGTTATGTGTTCATCCTTGATGAAGGTATCGGGACCTTTCTAAGGTCCAGGATACCTGTCGAACCTATTTTGCCAGTCAGCATCTTGACCTTGTGGATAGGGAAATGTGAGTGGACAAGTGACTTACCTCCAGATACGCGCACGCATATCGCCACTACCGGTAGCGAAGACGCCTCCTGTGGGGCTGGGAGCTACGGAAATAACTGGAAAAGGTAACGTTAGTAACACGTAAGACGTGAAGATATATCAAGCTTACCGGAGTTCTTGTGTCCCTGCAACATGAGCTGCGCGACACCAGTGTGAGGGTCCCAGAACTGGACGCCACGGTCCTTGGAACCACTCAGTACCCAGTCACCGTGTGGGGTAAGGGCAACGCTGAGCACAAAGTCCTTGTGGCCTTCGAAAGTGCGGATGCACTTGCCGGTTGGTTGGTGGCCGCCTGGGACGAAGCGGTTGTTGGTGGATAGCTCCCACATCTTGATCGTCTTGTCCAGACTGCCACTGACGAGCCTGTTGCCCGAAGGAGCAAAAGCCACACTGTAGACACTATCCTTGTGACCGTGCTCGCCTTCGAGACGGACGACAAGCTGGCCGGTCTGAATATCCCACACACGGACACTCTTGTCGAGAGATCCGGCAGCGACGTAGAGGTTGTCTGGGGAGATGGCCACGGTGGTGACACCGTCCTCGATGGAGAAGTTGGACACTTGCATGTTGGACTCAAGGTCCCAGAGACGGACACTGCGATCGCCACTACCAGATGCAATGATCTTACCGTTCCTGGCAAAGTCCAGGGAGTAAATATCCTGCTCGTGTCCAGTGAACTGGTGCTTGATGGTGCGGGTAGCAATGTCCCAGACCTGGCTCAATGTTAGTCATAATTGATAGAGCGAGTCAGGACCAAACTTACCCTGATGACCTTGTCCTCGGCACCGGTTGCAAGGTACTGGCCGCTGGGACTGAAGCAGACGCTTCGGATGTACAAATCGCCGTCCTCGGGCAGGCTTCCATCCTGAAGATGGGCGACAGGGTTTCCAGTCTCGACATCGAAAATCTGGGCTGAGCGGTTGCAACCTGTCGCAACCCACCTTCCGTCCAAGCTGAAGCGTACGCAGCAAACCACACTTTGATGGGGTAAGTTGTGGATCAAGTCAACATCAAGCACACGTCTTGAACGAGGGTTGAAGACAGCGAACCAATCGCTGCCCTCCTTCTTCAGGTTCTCTGGCAACTGCTCAATGTCCAGATCAGCCAAGACGTTACTCTGGCTGAGAGGCATGTGATTGGGCGCCATCAACGCACTCGGCTGCTGATGGTGGGGAGGAGGAGTCGGTCGCGGGACTTGAGGCGATCCGGGGTAGGGTGCAGGGTTGTTCTGCTGAGGAGTGGCGGGATTGGGTGGGCCGTTGGGGGGACCACGGGCAGGACCTGGACGCTTAGCACCAGGTGAGGCAGTGGGCTGTGGAGGCTGACCATAACCTGCGATGTGTTAGCCGAGACGGTGGCAGAAGTATGAAGTCGTTGATGCTTACCATTTACAGATGGGCCCTGCTGGTAACCACCAAAGTGCTGTGGCGGACCAGGAGCAGGGTTCAGTCCTGGGGGGCCTTGGGGTCCTCCCAGTTGTGGCGGCATGCCGTGGCCCTGGGGCGGCTCCTGTGGAGGAGGCGCCAGTCCCGGGCCACCTTGGGCAGCACTGCCTGCCATTATGCCGCCGAACAGGTTACTGGGGCCGTGGCCAATCTGAGGTGGCTGAGGCTGCGATGGGCCGTGGTGCTGCGAGTTCTGGCTGGGGCCGCCGCGAGCCTCGAGTTCGCGCTCCAGCTGGGCGATGCGCTCCTCGTATCTAGCATGTAGGTCAACATCCGAAGTGCAGCCTGAGGGAAGCTGGCGGCCGTGTTGTACGGGCGACGTGTGGGAAGGTGCTTACTTTGCTTTCATCTGGTTGTGTGATTGCTCGAGCGAGTAGACCTTGCCGCGGATCAACTCAATCTCTTGAATATGACGCGTGACTGGAAAGACTAGTTAGCAGCTGTGAGCTACATGCGACAGAAGGTGATGAAAGCCATGCGCAGAAAGTTTGCTCCCCAGGTCCTTCGATTTTGCATGGCAATTGCTTCCATTCGCGGCTGGATAGTATGTGCAAGACTCACTTTGGCCTTCGGCATCGACACTGCGCTGGGATTCGGCTTCGAACTCGGTCTTGATGTTGTCGAGCAGCTCGTTGAGGCGCTGAGCTGGGCCCGTCTGGGGAGGCATGACAGCCCGGGGAGGATAGTGGTTCATGCTGGCGGTGGGGTCGCGCTTCCGGGAGAGGGTGCGAAGATGGGGTAGCGGTTTGCTTCGCGTCGTGCGCTATTGAGACGCGAGCAACAGGGCGCGGTATGCGACGACGTCGGGTGGAAGCCTGACGGTCGCAAGGCTGTGGTCGCACAGCTGGCACGAGCTATCTGGACTGGTACACGTCTACGGGGCCGGCCCTCTGGTGGGCGCGACGGGTGTCGGATGGATAAACGGTGGATGGGGGCAGATAGGGATGCAAACAGGTGAGATGGTGTTGTGGCTGTGAGATCGCTGAGGTTTGAGCGCAAGATGGGTGGGTCGCCGTGGTTGGTGCTTTTGCTTGGCTTGCACGGAGGAAGAGGCGTTTCAAATCCGGCAGGCGGGAAACATGACCATCTGGAGCGCTTGCGCCGAGCACCTGTTCCGCTACGACTCTCTGTTCCGAAGACGTCGATATCGGCATGTGCACCCATGGTACTCTCTTCTCCATACCCAGACCTGTCCGCCCAAAACTCTCGACAGCATCCCTTCTCCCATTCGTGTCGCTCGCTCCGCTCCACCCCATCCAGCCGGACCCTTGTGCTTGCTCGCGCTAGTGCTGCCGTTCCCGTCGCGCTAGACTATATTGAGACAAGCTGCATACCACAGGTATTTGTCTTCTTTCGGTCGCGATCGCTTCTCTTTCCCACCTTACATCAGCACTCACATTCGTAGACTCCGGCGGCCTTATACCTACAATGACTTGCCACCCCCACGATGCTTTCTTCTTCGTTCAGCGATAGCGGGACCATCAGGCTTGGTACACCCTAGTGACTGCGCTTTAGTAAGTGAACTACGCGGAAAAAAGTGTTGCATGCGCATGTGGGCTAGTGATCGTGGTATGAGCATCACGATGTGTTCTAGCCAGTTATACATCTATCACATTGCAAGTGCCCTCGAGAGATCAACTTTGCATACATGGTTCGGTGTTTTTGTGGTTTCCATAGTCATGCAACTTGTTAGAGCCCGAGACGAGTTTTCGTCTTCAGTGTTGCATTACTCCTTCTGCCCGCAGCACCACCATCCTCACACTGGACAACGTCATCCTCGATTTCTGGCTCATGAGCAGCGCTGGTTTCACAGATAATCACGATGATTACACGACTACGCGACGCGTTTGGGGGCTGAATTATACCCATGGCACGCGGCCGCTCGATCACCCCGCGCTGCCGGTGGTACCATATCTGATTCGCCCCAGACAGCCACAGAAAACTCGTTCATGTCAAACGACGCACTCTCCCACTGCACCGAGAACAACACGGCAGATCCAGCATCACGGTCCTCCTCGTCGTGGTGGCCATTGTGTCGTGGCTACCCGACGAGACCGTAGCTGCTAGCCCCTCCCATTCGTAGTTACGCGTGGGAAGTCCCTAGCGCTGTCGCGTAAGCCATCTCGTGCGGAATGCTCACCTCACCAGATCTCGTCCCGCAACCAGGACTATCGTCGTATCACGCCATTCTCCCGTGCATTTTCCTTTGCCTGCTGGCTGCCACGGCCGACGCGCCCTGTGATCTTCCGCCTTCCTAGTCACCGCTTCCAACAGCCAACGCTATGCGTTCCTTCAATGCGCGCCTGTCACTCACTGGCCGCCATCAATCGCCACTTCTACCCGGTGTGATATTGATGATGCGCTTAGCATGCTTGCAATCGCCGTCAGTGCTTCAATGCCTGTGGCAATCACCACTTACTGCCTTGTGAAGCCCCCAAGCTTGCCATAAAAGCTGCCCGCCTGCTTCGTTCTAATGCAAAACATTATTCCTCTTAATACATCACTATTGATTGCTATTTGCTATCAATTGACTAGTCACTACCTCAGCTATCACCCATCGTTCTGTTCAGACGTCCTCCGACACTAGTGTTCATTATGTCGCTACAGGGTGATGAGATTGCCGAGCAGCGGCCCACTTACCAACGTCAATCGACTGCTGAGCGACGTCAGATCAGCATCAGGGCGTTCAAGTCCTCGGATTCACTCTACAGACTCAAGGAACAGAAGGGTACTCTTGAGGCTGCTGTCGAGGTCAGTGCTACCGCTCGTTTCTTGCAAATATTTTTACTAATATTAGAATGTGGCAGCCCCTTTACGCAGGTCTTGCTGTCGCTCAGTCTGACGATGGCGAATTTCGCTACTGCATTGCTTTGCATGATGGAACATATACCATCAATTGCGAGAGCAAGTCTCTGGGGCTGTCCGGAGATGCAGGTGGAGGTAACTCATCGAACGAATCATCGCGAGTTGGATCAGGAGTCTCCACACCCATGTCTGTAGGAGATGTTTCCGAAGCTCTATCAAAGGCCTTCGTCGGATTTCTCAGCAATTACCGAGAGGAGAACCTTTCCAAGCCCATGGGTGCTACTCTGACGACGCAACTCGCTACTTTGAGTCCGCATCTGGCCGTTCGCTTATGGACTGAACTAGACATCATTCCTTTTATATTCCCGGCCAACGCTAAAGACAAGGAAGAGCCATCAATACCTCTAGATCAGGAAGCCGAACGGATGGCGAGAAAGACAGTGAAGCAATTCAACGTCAAGGGTGAATTACCCGTTCAAATGGGTCATCGTCGCCAGGGTTTGGTGGATCTTGACAGCCACGTGCACATCGCCGAGCGTGAAAGCTATAATTCCACTGTCAGGATGGACACTACAGGAGCTGCAACAATGCATTACGCCAACTCGCTTAAGAAGAGAATGACCAAGATCGCCTTCTTCAACAGCACAGCACAAGGCGGAGGTGTCGCTCTGATGAGGCACGCCCTGATGAGGTATCTGGCTCTTCTCGGTATTGACTGCAAATGGTACGTTCCATACGGAAAGACCAACATCTTCAGGATCACCAAAGACAACCATAATATCCTTCAGGGTGTCGCCACAGCGGGCGAGCGTTTGACCGAGGAAAAGATGGCCGATCTTGATGACTGGGTCATTGAAGAGGCTGACAAGTGTCGTTGGGTCGAACACGGGGGCCCGCTCTCATCCCGGGAGAAAGGCGGTGCCGATGTGATCATTGTCGATGATCCTCAGATGCCGAGCCTTGTCAAGATCGCGAAGGAGCGAGACTCCAGGTATGTACTCCCGAGCTGCTTGCGAACCTTTCCAGAATGCTTCTTCATACTAATTATATTCTCTAGTCGCCCAGTCATCTTCCGCAGCCACATCCAGGTCCGAGCTGACCTAGCTGACGAAGAAGGTACGGCTACCTCCGGGGTATGGAACTGGATCTGGAACCATGTCAAAGATTGTGATGTCTTCGTCAGCCATCCCGTGCGAGCATTCGTGCCCAAGGTTGTGACCCCAGAGAAAGTAGGCTACTTGCCTGCCACCACGGACTGGCTAGATGGCCTGAACAAGCACATGCACCCCTGGGACGAGCAATATTACATCCACGAGCTCAAGGTTCAGTGCTTTTCAGCCGGTATGCGTCAGCTCGCTCATCCGGATCGCAAATACATCGTCCAAATCGCTCGCTTCGACCCAGCGAAGGGTATCCCAGACGTACTCGCATCATACGCACTCTTGCGTAAGATGTACATGAAAGATACGCCTCTTGTGGATATTCCCCAGCTCGTGATAGCTGGCCATGGTGCCGTCGACGATCCAGATGCTACACGAATCTTCAAGGAAACCGAGACTGCTCTCAACGGGGAGTTCAACGAAATCAAGGACGACGTCATCATCATGCGTATCGGACCATCCGACCAGATGCTCAACGCACTCATGTCGTGCGCTCACGTCGCCCTCCAGCTCTCTACCCGCGAGGGCTTCGAAGTCAAGGTCAGCGAAGCGCTCCATAAGGGCACACCTATCATCGCTACCCTCGCTGGCGGTATCCCTCTGCAAGTCCAGGATGGAAAGTCTGGCTTTCTGGTCAAGCCTGGTGATCACGACGGTGTTGCGAAGCACTTGTATGATCTCTTCACCGACTCGGAACTTCACTCGACTATGTCGGAGTATGCGAGTAAGCACGTTAGCGATGAGGTCAGCACGGTGGGTAACGCGCTGGCTTGGCTTTATCTGGCCGATGAGTTATCCAAGGGGGAGGATGTCGCGCCCAACGGCCGATGGATCAACGATATGGCGAGGGAGAAGGCGGGTATTCCATATCAGAAGGATGAAGATATCCTGGTCCGCGATGTGAGCTTGACGAACTGATTGCGAGTGTCTTTGGGTTGCGCTATAGATGGGCGACGAGCACGATGGGCATATCGTGTAATGCTCTCGTCTGAGACTGCGATGATAAGCACGAATTCACGGTTCCTGTTCTACGAGGTCATGCTGACTATGTAGCAAAGTGTGGATGCTTCTAGGAATAAACATTACATTATCTATCATGACCATATAGGTAGTTACTGACTTGGTTACGAGATTGAACCCGATACCAAAACCGTCTACAATTTCATACAGTTCGTACCCAGTGCGCACTGTCCAGGAATCGTACCCTTGCAGCACGCTTTGTTTGTTCCAGCGGGACATACACCTGTAATCATTCTTTAGTGGGTAATTCAACTCAGACGTAAATATTAAAGATAAGAAATACATACCAGAAGCGGGCCTAGGAATGCATCGTGCTCCTATCAGTTCCGACGGTCCACTTGCGGGATAGTATCCACAGATACTACCCCAGACTTGTGCGTTTGTAGACCAGGGAGCTATGTTCAGACAGCACAGGGGCTTATCGTTGCAGACGGGAGCTGGAGCGGCGACCCGAGAAGTGACCGTTGCCAGAGTAGTCAAAGTCGCACTCACGGTGTTGATGAGCGGAGAGGTAATAACAAGCGTCGTAGTAGGTGCTGGAGCAACGCTAATCTGAGTCGTGGTGGAAGCGTCGGTTGCCGTGTAGACTGTTTCCGTGGCGGTGGTGAGAGTTGTAGTCTTCGTAAAGGTCGCGACTTTGCTGCATGCTGCTGAGATCTTTTCGGGCGCCCAGTTTGAGACGAGGGTTGGGGTCTCCAGCGCACGCTTCTTTGCAGCGGCTGTGACGGTCTCGGTCACCAGTTTAGTCTCAGTGGCTACGACAATTGTTGTTTCTTCAGAGGAGATGACGGTGCTGGTCACGGTCACGGGCGGTGGTGTAGAGGTAGAGGCTTCGGTGATGGTGGTGAGCGCAAGGGTGGAGACTGTCGCGGCGATGTTGGAAGTTTCCACAGGAGGAACGTAGCCGATGTAGCTAGCACAGAAGTCGAGGTTCTCAGGCGTGCTCAGCTGGCTCAGGTCGGACGGGCAGATAGGCGCGACGAACGCATCGGTGGTGGTGGCGTAGGAGTAGGAATTCGAGATGGTGTAGTGGTCGTCACCACGCCATTGGCCAGTCTCATCGGCAAACGAAGCATCCCAGGCCTGAGTATAAAGCGCACAGATCTGTTCGACAGGCTCTCCGTTCTTCAAACTCAGGTAGTAGTTGAAGAACCGGCAGATGGCGCGGCCATTGAGATGGTCAATGTTGAATTGCGTCTCCTCTTTGCAGGCTTGAGCGCAGCGCTGTGCGTCAAAGGGTGAGTCGGCAGGAAAAGACTTGACGGTAATGTAGCTGCCTTTGCCATTGCAGTCGTTAGGGGCTCGAATGGCGGCATTGCCCAGAGCAGTGGTGGTGTAGCCAGGAATCACCGTGACCGCCTGAGGTTCGGACACTAGGGCGCTGGCGAAGCCGGTGAGGCCGATGAGAGGCAACGACGAACGCATTATAAATTATATCGGAAAATTATATATGATAGAGCGGCAAAATGACCGGAGAAGAAAGAGCGTGAGATAGCAGAGAGATACTCTAACATGCTACTTAGGCGGTCTTATATGAACGTACTGCGCGGTCTGCGCGAGCGCCACATAAGAGAATACAGCTGAAAGACAACCATATCTCGTGCTCAAGAGTAAGGGGTTTGTAGCGAAGGTACATCATGAAGTCTCATGCCAGCCAGTTTGGCTCTAGATGTTCGCGCTATGAGTGCGGCTGAGCAGCCACCAATCCAGCCTGGCTAAATTCTTCCCCAAAGAAGTTAGGCATCGCAAGGCCAGACTCCTCATTGTAAGCTAATGTGACGCATCCGCAGACTAAATGCACTTCATTTCCACTTTGACATCGTAGCAAGGCTAGCACAAGGCTGAGAAGGCCCGATTATTTCCCTGGACTGCCGGACAAAGCGACAGAAGAACTCGTCCTGCCTTTTGGAGCAGTTTGGCATCAGTGCACCTTGTGGCATGTGGTGAGTATTAACCATCTCGATCCGGCTTCAGTTGGATAATTTGAAGCGGCTGTAGGTACCTTGGTAGCTTCTTCGGTGAGATGATTCTCTCATTCCACCCCATGTCCTCCTCTAAAGCATAGGAGGCGTAAGCCGAATTAAAGCGAACAGTGTTAGTGAGAGTCTCAAGATGACTACTTTGGTATGGATGCTTTCTTTTCGAATCTACCTACGTAGTCGTCGTCGCCTAATAAGTAAAAGCTCGTGCACTGACATCTGGAGCGACTTCACCTCACTAAACACTAAGCCCCATTCGTCAACCATCAAAGACTCAACCCCACGGTCAAATAACTATTGTGCTAACCTTTGAAATCACCTCTGATTTCTCGATTGGACTTTCGAATCTTTCTTATACTTGCCTGCATTCTCTCTCTTTGTATTCCCAGTTTGCTGTCTCCTCCGTGCAAAGGTGTCAACCCTGCATCTATGACGAGCTTCCCCATCATCTTCCTCGATTCCTGAGCCTTACACGTACCGAATCAAGTGCTTTCAACATCGAAACAACGACATGCATCACACTGATAGCCGTGCAGAGCCTAGATATCAGCCACAAAGTGGAATCCACCCCACCTATCACGAAACAGCATACCACCCGGCCTCCCATCCCTACCCTGACTAATCTGCTTCTCCAGCGTCCAATCACCCTCTTTACTAGGATCCCACAGCTCAATAGGACCAATCTCCCTATCCTCTGCATCAACACCATCGACTGCATGACTACGCTGTCGCTGATACCGAACAAACTCGCTAAAGCGACTTAACACCAGATCGCCACTGCTGTCACGGACAGGAAGGGCCTGGTTAGGATCTAGCGTAAAGCGTGCTGCGAGAGGGGGCTCAATAGAGCAAGTACGAGGAGTGCCGTGACCAGAGGGGAACCCGAGACGTGCTTCGATGGAACTGGCCTGGCTGCGGGGTGTCGAGGCCGTCGCCGTACTGGTGCTACCGCGGTTACTGGAGGGGAGGTTCATACGTGTACCGCTTTCGCGCATGAAGGCTAGAGTCTTCTCGTCGAGACTGTCAGGACGAGGAGGACGGGGAGGTGGTGGGCCGGGACGCTTTTCGAAGGGTACCGTGGCGTGGTCTTCTGGGATGGGTGGACTGCAGAGCTGGGCCATGAGCTGAGGGCGGGAGATGGAGACGCTGCGGTTTTGAATCTTGACGAGAGATCCACGCGATCCACGAGCTGTAGACAGTGGTGTGAGGACAGGACGGCGTGCCTTGGGGAAAGGGACGCTAGTAGGTATCTGTGGAACGGGCGGAGGCGTTGGTGACTGCGTGGAGTCGTTGTTCTTGCTGCCGCCAAAGAGACAAGAACCTAGAATACGAGTCAACATTGAGTCGACATGTGCATGGAGAGCGGGAAACATGCCTTTTTCTCTAAGCAGTACGAAGTTGGGGCGCGACTTTGACTTGAGCGGCTCTCCACCGCGAATGTGTTTGTGCTCTGGAGTGCCGGAGAGGCTGCGCGAAGCTGGCGGAAGTGCCGGTGAGCTTGTTTGATACTCTTCTTCTTCCAGATCCTCGTAGTCGAGTAGGTTCTCGAAGCTATCGCCTTGCTGTCTTAGGGTGACACACGTAGCGACTGGGACAAGTGGCGTGGACGAGTTGGAGTTGGAAGGCAGAGTAGGCAGAGGCTTGTTCAGCTTGTCGTTCTTGCGTCCAAAGAATCGCGATGCTGCACATGGTTTTAGCGTGTCTCCGCCTACAAGCGAAGCAGTGACTTACGCTTTTTCCGCATACCCACGTCCTGAATCCCGGCGTCAAAGTCGATGTCCGAACTGTCGGCGATAGCGGTCTTCTCATCACGACTTGGCCTATCTCTGAAGAAGTGCGACGCTATCTACCTGTTAACGCTAAAGCTTTTGCGGTTGTGGAGCGAGAGTGAAACCCATCACTGGCTCAACGCTGCTTATGAGAGAGAATAAGAGCCTACCTTTGCTCCGAAGACTCTTCATCCTGACCAGTTGCGATAGTTGGCAGTTGCGACGATTTGATGTTGTATTAGTACGTCAGTCGAGTATTGCAGAGGTCGCGTGATTGCCTGCAAAGAAGAATTAAGGCGATCGAGCGGGAGTGCGATTGCTGGTGCGTAAACAGGCGCGAAAAGACAACAGGAAGATGAATCTGCGCCCACTGGAAGTGCTCACTCAGGGTAGATCGCGACCAGTGCCAAGCAGCACTGGCACGTGCCGCTAGTGACATGGGATGGTGAAAGTGAGAGTTCACTCCCGTGATGAGCCGAATGCAGGGAGAACCCTCGCTCGACCAGTAATTAGTATGCCACACCATGCTCTTGTCTGGGTCATATACTACCCTTGTGGACAGAACAGATGACGTGGATATCAAAGTCAAGGGAAGAAAACAATATAAAGAAGCAGCTCACCATCACGAAGTCGTGCCGAACGGAAACTTTGTTTGGACATGAAAACCTCGTGCCTCCCGAAGGGGACACCGAAGCCGAGCATCATGCCCTTATATTTTTTTTCTTGATTTTTACTTGTGGGTTGTGGTGATATAGTGATAGTCGAGTTGAGTCGTGCCTGGATCCAGATCATGGACAGCAGAGAATTGTCGGAGGAAGCTCATTTCTCATAGCCAGTCGAGACATCCCCTAAAGTGCCTATGCACCAGAACATGAAACATGGTGCAAGAAAACGCCTGATTTCCAGCTCTTCAAATACCATGTTCATGCATCCATTCATGAACAGTGACAAAAGAAACGCTTGCGCTGGACCAAAGAAACTGAGACGAAATGCCCGTCAATGCTCACTACTTCCACAAAAAAGATGGCCACCAGCCATTGATAACGCCATAAACTCCAAATGAAGTGGCAATACAATAATGAACCATGAACATGGAACAAATAGAAAACCCATATAAACAAGCGAATGTAGTGAGCGCAAACCATGTCCAAACATGGCAGGTCTCGTAGAAAAAAACGACTACCTGACGCTGGACTCGCCAGCCGGGCTGAGATTGAGCAAGCGTTTGAGATCCTGCTCCAGAGACAACGTATTGGAAGGGGTGGCGGTTTTCATTGGTGAGGCACCAGCAGCGGCAGCGGGGGCCGAGGTCTTGCGTTGTTTAGCAGCGACTGATGAAGGAACAAACGACATCATGCTTGTGGGAGGCTTCGGAGCAGATGCTGGAGGAGCATCAGCCGCCATATTTCCAGGTCCACCCATATTGCCTCGTTTCTGGTAGGCGTCGGGACGAGGCTGGTGTGGCTGCCGGCCAGGCGTCTTCCTGCGGTTGTTTGGACTTTGTTGATAGGGTTGTACATGGGGCGCTGATGGACGGGGCCCGTTGGTAAAGCCCCCGTTGCCGTTGCCTGGCTGATCTCGGGAAAAGGCGTTGGGGTCCATCATCTGAGTGGGAGGAACAGAGGGAAAGCTCTGGAAGTTGCCCGGTCCGACCATTGGAGACTCAGCCGAGATCTCGGTACGAAGACCAGAGTTGCGCTTCTTTGCAGACTCGCCCTTTGCGGCTTTGAACAAGGGAGAAAGATTACGGTTGCCATAGAAAAAGTCAGAGTCTTGGTTCGGCGGTGGTCCTTGCGGTGTGGTAGGTCCAGAGGGGTTTTGGGGAGGTCGACCGTCATGGAAAGGTGATGGTGTCTGACCTATCATGAATCCTTGTGGGCCCTGCGCATCCGGTCGAGGCGGTGTTGCAGAGGACTTCTTCTGTGACATTGAGAGACGGTTCAGTAGGTCGTTCATAACATCATTGCCGTTGCCCTGCTGCTGCATATCCTTGAGCTGTGGAACCTTGGTGGGATCTGTAACGGAGCGATGCGAGGCGGGCGAGGCTGCTGGTGGGGGAGACATGTGCGCGTGCTTGCTTCCCCCGTCAAGCTCTATGGGAAAGATGCCATTCATCGAGTGGGACGAATCATGCTTCAAGTGCTGTGGCCTGGAAGTGTCCATTGGGTTGAAAGGTCCGTGGGAGAGTGGGCGTCCATGGTTGCCCTTGGCTCTCTCGGCTGCATCCGCCTTGAAAAGCAGGTCCAATGGAGATTGTTCATTACGAGGAGGAACGGCCACCGGGGCGCGGGAAGGAGAAGCAGAAGGACTTGGAGAAGCAGAATCAGAACTATCTTCGGGCGGAGGTGTTGGTGGACCAGCACGTGTTTTGGCCGGCACAGAACGAGAAAGAAACTTGGGTATAGGCAGAGCAGAAGGAGCCGGAGAAGCATGGAAGGTCGGGCCGGCATAGGCAGCCTGGATCTTAGCCGGCGTAGCAGATGGATTGATCGGAACAGGCTCTGATTCAGGAGGAGAGAAGACGCGGTCGATGGAGGGATGGGACTGGTTGGGCTTCCTCATGTTGCGCGGTCCAGAGGGCATGTGCGCGTCCTCACCTGAGTAGGACGCGCCTTCCGCGTGGGCGAGCTCAGCAGGCATCTTGCTCGGGGACGCTCCTGCCGCATTGTGTTGGTTCTGATTGTAGCCATTGTGTGCGCGGTTGCCTCGTGGTTTGCGTTGCGACTGCCGGCCAGCGTTGGTGTGCGCTGCCTGAGCTGGGCTCTGAGGCTTGCCCCGGGGAGCGCGTGGAGAGGCAGTCGTCTGTACCGTCGACATGTGAAGCGTTATCTGTGGAGTTGTTGTGTTGTGATGGGGGTGGGTTATCTGGTAGGGCGCAGGCGGACGCTCTTGGTTCGTGATGAGGTAGTGGGTTGGATGCGCGATGACGCGGTCTGTGTCTTTGTCTGTGTCTGATAAGGTGGGAATGTGCAAGGGTTAGATGTTGAAGTGATCATCTCCAGATTCGCGGGGTAGAGATAGGCACGCGCCGTTGGGTGAGATAGGGCGAAGAGTGATGGTGTTGTGAGCAGAGTCGGTCGCATCGACGGTGAACGGCGCGGAGGTGGCTGTGATCCAACGAGGCTGATCTCGGCAAGGCGCACTGACGGTTGCGGCGGCGTAGGGCTGAGAGGTCGGGTTGGGTATGGGAGCGGGAGGCTGTCGGGCGCCCGTCTTTGAGTCGCGAGGAGCGGTGGCATTTTGGCGTTTGCTCGTCCGAAGGGGATTTGGACGCTTAGCGAAAGAATGTGCATTCCCTTTCACCTGGCACCTCGTCCCAAAGTTGGTACACAGGGCCTGGCCTTGGCATTCGGGAGCTCGTAGCTGGAGCCTGACGCCTGCACACTGCGCCTTCACCTGTAGACACACGGGCAGCGCTTCAACAAAACTTCGCCACCGCCATATAATCCCGCGAGCTGCACGTTGTTCCCTTTCAACTGCGACCACCCGTACACCGCCTACTACCGCGCTGCGTCAACCCTAGCAGCTCCCACTCCAACCAACTCCCCGCGCACCCCACCACCCCGATACATCACATAATCATGGCGGATGTCGACATGGCAGACGCGCCCCCGGCGAAGACCAAGACCGGCAAGGCCAGTGCTGCAGAGGGCGACAAGAAACGTTTCGAGGTCAAGAAGGTCGGCATCACACAACAGAAGGCAGGATACAGAGATAGAAGCTAACATGACGCAGTGGAACGCGGTTGCTCTCTGGGCTTGGGATATCGTCGTCGACAACTGCGCCATTTGCCGTAACCACATCATGGACCTCTGCATCGAGTGCCAGGCCAACCAAGCCTCCGCCACCAGCGAAGAATGCACAGTCGCCTGGGGCATCTGCAACGTACGCTCTCTCATGGCACTGCACTGACCCGTACTAACACATGACAGCACGCCTTCCACTTCCACTGCATTTCACGATGGCTCAAGACCAGACAAGTCTGCCCGTTAGACAACCGAGACTGGGAGTTCCAAAAGTACGGCCGATAGACGCTCGCGAAGCCATGGAGAGTTTGGTTCCAGCAGGGACAAATATGGGTCTTGGTTTCATTCGGACGTCCGGCGTTAGTAGGGCCTTCACAAAAGGGCTATGAGAGCATGAAGAAGTAGCAGCGTAGGCGGTCATCATCGTCGAATCAGATTCCATTACGATCATGAAGTGTCCTGACCATGCGACTCCCTCTCGTGTCCCAGCGCGACTATCCGACTTTCTGCCCATCCACGTCGATGTTGTACTGTGATGTCGCGTTGTGCGGTGGGAGCCAATCTTCGGGGTTCTTGTTGTAGAAAGGCCACGGGGGTACGACAACGAGGAATGTGAGCGCGGAGCCGGCGAGGCCAATGTAGAGTGCCATTCGGATGTCTTGCTGCAGGAAGCCAACGATGAATGCGATGATCTGTGTTGTCAGCTTGTTGAAGTGTATCAGACGGGTGAGGAACACATACACCAGCGGCACCAAGCAGGACGGTGCTCAGCATCTCTGCAAGCCGCTGACCCTCAAAGTCCTGGTTGTGTTAGCACATGCATCAAGTCAGGTAGCGGCGTCGTTGTCGCATACAATCTGGCCCTCGACCGCGTCGCGCACCTGCTCCAGAAGCTGGTCGGCCATGTTGATGGGGTATGCTGGATGTCCGAGTCGTGATCGTTGTATTTGAAGGCTAGGTTGGTGAAGATCGGGAACCGGATGTCACTTGGAACTCTACTGAACGTCTAACGGGCCTAATTGTCTCGGAGAGGTGGCATTACCACGAGCCAGGACATCTGCAGGGCAGGGGTCCGCAGCCGCACTAGCCTTCACTAACGACGCCTCTTGATTTACGCCCAACATTGACGCAACAACAGCATTTGGTACCTGGTTCGCCTTCCAGGTGCAACAAGAACCTTGGTTAGTTAGGCCGCGGAATATGCGGCACCACTTTCACTCGCTCTCTCCACAACGGCCGAGTTCTCGATCAGTCACATGCATGACCGTTTGTCGTTCTCTGAGCGCGTCTGCCCAATCAAAGCGGGCCAGTAGGTTCCGTCGCTGCACAAGCTTTTTCCTTGACCCATCGCTCAATCGCCGTATTTGAGTCCCGCACCGTCCCTTCAACAACACTTCCACCGTCCCCTGGACTTCCACCCACCGCACTTCCCATCGACTTTCAACCGCCTCACGATACCAACTGCCAGCAGTCGCGATCGCGCACCCTCTATCCATCCGGCTCTTATCTCCGTGGACCGCCATCCACCACCGCAACTGATCGCTCAAGGGGTCTTTGTTTTTGCAACCGTCCCCTTACACCGCACCTTCTGACGCTACGGCGTCCATATACATACAAACCACCAAGTTGGCGGGACTCTACCTCGACAAGCTTTCCTTCATCCGCCCCTTGCTCGGCACAAAGGCCTGGGTATACGGAGGCGACCACAAGCCACCATAACTCGCCCTAAAAGCAAACACATTCATTCGCTACTGCACCACCGTCTCTACAATTCTTCCTATTCCCACAGGGTGTGGAAGTCTGGCTACCGGACTCTGTCTCCCATCGGCTTAGTGTAGGGGACGACCCTACGCGAAGCCATCGTCAAGTTGAGCGCGCCCTAGAGGTGAGCGCTCACAAGCGACTCGCCCGCTTCTGTGGTTCTTGCGCTGCAAGAAGTCGCTGAATTCACCAACAATCTGGCTTAATCAAAACATACCACGTCTGATTCGGAGTCCTACTCATCGCCGCCTGAGTCGCCAATATGACTGACACTCCGAAATCCGAGAACCAGACGAGGTTCAGCACCCCGGTGTCTGACCTCGATGACCACCGCCACCAGCCCGTATCGCTCCCACGAGCCGACGCCACTTCGCCCCCTAGGTCGCGCCGACCAACTTTCGCAAGCGTCCAGGGTCAAGACCGACCCAACATACTCCTCCAAGTCAATGAGGCCCTCGAGGCAGACATCACTCGGCGCGATTTCGAAAGCGCTGTCGTAGACGATGACCATCACTTGGCTCCCGATACCTACATCCGCCGCGGGTCTCTGGCGCACAGCCCACAGGCCCGTCGAGAGACATTCAGGCGCCCGCGCGACCCGGCAGTCGAGCGCCTGACTAGGAGCAGGGCTTCGTCGACCACTTCGCGCTCCGTCTCTCCTCCCAACTCTGTCGACGCATTCGCCGGCCCTAGGCGCCGCGACCGTGCCAACACCCTTCAGAGCCATGCTGGTTCCGAGCTCGAGCTGGGATTGAACAGGACGCTTTCTCGCGGCACTACACGCCGTCCGACAATCAGTGACGAGCGTCCTGATGAGCTGCACAACGTTGAAGTTGCATCTGCGCACAGCTCTGCCGAGGAGGATGTGTGCTTCCCTGTGGCCGAGGATACTGGCAAGACTACTAGGTTCGACTATGAAGAGTTGGAGGAGTTTGTCGCAGAGGCTCAAGAGAAGACACCCATCGGCCAGCCTCTGCGTCACAAGGCGAGCACCGCTTCCAACCTTTCCACAAAGCCCAAGGTCTTCTCTGATCTCCGTCCCAAGTCCAGCCAGTCAGCAACACCCAAGACAGACAGCGACGCTTTGAGCCTTAAGCATGCGGACCCTGCGATTCAAGAGAAGCTCGCCGAGGAGGGCCTGTCACACGTATTTGCGGAGAAGCCGGCGACGGAAGTGAAGCTCAACCGCTGGACGTTCTTCTCGTCTGAGTTGGATGACACGATCCATGCTGCCGAACTGGGCGGCCTGCTTATGCCCGGCGAACGCTTCCGCGATCTGTTTGACACTCCATCAGACGGCGGCGTCTGGTGGCTCGACATGGTCAACCCTACAGAAGAGGAAGTCTTCGCCATCTCCAAGGCTTTCGGCGTGCATCCTCTTACCCGTGAGGATATCTGCCTCCAGGAGCCGCGCGAAAAGGTGGAGCTGTTCCATCAATACTACTTCGTCTCTTTCCGATCCTTCTACCAAACCGACAAGGAATCGGAGGAATACTTGGAGCCTGTCAACTTCTATGCTGTCGTATTCAAGGAGGGCATCCTGACTTTCACTTTCTGCGAGAGCCCACACACGTTTTCTGTGCGCAAGCGTATCAGCCGTCTTCGCGACTACATCAACCTTAACGCTGACTGGATCTGCTACGCCCTCATCGACGACATTGTCGACAGCTTTGCACCTGTCATTCGGGGCATCGAAGATGAGGCAGATGCGATTGAGGATCAGGTCTTCACTGCCCGCATTGAAGATTCTCGCGCCATTCTTCGATCGATCGGCGACTGCCGCAAGCGCGTCATGCAGCTTCTGCGTCTCTTGGGCGGCAAGGCAGATGTCATCAAGGGCTTCGCCAAGCGTTGCAACGAATCGTACAGCGTGGCTCCTCGGGGTGACGTGGGCATGTACCTCAGCGATATCCAGGATCACGTCGTCACTATGATGTCCAACTTGGCTCATTTCGAGAAGATGCTCAGCCGCGCACACTCCAACTACCTTGCGCAAATCTCGGTTGATCAAGTCATTCAAGGCAACGACAGCAACGCTACGCTTCAGAAAGTTACGGTCATCGCTACGATTCTCGTTCCGCTCAACTTGATTTGTGGTCTGTTTGGTATGAACGTGAAGGTTCCTGGTCAGGATGGCAGCCTCGGATGGTTCTTTGGCATTATTGGTGTTATTGTCCTTTTCGTTTCTGTCTGCTTGGGGGTTGCTAAGAGGATGCGTTACATTTGATTGAATTTGTTGATTGGTAATTCCCTATTTTGTTAGTTGGACAATGTCTGTCTCTGTTTTTCCTATGTTTAGTATAGTGGTTTTTCATTCAGTACATGTATCAACGCCAGCGCTGGTGTACCGGAGGTTGTCGTAATTTGGGATCACGTCATACACGATCATGTCGGCATTAGATATACTCTAGATTAGAAAAGTATTGTTCTCGTCGCAAAGCTCTTCATTGCCAGCACATCAGCATCCGACCGTGAATTTCGATACATATACGATGATCTCACAGATCGACAACTAGGGTGGTTTTCGATAGAAGGTACCTAGGTAGTAAGAAGCAAACCAGACGAGCCAAAAAAGAAGGCGCGCATACCCTGTATAATGAGCTATGAAGCTAGGGATTGGCATATGCGAATAGACAAAGCAAAAGAATGCTTTAAGGTATTGTTTCAGGTATCGATAGTCCCCATGATGACATCACATGAAACGGCATGCATTGGTAGCGCGAGTTTATACTACCTTGTCCATACGCTCACATGACATCCAGAGACGTGATGATAGATGGGAGCGTAGATAAGCCGCAACTCTGTGCCATCACGCGAGCGGACAACCTTGGGACGCATCCAAGGTGGCATTCCGTACCGTTCCTATTCGTTCCGAGGTCGGAAGGAACACTGCCAAACCCAGAATGCGCGGCATACAAGGCGCCGAACAGCAACTCTGCCGACGATGAAAGAAACGTGGTGACGGTGAGTCCCTGCAGCCATGAGGACCAAGTAAGGAAGGTTCCACTCGTTGTCCGCGAGTTCGGAAGCGGTGACTTAGGCTCCTGCCGAGGGGCGGACTAAGTGATCCTTGTTTCGGCGAGAGCATTCGATCATGCAGCGCCTCAGCCGACCGGTTCCCTTTAAGTACAAACTCTCGCCCTTCCGCCGCTCTCTCACTCCTTGCACAAACCACCAGGACGTTCTCTCTACCCACACCCTCACTTTTACACGTAGACAACACCCAACCGACCACCTCGGCCAGTACAGTACTGTTCCTGCACCCCCACGAACACTACACGCCTCAGCAAGGACCCCGGACAGAGAAGGCAACATGGCGGAAATGGCGCAGCGGATTCTTATGAATGAATTCAAGCAGCTCAGCAAGGAGAAGTGGACAAATATTGAGGTGCGTCTTAGTGACATTCTCTCAAGAGTCACAGTCATAGTGGCGATGCAGGAGCACCGAGCTAACCACGTCACAGCTCATCAACGAGAACGTCTTTGAGTGGAGTGTCGCCCTGATAGTCATGAACGAAGAGTCCATGTACTACGGCGGCTACTTCAAGGCCAAGATGACTTTCCCTCGCAACTACCCGCATAGCCCGCCAGGTACGTCACTGCCAATACACGGATCCAGGGATGGAAGGAGTCGCGAAGCGCAGGACAAGAGCTAACGGTTTACCAGATTTCAAGTTCATCCGCCCTCTTTACCACCCGAACATTTACCCCGACGGCCGCTTGTGTATCTCCATCCTCCACCCACCCGGCGATGACGAGATGTCCGGCGAGACTGCCGCCGAGCGCTGGTCACCCGTGCAGCGTGTCGAGACGGTCCTAATATCCATCCTCTCTTTGCTGGACGATGCCGAGGTTTCCTCACCCGCCAACGTCGACGCAGGAGTCATGCTGCGCAACAAGCCGGAGCAGTACAAAGAGATGGTCAAGAAGGATCTCGAGCTGTCAAAGGCGGACATCCCCACGGACTTCGTCATGCCAACGCACGAGACAGCGTGGAAGAAAGAGAAGGACGAGGGCGAGTTTGATATGAGCTGGGAAGACAGCGACGCCGAGAGCCTGGACTTTGGCGGCAGTGAGAGCGACCCTGACGAGGATCAAGAGATGGATTCCGACTTCGAAGGCGATGACGATGATGCGGAAGATGACGAGGATGCCGACACCCCCATGAAGCGCTAGACGTTGCCCATGGACTGCAACTCTGAGCCCCTCCTTATACGAATGTCTCACATCCGCTTGCAGGTGCGACTTCGGGGTGGGATGCCAGCGTCTGAAGAGGATTCTGGTTCTGCCACCCTCATCCTTATGCCTTCACCGGCAGCATTACCTACCTCAACACTCCTCTCTTCGTCATCGTCCGATCCGACAGCCCCTGCCCCCTTCATCTCTCACCCCCGTCCAACGATATGGTGGACACTCGCGCACTAGGAACTGCGCATCGCCCTCTCACCCCCTTGCCCATCTTTCCATTCCTCGGTTTTCTTCCACGTCTTCATCATAAGCGCGGCGTTCGGTTTCGGCATGGTATTCATGGCGTTGCGCCTGCAACGGGCTTTCACGCCTAGGGTTCGGTCACGGTTAGGACGGCATCTACACTGCATGGGAATGGAGTTTTTGAATCATCTTTTTATCATGCGTGGCACGGCTACTTTGGGCTTGCAATTGGCGGCGCAGTGGCTGCATGCGAATGACCGTAGACTAAGGAATGCATGAACTATATACACATTGGCCCGCACCAAAATGCTTGAGTGACGTCTCCCAATGTCCCGTCGTAATTATGCTTCATAGACTTCCGCTGGGGTACAAAGCATGTGTCACCCACAACATTACTTGCTTTCCTGCTTTGCAATAACCTCAATGTTCTGCTCTTCCCCACTGATCCTCTCCAACACTTCGTTCTAGTACTTATCCTCGACTTTCTCCGTGTCGTATCTCGTCTTTCTCAAATGAGCAAAGAAGCTTTCTGGGTCAACGCCTTTGCACGGTTTTGTTGCACATACAGCATCCTTGCGAAGGGTCTTCTTTCCGCATATACCGCAATGCCACTCTAGTTCAGAACAACCCAAGTGTGTTCCGACAACCCAATCAGGTTGACTGAGTACTTTTTTGAGGCCTTCGTCATCCGGCAGATTTCTACACATGTGGACGCTGAGATGGTCGGCGATAGTAGTAATGATATCGGAGGTTGTTCGTGCTTTTCGTGGCTCCATGAGAACGACGTTCGGCTCTGTTATTCCACCTGACATGACAACGTAATGTTTTAGGACGTGACTGTGGTGTCGTCGCTGGAGGTAACTTCGGTATATGTGGACTATTTCTTGACAGTGTGGAGGTGAGCACCAGAGGGCGACGGTGTGTCTTCTAGCTTTTGTGTGAATCAGATTTGATGGTATTTGAAGAGTGCAGTGATAGCTCAGAGGTATGTAGAACTGATGAGGAAGTTGTTGCATAAGCATATATACTAGCGGTGACTCCAAAATGTATGAGTCCGTGGGATATTTTACAGTGACGATTATGACAAGCTCAGGCTTCTGGAAGACAGTGCGTGGGTTTCGTCACCCTTGGAAGATGTCGTAGCTGTACGGTGAAGTCTCCAGTCTAACAGTTCTTGCATAAAGCCTGGACACTCCATGGCTCACCATCCCATGCCCATAGCATTTCTGACTCTCTCCATAGTGCTCTCGGCGATCTTCTCTGCTCTTTGCGCTCCTTCCTCTGCATGCTCTATAAGTTCCTTCTGGTCTCCCCTCATCAATTCCTGATAACGTTCTCTTATATCGGTGATGCCCAGATCAACGCTATCAGCAACCTTCTCTTTCAGAGCCCGCATGCTTGTATCCCTCAAGTCATTCGCCAGATCTTCCGGTGACGCAGCGATCGACTCATCGAAATGATACATCAGGTCCACGAGGTTTGACACACCCGGTCGGGTCTCACGATCATAACTCACTCCCTCGATAGAGTCTGTTAGTGCTGTCTTCAGCTTGGCATGTATTTCCTCTCTTGAGTCTGTTATCAAGATGCGACTCTTGGGTTTCGGGTCGCTCTTGCTCATCTTTTTTGTTGGCTCAGTCAGACTCATGACTCGTTTTGCGGGACTCAGAAGTGTTTGCGGGACAGTCAGCAGAGGCCGTGACTCGGAATAGACGTGATTAAAGCCATTGGCCAGCTCGCGCGTGAATTCAAGATGTTGCGCTTGGTCTTCACCAACTGGGACGTGGGTGGTGTTGTAGAGGAGGATGTCGGCGGCTTGCAAAACCGGGTACGAAAAGAGACCGAGTTTGAGAGCGTCTTTGTTATTGGAGGGATCGAGGGGGGATGCATTGGATGGGAGGGAGAGCTTGCTCTAAGACAATGTTAACATCGTGCCTTCCCGGTTGTACTTCAGCGGTTGTATACCTTCCACTGGGTCATTCGTCCCAAATAGCCCATACTTGCAGCGCAACTTAAGATCCACATCAACTCTGCATGTTGCTTCACGCTACTTTGCGCAAAGATGATGCATCTCTTCGGATCAAGTCCTACTGCCAGCAAACTAGCCAGCATCTCTTTCCGCCATCTTGCCAATTCGCTCGGATCCTGTTTTATCGTAATCGCATGCAAATCGACTATTGAGAAAAGAAGCGTGGTATCCGGAGACGCCTCATCTTGCAGCTTGACCCATTGCCGCAGTGCGCCGAGATAGTTTCCAAGATGCGGTACGCCGGTGGGCTGGATCCCTGAGAATATCACTTTCTTCTGGCTCTTACCGGCAGTCTGTCGCGCTGGTGGGGCGATGGAATACTTCCGCAGGCAGCCTGAGCATACGCGAAAGGGTGAGGGCGCTGCATGCTGCAGCGGTCGAAGTGAAAACATTGAAGTCAAGTGGTTGTATCAAAATCGGAATCGCGGTTGCTCAGCCACGAGGAAGCGCGGCCGGGGTCTTGTAGCGTCGTCATTGTGGCACTGCCGCCCGCCAACAACCACTCGACTGCGCCCAACCACGGGCTCTTTCTCCATCAATTCCCGCTACGCTCCCCACAACACCACGACTACCACTCACGAACCCATACCTCACACACCTTACCACACACACCATCGCCCAGAAGTAGAGGAACTACACCGCAATCATGTCTTGGACCGGTAAGGAGCCCCTCGACGATCATCCAGGAAGCCGCCGGCTCACCAGACGCAGGGTTCAAGAAAGGCGTCAATCGCGCGACGACGCAGGTTCTTATGAAGACTGGCCAAGTCGAGCGCACAAATGACCGCGACTTTGAGACTGAGCAGCGGTACGCTCTTCCACCCACTGGATGCATTCTTCATACAAGAATCAGGCATCCCACCGTAGTACCACGACTAACATAAGGCCAGCCGGTACCGTACTATGGAAACCGCCGCGAACAAGCTGCAAAAGGAAGCAAAGGGCTACCTCGACTCTCTGCGCGCCATGACCGCCTCACAAATGCGCATCGCCGAAACCATCGACGCCTTCTACGGCGACGCAGGCACCAAAGACGGCGTATCGCGCTCCTACAAACAAGCCGTCACCGACCTAGACGCCGAGACAATAAAAGCCCTCGATGGTCCCTACCGAACAACCGTCCTAGACCCCATCCAGCGATTCTGCTCTTACTTCCCCGACATCAACGCCTGCATCACAAAGCGCGAACACAAGCAAATGGACTACGACCGCATGCGCGCACAAGTCCGGAAGCTCACCGACAAGCCCGACAAGGATGTCACCAAGCTACCGCGTGCTGAGAAGGACGAACAACTCGCCAAGGCGGCGTACGATCAGTTGAACGATACCCTCACAACTGAGCTGCCCCAGCTCATCGATCTGCGAGTACCATATCTAGACCCCAGTTTCGAGGCGCTGGTCAAGATTCAGTTGAGGTTCTGTGCGGAAGCGTACTCAAGAATGGCGCAAGTGCAGCAGTATCTGGATGCGAACACAAGAGATCAGTATGCACAGGGCGAGCTGGATGCGCGGGTGGAAGAGGTGCTGCAGGAGATTCGGGACTTGAGTATTGCGGGTACTGTCTAAGACATGGAAAAGGAAGATCTGCTCAGTGTATCGTACATGGTAATTTCTGTGGCGTCAGAATCGTTGGGTTTGCGGCATTAGTTGGGTTGCGTAAGGATGAACGAAGGATTTCAATGAAGTTTCTCCCCTGATTCATAATGACTAGCTTGGTAAATGCACTACCGATGACGCTTACGGCAGAGCGGTCGATCTACGTGACCTACAGAGAGCGTCAGTGGATAGAGTCCGTACCTGCTCAATCACGGATATGACAAGGCCAGTGAGTCTGCCTAGGGTCTGCTTTCGATAGGTCATAGGAGGATGTGAGTCAAGAGAATTTGAAGGAGTCAACATATCTTGGTGTAACGAGCACATACCAAGTGTGGTGATTATCAGTAATTGAATCGAGTTTCTACATCCCTAACCTCTACTTCCTATTAGTACTCTTTCTGTACTCGTAACCGTCACAGCAGTGCCTATCGAAATCCGACGCCTGTATCTCACCAGAACATTGACGTTTTCACAAATCTCCACAGTACCCATCAACACTCCATGTCCAAATGGCTACTACAATCGATAACCAGCCAGTCTATAGACATGTCATATCCGATCGAGAATCGTACTTTTGTCCGTTCCCCTCTTCTGACGGTGCGACAAACGAGTGTGGAAAGTGGGTTCGAAGCGGTCAGGAAAAATGCGATACGGGTCACGAGAGAAAAGAGGTATGGATATGTGATGCTGTATCTGGATGGTGGGGACCATATGACAACCGCGAGACAAAGATATGTAACGAGGAAAATCTGAAGTCGTCACAAGAATGTAGGAGAAAGGACTCTGGCGGCCGATGCAAGGGATTGTGTCCGAGGCTATTTAAAGGGTTAGGGAGGGATTGAGGTGATAGGAAGGGTAGATCTAGGATAGTAAGTACAGATTCTATCGGCTGATGGGGTGTTCTTCATCTGATACGAATATTTCATTGACAATGACGTTAGACTATAACTAAGATGATGACTCTTCAACCTTCTTACATATCTCCGCGATGAATTTTATAGCCTTGAATACTGGAGTAAATTGTTCGAGATGACCCTTGAACACACACGACGCGCCGACAGCAGGTTCCTGAACATATTCCGACAACTCCACGGTGAACTCCTTCTCCCAGCCGTCCGCATTAGGAGTCTTCTCTCTCTTGACCCTCACTTTAACACTCCTACGATCTACCTCTATGACCTCGCCAGCAAGCTGGAAGCAGCACCTTTCTCTCGGATCCACAATACAGAGCCTTTTGTGAATATAACAAGACACTACTACGAGACAATGGGAGAAACCTAGATGGAGAACGCGACCTGTGGTGGTTGCATGTGCACGGCAGTTTCTGCATGGGGGCAGACGTCGCCCGAACGTGTGCTGCAAGGATCCCTGAACGTGTTACAGTGATTACCACTGCACCTGCGTCACTTACCTTCCACTCGGAATCTGCGTGTCGTCTTCCCTTAATGGGCAACACTTTGATCAAGATCCTGCGCTGAAGTCGTCGATGCATCATGCTGTCGTCGTAGCTATCGCCTCAATGTGCTGGCGTGAGATCGTCCCATCTGCAAGTCCACCCAATCCGAACCTTTCCTTTGGGAAGTGACGGACAAGCAACTGACAGATCCTAGTGCACCTGAGGGTTGCATAAAGTGCTTACAGTTCGTACAGGGATATTACTAACTTATGCTGTTGCATTCTGCGTCCTATGTCTTTCCGTTTGATATCCATAAGAGCCCTAACCATCGCGACATGTAGATCGATAGGGTACTCCTTACCATGGTCTTCCCCATTGTTGTCTAATGACGAAGAGTCCGATGATAAGGGCGCGTCCTTATTATAATCGTGCCGAGCAAAATACATAGCCGCAGAGTTTCCAAATTTGGCAATAGCCTCACATGCTCTCTTGTTGTACAGTTGTTATGGCAAATACTCTCTTATATATTCCTCATCGGCCCATGCCCGCATGATAATATCCACCTCCTTCATGCCAAGTTTCTTTGACCTGGCTTCTATGCATACTCTAGTAAGACAGCCGATATCTCCCTCTCGAAACTCACTAGTGATAATACGGGGGACGCGCTTTGCTTGGGGAACTCGATCGCTTCAGCGACAGATTTGATCAGAGGTGCAGCCTCCGCACAAATCGCTCGAGACGTAAAAGAATGGGCGTTATGGAATTGTACTTCGTAATGCTAGTGGATTCATCCACGACAATAAAGTGACGTCGGCAATCCGCGGCGTATTCGTAGATCATAAGTCGCAGCCCTTTTGGTGGATTGTAGAAGGGGTGAAACTAAGGGGCCTCTCTGGTTCAGGAGACGCATAGCTGCTGTACCGCCTAGGAGAGGGTTCTAGGAATTGGTGTTATCAGTGTGACAGTCCTGGAAAGGGTTGCAGCAGTTGTGTTTCCAGAATTCGAGTCGTCGGTAATCGAATCGTCAGTATAATCATTATTCATGGTTGCGGGATGACCCGTGACTGTCTAGGGAGGAGCGGCCAACTCTCCTGATGCTAAATATCGTGAGCTAAGGTCATTACATAATCAGAGCTACTGGGGTCTTATTGGTACCAATCTACACAATCCATATCTGGTCTCCATAATCCGATGAAATCTTTAGTCTTGCCTCTGCACCGCGCCATGAGGCCCGAGGCCATTGACTGAGCGGTTGATATACCTATGTATGCCATCTTGGCGCCCGACCGGTTGTGGTCTGTGTAATGATGGTAGAAACCATGACGACACAATGAAACACCGTGATGACTAGCAGGAAGTTATCAAATCTGGCCTACTGTTCGTATCTAAGACAAGCTAATCTGGAGTGTTCTTGAACTCATGGTGAATATGAATCTGGGGCTGTCGTACACGATTCAGCTGCCAAAGCCGAGTTTGTCTGGGACAAACGTTAGTTGTTCGACCGCAATGTATGTTTCATCAATAACAATCGTAAGCAAAGTAGCGTTGCTGGGTAGGATAGCACCACGGTATCTCAGTCGCTACAGCTAGCCAGCAACTCCCAGATCCATTCATGATAGCGTATGGTTCTTTAGACAACTTTCGTACTTGAGTCATCAGGGAAATTGCTAAAAGTTCCATCCCATAGAACATGAATATAAGAACTTGTATGAAAATGGTAATGAATATGTGACTGATTCTTGCCAGAGGGCTAGCCAGCCTCAGTACATGATATTATTGCTCGCAAGCGATTCACAGAAACCCACTGCCAAAGACCGCAGCTTCCTACCCAATTGGTTTTCTCATGGGCAAATGATCATGAAACGTAAGGATGCCTGCCTCTTCTTTCGTACGTCAACCCTGTCATGAACGCTATCCGTAACTCATAAACCTTCGTCCATGCAGCGTTTCCAAGCTGCAACAGCCGCACACCTTGAGAAGCTCGATCTCTCCTGCACAGCAGAGGGCGTATCCCGAACTTCGTACTTATTATTATCGTCTAGCCGTGCGACTGTCAGAAGAGTGTTATGCTCGCGACTGCTCTACGAGGCATGCGGCTTGCCAGCTGAGTCGGCCTTGGCACGGAGATCAGCAGCGGTGGAGCCTGTCGCGGAGAAGTAGCGCGAGAACACAGGCTGGATGAAAGAGCGGAATACGATCTGGGCACCACTAGGGAGTATAAGCTTGTATCAATGTGCGCGAAGGGGTTGCTACATACGCAGTCTGGGGAAGAGACATCCAGAGGATGAGGACAAACTTGAAGGTGTAGTAGAAGGCTGCAGAAGTCAGTTGCGGATCATGCAGACAATCTGGGTGTACTTACGGAACCAGTAGACGGCGTTCACCGCGCTCTCGAAGACGGTCAAGAAGGCAAAGGTAACCCAGTACTGTGACATCGTGTTAGCCCTATCCCAAGTTTGTTGTAGCCATGATCGGGCCAGATGTCTTGCCAGCGATAGGAAAGCGGGGTACACATACAGTCAACCACTGGGTGTCATCGACCTTGCTGGCGCTGAAGAGAGCCTCGAGGGAGTAGTAACCAGGAATGATGAAACCGGCAATGTTGACGAGGAACTCTCCCGCAATGTTGAAGAAGATGAGGAAGAAGTAGAGACCGGCGAGACCAAGGATCATGTAGACCTTGGGAACCGATGTCTGCTTCTCAAAGTTGTTGAGTGCGGGGTACTTGGACAGCTGGAACACAACATCGTCAGTAAATGTGGCTTCATATCAAAACCGTTGCTTTTCTCGTCGAAAACGCCCCAATAAGGCGTATTTTGACAATTATGCCATGTGCACAAGCGAGGGCGCTTACCTCCTTGTCGAGCTGCGACAGCTGGGCCTGGGCTCTATCCTGGACAGACATGTTGAGGGCTGTTGGGAGGTTGAGTGTAATGGGGTGCAAAAGGGTCGGATGCAACGGGTTGTGGTTGAAGAAGCAGAGGGGCTGCAATGTGTTCAGTAGGTAGGGAGGAGCAGGAACGTGGAGCCTGGAGATTGTGGGATGGAGGAAGTGGGCTCGTCATCGCTAAATACGTCACCGCCTTTCACGAGCCAGCCAGAACGCAGCAATGGCATGCCGATGAGACAAGATCGCGTGCATCGGTCCAGCCGTTTGACGAGGCCATATTCCAGGTGTTGGTAATTTCGCATTCACTTGTATCTTTTTCCTTAACATTGGCAATTAGAGAGTAGTGCGATTGCACGGGCATTATGACGACTTGCACGTGACCGTTGAGGTCCAAGCGCGCCGGCCAGTCTCCGTTGCTGCAGGCGTGACCGAGTTCAGACGGAAGCGTAAACACCCAATTCCTATCCCACAACAAACCCGCTCGAGGGCGACCGACGACGCCTACGACCTTTCTTGGAGCCGGAAATTCTTCTGCGGAGCATTCTACCACGTTGGTGACATCCTATCTGCCGGAACAACGTGTTGAGCTAGTCCCTGGCCCAAACAAACAAACCCGCCAGCCCCGAAAACAGCTGAGACTCGAGCTACACGCGATCAGCGCCGTCAACATACTCATAGCACCTTGGTCTTCCTGGAATTCCCGTCGCGTACTTTACACGCTCTGCCGACTGTGTTGCCGCCTCCTCAGCGCCGTTGCTATCGCATTGTTTTGGTGTAAACATACGGAAAATCTGCCCGCCGGCGTCCGCACCATGACCGATATCCGCCGGTCACGATCGAATACGTCAATGTCTACTAGAAGCAATCGTCCTCTTTCTCGCGCGTCGACGACGAGCGTGCATTCGTTCGAGCAATTCCAACAACCGCAGCAACCGCGGCCCAACCAATTTCCCCAGCAGCCGCAGTATCATGCTCCATTCACTACCAGTGAAGCGTTACAGCCTGCATTACTCCAAGCCGCGCAACAGGTCAGCGCGCAGGACCAGCTTATCAATATGAGTCTAGAAAGTGTTCAGCAGTATCTTGGTTATCCAGCCGACCCAACCGCGTCTCACGCTCAACCGAACGGTCAGCCCGCACAACCCGACCACCATGCCTACCAGAACTCCCTCTCTCAGCATTCACAACATTCGCAACAACACAGTTTCATGGCACCGCCGATGGATACGGATGATAAGAAAAAAAGGCCGTCGACCTCAGGTGCCGCGACCAACGACAAGGAATTGCGCCAGCTGCTGAACCAGAACGAAGGCCGCAACCTCAAGGAGGTCGCAGCTGAGGTCATTCAGAATGACAGAACATCCAAGGCAGAGAAGTCGAAACAACTGTTCGCCATGTTATGGTAGGTACTTCACCTCCACCACGCAGAAACAGTGCTAACACTTCCCAGGTTACAGTCTGTTTGCCGTGTTGCGAAGACGTCGGTACCGCGCAACCGCGTCTACTCCAAGTACGCAGAGCGCTGTGGCACCGATCGCGTTATCCCCCTGAACCCAGCATCTTTCGGCAAGCTCGTTCGCGTCATTTTTCCCGGCATCCAGACCAGGCGCCTCGGTGTTCGCGGAGAGTCCAAGTACCACTACGTCGATCTCGAGCTCATCAACGACAATGACGGTGGCGAAGAGGCACGTCGGGGCAGCAACGGCCCCGCTGCTCATCATGCTATGAAGCGTCAGGCTTCTGGGACATCGAGACTCAACCTTGAGTATGTGCCTTCCACAACTTTGTGTGTCAACTACTAACAGCTTCAGTGCTATCCCCCGGTTACCTGCAGACAGCGCACAATTTCCACCACGAGAAGCACGCGTGGAGCCGCAGAATACTTACTATACTCCAGCCTCGTCGCGCGGCGTCTTGTTCACCGACATCTACTCGTCCAATTTCTACCCATCTCACGCGCGTACCAAGACGTCGTACGAGCACGAGCTCAAATTTCCAACGCCAGATATCCTCGAAGCTCCAGATGCTTTCGTGGTCGAATTGCCAGACATTAAACCCTATTTACCAGCACGTACCGATCCCGATTCCGCCGATAATCTCGTCGCCATGTACCGCTCACACGTCGTTTCGCTAGTCGACTCAGTGCGATACTGCAAGGAGAAGCAATTCTTCCGCCTCTTTGGTACCTTTCACGGGACATTAACTGTGCCAGTGCAAAAGTTGTTTGCTTCGCCCGAACTGGCTCCATGGATCAAGGAGTGCGACTGGATGATGTACCAGAAGATGATTCGCAACGTTTCCCAGCTCACTCTTCAGGTAGCGCCGCCGGCAGTATTGAAATTCCTCGACAACGTTGCAAAGACGTTACATGCACACATTACCGCCAAATTCGCGTCGCTGCCCATACATGTACTCGAAGCAAAGCTGGAGCCCGCTACATTGTTCGCGCATCTTCTTCGACAGATGCTTCGTGTGAATTCCGCTGCACACGCGGCAGCCGTCATGCTCACCGCAGAAAGCCATCGCACCCAGATGTTTGCAGACTGGCTGGAGCACGTCAACATCAAACGCATCATTGCCAACGAATTGCCCGCCTCCTGTGCGCACGAGGAGGTTTACAACATCCTAACTACCGAGATCCGCTCGATGCTAGGCCCGCTACCACAAGAGATCCAATTGCCTTCCGGTACCATTCATCGCGCAGCATATCCCGACCCACCCGCAGATCCTTCGGAGTCTGTCATCGATCGTATCGCAGCATTCTTGACACAATTACCGTCCCGCTTTCCTGGCGCACACGCTCGCACAATCATGCACTGCATCAGTGCGCTTGGTTCGGCGGCCATACGCGAGATCACCGTCGAGAATGGAATCAGCTTCCAAGGTTGGTGGCTCACGAAGGTCTTCGTGGATGAAATGGCGCAATGGTTAGCATCAATAGGTGGTTTCCTAGGCCATGCACCCCCAGACTGGAGCTCGTCCAACTACTCGCCTGTAATGGGTGAATCCCTCAACGCGACCATGACCAACGGTGGCAGCGGCAGCAACAACGAGAGCAGGTATAGCAGCCTGGAAGCCGACTTTGGACCAGATCAATCTTTCATCTCCAACGCTAGCCATGTCACCATCCAGGACAATGGGTCAAATCAGGAAGGTGAGTTTATTCATTCACAACATAGCCTCACATGGTAGTTGACTAACGCAAGATCATCAGTCAATGCTGGACGATTTACTCAACAATCATCACAATACAACATGAGCTTTCAGTACGAGTACGACATGAACAATTCTCAACAAGAGCCAAACCACGACGATAGTGGCATAGGCCTTGGCCTTGGCGTACAGGAAGACGGCATTGACGCCAAGTTTGCGTCTCATCTATCTTCAGCTCTTTCGCAGAGCGTCAGCTAGCCTTACGTTCCTGTGTTTCGGATATTCTGATACTTTTACCGATGCGTTTATGACGCCTCTGAAGTCACGACTAACGACGAACCGTGCCCGACATGGCCTGTTAATATCTCATAATTCTTTGTACTTTAGGGTTGCGAACGCACTCATGGACCGGTGTTTACAGAAATAGTCTGGCGTTTCCATCTTTGCATTTTGGGTTTGCAATACAGGCGTTTGGAACGATATACCGCCTTTATGGCCTGGGTTTGGTGTTAGATGCAACTCTGCGGTTCCCCTACGCAGTGTTGAATTGAATTGTTTCATCGTTACAGACGTTCGCAATCGCCTTCCATAAGAGCTTCGAGGAACTAAGGCTCACCCCTTTCGCCTATGAAATGAGAGGTTGAACAAGTGCATAATGCTGTACTAGTCTCTTCGAGTTCCATCGATCAGGTCCTGTCAAGACCCAGCGGAATCAGAAGATACTTTCTCACAGCGAGAAATCATGTCAACTAAAAGTGCACATGTAGTCATCGCTAACACCAGACGGCCTACCCAGAGACACGTCGTTTCCGTTTACTCCGTTAGATCTACATCGCCTGTTCCCGATGTCTGTCCTACACGTACTCTGTAGTTCCTCTCCTGTTACACTAGCTGACATAACCATCTGACCTCTGAAAACGGTCAACATCGGCACTCGACCGCCGCGGCTAACGCAACCCGATCAAAATGGCTCGTCAACCTCCTCAGTCGCCTGACCACACTGATCTACAGGAAGGAACTCGATCTCTGATATAAAATCGTGCGTCGATCGTGACCGGTCGTCGCACGATGGTAGATCACACGATGGAGTCTCACCGCTCGTTCATTGGGTTTCATGAGTCGCGATCACCTTGGCATAGAGTTTTTACCTTTAGTGCTGTGGCGATATATTGAGATAGAGGAAAGATCACTGCAGTTATGCTCTCGTGGACACTGTTAGCAAATGCAGTCGAGGGGCCCAATGCATCACGATAGGAGACGGGACGGGATTATTGTGTAAGGTATGAAACAAATGTAAGATTTCGTTACAAGAAAAAAAATCCTACTAACGGTAGCCTGCGTGGCTAACAAGCACTAGAATGCAACAGAATATTTACTAAACCCCTTCATGCGCGGCGCCGCGAACATGAGTAGACATCATGACACTCCTATTGCCTGCCTCGTGTCCTCCTTCTCCTCTGGTTCCACGTCGCGCAGATATCAGTGTTCGCGCTAGCATCTAGTCCCTCGTGGGAGGTGGGCACCCAGTTCTTGTAGACCAGGTAGCTGTAGTCCCATCGTGGATCGTTGAGCTGTGTCCTCCATGTCCAGAAAATCCAACCTTGGGTCTTCTCATATAGCCTCTGCTGGGCAATGAACCAGTCCTTGTAGAAGCGTGTGTTGGAATCGAGATTCCAGTCAAACTCGGTGCTGTACTCGTTGTTGACGGTGAGACTCCATTCCTGGACGATCTTTGGGGTGTCGCCGTCGGTCAGGCGGTTGTCAGTGTGGCATGTGTAGTACATGTAATCGCCCTGCTTGGCGTCGGGTTTGATCGCCGTTACAGCTCCGCCGACGTAGTTGTGATCGTCAAAGATGACCCTGGAATCTGATGGGAGGTTGGATTTGGGGTTGCCGGCGCCCCATTGGGAGTCCATGAATTGGACGTGGAGACGCTGGTCATCGGTAATTTTAAGAGAGTTTTCGGCGTCGCGGACAGCCTTAAGGGCTTGTGGGTAGTACTTTTGAGTGAGAGTGTCTTTCTCGGCTTGGGGCATACCGCCTTGGTCGCGGGACGTTTGCGGCTCGTTTACAACTTCGATGATACCGACTGTGGCCCTATATGAAGGAGTGTTGTGAATACGTCTCGTCATCCAGTCGAGCCACTTGGCTGCGCGGTCATAGTTGGCCTGCGAAAAGAATCCTGGAAGATACGCTTCAGGGAGACACTGTGGTGAATGTTAGAGTCGAGTCGAGGAAAATTGGAGTGTTGAAGGCTTACCTGTCCTGTGAATGCATCACCGACTTTCTGCGCACCTGGAGCGCCATGAAGATCAATGACGACGAACATGCCCAGCTCTGCAGCTTTGGCGATAACATTGTCAAGATAAACCAGATTCATTTCGGGGAAGTGCTCGCTGCTGTCCACTAGGCTGTGAAGACTCCAGTATCCAATTGGAATGCGGATAGTGTTCAAGCCAGCAGTGTGCATGTCTTGGATCATGCTTGGTGTGATCCAGCGAGCGTAATGAGCATTGAATGCATCATTCGCTTGAGACTGTCCAAGCTTGCTGACACAGTCGAACTCTGAGCAGGAGTCACCGCAGCCCATGTCTGACCACTCTTGGCTCATCATCCATTTTTCCGAGAGTAGCCATCCACCAAGGTTGACTCCTCGAATCTTCTGAGCAGGAAGATTAGGCGCACGTTTGGTCAGATCGCTGGTGGTGCGGTTGAAGGCAGCAAGATCGCGGTCCGCGGGCATCCATGCTTGTGCGCCAGCCGCGAACAAGCAAGCCAAAAGAGACGAACTCTTCATGATGAGGAGGATGCAACGATTGGATGCAGAAACGAAGTTGCTTTTTCCAGCCTGAAACGAAAAAGGGTGCCTGGAATGGAGATGCTGGAATGAATGTCCAGTTGCTTGACTGTTACACTGTGCGACCAGAGGACTATTTAACTTATCCACGGACCTTCAGCTGATCGTACTAGACGGCACGTAGTTCACTACATCGTGAATCTCGAAGAGGCAAATTGCCAAAGGGGCCCCTAGCTGACGACAGCGGCGCAAGCCAGTCACCCAATCCGAGATACTTCACCGGTCCCACGTTCAAGTTGATGGAGTCGCTAGCCCCCAAATGTAGCCTTCTGTCCGAAGATCCTTCGAATACCTCTAGTATACCAGGGGTAGCGTTCACGATGTCGTACGAGAGCATGTAATGAAGTCACATCGTTCATCCGCGTTTGTGTAGACTAGTCACAGTAGTAGTGAAGTTGATGCATAGCCCATTATTAGTATGATCAGGCGGCCACGGGTTCTCTGCAAGGTGGATCGAAACGGCTCGCCGGCTGGGGATTTGCCTCGTCGCCTGACACCATGGCAGCTCCGTAAGATTTGGGAAGAGTAGGAGTGGCTAGAATATATTTTAGTATATGGACAGTCAGCGACCTACTTTAGGCCGTATCAAGAAGGAGGTGTAATATATCTTTTCGGCTAATTCCAAGTGCGAAGGGTAGTGACTGAGATACAGCTCTCATTCGCTGATGGCAAGCGGCGTGGAAATTGCATGGGCTTAGCCGCACTGAGGCGGTCTCAGAAGAAGAGGCGGGAATAAAGAATTCCAAGAGCTGGAGGCCTTGGAGCAGTTGGCCCTTCACCCTGACCTACAAAGCGGCCTGTCGCGCGGATCTTTACTCGAAGTGTAATACACCCCGCTAGTTCGGACTCCTGCGACTACTCTCCATGCAGGTAAGAAGTCTGGAGAAAGGCGCATACTGGAAGCGTGACCACATTGACACTGCGATGTGATGATGTGCCAGACTTGTCTCCTCTTCTCAGCCTCGCATCTGGGTTACGTCTGCCTTGCTGACCACCAACCTCGATATGCTTGACATAAGTTACCGTATTCGGTCGCCGGCACCATCCTTCCGCGGCGGGCCGTTGTGGCGTTGGGCTTTCGAGAGGGTCTCGTATTGACAGTGGAGAACATGTAGTTCAGCAAGCCATGTCTGTGGGAAGGTTGCCTTGTTCGCAGGTCAACCGTTGCTGCAGGGCGTCCGTCAGCCGGATATGCAAGCCTTCCTGCAGCATCTTCCGGAAACGTTCGTTCTCAAGGTCAGCCACATATTGTTAATTTTTGCGGCATAGCGCGAGAAGTATGCTGCCTTGGATCCGCTCAAGTCTCAAACGCGCTTTACTTGACAAGTTTAGTTTCGAGTAACCTGCCTAGCACATATCTTCACCACTCCGGAGCTCTGTTGCGGTCAACAGGATAGTCTAGAGTCACGAGCCTCCAGGATTCACTCCGGGGAAAGGGGTCCTGATCGTCATCGTCGTTGGACCCAAGCGTCGTTCAGCGGTCTCGTGTTCGCGATGTGGGGCATAAAGATGTCGAGCGTTGGCCCCGGCAGATGTGCAAGTCCATCGACACCACCCTTTCGTAGCGTCGCGTTAGCCGGATGGAGGGTAGTTATCTGCAGTGTCCTGGATGGCCCCTGCAGGCGGGCGCTTGAGTGGATTTCATAGGGAAATCAAGACTAATCAAGCAGGTTGGACGTACCTGCGCTGTGTGACGTCACTTTGCTTTTGGTTAGAGCTTCGCCGATCAAGACCGAGCCGAGTTCGATGTCTTCCTCCACATGTTCTGGGGTAATCCAGATACCTGGTATGGGGGCGGCGAAGTCGATCAGGGAACCAAGTAAGATTATTTGTAAACGTTGGGCATCATCCCACGACATTTCACGCCGTCGGACTGCGGCGGTTTCGTGTGTTCTCCAGAAACACTTGAAGGAGAACGAGCCAACGTCATCGTTCCTTTTGTCCAGGAGTTTCATAATAAGCTATCAATTTCGGGTGTCGGTTGGCTTTATTTAGCTTTCCTGCCACACTCCCAAGCTGTTACTACTGGAGGGGCTGAAGATCAGCGGTAGTTCTTACTTTGTTCATTCACAATCTCCTATCAAAAGTGATAATTTTGATCTAGATCGAAGAACAACGCAAGCGATAAAGAGTCTGGTCGTGCTCCTGGGTCGAGCTGATCTACTTTCTGTAACGTCTTCGATGATTACTAGCGCTCAATTTGCTATCACCATCAAGAGTGCGAGATATATGTTTGTCGTCCGTTTGGAAGAAAGCTGGAATGAATCAAGCACGACCCGAACGAACAAGATAACGAAACGAGGTAATATACGCACTGTTACTCAAGTCCAGGGTATTGTTGGATCTTTATTCCAGATCTGGGAATATGGGTCGAAACGCTAAGTCCACTTCTCATGGCTGTCCAGTGCTGCGGTGCTCCTTCATCGTAAAGGAGACTGATTTCGGGAGCTTATTGGCCAGTCTGATCCTGTACAGGGTTATCGGTCTCTGCTTTCGAACAGAAGTGTAGCGCGCGGTACCTCTGGATTTGCGATGACAAGATCACGAGGAGTCTCGCGATCTCGTGACCGGCCGATGCGCCGAAGAGCAAACCCACGACGGATATACGGAACACCAAGGGCTGCAGGAATGAATAAGACGACTATACCTTGACTGCCTACCAAATGGCGGAGTCAATGCGTCGGACTACTCTCGTTGCGATACCCTGCTCGAGTATCTAAACAAGCCTACCAACCACGAACAAGTTGAGTGTCTATTAAACAGAATATACAACTGCAAGTGCACTTACCAGACTTGCCCAAAGTTCCATCAATTCTACCTAGCGCGTAAGTATTCAGTAGTTTTCGTTCTTCTTTGCACGAGCTCATCAAGGACTGCGGAGGCTTCGATGATCTAAGTGCGCAACTCACGCCCTCCTACTACACGCCGAATCCTGCCTCACTTCATCTTCATTATACGTGCACCATCGGAGAAATTGCTGACAGTATCCAGGACATGACGAACACTCCTTTTCCGTTCGAAAGACTACCAGCCGAGCTGCGCGGTCACGTCTACAAGTACCTCCACTGTACCACCAAGTACGCCACAGCGCGACGAGACGAAGCCAGAACGCCTGTGGTTGTCGTCAGATTCTCTTATATCGAACGCGCTATAGTCGCTGTGTCAACGGCAATCCGAAACGAAGCTGAAAAGGTCATCGACGAGGAAACCCAGAAGTGTGGCCCGGCTCAGCTCATCGCAGATTGCGATTACTTCCACCTCGTCCCTGAGGTTCTGGCCGATATTCGAAATGCTCGGAACAGCTATGTACCACCGAACATGGGACTGGCTGTTGACGAGCGTGAGGACTTCAACATCAGGTTCACCGGCAGAAACCTACTCGAGCAGGCTCGGATGGACGCGGTTATGTATCAGATGTGGATGCGCCTCGCAAACCTATACCTCAAGACGAACGAGCGAATTGAGATCGGTGTTTGGATTGGGAACGACGCCGCTTGCTACGAGTTTGTGCAACAGCTCGACTCGGCTATTGAAGATATCATCAATCCCCGCTGGGACGCGTCTGACTCGGGTATGTACCGTCCCAAATTTGCGGTTACAATCGAATGCTCTGGAGAGGTTGAATCGGACGTGGAAGACGTTGTTCAGGATTTCAAGGATGCGCGTTTCGAGGTTAGCGAAGAACTGGAACCGGAAGAGATGCAGTCGAAATGGGGCGTCCAGACCTTTGACGGAGTGTTCGACCAGAAGGAGTTGTCGAGCGACGAGTCTAGCGAAGATTCAGATGAGGAATTGGACTGAAGCGGGGATGGAAGAATGGATGTGGAAATAAATGAGGAATTGGACAGTGCGATAGATAGAGAAAAAACGATGGGCTATCAGAGTTGATTTGACGTCTGAACATAAAGGCAACACCCATGGATGGCTACATCTGGCTTTTAACATAAGCTACGCTGTCTATACATCGGCGGTGAAGTGTGAGTGGTGAAAATCAGTCTCAAAGGTTGGAGCTTGGCAGGTGCCGGCCAGCTACCGACACTAATCGACCCAGCTACCCCGTCGTTCACCAACCACCTGCATCCCCCACGCAACTACTCTCCATCGGGATCGCGATCGCTCGTCGCACGCGACTACTACAAGGCGTGTTGAATCGCGCAACCAGCCTCTCCAGGATACGCCAGCTGTATTCAATATCGAAGGAATGTCGACCTTTGTCGCAAACAAGTATGCGCACCTGCTGGATACAGTACAATCCCTCAGCAAGAACGACAGCCGTTACTTACAAACACGGAGACTTTATCGAAGCGTTGCGATGCATCGTTGCCAGCTGGAAATAGCCAAGCGCAGTGGGTTCCCACTCGCCCGAAAGTCCGGCGAACCGGCATCAGCTCGACCGCACGAAGGACTTCGTACTCGGACATCATTGGCCATGGCGATGTACCTAAAGAGCAACACTTTGGCCCATGACAACTCAAAGATTGTAGTGTCGTATCTGTCGTCCTTTTTAACAGCGGCAAAAGGATCGTCGAAGTTCCCGCTACCGGGATATGCCGTAGCATGAGAGAGAGGCCCCTATTCGTCCCACGTAGACCACCCAGTCCGTTCGCGCCGCCGTTACACGTCACCTTCTCGAATGCGCGTTATATTGATACTATTTTGCCAAACCTCCATCAATCAGCGAATCAACAATTCGCTTCAGATTCGAGCAACAACTCCAAAATCGGGCTTGTGGTTTAGTGGTATAATACTCCCTTAGCATGGGAGTGGTCCAGGGTTCGATTCCCTGCAAGTCCATCTTTTTGCGCTCGTCGCCGTCGCGAGAGTGTCCGCACGACGCCGCAGGTGTTGATTTTCCTGGAAGAATTTCTCATTTTTGACCAAGTAAGTGAATCGTGTGCACGAAACCATCGCTTTGAGCAGCAAGCAGCCGAAATACAACTCATAGTCTTACGATCCACGCTATACTTCACTCCAAATCGGGATCTGGAACTTGAGTTTCGGCACCAATTGATTACGTCTAACGTTGGATGTGAGTCCACACCACGTTGGATCGATTTCACACTCCACTTGCTATTCGAAGCAATCCACACCCAAGGAAATGACGTGTCAACTGGTGTTTGCCCGGGATCGCGCGATTGATAAGCCAGCCATCAGTCGTGCAGGTGCTTTCAAGTGCTCGTTGAAGAATTCAAAGGGCCTGACCATGCTGAATACACCGTAGCCTTCTTTCAAAGCGTTACATACGGCTTACAATCCGAAAATTCGCGTGTTCGGGATAGTATTGTTGCTGTGCAAAGCACTAACAGCGGATTCTGACGGCGCCATGCTTGCGCACTTTCTCAAGCGGACATCGAGGTGACTTCTGAGACCATTGACTTTCGATCGAAGCAACTGTGTTGCAATCCCGATTTCAAGAGTTTGCTAGGATAGAGAGGACGTTGATCACCATCAGTGGAGAAGACGTATTGACTATCAAATGTCAGGAGTACATTGACTACTGACAAATAGTGTACTGTCGCTAGTATTGCTTGGAACATTACACCGAGTTCTCGGGGGTCAAACCACGCACCAACGAGACACTGCGCCATTCGGCCGAAAACTCGGTCGTCACTCTGGTATAAGAGAAACGACGTGCACAGTAGATATATCATCACGAGCACTTAGTAAAAGAACCACCGTCAATCAAATCAACATCAAACTACTTGTTTCTACCCATTCGACCGAACGCAGCCTTATTATCCACCATGGTCAAAATCGCAATTGCAGGCGGTGCTGGAAGTAGGTTTCCCGCAAATCATACCGAGTGGATGAACTAACATCCTTCCAGACGTAGGACAAGAGTGCATCGATGCTCTCCTCGCCACGAAGAAGCACGAGATTGTGATTTTCACACGCAAGGTCATTACCACATGTCGCTCACCTTACTTGATACTGACATATTTTCCAGGACGTCCCCGCCGAGACTACCGGCTCGCCCGTCAAACGGGTGAAAGCCAACTACGAAGACGTGGACGAACTGACTAGTCATCTACAAGGCATAGACGTAGTACTATCTTTCATCGCGCCGCAGGACCTGCAACAAGGGGTTACCTTCCAGAAGAATCTCATCGATGCCTCGATCAGGGCTGGTGTAAAGCGTTTCGTACCCAGCGAATGGGTCTCGTAAGTCATTACAATCGCCCACTCTTCCGCTGCGTGCTAACCATGATCCAGATCCACCATAGAGCACATGCCGTGGTACTCGTTCAAGATCACGATACGCGAATACCTAGCCGAGATCAACAAAGACAAAAAAGTCATCGAGTACACTCTTTTCCAGCCTGGTCTCTTTTCCAACTACTTGACCGTCCCATACAAGTCAGCCAAACACCTCACGCCGCTCCGGATGATGTACGATTTCGAGAATCGTAGGGCCATCATGCGAGAAGGCGGGGATGACGATACCATCGCCCTGACCACGGTACAAGATCTCGCCGGCGTTGTCGCGCGGGCAATCGATTACGAGGGCGAATGGCCGGTCGTGGGCGGCGTTCGAGGCTCGCGCATCTCCATCAAGGAGCTCATTGCTCTTGGTGAAGAGATAAGAGGTCAGTCCTCCGCCTTCTTTCAGCTCACATGAGCTGTTCCACTGTCTGCTTGTTTACTAACAAGGTATCACAGGTGGACCCTTTGCCATCGAAAGACTCACCAACGAGGACTTGAAGAACGGGAACTGGACTGCCTCCTGGATTCCGGAATTCGAACACGATGCCATCCCACCGGCGATGGCCGGGGAGTTCACGAAGATGGTACTGATTGGCTTCACTAAGGCTTTTGGGGCAGGTGCCTTCGATGTGGGAGATGAATGGAACCGATCGCTGCCCGATTACAAATTCACGGATGTGAGGACATTCTTGCTGAAGGCATGGGAGGGGAAGCCTTGATGAGGTAGTGTTATAGACCGTGTTGCGCAGCCAGTCTTCGCGGTAATGCGATGGCGCAGACGAAATGCAGTAGTAGTAAGTTTTTACTAGCGAACAATGTACTGTCTTTACTGTATACCACGGATCGTTCTAATGCAGCTTTACAAATTGACACTACCAAACTCAATATCATGGAACTCCCATTGCACAAAGAAGAGCTATGTTTTGGTACGACCTGTCTGGAGCTTTCGTCCGAGATTCCGGCCGAATCGCCGAAACCTAGGCAGTTGAAATGGCCGAACACCACTCCCTTACTGCACCAACCACTCCTCTCACATCCTCACCCAACCCCCATTAACGCAAACCAAATATGCATCCTTCCCCCTCCCCATCACTTCAAACCAACTCCCGTGAAGACGATAGACCAGCGAAGCGGAGAAAAGTACGCAAAGGTACTCAGAGTTGCTGGGAATGCAAGAAGCGGAAAGTTCGATGCATCTGGGCATCACCCACCACATCCACATGTAATAATTGCGTGCGGCGCAAGTCCAAATGTGTTAGTCAAGAATTTACGGACGAACTGAATCGGGACAGGAGAGGAGATGATGGATTAGAGACGCGCTTGAGTCGAGTGGAGAATCTGCTTGAGCGACTTATTGAGTCTACAACAGATAGACAGCACGATATTGCTGCTGAGTGCATGGGAGCTATGATATCAGAGAGGTCAGGGAGTACAATAGTGCGTACATCATCTCGGGGTCTGCCTCTCACCCATTTCTGACACTCCCAAGGATCACACAAGTAACACCGACATCACATCATCCACCTCACCGGAAACCACATCAACGCCCACAGGTCTATCGAAACAACTAGAACCAGCACGTATCGACCTATACATCAGTCTATCTCGAGACCTCATTGCAGCATGGCCCTCAGCCTCCGATCTAGACTATATCTGCAGGCTACCCGTCAGCATCTCCACACATGTACACATGAAACTAACGACATCCTCCGCCAACCTGATGAAACAAGTACCCGATAACCCACGAAACATATTGCAGCTACCGCCACCAGGATCACACCCAATACTAATAGCGCGGAAACTCCTTCTTCTCAGCAATTTAGTACAAGGCGCACTATCCGACGACCGCATACCCACCAGCCAGCAAGCGCATTTCAGCGCAGTCATGTTCCACGCCATGGACGTAGCCACACGCCTCGTAACCTCTAATGACTCGCTAACGGCCTCTGTCGAAGGCGTCGAATGCATCATGATCGAATCCATCATTCAGAACTACGCTGGGAACCTGCACCGCGCGTGGCTCACTGTACGTCGCGCCGTTGCTGTAGCACAGATGTTGGGGCTGCATCATGGCAGCGCCAAATTGGCTACTATCAAGGTGGTGGATCCCAAGACGCGCGAGGGCCTCGATCCGGATCAGCTGTGCTGTCGCATTGTGGAGATGGATCGATATCTGTCGTTGACACTGGGGTTACCGCAGTCTTCGCTGCAGACTGTGGGGTTGAGTGCTGAAACGATAGCAAAGTGTCATCCGTTGGATCGTATCGCGAGGCTGCAATGCGTTATTGGAGACCGTATCTTGGCACGCAGAGTAGGAGAGCCGCGCGAAATTACAGAGAAACGGGTCCGGGAGATTGATAATATGTTCAAGGAGGTGACTACGCTGATGCCATCGGACTGGTGGCTTATCCGAGACTTTGATGGTAAGGACGGGAGCGATTCGGATCCAATGCATGAAACTGTGCGGAACATGTATCAGCTGTCGCACTTCTACCTCATCATACGCCTGCATTTACCGTATGTTCTCCGCTCGCCAGGCAGGGGCATGTGCGAAGAAAGTAAAGCTACAGCCGTCCATGCCGCCCGCGAAATCATGAGTCGATACATTGCGTTTCGCAAGCGGAAAAGCGGTCTGTATTACTGCAGGGGAGTCGACTACCTTGCTTTCGTCGCCCTCACAGTGCTGTGTCTGGCTCATATCGATTCGCAGAACCAATCGAGGATGCGGCACAGAGCACTCTTCGATCACAGCCGTCCAAGCGATCGCGCCCTGATGGAATACACGGTCAAGATTTTGGGAGAGATGAGAGGCGATGATATTGCGACGAAGTTGTCGGGTATCATGCAGTATCTTCTGGACGCTGAAGCGGCATCGGCAAATGGAACTGGTTACAGCACTTCGGCTAGTGAGACAGACGATGGGCTGGCGACGGAGTTTGATGGTCAGTTCATAGGCGTTGAGAAGGCGGTCTTGCAGCTGCACATACCGTACTTTGGTACCATCAGCCTCCAGCGCAGGCTAGCCTCCGATATCCCATTAGCCGAGGAGATGCTGTCTACTCAGGTAGCTGACCAGACACAGGCAGCAGTCACAGATTGGAACAATCAGTGGTCGTTTCTTGATTCATCAAACGATGTGGGCACACTCGATGACTGGACACTGCAGAGTATCAACGAGGGTCTTTTCGGGGGTCTGCTTGGCGGGTTGGGAGACGTAGATTTCGACCCTGGGCCATCTGTAGATATGTAGACACTTGCTACTGAGTCACCCCCAGTAGCCATTTCAAAGTCATACTTCACCCTCCCCCCAGTCCCCAGCCCATTCCTCCAGAGGCCCAGGCTCCGCCAATCTGATAAAGTTCAAATCAGGATAATCGCGGCATACACGGATCATTTCCGCAAACTCGTCCTTCACACTGCACTCGTGTTCCTCCACGCCCCGCATCGAAGGATGGTATGTCCACGTCGGCGCTGGGAACCCGAACATCGGTTCCCGAACAGGGCCAACAAAGTCCTGGACCACGGTCAGTGCCTCACCATAGAAGCCTTTGAGTCGTATGGCTATCATGCTGGAGAGAGGCGAACGATTTTCGCGATAAAGTCTTATCAAATCTAGGAACTCCATGATACGGGTAGTTCCTTCGGGATTGAACTTGACAGCCGATAATTGAACTTGCTTGTCCTCCCACCGTTGGGAATGCTCCTGTCCAGCTTTGAACTTGGTAAAGTCTTCCAGACAGTAAAGAAGGCTGTTTTTGTGTACTCCCTCGTCATGCAGGTGGTGCGTTAGGGTGTGTACACTTTGTCTGTCGGCAATGAGACGGAGTGGCTCAGCTTGAATAGCTTGGAGCTTGCGGTTGAGAATTGGCTTGCATTCTTCGTGGACTAAAGAAGAAACGCGAAGTATTTCGGTCGATATCGATTTGACGACCAGTGTGATGGTGTTTCCGGAAACGAACTCGCCCCAAAAAGTATGTTTTGCTATATCTTCCCAGATGTGATGGCGTGTTGTGATGGGGATGTGTCCGTAGATGATTAGACGCACTTCCTTTGGGAGATCGAGAAAGCGGAAAGTCGAATTTGCCATGTTGGAGGATGGAGTGGAAGGTACGATGGAGTGTGAGGGCGGAAGGTGTGATGGTATATGAGGGCGGAAGAACTGAGAGGCATACAAATCAGGTGCCGCAATAAGTAATGCGTGCGGCTCTTGGCATTGGTAAAATCAAGGAAATATTGTGCAGTCTGCTGACGCAAGGGCGATGCAAGTTACTGCGTGAGGTGTGGTAGGAGGCCTAACGCATCACATAAGGAAGGAGATACCTGGAGGTAGAAGCAGATGCGGGACACCGAAATTTCATGAGATCAAGGACCGAGAGTTCACGCAGCAGCCCGGATACCTGGAGACGTGTCAATATTGGATAAGTCCATGAGGGAGAATTGTAAGGCGAATGGTTGTCGTAAGGAACGGCAAAGTATCATGGGTGGAAATATGGTAAAAGGGAGCAGTTGAAATGAATTAAACAAGTCGCAGTCTTAAAGTCAGCTGCAATTTCTAGATGTACAAACGTACATTCTCGAATCTGTTCAAGCAAGTCCTCCATGGACATGGTATCCTCCAAAACCGTAGCTCTGTGCTGTAGAGCAATATTTTAAACGCCGGAAAATGCAATGCAACAACGCCAATATACGTGGATGAAAATCATGCTCGTCGTTTGCCGATACGGCCAGGGCCGCTGGGACGTCCACCATTGGGCTTCAGTGCGCCCTTGCCTCGCGAGGTAGGGAAGGAGACCTTGTTCTGGGGCTTGCGTCGCAGTTGTTTCCGGGTCTGGCTCTTGTCCTTGGTCTTGCGCGAGCTCGAGCTCTTCGCAGAGGTGGCGGTGCCGTCGACGTCCATATCTAGCAAGTCAAAGTTAGCCCTTGATTCTCACTCTACCAGTGCGGAGAAAGCGGGTCAAAGGCGAATTTGAGATGGCCGTCATCGGTGAAGCCCAGGATGTCTGAACACAGGCCTAGGTGGAAACAAAGGTTCCCGAGTTCGCAATCCTCTTCTGCAGGGCCGAAAGGACTTGCAGAGGGATCGGAGAGGGAGCGCGGTATGGGGACAGTAAGTAGAGACGAACCTTTGGGCAAGTCCTCCTTGGCGGCATCGTCGGTGGTGTTGGCTGGGACATGATTAGAAGGTGCATATGGTGGGAGACAACTGGGCGACTCACTCTCTTCGGTTTCCATCTCAGTCCTCTCGGGCTTGGGCTGGGCAATCGTCTCGAGAAGTTTGGCGTGCAGGCGCTCGGCGCGTGCCTGTTCGACGGGGCCGAAAACTCGGGCGCGCAGCTTGGTGCGGTTCGCCTTTTTGCTGCTTGCGCGTGCGCCTTTGGCCATTGTGTAGAGAATGTCGGGGAACGTGTAGGTGAATGGGTGTTTGGGTGTGTGTCTTGGTAAGTCGGCGGCAGGCTGGTGGGGAAAAGTTCGAGGGAATTTTGGTGGCAAGGCGTTTGGCGTATCAAGCCAGGCCGGCCCGTGCCCTAGTCGCGTTCTTCGCCTAGTTGCAGGTGACGCTGACTTCGGTATATCCCAGCTGGAGATGCGCTCGCCGCGAGAGCCGCCGCCTACTTCGACGGCCGTATAACTAGAAAAGTCGCATTGCGGCCTCTGCTCGCCTGTTTGCTTCTCCGCGACTGTCCTGCCCGCCTGTCTTGTTCGCTCTGCATCGCCGCCGGGCGCTTTGGGAAGTTGCGACCAACGCCCGTCCGACTCGACTGCACCTCAGATATCCGGATATCGCTCTTCGCTGCCTTCACCTTGCCCTACGTCACCCGCCCAGATGCCTTCGCGGGCAAAACTGAACCGGTAGCCCTTGACCTTACTCCCCAACATCGCCAGCCTCTCCACCGCGACGGCAGAAAACCATGGCGTCGAGCATGCAGCAGATGGCTGCCACGATTACCGAGCGCTCCAAGACACTCATAAACAACGACCTCAAGAAGATTCTCAAGGAGGAGGGCACCTCGCAGACGGGCAACAAGGCCGCACTGCAAGCGCGCGTCATTGGCCGTAGGTATCTCCGCTCCCCAACAGCACGGCTTGCTATCGCCGCTCACCTGCTAACTTCACCTTCTCCAGTCATCACCAATGCGGTTGCTAGGAGCGACACCGACCTGCTGCGGCGACTGCAATACCGCGTACAACACCACGGCGAAGCGCCTCCCCCAGCCACGAGCAGTCCGGTCGCCTCCTCGTACTCGCAGCCCCCTCCGCCCATCGCCAATGGGTACACCATGGCCAACGGCTACCAAAACAACGGCGCATACCAGCCATACCAGCAGCCCCAGCAGCCACCCATGCCGCCTCGCCCGACCTATTTCTTCAAGGACAGCCCTTTCTTTGAGATTCGCGAGCTGATACTGAGTAATATGTCTTTGGACGCTTCGCCCACTCACCGCGCCACCATATCGCGTAACCTCACCCTCAACGAAAGCCAGTCCGGACGCCTAAAGACAGACCCATCTTTGCGCTTACTGCTCTTCTCTGCGCTCGAACAGCCATTGGCTCCCTACTCGCGTCTCGACATCGCATTCCCATCTCAAATTGAGGTCAAGGTCAACGACGACGAGGTCAAGGCGAACTACAAGGGTTTGAAGAACAAGCCAGGTTCTACGCGCCCCGCCGACATTACCGACTTCGTGCGCACCAAGGTCGCCAACCAGCGCAACAGCATCCTCATCACCTACGCTCTGACTCAGAAGGCAAGTCGGTCGGAGGTTTCTTATCCCATCAGCTTCCGAAACGTGACTGAGAGCTAACTCTCAATGCAGAAATACAACCTCTTCGTCTACTTGGTTAGAAAGTTCTCGGTCGACGAGCTCACACAGCGCATCAAGCAGCGCAACGTTATCACGAGGCAGTCTGTGCTCAATGAGAGTATGTAGTAGCCTTTGCCAGCTGAGACATCCCGCATGACTAACGTTGTAACAGTGATGAAAAAGGCCAATGACCCCGACATCGAAGTCGGCTCCAGCGTCATGTCCCTCAAGGATCCAATCTCCACCCTGCGCATCGTCACCCCATGCAGGTCGACCGTGTGCACACACAATCAGTGCTTCGATGCCGACTCATTTCTTCAGCTCCAAGAGCAAGCTCCCACATGGACATGCCCAATATGCAGCAAGACCATATCATACGAAGGCTTGGCTGTCGACCAGTATGTGGAGGAGATTCTCAACAAGGCCCGAAATACGGACCAGGTCACCATCCAGCCAAGCGGACAATGGTCGACCGAAAAGGATGAGAAGCCCAAACAAAACGGGCACAATGGGCGTCATGACGATAGTGACGATGACCTCATCGAGATTCCAGATTACCGTATACAGGCCATCAAGACCGAAGCTGCGCCGACACCAACTTCGCTCAGCACCCCTCCTCTGCCTTCTCGGGAGACGTCCACAGCCCCCCGGTCTGGCCAGAAGAGAAAATCCGAAGTAGTGGATCTGACCTTGAGCGATGATGACGAGCCAGTAAGACCAACGAAAAAGGTAGCGTACACTACCCCCAATAGCCTCCCTGACCCGCCCCGTCGGTATCATTTACCTCCCCTTGGCAGTCACTCTGCTGCTCATAGTCGTCCACTGCCACCAACCTACCACAGTGGGTCTGCCAGCATGCGTTCTGATTACTCCCGGCCTCCATCTACACCTCCACCACGGCATGGGTATCAATCCTATCGACCAGCACAGCCTGCTTCGCGGCCTAGCTATCCTGGACAGGGTACTTCCTCCTACCCTACCTACCTGGGCTCTTCTTCCCCTTAATTATATGTTGCGCGTTCTTGTTGTATCTTCCACTCATGTATGAGTATTGTTCATCAGCTAATACCACCTCGGGATCGCAGGGCAGAATAACCGGGACCAGACGAGGTAGCACATCATCCACTTAGGCCGTTCACAATATTGCGGACCATTGCGCCACGGGCATCCTGCGTAGGCTGATCAAGTGATGCTCTCTACATCACACACTCATCTCTTTCCTAATTTGTCAAGGAAACTTAGCGCGAGGCGTTTGGGGGAGGCTACATTTCATGACCATCTATCTACGGCGTAAAACACTGGTTGGGGCATTGAGGATACCACCGCTTGAGAGACTTGCATGCATTTCGGGAGCTTATACCAGCGACCTTCTGCAATGACGAAAGGAGCAGATGTCGCGTGCGGAATAGTCCGGACAGGACAGAGAGAGGAGGTGGCGGTTCATGTACGATCGTGTAGCAATGATGCCTTTTAGCTTCGGCAATACTAGACAATCCCAGTCTACTTTGTATTACCGTGCGTGCTGTGAGCTGTTTCCTTGTTCCTTTATTTGCGCTTACATATCATACACGCCGACGTACTCAGTCCAGCGGTTCCGGCAGAACACAAACAACATCCTCCTCTTCCTCCTCATCCCCAACCCTCTGCCTAACCTCCCTACTCTCCAACTCCACATCATCAACATCCGGCTCCTCCCCCAAGCCATCCACCATCACCTCCCCCTTATCCTCAACCTTCCTCCTAACCTGCGTATCAAACAACGCACCCTTATCAAACAGCCTATCCGATTTGACCCCTCCCTTCCTCCTCACTTTAACCTCACGGATCCTATACGCAAAAACAAAGTCCTCCGCCCTCGTACTCTGCTCGCTCGTCTCGCTCTTCCGCTTCCAGTTCCCTTCCGGTCCCACCGAAATCGGTACGCCAGACCACGCCGTTGCATCCACACCAGCATGCACGTAAACGCCCTTTTCCTGGAGCCGTTCCCTAGAAAGAGTTGTTGATGACGCTATCATAACACCCGTGATGATGTAGATTTTCTCTCTAAACCGGTGCTGCGTGATGTAATCCCTAACATCTTCATGTCGTACCACGTCTTCCAGGAAGCTGCGACTGGGCCGAAAAGTCTGCGTCGTCATTTTTTCAACTTTCCAAGTTTGCTGCGTGGATTTGTCGTTGCTGATGCTTATGTCTGCGCCGATACCGAGGACGCATTCGAGAAAGGAGGTCCAGATGCCGAAGGTGGTGGATGTTGATTTACTGAATGTGCCGCTCCAGTTGTGTTCGGTGAAGGTGCTCGTGTCAGTTTGGGAAGGGAGGGAGGGCAGGTGCAGGGGTTCGTCGGGTTGGGAGGGGGAGGGGATGATGGCGCCGAGGCGGATGGGGCCATCGGGAGGACTTGGGCGCGGTGGGGTGAGGAAGTATGTGGGTTTGGGGGTAGCCATGGTTTGTGTGGTACTGTGAGAAGGTACTTTTGAAGCGTGATGACGCTGTTGGCGACTGTGTGATGGTAACCAGGCACCATATATATAGTGAAGCGCTAGGTGCAGATGTACTACACATGAGTCGAAGCATGCATGGCAATGCAGGGTTACGTGTGGATGCATGGCCCGTGGGGCTGAGCAGCGCATGCAGCTACTGTCCAATCCTAGTGGGCTCACTTCTGCACCGAGCAGTGTCCACTCCACAAACTCAAAATCGGCTCTGAGATATCTCAAATGGATGGCTTGCTGATCAGAGTCTCATGAACAGTATCTTCGCCATGCCTTGTGTGCGAGGGACAGACTATCGTGATTTAGTAATTGCACTTTAGAGATTGAGATGGGGGAATATACTCGTTCCCTGTGACTGCCGCTGGAGCCAGACATCGAATCAAGCTCTACTCTACGGTGTCTCTCAGGGCGCGCTGGCCCTCGACTCTTCTTTAGTGTATAGTTCCCATCTTCATCCTTTCTAAAAGCTGCTGATCGATGCGTATGCTTAGAAGGCCGGGAAGGTTCGACAGGAAGCTGGTAATATTCCTGAGTAGCTTGAAAGTATGCCTGAGATGCCTCTTGGGGTGCCGCCTGGGGTGCCGCCTGGGATGCTGCCTGAGGTACTGCCTGAGGTACTGCTTGCGCTGCTGCTTGAGAGGCTGCTGCTTGATATGCTACCTGAGGTGCCGCTGTCTGATATTCGGGGGCGAGGATTCGAGCAGGTTCTGGGAGATATCCCCGATGATATGGTGCAGGAGGAGCTTGACGGCTAAACCGTGTAGCTATTGAACGAACTGAAGGAGCTGCTGCAGTAGGTGGTGGAAGCCGTACCAGACCAGATGATGGTCCAGATGGTCGTCCAGGTGTTGGGCCAGGTGTCGGACCGGAAGCTGAACCAGCCCCTGCTGAACCGGGTGATGGACGGAATGGAGAGGTCACTACTGGACCTGAGCCACGGGCACTAGGTGGTGGTCTAATCGGAGCAGGTGGCGGTGGAACTGGTAAGGGCGCTCTTGGTGACGATGGTGGGCTGCGTGTGGAGGAGCTTTTAGAGGAGCTCTTAGAGGAGTTCTTAGAGGAGCTCTTGTCACTACCATTACGACCACGGCCACGGTCGCAGCAACAGCACCATATCAGGAGTAGCAATATCAGTAGACCAAGAAATGCTCCAACGAATGCTCCCCCAATGACTATGCTAGACGGTCGCGCAAGAGTAGGGCTGACAGGACCAGTTTCCTCGACGGCCGCTGCGGTGGGGGTCCAGCGGCGAGCAACGGCTGGAGACGCTTCAAGCACACAGACGACATGCACTTGCGATTGATCTGAGCAGTCCAATGGCGGTGCTGTCAACCATGACTGTCTTTGAGGCGCAAGCTTGAGGGCGGGCATGTGGGAAGCCTAGTTCGCATCGTGATGAAGGCTGAAGCTACACAGCCTGCCCAAGGTACAAAGAAGCGCCGAAATGCGAAGGCTGGCTGCTATCAAGATACGACTGTGCCGCAAATCAAGGCGGGGCGTGGTTCAAACCGGTCAGTACATCCGGCGTTACGCTGAGCATCTGCATATCCGCTTGGCCCAGGTTGGGTATGCAGGCGAGCCATCATCCTTCAGCCCCCACCTCGCCGCAGCCCGGATGACTTCGTGCGGCCCGCAGAACGGCTGAGATCTCTTCCACATCGATAATGCGCCCGAATTGAGGGAGCATGCAGATATCCCCTCCATATTCTGCGTGCCAAGTTACCGGAACTTTGACGACTGTACCAGGTTGGGTTTCGGTCGAACGAGCCTGACTTCGCACGACGACAGAACACTCGTAGACCGCGCCGCCTTTAGTTAAAAATTACAACGCATCTTCCGATTAATAATCAAGAACCGATACGGCGCGAAGACGAAGTGAGGAGGAGTGGCGGAAGTCCTCCCTCCTGAAATGACGCTGGATGACCAGATCAACAAACTCATTTCTGAGGCCGAAGGACTTGAGATCAGAGCTGAGAATGAAGGTCAGACTCTGTACCCAGATGTCATTACAACGTGGGAGAAGGCGACAGAGCTGGCCGAAGAACACCATGGGAATCTTGGCCAAGAGACTTTGAACTTACGTGAGCGCTTGGCCGACAGCCTTACGAAGGCAGGGAAATTCCAGAGAGCGATATCGTGCGAATTGAAGAACGAGCATTGGACTCTCGAGCGTTACAAACAGCTCCAGGGCCCTTCTCGCGCGATTAGCGCCCCAGCACAGGCCGCTAAAGCAAATCACCTGGAGGCTCAACGAAGAGTAGCGAGGACCTACTTGCTGAACAAAGACTATCCGAATGCGGTTCAAAAGTTCCAAGCGGTGGTCGATGATAAAACCACACCGAAGTCAGCAGTGCAGAGATGTATAGATCGAGTAGATCTGGCGTCGGCTATGTACGCGTCTGGTACAGATCGCGACATCATGGGAGCAATAAATCTCAACATAACGACGTTGCAAAGAGCGGAAGCGAGCTTAGGAAAAGACCACATTGAATCTGTGAAAGTCAGATACAACCTAGGAAGAGAGTTGTATGATTTGAAGAAATATGACGATGCCCTGGAGAAATTTAGCGAGGTAGTCGACATCCTCCGTTTGAAATCATGTAAAGCCAGGTCATCGCCTGAGTACCAAGGTTACCTTGGAGACGCAGAGATTTCGCTCAAGAACTGCAAAACCAGGATTGACCGACAAAAGGAAAAGGCAAGACGGCAGGCTGCCTTAGCAGCAGAAGAAAGAAAACAGGAGGAGGAGGTCAAGGTACAGGAAGCCGAGAAGAAACGTCTACAAGAGGCTGAAGACCAAAAAGAGCAAGCTAAAGCACGACAGCTGGCTGCCTCGGCAGCGGATCAGAGAAGACGGAGAGAAGAAGAGCTCAAGATAAAGAGAGTCGAGGAAATTCGAACTCGAGAGGCTAAAGCCAGACAAGAGGAGGCTGAGCGAAAACGGTCACGACTGGAGCAAGCCCGACAACAGGAGGCTGAACGAGTACGGTTACAGGAGGCCCGACAACGGGAGGCTGAGCGAGTACGGTTACGAGAGGAAGAAAGAAGACGAAAACTGAATGAAGATGCAAAGAGGCAGGCAGCTGAGGAAGCGCACGAGCAAGCTATGAAAGTCCAACAGGAGGAAGCGAAAGAAATGCAGGCTCGCAAGGTAAAAGATGAGGAGGAGAAAAAACGGAAACAGGATGAAGACGCAAAGAGGGAGGCAGTTGAGTTAGTACAGTTGCAAGAGGAAGAAGAGAAAAGACGAAAACAGAACGAAGCTGCAAAGAAGGAGGCAGCTGAGAAGAAACGAGCCCGAGAGGCTAAAGCCAGGCAAGAGGAGGCTGAGTCAGTACGGTTACAAAAGGAGGAAGAGAAAAGACGGCAAGAGGACGAAGACGCAAGGAGAGAGGCTGCTGAGAAAGCGCGCGAGAAAGAGATCGAAGCCCAACAGGAGGAAGCAAAAAAGATACAAGCGCGCAAGGCAGAAGACGAGAGAAAACATGAAGAATCTGCGAGGCAAGCCACGCGCGATAGAGAGATGGCGGCCAAAAGGAAACAGGAAGAAGAGGCCAAGTCGATATTGCAACAACTGGATGCGCTTGCAGAAACTCTAAAAGGGCTCGAGACACGTAACAGCAAAGAGTTGGGTAACGCTAGTACCGCTGTTGAGGGGCAAAGAACAACACCTGGAGAAGAATGTCCTCTCCAAACAGTGCTATCGGCAGAGTGTATTCGTCCGGAATCCACCGCAAAGTCCGAGGTTCCAGTTGAGAATCAGATACTGGGACGCAGCAATCAACATCCGGTACGCACAACACAATCCGAGCCAATCGTGGAGCGATCTGCCGGAACAGAGAACGTGCCTGCAAAAGATCATATAGTCCGCACCTCAATGTCCTGGTTAGGGAGGCAGACGAAGCAGTTTGTTGACCTGCTTGTTCCAACAACTCCGCCGTGGGTCTCAACGCCCCCCTTAAACACCCCAGAGTTTGTTGCATTGGTGGAAGGATCTAAAGAAGAAAAGAGCATGTCCGATGCTCAACCTTCGATCGAAATGCAACCTGAGCCTCATGTGCGATCCGAATCTGTTCCAATCATCCATGCAAAGATATTCAAGGCTGAAAGAAGAGATGCTTTCGTGCCCGGTGGATGGCATCAAGATTTTGACGAACCAGGGCCCGTTTCCAACGTGAGAAAAGTGCGTTCCAATGACCAACTAGGCAAAGGTGGCTTGCGAGTATTAGAGACGGGAGACGCAAAACATAAGCGTGCCTCATCTGTTGGCGATTTGAAGAGAAGCGTGCCCACATCGCTTATTACCCCGATCAAGAATTGGAGTGCACAGGAGTAAGTATCGCGGTATCTTGGTTGTAGGACATCTCGTTGACGATGCATAGTGAGGTCATAGCCGACAGTTGGTTCGAGAACCTGCGCAACCATGCACACGTCTTGCTAGACAGGTACCAGGATGACTCCTTCAAGCAGAAGAAGACCGAGCGACGTGTAAAGATCGCTGTACTCGACAGTGGAGTTGCCAAGAGCGCTGCTCGAGGCCCAGTCCCGCCGCTGATGAAGAGTCCACGAGTGAAGCTAGGGAAGCAACTGGATCCGGCCCTGCCCTGGAATTGCGATAGCAAAGGCCACGGTACCCATGCCACTGGTGTAATCCTCACTGTCTGTCCGTACGCGGATGTGTATGTGTACAGGGTCTGCGAAGGTAACGAGGCGATCGACAGAAAGTACGTGGCGGAGGCCATCAATGACGCTGTCGAGAAGAAGAAGGTCGATATCATAAGTATGAGTTTAGGCTGGGATGAGAACAGTGATCTCGGGCTTCGGGCAGCCATCGAGCGTGCAAGAGCTAGTAGTGTGCTACTCTTCGCGGCGAGTTCAAATGAAGGCATTCGAACAAAAGCTGGCATGGCGTACCCAGCTCGCGCATTGGAAGTCATTGCCGTCGATGCAGCGGATGTTCATGGCAATCCGTCCAAGTTCAACCCTCCACAACTCAGAGATAAAGCCAGGTTCACTGCTCTGGGCGAGGCGGTGAGATCGACATATCCTTTGCACCTTCCTTCGGAAGATTCAGAGGATGGTTTCAAGAGGATGGTAGGAACATCCTGCGCTACCCCAATCGCTGCCGGCATTGCAGGACTAGTACTAGAGTTTGCCCGTCAACGACCGCTTTGCTTCGAACCTGCCATCGAGGCCCATCTGAAGTCGGTAGAAGGTATGAGGCTGATCTTGACGAAGTGCCTATCGCTCAAGTATGCGGAAAGCTCGCCATTCAACCATCTCGACCCGACGATATTGTTCCATTGTACGGAGAGAGCTAATGACGGAGGTGGCTTTTCCGAATATCTGTCGCCGCGATCCAGCGCAGCGTACAACATCGTGACAAGGCTGCGTGAAGAGTTCTCGCCGGATATTGGGATGCAAATGGGGGTGGAGCTCCAAAAAGAATGGGCAAGAGGCGTTTAGAGCAGCACGGATGAGAGTTGACGTTCGTGGTTTTGGTGATCAGAAGAAATCCTAAGAGGGGTCCAACGCGTTTCGAACGCGCTAGTACACGTCCCGGTGGCTCTGGCATGCGTCATCGTGTAGGGAAGGTCCTTGTACTACTATCCGATCTAATTCAACTTACACTGAAGGGTTCCGTGCGATGCACCGCTTTCAAAGACCAGCTTCCTACAACTTGATAATTGCACCGATGCGCAAAGCAGACAACATTATCACCATCACGACTCGACGCTAAGATACAGGATGCGGAACCCAGATATCCGCTGTCGCACCGACACCTATCCATGCGCCGCCACCTCAGAATTGCTCGAGCCAAGGTTTCCACTTACGAAGACCACCAGCACTGCTGCGTAGCTGATGTAGAGTTAGCTGACGAGCACGGTTGGACATTCTTGAACTTACGCTGCCGTGGCTGCGAATACCTCTGATCGCTTCGCAGCAGTGAAGATACTAACGCTGCCAGCAAACAATAGCACGAATACGCCGATCATGATCAGCTTGGTTGTGGGGTTGTCGACATAATACAGGACCAAGATTGCGACGAAGAGCAGGACGACCGCGATGATGACGCTAACAATCGTCACAAACCGGGCGATTCTCTTTTCCGGAACGTATGCCATACCGTTCTCTCGCCTTTCTGCCTTTGTACTCTGCGTCAGCTTGCCATTAGGGTGGTGATTATTGGGTTGTACGCACTAGGAAAAGGATCGGAAGATATCGCTGTACAAACGTTGTCACGCGGTCTTCGTATGCGGGCTGCTTCAAGAGGACCAGATCATCGTTTCTTTCATACAGGGTAGCACTATGGCCCCCGAAAATTGGATCCCGCTGGTTTGCTACCTTGTTGAAGCGCGTTGAGGCATGATGAACGGCGTCAAAGGTGCGTATTGGGGGTGGTCCGAGTTGCGCCATTTGGCTTTCGGATAGTAGTGCCTTTCCTTTGACGTTCTCAGCGTTTTATTTGAGACTTGGGAATGGCATCAGGTATTACTGTACTCTTTCATTTTTTCCCGTATAGTTTCCCTCAAATCCATTCGCTTTCGTTGTTTGATACTTGCAGGGTCGTTTGCAGCATTTCTGAACGCCTCCCAGTTCATGGCACATCTTCCAATAGCCAAATCATTATACTCATGGCTTCGATCTTCGCTATCTAGTTGTTCCTGGTGGATTGCAGTATCAGCAAATGGTCGCGAAGACATGGAACTCATCTAGCACGTACTTGCATTGCCTCGAGCTCGACCAGCTCACTCTGCAGATAGAGCAGATTACGTACAGCAAGCTTATCAAAACGCCTGAACACTAAAGACGTTCGATCTGGAAAGCTCGCGATGTCTTCAGTGAGTGAAGGATATCCATCCAATGGCCGCATGACAACGCTGCACAGCCCTGCCTCACCAGCGATAAGTGAGGTGGGAATTGTTGTTTTAATAGCTCTGTTGACTTGCAGCGACGAGGAAGGCGCGTGGCTCAAGCTTGTTCCAGTCCTGTCTCGCTGACAGCATAGACCGGTGAAGAACCCCGCACCTCACACAAAGTGATCTGGCAGTCAGCCGACCTCCATCTTAGTCCACTGAGAACTGTCTTCTCAATTTAAGTTCCCTGCTTACAGCTCATTGTGCTTTTTCAACGTCATGGTACCGTTGTTTCTCTTGGGGGTATCGAATGACCACCGTATCCTCCAAGCCCCTGCGTTGGCTTTGGCACCTACTACGTATGTCTACTGATCTATTATCTTGACCTGCGAATCCGTTGCCCTCACAAGATGGATGATCTAGAAGTAGGAGCTTCAAACGAGCTGGAACAAAGGAAAGAGTTGCTTCCAGAACATCAACTATTAGCCCCTTGCATGGTACCTCGATCGAGAAGTGATTCAATGTACTCGGTACGATGTCTACACACTGAGATCTTAGGAGGCAAACACTTACATACAGCTCCAGGAGCTATCCCGTACATCTACTCAATACGACGTCAAAGCCAGGTTGAAATACAGTGATGCGCAACTTAGGTCGCGAATAGGGACTCTAAATGGCAGTCCGTGGTCTGAAACCGTTGAACCCAAGGCTCAGAAACAACACTACATTAACTATCATGAGCGCAGACGAAATTTAGGTCTAGATCCAGATCCAGATATACCGGATTGGACAAATGTAGAAGCGATGCATCGAAAGGGACACCGCCGCGGCCTTCCCCTACTTGTGAGAGCTCACGAAGAATTGGAAAATATCATGGCCTGCTACGATACTGGAACCCATGAGAATCACATATCTTATGCCAAAGCCATCGATATGGGTTATGTCGTCGAATCAAGCCCCGGTATCGAAGTATGTTTCCAGCTCCCAAACGGAAAAATCATCAAGTCTTTGGGTTACGTCGACATCATGGTTCAGTTCGCTAGAGACGTAGGACCAGAGATGTCCCCTATGATATGCCGATTCAACGTTTTCGAGAGGCTGGCTTTGCCGGTGCTCATCGGCATGGCCTTCCTCAGAGCCACAGAGACCATAACCAAGTACACCTCACGCATGGTAGACCTACCCGGAACTTGGAAGCGCTCTCTCCGTTTGTGTTCGATGGGAAATGCGACAAATCAAGTTTCGTGTATCATTGAGGGGCGAAGAATCTCAGCCGCTGCGGACACTGGATCTGAGATCGCCTTGATCAGTGGCACATATGCTAGAAAACGCGGTTTTGTCATTAGAGAAGGCTGCGAAGAGCTTGAGCTTGCTGATGGCTCACTCGAATACACCAGCGGGTTCGCATACGCCAGAATTAGTGTGTTGGATCGCAGCCACTGGGAAAAGAGGTCGACGTCGATATCTGCGTCGAGATGGAAAGCGAAGCCAGGATTGAGACCCGACTGGATTCGCTTCCATGTTCTGGATTGTCTCCAGCTCGACGTACTCCTGGACGAAAGAACAAGCGATGTCTTGGATGTCTTTCAGAATGGCTTCGTCGAGTTCATGTCGGATGCGCCTGACGTTGTACCCAGCATATCTCCAATTATCCACCTAGGCTCTGTGGAAGCTTCTCTTGCACGGGCGAGCGACAAAGTGAGCAAAAAGACCAAAGAATTGAGCAGCTCGATCCGGTCACAATGTACCTCAGCATTCTCAAAGTCAGCATCTTCGCCTAGCGCTGCAAGTACAGGTCAGCCAAAGTCACGCTTTTCATCACCATCTTTATGTCTGACAAACCGCAGTGAGTCCAGCAGGGCCAAACGATGCTACATCGCAAGCTCGTGCCAAGCAGATACCTACCCTCATCAGCGAGCTAGATCAAGCAGAAAACCGCCGGCTTGATCAAACAGAGCGAAGAGGTCCATCTGCTGGGGATGATGCACAAAAGCAACGGTATGAACTTGAACGGACAAAGCTTTTGGACGGACTGCGGGAATTGAATGGCACACAAGTGCGTTGAGCAGCTCACACTCCTGCGAGTTGCGCAGAATACAATTGAAACACCAATGTCTAGATCCCAATATAGCTTCTTCAGATGGACGCACGTATTCTCACCGCCGCCCATTCAACATCCTCCCCTCCTCATCCCCTTCCTCAAGATCACTCAACTCAAACTCCTCCGCATTCCTCAAACTCTCCTCATCCCCCTTGACCTTCCCCCAGCCCTTCTCATCCGCGGGATTAGGAAACGGCTCCGCACACCCCCGATTCCTCAGCGCAGGATAATACCTCCTATACGTATAATGCGCCACAGCCATACCCAACACCGATCCCACACTAACATCATAAACATCATGCCTGTAGTCTTCACAACGGGAAATCGCTATAAGCGCTGCGCCGAGCAGGGGCGCGAGAGCGAGGAGGACGCGAGCGAGGTCCGCGCGTGGGCGGTAGACGTGGCATTGGCCTGCGATGAAGAGGGCGAGGTAGCCGAGTCCGCTGAAGGAGAAACTACTATGTCCGCTGGGAAAACTGCGCCACCCGTCGTGTAAAACATGGTGATCCGTTTCGGTGCAGACGTCAAAAGTAACGAGTTGGTGGGCGGGCGTGCCAGGAGCGGGTTTGCATCTCGCGATGAGATCGGGACGAGGACGACCGACAGCGTTCTTAATCACATCCGTTATGAACATGGTAAGGATCATGCTGATGAACCAGCCAAGGATCGTGACGTGCGCTTTGTGTGTTCCGGGGCGCAGGACAAGGGCCCAGGCGATAAGGACGCCGAGGGGCACGGCGCCCGCGTAGATGAAGAGCCAGGAGACGGGGACGCGTTCGTGCTCTGCGTGCGGGTAGTTGATGGAGAGGTTGTCGAGGAAGAACATGCGGTGGAAGGGTTCAGCGAGGAATTGTATCTGTGCCTAGTTTGTCAGTTGCGCTTCCTTGTTGAAACCTTGAGGGGTTATTCTTGTATTGTGGCTACGTACCAGTATGTACCCGCATACTAAGATGGCAATGCCAACATAATCCGAGGCATACGAGCGCTGTAGATGTGTTAGCTACCTCTATCCCTCCGTGGACCACGTCTCATTATCGAATTGCTCACCTGCCAGAAGCGCGCCGCCGCGCCTAGGAAACCAGGCGAGTTCAAAAGCTCATTGGAATTGAGCCTGTGTGTTTGGGCAGGCATGGTCGCGTGGTCAGCACGCGCGCATGGCAGTCGAGGTTTAGCAAGCGTCTTCGGAGGTGTGTCTTCAACTCCGCAAATGCAGGGAGAGACGCGCTAGTGGGGGCGGGCTTGCGTCACTCAGGGTACACCCCCAATGTAAACACCATGCACCGTCCCTAGACTATATCCATCTCGAATCCCACAATGACTATGCGAGGCGCAAACCATCCCATCTCAATATCTGCCTGCTAACAACATCAATACGTAGAAGCCAACATACCCAACCTCCCCCCATCAACCACAACCACACTCCCATTCAAATACCCCCCAGCCCTTCCCGCCATCCACAACACCGCGCCCGCAATATCCTCCTCCTTGCCCGTCCTGCCCTCCGGTACAATACTCCTATCCACCTCCCCATTGGGTCCCTTCTCCAACGACCCAATAATGCCCATCGCGAGCTCTGACGGGAAAATGCCCGGTGCAAGTACATTACAACGGATACCGTAAGGCACAAACGCCGTAGCCAGCATCTTGGTCATATGCGTAACAGCCGCTTTACTGCTATTATAAGCGAATGACGCGCCGGGTAAACGCGAGAAACCGCCGATACTCGATGTCGTTATAATCTGAGAACGGACATCAGTGTGGGCGGTTTTCCTACCGTTCCCCGCGTCGAGGAGCGTGAGGAAGGACAGCGCCGTATAATATACCGCCGTGTTGTTGACCGCGTACGTGTTTGTAAAGTCGGCCATTGGCGTCTCGAGCGCGTGTGCTGCGTACTCTGCGACTGACGGCGCGGCGCATCCTGGTGCTGCTTTGAGCGGCTTAGGGCCCATGATGCCGGCGTTGCAGATGAGGAGGTCGATGTAGCCTGTTTCGGTCTCGACGTGCTTTGCGATTGAGAGGAGAGATTCGCGAGAGGTGACGTCGCCGGGGAGTGGAATGACGGTTTCTGGGTTGATGCTTTTGGCGGCCGAGTGGAGGACGTCTGGACGGCGGCCCACGATGTAGATGCGGTGGGCGCCGTTGGCTGCTAGGGCTTTGGCCATCATTAGCCCGATGCCTGGTGTTGTTAGAGGGGTGCTGTTGGGTCTGGTATGTGGGTGGGCTACCAGTTCCGCCTCCTGTGATGACGGCTACCATGCCGTTGACGTTGAAGAGGTCGCTGGCTGAGAGGTTTGTAGACATCTTTGGATGTTCGAGGGTGGAAAGCTTCGTAAATGCGGCCTTGCGACGTCGTTCTTTGAATATATGTCATTGTTACGGCTCCACCTTCCGAACGTGATGATTTCTGTACGACAAGCGTGCTTGTCGTGCTCGGCTAGAATGATAGGTGATGACTTCCTTCTACCTTCCTTAGCAGCTCATCGATACAAGATCGTGAACTAGGAGGCGGATTCTTCAAAGTAAAAGCCAACTGTATTGTTGATGTTTTCTGCAGAGTAGTCGTTCCTCATCATGCTCCTATCCAATCCACATTACCACCTTCCTCGAAACTTGCACCTATCAACAGCCTCATAACCCCATTGAACTCACTTCTCCGCATGCCAGCTTTTCCTAGCGGTAACCCACTTGAAGCTCGCACACCACCCCTCCACCTCCCCCCGTTCCGACCGCTCAACATAATCATAAATTTCTTGTTGCGCAACCAAGATATCAGCTCTCAACTCCTCCGCCGTCCAAACCTTCGTCTTACTCCCCCACTGCGTCAACAGCCTCAAGCACACCGGTTCGAACATCTCCATACCTAGCACAAACATCATCTTGCCAAGCGATCGCTGTGCTTCGTCCTTTGGCCATTGTCCGACTGGCACGTTGACATGGGTCGTTTGGATGTCTTCGAAGCCTGCTTCTTCCAGATAGGTGTGGTGCATGTAGAAGAGGCCGAGTGGACGGCCAGATTTGAATGATGCTTCCATGAACGCCACGTAGAGTTTGCGAAGAGTAGGCATGGGTATGTTTGCTGCTGTGATCTCCCCTGGGCCCATGGGCACTTGGCCCAGATCCCAATCTGCGAGTTCGATACATCCACCGGGTGAAAGGCTCTTGTAGATCTCGGCATATACGTCTTCCCAGTGCGTAAAAGAGCCCTTCATGTTTCGTAAATGGATGAGCTCAAAGGAGTCGCTAAAGTGCCAGCCAGGTTCAGGCTGGGGGGTAAGAGTTGAGAGATCAATAGTCAAATGCTCCTCGGGCGTAGGCTCCCTTCCCTGTTGATTGAGATCGACCGTTGACTTTGGCTTCCTCAGCGCGTCGATGGGAGTCCGATTAGCCAATTCGTTGGCCAAATCTAGAGTGGCGAGCTGGTTGATCAGCTGGTCGACATCCATCTCTTTTCCCCAGACGTCAAGGTCATCCAGCTCCCATGTCACCCTGGCATCGCCCAAAGTGGCTTCGGTGGTGTCTATATCCCATTCAGTCATGTCAATCCCGACAACCTCCGCGTGCGGGTATTGACGCGCCATGGCAACAGCCCAATGACCTGGTCCAGTGCCTAGGTCGAGTATTCTTCGGGTAGTAGGCAGTAGTTTCGCAGTGGTCAGCTTGCCATGAAGTGCTCGGACGAAGATTTCATGCTGTAGAGACAAACGATCCTGCTCCACAAAGTCGTTATGCTGCTTGTACACGCATGGCAGGTAGTACGTTTCATTGCCGTACGTTCGTCCATTTTCATGGAAATATTCTAGATCATCGGAAGCTAATGTCCGGACAGAGCGACTGTCGACATAGGAGTTAGCTTTGTTCGCCGTGCGATGGTATTTGGTGGGTGACCACCCGTAAGGCTACAGCAATCGTTGTTTATCCGTGGAGACTGCCGAGTGGATCTACCCAGGTAGCCCAACGACCACGTCACAACGCAGAGTGGCAAATAACTGCAAGAATAGAAGACAGCGACGTACTTAGACTCGATCGACGAGATACTCTCCGAGTCAGCCCGTCGGCGTTTGAGTGGAGCGCCTGTGAGAGGGGCAACCACGTCTCCGGGTGGTGGCTGTCCCTCATCCATGGTCTCGGAAAGCCGATGCAAAAGATCTAACAATTCTCGTTAAATGAATAAGGCAAAAACGACGGGTAGACGAAAGAAGTAGAAATCATTCGTCTCTTGGGTATGTGCTGCATTCGTAGTACCCTAGCAAACGGGTGCTAAAAGCTGAGGTTCTGCATGCTAAGCGATGGTCGCTCGATACTGGGGGCGCGTGGATACTGCGTATACGGTCTACATGTACTGGACCGTAAACGGAAACGGGCGACTTACGGCGAGAAGATCTGCAGGCGGTAGAGGAAACGCGCTATGTGGGCGACTGACGCGATAGTTGATGGTACGCGGGCAACCGACGTAGACGTGTTGCAGCACGTTAGTAAGAGGTGGTCAGGACCGCCAATACCTCTGGTTGCTAAGGAATTAGGCCTCGACCGATGCTCATAAGACGCTGAACAGCCACACAAACGGTACGCAGACTCAGCTGCCCGCTGACTTCTAACCATGTTGGATCTGACACGGACGAATTACCAACCCAGCTTTAGACAGCAGGCTATCTATGTTCGACCTTCGGGCGGAATGATTGACGAAGGGATGCGCTGATATTGAGTCAACCCGTTAGCGACATGAATGCGTCCATCGCTATGTTACAACGCAATCTCCGGTTCGTGCTACGTGTTCGCAGATATTAGCGCGTAGGAACCCAGACCCTGCTGCCGGCTTGCAGCATGTCACAAAAGGTCGTAGCACAAGTCCAGAACCAAAATGAAGCAGCCTCTTGCTGATACTACCGCGGAGAACAGAGTCCCAGACGTCTCAGCTGGGCTCTAGGCACAGACTTTTGGCGCCGGGCTTTTTGACGGTGCGGCCATGCTACCGGCGCCAGCGGAGCGGATCCAGTAGATCGTCAACCGGACTGCCGGGGAGTGAATGCACCATCTTGTAGCTTTTTGAAGAATGTGTAGGGCACGCTTGCCTCGAGGCTGTTTGCTTTGCTTGATCTCACACAACCCTCCTCGGAGACTTTTCTCACCTAGCACACAGAAGAGTAAGCTCGACGCGAAAGAGTCATTGCTGGCCACGTTTGATCCTAGCAGATGCAGCGGGTGTCGCCCGATGTTCAAACCAGAGAATTAACGGGTCGACAACCAGGGATGCCGGAGTATTAAGCTGCCGGTGCTGGTATGAGTAATTAATATTTTGTCTCCATAAAGAACCATACATAGCAAGTGATAGACATCAAAAGCCGATCAGCCTATCGAGGAGCATTCCAGCTGTGAAGTCGGCCGGGCGATCCTGCAGTATACGGGAAAGGTGCCGGACAACCCGGATCCCGGGAGGTACACCCAGGAGTGAGGCTGATTTGCAGGCCTCTACTTCTTCTGATGCGCATCCGTGCCGCGTCCATGTGTCCGAAATTAGGAGATTCACATGGGTCAAAGTAAGCAGGTGGGTTGTCTATGAAGATAAAGGCGAGAGAGAGAAGTGGCGCGAAGTGCGGTGTGCTAGAGTGTCAAACGCACAGTTACGGCACGGGCGAATTAGACATCACGGCGTGATACAAGGAAAGAGCGAGTGATAAAATTGGCAAGCAAAATACGCTAGGTTCGTCCGATTCGATGTCAGCGTGACGTTACATCTAATACACAGGCTATGTTTCTCATTAGGACGCAGTTCTTCTATAGACATGCTTTATGCAATCAGTCGACTTCTTGCCCCTCAAACTTGGGTAACCGTGCAGCAACATCCGACCAGTTCTCCTCGCCCTTGACGATGTTCGAAACAGCTTGGGCAATCTCCTCTAGGCTTGCGCGCACCTGCCCAGTAGTGTCTCGGTCTCTGAGTGTGAATGTGTTGTCCTTGACGGACTGGAAGTCAACAGTGATGCCGAGGGGTGTACCAAGCTCGTCGTTACGCTAGGACGTGTTAGATTCTGATCGAAAATATGGGGATAACAGGTGACTTACGGCATAGCGCTTGCCGATTGAGGCACCGGAAGCGTCGACGCGGTTAGACACGCCAATCTTCCGCAGTTTGTCCTTCAGTTTCCGTACAAACGGATCAAAGTCTGGGTTTGAACTGAGCGGCACGATAAGCACTTTGGTCGGTGCGACGGCCGGAGGGAAAGACAAGACAGCCTTGGCTTCGTCGTCCTCGCGGGTCCAGTAAACATGTTCACATAGAGCCTTAATCTGTCAGCAAGGTACGTGAACCTTTCAAAGTATAGATACTTACGTAGAATATGCGGCCAATACCAAATGACGGCTCGATGACGTTTGGTGTGTATTCACGTGTGTGTTCTACTCGGGTCTGCTTCGATATGGTGATGAGCTCCTTTGGTACCTCAACCTTGCCATCACCAACTTCGGGAACATCAATGACGATCTTGCCCTCCTTCTCCAGGTCTAGAGACAGCTTCTCGCGAAGATCTTGCGACAGTGCTTCGATGGCTGCTTCGACAGTCTTGCCGTCCTTCTTGAACGTGGGACCAAACTTCTTCTTGTCGAGTTGGCATTGCCACTCTTCAACCTTCTTCGGCTCCTTCAGTGTTTCACGAACAATCAGAGGTGCACCGGTCTTCTTCATGTGAACAGAGAGATCGTATGCGCTACGGTCAGCACAACCGACACATTCAATCCAGCCATATGATGTGAGCAGCTCGGCGTCCCAACAATCTGCGGCGTAATGGGCCATTTCATTGGCCATGTGTTGCCTAAAGCGGATTTTCTTTGGGTCAACGCCGAGCTTGAGGAGGAACAGCTGGATACGGGCCAAGAAGTAACCGAGTGTCTCGTTGTCGACGAGACCCGTTTCGACAGCCTTGCCAATCTTGGTGGTCTCAACAGTGGTCTTGCCTGAAAGTTGTACGTCCCGGTTGAGCAGCTCAAGCTCAACATCCTTGACTTCCTCGAAGCGTGGGTGTTTCTTGCCGCCCTCCGGGTCGACGAAGTGCTCGATCTCAGCCATTAAGAATTCTCGCACACGTAGCAGACCCTGTCGCGGGGAAATTTCGTTACGGAACGACTTGCCGATGGAGGCAGAGGCGAAGGGCATTTGCTGGTTGTTGTGGTCTAGCAACTTCTGGAAGTTCACGAACTGACCCTGGGCGGTCTCAGGACGTAGGTATGCGGGCAGATTGGACGAGGGGCCGATGGAGGTCTGGAACATGAGGTTGAATGCGACGGGCGGTAGGAGTTCGCCGTTGGTAGCGGGGTTCTTGATGTCGTACTTCTTCATGAGGAGGCCGAGCTCTTCGCCGTTGTAGTTGTCAATCTTGGCCAGTACCTCTTCAATCTCCTTGACCATGGAGTCCTCAAGCTTGACGGCCGAGATGTTCTTGACCTTCTTCTTTTTCTTCTTGGGGTCCTCCTCCTCGGCCTCGACCTTCTGGCCGCGTGCCTCCTTGTCGCCCTTCAATCTGGCCTCGAGAACCTCTTCGACCAAGTGATCGGCTCGGAAGATCTCACCCGTCTTGGGGTCTTTGCACATCCAATCGGCGAACTTGTCTACGTGTCCGGACGTCTTGAGGACCTCGTGTGTGGTGAGGATAGTGGGCTCAACCTTGAGCATGTCCTCCTCGAGGACGAAGTGTTCGCGCCATATGTCGACGATGTTATCGGTGAGGGCAGAACCGGGCGGGCCGTAATCGTAGAGGCCAGCGACACCACCGTAGATATCGAATGAGGGCGCATAGAAGTACTTGTGCTACAATGGCTGTTGTTAGTATGACTGGGCAGTGTTGGGGCAGTCGCACTCACCTTCATGAGCTGCTCGAAGGCAGCGCGCTCAAAGGGTTTGCCCTTGTGTGTGGTAGTATCGCTCGGCATGGCGACGTTCTTCCGCTGGGGCAAGGTGACCTTGTATCGGAAGAGGGGTGGTGTGGACGAGAAGTGCTTGGTGGGATGAGTCGGCGGAGGTGGGGCACGATATTGGACGGGCCTACGTAGAGGCAGACGCGAAGCAAGTTGGGGGACGCGCACTGGAATTAGGCGGCGCATATACTACGGCTCCTCTCTTGCATGCAACAAGAGAACACTAATGAGCGACAGGGTCTAATGTACAAAAGGGCTACAAACTTTGGGCACGGAAATCAAGAAAAGCGATGCTTCGAATCTCGAGACGCCTGAGGCTCTACTAATGTGTGGCGCGCCAAGATTGCGGAAAAGCACAGGCCGCGGCTCCACCGAAAAGTTGAGCAGCACTGCTCTTGCGCACTCCACGACGAGTGCGACACACACCAAAACAGATTCCCCAATACGGACCAGTAACGTAACTTGGGTTCAGCATGGCCTTCTCTAAGAGCCCCAATGTTGCCTCTGGGATCAAGCCCAAGAACAAATTGCGCAGACAGGCGGCGCATCTCTCCATCAAGAAGGCGCGCGAATCAGAAAAGCGAGACGCAAGGCTGCGTCGCAAACGCGAGGAAGAGAAGAACCCAGCACTACGAGAGGAGCGGTTAGCACACAACAAGCCTGCGACTATCGACGGCAAGCGAGTATGGGACGAACCAGTCGGCGACGAAGAGGATGCGCTGGGATGGGCCATTGATGTGGAGAGACTGGCAAAGAGGAGAAAGGTGGAGCAAGAGGAAGCAGCACAGAAGGAGAGCGAGGATGGCGAGGATGGCGAAGACGGCGAGGAGGAGGGCATACTAGCGAAACTGAAGAAGCGCGACCAAAAAGCAGGCGAAGACAACTCGGACGACAGCCAGGACGACGAAGCAGACAGCATGCTCGACGACTCCGAATCCGAACCCTCTCTCGACTCCAACGATTCCGACCTCGACTCCGACACCGCCTCTTCCAAACCCGGGAAACGCGCCTCCAGTCCCAGCGCCACATCCACAGCAACAAACCTCGAACTCTCGCCCGAATTCCTCAAGCAAAAGTTTCCCTCGATATTCAACCCGCGCACCGACGACCCCCAGATCCTCATCACAACAAGCATCAACTCGACGCTCCACAAAGAAGCCGAGATCCTCACCTCCCTTTTCCCCAACAGCACCTACATAAGACGCACGCAGCACGTCCACGCGCACAAGTACAGCGTCAAGGAAATCGCCGGTTTCGCTAGCGCACGCGGCTACACAGCCCTCGTCATCCTCATGCAAGCCGAACACGAGAAGAAGCCCGACGGCCTCGACATTGTC